TGAACCCAGTAATGACAGGAGTTCCTCTTACTGCCAGCCACCATGACTGCTCAAGTTACTCCATTGTTTCGTATTCCTCGTAACCGGCCTTCGTCTCTTTCCAGGAAGGTGGTGGTGGTGGTGGTGATGATGGCGCTGTTGCTGTTGCTGTATGTACTGCTGTTGCTGGTAATGCTACAGGTGCTTCTGTTGGAATTTGCTACCAGATTTGTTGTTACTGCTGTTGGCACTGTTACTGACACTGTTACTACTGTAGGTGCTGCCATTGGTGCTCTACTGCTGTTGGTACTGCAACTGCTGCTGTTGTTGGTACTGGGTGCTACTGGTGGTGTTCCTGCTGGTTGTTGCTGCTGTTGCTACTGTTACTGTGGCTGGTATTGCTGTTGATGCTACTGCTATTGTTGCTGGTGCTACTGGAGTTGTTGTTGGTACTGTAGTTGAAACTGCTATTGAAACTTATTGTTGGCAATGCTGCCGTTAACATTTTTTAAAAGTAAACAAAAATTATGATACTAAGCTAATGATATTTGTTTCTAGGTCGTTAATTCCAAAAGGAGTGTAGACTATTTTAGAGTCCATTGTTTTAGTGGTAAATATTGGTTTTAATAAGTGAGAATTGGTACAACAGAATATTTATAGAATTGTATAGCTAATTTTTTTTTTAAAGATTTTAATTATTTAAGAGGAAGTCTCTATGGGATATCGACGTCGATGTGTCATATGTATATGAACGACTACATAATGTTAACTGGGTACTCCTTTGTTTCTGTTTGAAATTGGTTACCGGATGCAGTACGACACTTCACTTCCTTTGAGAGGCTACTGCAATTTAGGATACTAATTGATTTGCGCGGTATTTCTGCTGTGTCGAGCTCTTGGAAAGAAAAAATAAATACCCATTTCTTGTGCGGTCGGGAAAGGTACTGCCCAATTGGTTTGAAGATATATTGTACACTTGCAATTATGATGATTGATTGATAAAGATTAAGCCACCCAAGCGGTGGCACGGGCATGAATAGCCCGTAATGTAATTATGAATAGTGCTTGTATATTCAGCAAGTTCAAGGATTTCAATAAAGATGCTGCATGATATCTGGGGTTGTAGTTAATTATTGTTCTAATTACTGATTTGTGTTAAATAGTTATGTATTCCAGCATGAAGACCTCACCCTCAAAGGAACACATCTGTCTTGCAGACAGTTCAACACAGAGCGACAAAAATCATCCTGGAACTTATCAACTCTCATACTAAGAATAGTTGAGTGCCACATGATTAACACTGCAAACCAGACATGACAGGGCTGATCTCATCGAGTCCTTTAAAATAATAAATTGGAGGAGACTAACCCAGACTACTTCTTTAAAAAGTCCAGTATAACACACAAGGAGCAAAAGATTTTGTTTTCACCAATAGAGTTATAAATCCGCCGAACAGCCTACCCGCGGAAGCCGTAAATGCCAAGAATCCGTTTAAAAATGAAACTGAAAAAATATTCAGGAACAATGGATGGATCTCTGGGCTGTGACACGGAGCTGGCTTCCTCTCAGCGTCGAGGCCACTAAGGGTGGTAGCTTTCGGGTAAATTTAGGTAAATTTTAGGTAGTTTTGTGTTGTATAGATTCCTAGGGGCAAGAATGCTATATTCATGCTCATGGGTTGGCAGCCCTGTGAATTTAACAAACCCAGAAAGGCCGATAGTCTGTTATAATACTATTTCTACTTGTAAAAAAGTGTAGCTAGGTTACGTCAATGTGGATGGGAACATTATCGATGTGTAGGTATTAGCTAAATCGCATACGTGTGCAAAACCTCTTTGTCCATGTACCAAACAGAGAAGTCCCATTCGTAATTCACAACCAAACCAATTTTGAGATACAAGAACAACCCTCTAAAGAATGTTTCTACAACAGTCACAAGATATATTCATAAAAGTAATCATCCAAGGTCAATACTACTAGATAATCTACCAAACGAGGATGAATGGCAACCACCAGATCCAGTGCATACTTAGTAAATTATCAACAACGAAGATACAATTATCGAATTCAAACAAATAATCAAACCACTGTTTTTCAGGACAAGCTGTTAGCCAAAACAAACAACACCTTCACCAAACAGCCCGTCTTCCTAAGGTTTGCCAACCTCAAGAAAACGGTCAATTTAAAAATGTCCTCGCCTAACTTACCAGAGGACCCAAAACAGAAAACTGGAAAGTACGCCACTTTCGCCAGTCGCTTCCTTGTTTTAGTACGGAAATTTTTGGCCTTATGTAACGCATACGAGCGAAAATAGACGTTCTTTGTAAGAGAATAGGTTCCAGCAAGTTCAACACCACCAAGCCTCTGGTGAAGCAACAATAGAGGACTCACCAAGTTAACATTCACACTACACATCAACTTATAATCGACTTGAGAATGGTCCAGGACGGACCGAAACGTCGTCGTCCCTTCACCTTCTAGTGTGTGGTCTGGTCAACATCAACTCATATGCCACTGTATCAAAACCACCCACAGAGCCAAAGTGATTGGGCCTGACTACCCCATTTTTACCTTATACCCTCCAATCTTTGTTCAAGATTTGCTGTATCATTATCCTACATCTTCCATTACCAGCTCAATGGCTTCCTGTTCCCGTCGAGGTCACTCCATCAAACCAATTATAATTATCAAAATCAAAATCAAACCAATTAATAATTAACCGAATTATTTTAAGTTATGGCCGAAACGCTTTGCATATTAGTGGCTTTCTTAAATGTATATACTCTAACAATTAATTAACCACTATCATATTCTTCTGTATATGTTTTAATAAAAATTATTATTTGTTATTTTAAGCGGTTGCCAATTTTAAGTGTGATACTTGTGGCCTGGGAATGGGGGAACCCTCAATATAAGTCTAACATGTACTGTATGTATATACTGGCTGCCTGTCCCCCGACACAATGAATTATTATAGACCGCGAGGTCGTAACTTTATTTGAGTTACTCTAAAACCTTCAGGTGCTGAAAACCCGTTTTCTTTTGCACCGCATATGTAAGTTGGTTAGCCCTGAAGAGACTAGACTTGTGGTTCGTCCTCGAATGATTTAAGAGACTAACTCGTTCTTGAACCTATTAATGTTGATATAATAATATACATTAAACTGTGTAACAAGCTGTAACTTGCTAAGCTAAATGAATTTTGGCGTTCACTCCCTGAGCCTATTAAATCCTCCTCTAACCTTATTCACAATGCTTATTATGCTTTATGTATGGGGTTTATACCCATACATAAAGCATAAAGAGGTATGGGGTACATAATAAACCTTGCATCGAGATGTTGCTATAATAAACATGCTCACAGGATGCGCACAATAATCAAACTGCTGCCCACAGAATGGTATATCAATAATAAAAAAAACATTTCGCCTACCCTCCGAAGCTGTAAATGCCAAAACAATGTTGTAAATTAAAGATCAAGCTGGAGAAAATCAAGACAAATGAGGGGGGGGCCTTTGACAAGCCGCCGGCTTCCTGTCCTCATCGAGGCCACTAGATAGACAATGGCCCTAAGGTAAACAATAATGATTGATGGAGTCAAGTCTATCTCCTATGAATCTCGTCCCATATTGGCCTCAAAATGAGAATAGGAAATGTATATATTTATCTCTCAGAATGTTTGGTAATATGTTTATTGTTTGTGATGTGTGTGTATGTATATATTAACACGATGTACTGAACGGGGTGAGAATAGCTTGAGCTACCTCATCCATTTGTGTGTATTTTACCTCAATAAACTTATTTCAATTTCAATTTTAAAATGAGATAATATAAACGATTATTTAGCTAAAGCAAATTCTCTTTTTTTTCTGAAATGGGGCTTTGATTACTATATTTGATTGCCCGACGACAGTAATCTACCGAAAACTGCAACAAAATTGAGTAGACCTGAGACAAAGTGAAATCGGCACACATATAGTTATGCCATCTATCATCGTACTATAATGCAAGTAGAGCCACATACTGGGTCATCCATGAAGGTCAACAGACTTGTAGATGTTACTATTGCTAGTAACTAGTGCTAGGCTCGAACTTGGCTACAAGTACCCCTCCTGCACGGAGTTTACACCACCTACACCAATGGATCTCACTAAATATATATACCCGGTCAGAAGAACTATTCCCATACCTCATGTTATTTATTTATTTATATACAAGAAGGTACATTGGGTTTGTGAGAATACATAGCATAGTATTTACAATTTTGTAAAGCCACTAGTACGCGCAGCGTTTCGGGCAGGTCCTTAATCTATGAGATAATTTTAAGTAGGTAAATTCTAGCAGAATTAATAAAATATTAACAGATACATTGCAAAAAAAATGAGATGAGAGAGATTAGCAAGTCATTGTCATTGTATATCATGTCATTGTATGTCATCGAATGCGAAAAAAATCAGAATTTACAGATAATTATGATACAAATGTTCAAGAAAAGTGTATCATAAGTATTTAATTAAAAACGAGGTACTACCAGAAATTTTATGGGTAGTGCATATATATGTACACGATTGTAAACTTTCCGATTAGAAAATTAACAATAATATAATGCATAGTAACGGGGGGACAGGCAGACAGTGTATATATACATATTAGGCTTATATCGAGGTAACCCCCCACCCCCAAGTCTAATTACTAACCCTTCCCAAAACAAGCAAACTCCTGGGTACCTAATTACTGCTAGGTGGACAGCGGCATGAGGTGAAAGGAAACGCGCCCAACCATTTCTGCGACGCCCGGGATTCGAACCAGGAATTCTCAATTGTGCGTCGAGAACGAACCCGGCTGTACTACCGGAACCAGGGACTAAATGAATAAAATAAATAATTCCAATAATAGGTGTATAGCATTATATAAAGTCAAGCACCGTTGGGGCTGACCAGTAACTGGATGGGTGCCCTCTGTTTCCAGTCCCCCCCAATAATAATAAACCAGTATACACCCGCGAGAGTATACCTGTAAGAGAATATATTTAAGCCAGCAGGTTCCCACGAGTGAGTATAACCAACATGGCTCCCGGTATAACAGGTGTCGACCCGGGGAGCCTGGCGGGATTACTGCCCCAGCACGCACACCTTTGTACACTCGAGTTAACAGTCGTGACGGGACTTGAGGAGGCAAGTTTACCTGTGATGTGAGAGCATGGCTGGTGCTGGTGAGAGGTGAGAGAGAGGAGAGGAGAGAGGGAGAGTGTGGCGACACACAGCTGGTCCTGGCTGCCCTCAGGGTGCTCCTGTTGGGGTCGCTTACCCTCCCAATACGGCTCGCCCATTCCCGCCATAATTGACCCCTTAACTGCTCAATTACACCTAACTCATTCTAGCACAGATTGATGAAGATTAAGCCACCCAAAAGGTGGCACGGGCATGAATAGCCCGTAAATCCTAGCACAGTCCAGTCCTTACATATATATCCAAATCCAGCCTAACCCATCCCATCCTATTCAGTATTCTTTGCCCCATTATTTATGGGGCAATTATTTTAATGATAATTGTAATAATAAATAATTATTTATGCCTATAAATGATTGTAACCTAAATTATTCAAACTTTTGCCCAAAATGCTTTGTATATTAGTGGCTTCATTTAATGTGCAACCCATGTACCTTCAAATATACAGTACCTCATACTATATTACTGCATTAATTTTTTTCCACTGGTTTTGCTTATTAATTATCATTGTAAAAGATGTAAATTTTGTATATATATAAAATCTGTGCAACCACGTTAAAATACAGTATCGTGCACTTCACATATTCGTAACGTATGTTATGAGTTAACTGGAGCATATCTGGAGAGGGTTTCGGGAGTTCTTTTACTCCGTGAGCCCGGCCTGAGGCCAGGCTAGGTTTTGGTTTTTCATTATAAGGAACAGGAAGATGTCTTAGGGTCTTAGTAGTACACTTCAGTTCGTTCTCGATTCACAATCAGGAATTCTGAGTTTCAGGATTTTTTCACGTTGAATTTTAAACAATTTTGCCTTAGTATTTACAGCATCAGCAGGTAGGAGATTGTATGGGTTTATAACCATATGGGTGAGAAAGCATCTCCTATTTTCTGTCGTGCATTGTGGCTTCTTGAGCTTGAAGCAGTTGTCCCTTGTGTGCATTACATTGGGTCTTTTGAGTTAGGCTTGGTTGGGTTTTTGCTACATACGGTAGTCTCCCTGGCTTGGTGCCTTCTTTTGATAATTACTTGCTGTTGTTATTTAAGATTCGCTACCTGGAACAAAACGCCCGAAAAATGCCCGAAACGCTTTGCGTAATAGTGGCTTTAGGCATTGTATGTACTAGCTCTACCTATAAGTCAACCAATCTTTGTAAAAATTTATTGTATGTATGTACCTTACCTAAATAAACATTTTATTTTATTTTTTTTTTTTTAAAAGTTCCAAGTAGCACGGGCTATGGTGAGCCCGTAGTTGACTTATTACTTGCTAGGTTGGGTTTGGTTAGATTAGGTCGAGTTGAGTTTTGGTAGGTTGGGTAGGGTTGGATTAAGATAGGATAGGGTAGGTTATATAGGGTTAGAATAGGATAGGTTTTTATGCAAATTATACCCACCATTAGATAAAAAAAATACAGTAAACTTTTACCAAAATATTCATATTAATATGGTACAGTACTATGAGGATAACATAAACATCACTAAAGACTATTGGCACGTTTAAATACAGTGGATCACATTTGGTATACAGTATCTTTATATAAATAAATTACAGTACTGTACTCTAAAAGTAAGCAAAGCTAGTTATAAAGTACACACTGAAGAAGAGAGAATGTGGCTCAATGCTCATGAATACTCTGAATAATTTTAATGACTGAAGGACTCTGCTAAAAATAAAAAATAAAAACTGTAATGGCCAGCATTAGCAACATTGGGCAAAATGGTCATTGTATATTATTTGTAAATACAGTAAAGATACCAGAATAAAGAGCAATTTTATTATTTCAACAATTTTGTTTGTGCACCTTATATTTTAGTGAACTTCTTGGCAAGAAAAGCTTTGCAGTTAACTGCATTATTCACACCCGTTTTATATGACTTTTGTTTTTCTCGGAATAGGTTGCTGCAGAGGAATGCAAGGAGAAATTGGGAGTTAATTGCGTCATAGCGAGAGGCAGAGTGTTTATTGACATAGACATCACACAAGTGGCTGAAGTAAGTTAACTAAGTTTGATGATGTTTTAAAACTGTTAGATTAAATAACAAATATATACAGTACAGTATAATGAAGGAAAGTGTATCCCATACCTTTTGTAAAGGAATGAAGTGCTGATTTGCTCCTTTATAAAGGTACAGTATAGTAGAGACAAGATTTTTATTTTTATTTATTTATTTATTTATTTATATACTGTATACAAAAGTTCATACATTCTTGTCCAGCTACTAGCATGCATAGTGATTCTGGGAAGTCTTTAATCCTAATTTTCACACACACACATCCCCAGGAAGCAGCCTGTAGCTGTAACTCTCTGGTACTTATTTACTGCTAGACTTATACAAGTTGTTTAATATAATAATGCAAGGCTAACATAGTCTGGTTTAGGTGTGCTCTCATCACATGTAGTATTATATTTACCATGTAGCATATCTTACACAAAATCAATTCATCATTTTAAGAAACAAAATTTGCTCTCTTTTTTTATAGTTTCTCATTTTTCCATTTACAGGTGTTTAAGCTCAGGTCCATTGATAATGTCAATGTTATACTACAGATGGTCAGTAACTTCTCCTTCCCAGAAAATAGGGTAAGTAATATACATCGTAAAAGTACTGTAGGCTAATTAACAAGAGACCATTTTCATAGTTGTAAAGTAATATAAAAACAAAATATTGTGACATTGAGCGTAACTATAATATGAGAAAAGATAGATCACTCTTTCTCAAATTCCTCCAACCACTTGGACTGGACGGTAGTGCGACGGTTTCACTTCATGCAGGTCGGCGTTCAATCCCCGACAGTCTTAAGTGGTGGTTGGGTACCTTTCCTTACCCCTGTCTCATCCTTAATCTTTATCCTGACCCCTTCCAAGTGCTATATAGTTGTAATGGCTTGGCATTTTCCATTTTCTCCTCATAGTTCCTTCCTTCAATCTCAAATTCAATGGTAATTGCTGCTAGAACATGGATTTGGCAGTTATTACCACAATATCTCTTGGAATTATTCAGAAATTCCATTTTTTGTCCGTGATGGCCCAAGTGGTTAGCCATCGCTTCTTCACTCGGTTCCCTGTCTCGGTTCTTATCCTATGCTCAGATCCCTTCCATGTGTTATATAATCACACTGGCTTAGTGCTTTCTCTTAATTTCCTTCCTTCCCTTCCCTTCCATTTTCTGTACATCATTAATGCCTGAGTAAATCTGTGAGCTTCCGTTAGAATGAATGAGTAGCATCTGATGGGTGTTAGGCTATATTCTACCAGCTGTACAACTGCTTCCCCCATTGTATTGTAAATTAAGCAATCTTGATTGGTGATATATTTATAATATTGTAATGTTTAACATGCACATCACCGATACATCTTTTTGATAGTGGGTAAAGTCCGTATCCAAATTTTTCAGGAGCAGTGTTTGGAGAGACTTTTTAAATTTGCTGAGGAACCTGACTGGAAGAAAGGCATGCATGTGTGGAAAAATGTTTTTAATTACTCTGAGGACCCCATTCAAGAGATCAGGGCCCTGAAGGATGAATATTGTAAACCCCGTCCAGATATTGATCTGAAACGGATGAAATTAACTTCAGAAATTATTGATAACCTCCCAGAAAATATTTTGCCACAACATTTAAAATCAAAGCAAGAGCCTACAACAGAAGTAACAAATGACATTGATTCCTCAGTTACAGGTATATTGATTAAATTATTAAAAAAAAATTTGGTTGCATGGGGAATAGGGGGAGGGGGGGGGTTGTCACAGATGGCTAAAGACTGGCAATCTTAATCTAAGTATTTTTGTGATGTCAACTGTGAATGGATGAATGTCTAGCATAGTTACTACATACAATCTATCGAAGATGGCAACATTGGCATGCAAAGGAGGTTTCTTTTGGAGGAATTAGGATTCTAAATATATTTACTAAGGGTGGCTCAGGCTGTTATCTGAGCCACCTGTTGAGCATAGTAGTTACCAAACCCTACCTGATAGGGTTTGGTAAAATAAATAGCTCATAATAGAATAATGCATCAATTGAGTTGTAAAGCAGAATTCATTGTCATATATCGTGTGAAGCTGCAATAAGTGAATACTTTTGGAGACACCGGAAAAACTCTTCCTGCAGGCAGAAATGAAATCATTCAAATCTGTCCGCCCCATTGCATCATTACTTATTCCTTCTATAATATTGTCCCAAAAGAATGATCTATTAACACACTAAATATGATAATTATGTATCTTCTTGTTTAGATGTTATGAAGTATTTTATGTAGTATAGAGAGCTTGTAAATGTTAACTGGGGTTGAAGTAGGCTACTTAATAAAACACAAGAGTTCAATGAGAACAGGGTAATGTTGACTATTTGAAAAATGTAAATATAGAGATGTTTCACTACCATTGTAGTAGTACTGCTGTTATATGGACGTGGTCAAGAAATACAAATTAATATAAGAATACTGGTATTAATATTTATAGTTACAAGTTCAGCTTATTGACCAACAGTATGGCACAGCTATATCTTCATTATACTACAGTATTATCATATACAGTAATGTCAACCAAGATGTAATCCTATACTGTAATGTTGTTTAATCATTTATCCATTGTACCAGGATTCAACCTCAATGAGTTCAGGTTAGATTTTTGTAGAATATAAATGTGACACATAAATGGGACGCGTAACAAAAAAGACGACCATTCATCCACGTATATTATATTTGGTGTTCTACTTGAATCCACAGAAATGGTCACAGAAAGTGAAGATTCCTCTGACAAACAAGAAGTTCGAACTTCAGGTCCAAAGTTTAGAATATCTTGTAGCAGGTAATTCCATCTGTTTATTTTTGTCTTTAAAGAGGAACATTTATTGAAAACTTGGAAGGCATTGAATGTACAGTATTGGGAAGGGCTACATTGAGTGAAAAAATATATGTCCATATGGAGGAGTGTACAAAGCTATAAATTGACATGCCTGTAGTAGATTCCATTGTCCACCATGCTGGATATTGGGAATATTGTATTGTACGCAGATAAACACACATTAAACTAATACAACAATTAGCATCTACATATGAATATAACCGTGAGAGTAAAGCCTTCAAGAAGCTTTATATAAACATGTACTATTCTTATAAACATGTACTATTCTAGCCTGTAGCAATCCTCTGTACTGTGCGTGCTCTTGTGCTACGATGATGATTTTCTACAAATCGCACAACCCCTGTGTATTTCACTCCTGTATATGAATTTCCCCAGTAACCTATCATCATTCCCACATACATAAACTATCCTTATGTCTTTCTAGCCGTTCATCTGTGCTTCAGTTTATATGTTTGTCTGTCAACAATATCCAACTTGTTTCATATATTAATTATTTCTCTCCATTTGATAATAACTCGTTGAAAAGATCATGCAGTAATAAGTATGTTACAATGTAATTGTATTGTCACATCCATGATAACGTTTTTTCTTTTCATGATCCTTCCTGGGGATTCTATCACCTCTCATTATCCTTCCTAGAGACCCTGTCACCTCTCATGATCCTTCCTAGGGATTCCTACATCCTCTGAATATGCTAACCAACTACACCTCAATGTGTTCATCACCTGCCCTCCACGTGTGAATCTTACAGACACTTCAATAATTACTGAAAGACGTCATAAAAGTGTTGCTAAATAGATATCATTTATCTTTCAAGAACCGGCTTGAAACACAACTTTGGGAGCTCAGAGGCTGCTCGGCAGTTTGGTGGTGCTGTTAATGAGATCTTTGGCTGGCCAGTGGATCTTTCCAATTTTGAGCTTGAGATTCTACTTTACATTGATACAGGTATGATGATTTTGTTTTTGAATGATTATGAAGGTAAAACAAAATACTGTACAGTATTTGGTAACCCTGTCCCAATGGACATCCCCTTGAAATTCAGGGAAATATATAGGAAAAATAGTGAAATTGGTCAAGATCAAATATGGTAAGCATTGTTTTATATTTGATTGTATATTAGGTAGAACAAGTTAGCCTTTTTAAGAACCAAAAGGGTAAAGGAATAACAAACAGGAAAACTGTACAGAAAACATAATAATACCGAATACAAAAGTTTTGTATAGCAATTCAGGTTATAATATTCAGTCATCTTCACAACTGGAGATATCTTTATGTATAGTGCCATCAGCACTTATCATAATCATCACTACAGCATGCAGGATTGTCAGGGTCTTCAAAGAGCATATCGCATTCAGCATCACTTATGACATTACTTATGTCGCATTTCTTGAATGATTTCAGTGGTTGAATGATTGAATACAGTAAATTTTTGACTCCTTGGTAAATTTAAACAATACTCGATTGCTCGAGTCGTCCTGTTGGGTTTCAAATCATGGTCTGAAATTGCCGTCTATCTGTCCCACTTTCCTTGCATTAACCCCTTAAAGGATTCATTTATTAATACATCAAGATGTTGCATTTGACAAGTGAGATTATTATATTTTACAATTTGCCATCCTTTCTGTGCTCATATCTTCCAAGAGCCAATGGCACTGGCACCACAGGGCCACTGCCAAACATTCCTCATCTACAAGAGGTCATACATTAAAACTATGGAAACAAAGTTGCTAAAAAAGATATTAGAAAGTGCACTTTTGTACACAAAGTTGTAGAAAGGTGGCACAAGCTGAGTGAGAATTCAATGTTATGAATTGACAAACAATGAATTCAGTTATCTTGTTAGATTTCAAGTTATTCTGGAGATTGTGGGAAACGAATTAAATATTGTTTATAAGTTTGATTCTTGTATATTTTTGTTTATAATGTTAAAGCCAGTGATTTAACTTAATATAAATATCTTTTGAGTTTGTCACAAGTTTTTCTATATACATAATGGTGTAATACATCATTTCTAGTACAATGTTGCACATTAACTTTAGTCTTGGCCAAAATACAGGATATTGGCTACTGTGAGTTCCATAGTTATAATAATAGTGTGACATACTGTACTGTCAAAATGTATAATTGTTAACCCCATATTTATAGAACAAATCTTGTATATTTGGTAATTTTTAATGAAAACATAAGACTTGTAGATGAAAATTTTTTTGGACAAATATTAGTGCATCATATTCTCTATAAATTGCATTTTGATTACCAATCAGATCTTGTATTTTTTATCATCTACCTAACCTGTATTATATGAGTCATCACTGTTTATGTACATGTAATGGGTTAATTATTCCTTTATTTCAGAGTTTGTGTATACTGCAATTTGCCTTACCAGAGAACCTCTGTTTAGACGTAATATTACTAGTTTTGGCCGAACTAATCTACGCTCAACTATCTGTTACAATATGATTCGATTAGGAGCACCACAGCCTGGGGACGTGGTGATAGACCCGATGTGTGGAGGAGCAACTATTCCTATGGAAGTAAGAATATATATTGGATTCCACTTAAAAAAAATATATATATATACAAATTCTTGCTTATTGAAGTTATGCATGATGGTTTGTGACATGTTTACAAATTTATAGTAATTTTTTAGCAACATTTCTTAGTTTATTCAGTATTTTAAACTAAAAAAAAATTACTTTCAAATATCCTGTTTAATCTTGAAGGCTTAATAGAATAATTTGTTACATTTATCACAGACCTTGTTGCTTTCTGCAGGGTAACTTTATGCTCTTACTAGCCCGATAATGATAATTTATGGGGGATTATGTCATTTAATGACTGTCATAGCACTAACTGTTCTTATTATTTTACCATTGTCATTCTCAAGCTGGCTCTCTGCTTTTCTCCTTACCCTAATGAACTGTACTTGTCTGGTTTCCCTTAGTTCATCCTTGGTTTTTCTCAGTACTTTGTCCATGCCTCCTCATTTTCATAGTTGATTTTCCTGCGTCATGTGTTGAATCAGAATGATCTGCTCAGAAATGCACTTTTCATAAACTCAGTGCTGATTTTTTCAAGTACTGTACTTGTTTACATTATTTCATCTTAAATATTTTTCAAATGTAGATTTTTCTCACACATTCTGTATATTGTGATACTTTTTGCTTCATTATAATGGAGTCTGTGTTTTGACAGGGCTCACTCACATACCCCAAAGCATTTCACATTGGAGGAGACAATTATGCACAGGCTGTGAAACGCAGCCGCGAAAATATAGAATATCTACTGAAGAAACAAAAGTCCATGCCAATAGATGTGGCTCAGTGGGATTCAACCAGGCTTCCTTTTAAAAACCAATGTGCTGATGTTATAGTATCTGACTTGCCATTTGGCAAACGCATTGGCAGCAGAGGAGATAATCGTGTTTTATATTACCGTACACTTCTGGAAATGGCCAGAGTAACGAGGACAGAAACTGGTCGTGCAGTGCTGCTCACTCATGACCGTAATAGTATGATGATGGTAAGTGGCACTCTTCCTCTGTTAAAGACTCAACCATTCAAACTAAATAGATATAGACTAGTATGTGTATTATGATGATGTACAGCTATTGCAGGTACTGTATAATGTGAAATATGGAAGTATGCAGATAAATAGTTAAACCATGTTAAATTATTTCTAAATTAATATAAATCATTGTTTTCTTACCTTTCTTATTTCTAGTACTGTAAAATTCTGCCTTGCTGCATATTCTTTTGCTTTTAATAATCAATTTTCTGCATCTCCTTTCAGAATATCAAGAGAGTTCATTCTCTCTGGAAGAGTTCTACGTCGCGAACAATTAATATTGGTGGACTTTCTGCTGTAATTTATATTTTACACCGAACTGCTTTGCTTTCTGACCCAAACCTCAAAACTGAATCAAGTACTCGTAAACATCTCCATAAACAAGGTGATAAGGTGCCTTTGTTAGATTAGTCTATTTGTTTAACAAAGTAGTAAATTATTTCTGGAATGTACCTTACCATTATCATTTTTTGATAATAAATTTGAGATTTTAAATTTATTTCCTTTCTACCCCAAATATTTCTTGCAAAGATCGCATGATATTATAGAATGTTTTTGACATTTTCTTGTCAAGACAGTGGGTGGTATTATTTCCATTCTTATGCTAATCTTAAATCTTTTAACAATTTCAACTGGTTTTATTAATTTCTAAGATCGTAGCGATACATTCTGATTGATCTTCAAGCGGTACATTAATTATAGGTTCTGGTACATTGCTAGATATCATTCAGGATGGGAATACTAGAGCAGAAATAAATCGTCCATTATTCAGTGCTTCAATTCATCCGAGTGATGTAAATTAAAGTACAGTACAGTACATTATTTTGTTTATGTTTGGGGCCCAAATGCTGTATTGGTTTTGTTTCTTGTTGGGAGCAGGGAGTCTATACTTAACCTTATGGAGGTCCTCTCTGGGCCAACTACTGACCTTCCCCAAGATGCATCCCATAGCAATTGTTTTAACTCTCGGGTACCTATTTACTGCCAGGTGAACAGATGTAGTTGATAACGTATACTACTGGGCTATACATTTTCATGTAACTTAAGTTGATTTTGTGCTTTCCCTTATTTAGTAAGAAGTGAGGTTATCAGGAGAAAGTGCTCAGTCAGTATGACTACATAGCACTTGGAATGGATAGGAGGACAAGGAGTTGGGATATGACGGAGGGAAGGAATGGTGCCTAACCACGTGGACCATCGGGAATTGAACACTGACCTGCAAGTAATGAAACCATCACTGGAAATGTATCTAGTTTTCTGTTTTATCAGTAAATTCCGAGAGGCTGACACAATATGTAACTCATGTGAGTGAAAACAACAGCAGTCTCTGGTGGTGCAGTGGTAACACACTCAGAGGTCATACAGAAAGTTCAAGATAGGTTTTTTAAGGTATGTGGCTCAAATCAGGTTCAAGTGTTGGTTAGAATTGGTTTTGGGTTTAATAAGGGGGTCTTTACCTACCTTATAATAATAGGATAAAAACCCACACTTGTATATTTGTGAAATTTATGGAGAGAAATTACACCAAGTCTTTCACACTCTCCTGAGTGCTTTGTCAAGGTCTGAGTGTGTGGTCAGGACGAGACTTATGTCTCGATGTCTAATCTAACTAATCGACTCAACAACTAATCAGTCATTGAGTACATCTCGACAACTAATCAGTCATAGCGTACATCTCAACGATTAGTCATCGAGATGTGTCTCGTCCTAACCACATACTGTACTCAAACCTTGAGAAAGCACTCAGGCGAGTGTGAAAGACTTGGTGTAATTTATTTACATAAATTTAACAAATACACAAGTGTGGGGCTTTATCCTATGTTATTATGTCTGTGAAGACATTACCATTACTTAATAATAATAATAATAATACAGTGGCGCCTCAATTAACGAATTTAATCCGTTCCGGCACTGAGCTCGTCATGTGAAATGCTCGTCTTGCGAAACAACAACAACTCTGTTGTCGGAAATGTCCGAGAACCAGTGGGAACGCTAGGAAGCACCATGTGCTTTGCTCGTTAATCGAGACAAATTTTCTGCGAGTGACTCGCTTGTTACTCGAAATGCTCGTAACTGGAGTCACTCGTCACTCGAGGTTCCACTGTAATAATAATTTTTTTTCAAAGGAATGTGTGTACAAAGAACATAAGAATAAGGACAATTGTAGGTACAAAGGTTACACATGCAAATGAAGCCACAATTATGCAAAGAGTTTTGGACAAAACTTTGACTAATTTAGAGAAAATTGTATAAAAGTGCAAAGAAGTAAACTACAATGCCAAAAGAGAAATAAGCTGACATACGTGTCCAAAGCTAGGCACAAATACAACAAAATTATTCAAAAATTTTGAAAATTAGAAAATTAACTTAAATTTTGAAATACAGCTGAAAAAATTATCAGGGCAAATGGGAGGACTTTTGACAAGCCATTGGCTTCCTGTCCTCGTCAAGGCCACTAGTGTGTTAGTGGCCCTAATATTACTATTAATTATTATTATCATTAATAGCTTATTATTATTAATTATTATTATTATTAATATTAGTGCAGTACTGTATTATCATTATTACTATTTATTATTCTTACTAATTGTTTATTATTTATTATTATTATTATTATTATGTACCCCCTAGACATGAGCTGTGGGAGCCTTGTAAACATAGACATTTTTATATTTTTTACAGGTAGGTACAGGTATAGACGTGATAGTAATGAAACAAAGAAATAAAAATAAAATACTGTACATTTCATATACAAGGTGGGTTAGGCCCGTAAGGCTGATCAATAACGACAATTAGGTGTTTATCTAATTATCTATCTTATCTAATTATATCTTATCTACTATCCCCTCTACTACACCTTACTGTTCATACCTTTTGCCTTGCTCCTCACCTCTCTCTTGCTTATTTATTGTCTGTATCACCTCCCTCATTACAATCGACTTGAGAATGATCCAGGATGGACAGAAACGTCGTCGTCCCTTCACCTTCTAGTGTGTGGTCTGGTCAAACAATTAGGTGTTATCATTAACATTAAAAATATGAATAGGAAGAGGAGGTCCAGTGTACATTGATATTTCTCCAACAACACTGTTCCGAAAACAAAGGGATATGTGTCAGCCAGATGTACCTGTAGCTGATCGTCAAGGCAAGTGATGCCCCCAATATAAAGCCGGAGTGTTTTGGGTGGGGTCTTTTCTATACCAATACTCTACAAAAACTTCTATTACACCATGGTGGCTGAAGTGCCTGTGTCGACCAGTACTTTATTCGTGCTGTGTTGAGGCCAGCAAGTCTATCCTCAGATGACACTTTTGCACAGACCAGTCCAAACCCTTTATACTAAAATCACCTCAGTGGCTTAAAGTAGAGGGACTTATCCTGTTGAAACTATTGCACTGCATGGTACTCTTGTCATTTGTGGAAAACTATAAAAAAATACGGGGATCAGGTTGGGGTCGTAGAAAAGGTCCATTTCTGGAGGGAAAATTTCGACGTTGGCAAGGAATGATTTGAGCATTTTCCACTATTCTGAGACTAAGGGGTTTAGACTGGCCCAAGAAATCCTCTGTAGTGCAGAGGCTTCCAGATATATTCTTATCTAATTAGTTCTTGTGCTTTTCGGTCCTCTATGCTATTGGCTAACATCCCGGTATCAACAAACATGGTGCAGGGTTAAGGAAGCCCTCCATTTAAAAAGGCAGGTTACATTATCTGGCTGGTCACTCTCAAATCTCATCTATATATTTCCATTGATTAGCCACAGCAGCTGTATTCTGCTCATGGATTGCCCACGCATCTATTCATCTACCAACACTACTGGTTTAATTGCAATGAGATTACTTACCTCCATCTAGTTATTCAAATCTTATTATTATTTCAAGAGGTAAACATGACAACCAAATATTCAGCTTTTCATTTCATTCATAAATGATTCTGTGCCTGCCCCTTACAACTACACGTCTACACTACCATCCCAATGCCTATCTTTTCCAGCACCCGTAAATGCTGGGATTATCGAAGCATGCTATAATTTACATATTTTGTCTGACGACTGCATCAAGAATAAATGTATACTTTACACTTAATATAAAAATAATTTATTTTCCTGTCATTCAACATGTGAGTATGTCAATAATGATATACAGTCATAGAGAATACAAATAGGATGTCATAAAATAATGTTGTATACTAGTACTTTGAAAAAAAATAAAACCAAATATAGTTTACAAAGCATGACAATTAACATACGTAGGTTCCTTTAGCATATGACACAGTAAATAGAATATGTCTAACATTAATCATTTCTGGTACAGTAATTGTATGACCAGTGATTACATTTCACTACAGATTATAACTGTAATTTGTTATGAAATGTCTACAATAATGCTGTATCTACATTAAAAATACAAAAAAGATTTTATTTCACACCACAATACAGGACACTGTTCTGGTGTCTCTTAGAAAAAGAATGACTAGAAATAAATATGACCTTTGATTATTACTGAGTGAACATAATGAACTAAAACAAGAACATTTTTCTTATAGCATGAGACATCTATTCCTGAATATATCTAATTAAGAGTTATAGGTTAATTACTGATGTAGATGCAAGGATAACCGGTCATGAGAAAAGATAACAGTCTGGGGTGAAGGTATTATTGATGTAGCAAACAAGGCTCCACAATTTGGCCAAATGAGAAGTCACACTCTTGATTCTGAATATTACTTTCAAAATAAATAAATAAATATATATATATATATATATATATATATATATATATATATATATATATATATATATATATATATATATATATATATATATATATATATATATATATATAATATATATATATTATTAAATATGACCGAAAAAGTAAGATTAATAATTCTAACACGAATTTCCTCTATCTTTCTTACGTTTCTTTTCACTGTTGATGGTAATTCAAAGATCAATTCTCCAAAATTCATTTTTATTTTTATTTAATTACTATTAATTTTGGAGAATTGATCTTTGAATTACCATCAACAGTGAAAAGAAACGTAAGAAAGATAGAGAAAATTCGTGTTAGAATTATTAATATTACTTTTTCGGTCATATTTAATAATATATGTCTACAGGAAAGACTGCTACCAAAAATAAATAAATAATATATATATATATATATATATATATATATATATATATATATATATATATATATATATATATATATATATATATATATATATATGCATCTTAAATAAATTTCATTTCTTAATTGAAAATGCAACATTTTCTCCTTTTAGTTTAACTAGCATAAAATATATATAAAAAGAACTAAAAAGAAGCTATTTGATATCAACACAGTATTTGCAATGCTCTCATTTTCAAGAATACCATTTAAAATATTATAATTAATGATTTAGTAGGTAACAGCTGGTCTAAGCCAAGTAAAATAGCTAGATATTTAAGCCAAATATTAAACCTTAATGGAGTATTAAAGTAAATGAATGCAAACTATTTTCAAATATTAATTAACTAAACTTGATTATATTTAGTCAAATTACCTATGTGATGTATTCAAGCTCCTATCAGAGTTACTGGCCATCTTTGATCAAATACTAAGTGTTTTAATGTCACAAAAATTAAAAAAAATAATGCATAAATAAAACTTTAATATATAAAATCCTCTATATAATAATCCATTACTAAGCCAAACTGCTCATATTAACAGTTTAGAGTGAGCAATAACATTTGTCCTAGTATAAGCACCACCTAATACAAAAATAAGTAATTAAAAAGATTACCTAATTGTGATTAATTTTAATGAGTCATTATCGGTCAAATTTAATATACTGTACATGTACGGCTGTACTCAACAATTAATTCCGAGATGATCATATCTTAGGGGAATTTCCTGACTTAGTTCACCTAGTTCTGAACTTGTTGAGGAAGTACTATCCATCTCTTCCGTGTTTGTTTTCCAGGACACTCCTGGTTCCTGACAAAGTTCATAACTCCTCATACTTAATTCTTTGCTGGCTTCCTCGTCAAAGAAACTGGAAGTAGAGGTAAATGATCTATCACTTTCTGAGCATTTTTTAACAAGGTACCTGGGTGATTCTGTGTCGTTCTGATTCTCATTTATTGGCGAGTTGGTACGATACATAAATGCAGGCGTCATACAGCCACATAAAGTTTGTGTAACTTTTGGTGATGCCGGTAAACATGAACTATCCCTCGGTGATACACCCGCAGGAATGCCAAGTGTCCGTAAATAACTACTGTACAGTACATCAGGCTGATCAGGTTGACTTTCTGGTACAATATCAATGTACTCTTGATGTTGAGTTGTGCTGCTCAAACCTTCATTCCTCATATGTCCTCCAGATTTAAAGAATTTGTTACAGGCTTCCAAGCAAACACACTTTTCATGTCTATTCTCGCGCGCTATTTCTTTAAAATTATGCCGCGTTTTTTTTATCTTTGATTCAGTAGCAATGTCATTATCTTGTAAGTCTATTTTATAGAGGTTTCTTTGAACAGTATATCCTTTATGTTTGCTTTCTTCAAAGTCACACTGAAGATTGCATTGCTTATGACAACATGCCTCGGGGATATCAAAATCGTTGCGCTTATGTCTAATGGTTTTGTGGCCTTTTACATTATACCATTCATCTTCACTATCACCAAAGTTTTCATCTTCACCATCAGCATCATAGAAAGACATATCACACTTACAATCTGGCTTTTTATCACCATCTTCGCTATCACCCGATTCCTCATTATCACTTATTCTTTTTAAGTTCCATATGTTACTAGCTTCTTTTCCTCTCTTAATGACACAATCGCCACATTCTTCACAGTCCCCATCTCTATCATCCTGTTTTCCGACATCTCTTCGTCTTTCAAAGTCGATTTTGCCGCGTTCTACGACACCTCTGTCATCCCCTTGCCCTTTGTATACATTGCTGCAGTTTACTTCATATTCTCTATCTTTACCAAAATATCTTTCACGTTCACACTCACAGCCACTGTGTTTGTTATCTATATATTTGCACCGATCCTCATACTCGACACTATTCTTATCGCCCTGCTTTTTATATTCCCAACTATTATTATCTTTTTCCTTATGCTCAAAACTATTATTTACATGTTCTTCATATTCATTGTCACTTTGTTCATTATAATCATCATTATGTTTATTACTGCATTCATTATCACTATTTTTATTATTTGATTCTGCACTATAACTAGCTTCAATAATGGGTTCTATAATATCAACAGCGTCATTAATAAATTCTTTATCATCAATTTCATTACTGGAATCTTTATAATCATCTTTATTTCTAGGTTTTTCATAATCACCATCTTCATTACTGGGTTCTTCACAATCACCATCTTCATTACTGGGTTCTTCAGAATCACCATCTTCATTACTGGGTTCTTCACAATCACCATCTTCATTACTGGGTTCTTCACAATCACCATCTTCATTACTGGGTTCTTCGTTATCACCATCTTCATTACTGGGTTCTTTGTAATCATAATCTATATTTCTGAGTTCTTCACAATCACCATCTTCATTACTAGATTCTTCACAATCACCATCAATATTACAGGGTTCTTCATAATCACCATCTTCATTACTGGGTTTTTCACCATCTTCATTACAGGGTTCTTCACAATCACTATCTTCATTACTGGGTTCTTCACAATCACCATCTTCATTACTGGGTTCTTCACCATCTTCATTACTGGGTTCTTCACCGTCTTCATTACAGAGTTCCTCACAATCACCATTTTCATTACTGGGTTCTTCACCATCTTCATTACAGGGTTCTTCACAATCACCATCTTCATTACTGGGTTCTTCACAATCACCATCTTCATTACTGGGTTCTTCACCATCTTCATTACAGAGTTCTTCACAATCACCATCTTCATTACTGGGTTCTTCACCATCTTCATTACAGAGTTCTTCACAATCACCATCTTCATTACAGAGTTCTTCACAATCACCATCTTCATTACTGGGTTCTTCACCGTCTTCATTACTGAATTCTTCACCATCATCATTACTGAATTCTTCACCATCTTCATTGCTGGGTTCTTCACCATACTCAATACTGGGTTCTTCACCATCTTCATTACTGGGTTCTTCACAATCACCATCTTCATTACTGAATTCTTCACCATCTTCATTACTGGGTTCTTCACCATCTTCATTACTGGGTTCTTCACCATCCTCATTACTGAGTTCTTCACCATCTTCATTACCGGGTTCTTCACCATCTTCATTACTGGGTTCTTCACCATCTTCATTACTGGGTTCTTCACCATCTTCATTACTGGGTTCTTCACCATCTTCATTACTGAGTTCTTCACCATCTTCATTACCGGGTTCTTCACCATCTTCATTACTGGGTTCTTCATAATCACCATCTTCATTACTGGGTTCTTCACCATCTTCATTACTGGGTTCTTCACCATCTTCATTACTGGGTTCTTCACCGTCTTCATTACCGGGTTCTTCACCATCTTCATTACTGGGTTCTTCACCATCTTCATTACTGGGTTCTTCACAATCACCATCTTCATTACTGAGTTCTTCACCATCTTCATTACCGGGTTCTTCACCATCTTCATTACTGGGTTCTTCACCATCTTCATTACTGGGTTCTTCATAATCACCATCTTCATTACTGGGTTCTTCACCATCTTCATTACTGGGTTCTTCACCATCTTCATTACTGGGTTCTTCATAATCACCATCTTCATTACTGGGTTCTTCACAATCGCCACCTTCATTACTGGGTTCTTCACCATCTTTGTTACTGGGTTCTTCACAATCACCATCTTCATTACTGGGTTCTTTACAATCACCATCTTCATTACTGGGTTCTTCACAATCACCATCTTCATTACCAGGTTCTTCACAATCATCATCTTCATTACTAGGTTCTTCACCATCTTCATTTCCGGGTTCTTCACAATCACCGTCTTCATTACTGGGTTCTTCACCATCTTCATTACTGGGTTCTTCACCATCTTCATTACTGGGTTCTTCACCATCTTCATTACTGGGTTCTTCACCATCTTCATTACTGGGTTCTTCACCATCTTCATTACTGGGTTCTTCACCATCTTCATTACTGGGTTCTTCACCGTCTTCATTACTGGGTTCTTCACCATCTTCATTACTGGGTTCTTCACCATCTTCGTTACTGGGTTCTTCACAATCGCCATCTTTATTACTGGGTTCTTCACCGTCTTCAATACCGGGTTCTTCACACTCACCATCTTTATTACTTGGCTCTTCTTTGTTGCCATCTTTATTATTGGGCTCTTCATTGTCTTCAACTTCATTACTAGGGTCTTCATAATGACAGTCTTTATTTTGTAGTGCATCATAATCATCTTTATTGCTAGGTTCTGTATAATCACCATCTTCATTATTTGCTTCTTCATTTCTTCTGTTTGTATTAGCACTATCCTCATTACTAGTTTCTGTATCACAGAACTCCTTATTTTGCTCATTTGTATTGCTCGCTTCATCATTACCACCACCTACGAAATTTGGCTCTTTATTAGGTTTTTCGTAATTATCTTGTTTGTTAGATTGATAATTATTATCATTATCATCTTGACGTTTGTACTCACCATCTTGATTACTGGGTTCATTATTATTATACTGATCTTCATATTCACTCATTTCTCTTACACTTTCACCCTTTTGTTCATCTCTGTTACTGCCTCGTTGAACAAACGTTCCTCGTTCTGAACATACAACACGACCTTTCTGGCTGTGCTCTCGCTTGTCACAGCCATTGTCTGACTCTTCTTCTTCTAATGGACTAATGTCGTGAGCGTTGCATGTACTAGTGTTCCGGTGTCTCTTTAAAGGTGAAGGTTTCTTGACTGGTATTGATGTTTTGACCTTACTAGAATCATATTCACCTGTAAACAACAGAAGTTCGATCAATTTTGTGAAGTGCCAGGGTTGAGCCATAATCTAATATTTCAGTAGTATTTGTTCAAGGCTACTGAATCCATTACAAAAAAGTACAGATTTTTGTGGCAACTCATCAGACCGTCAATCAAAATATACTAATAATATGCTTACTGTTGGCTTGTTAAATGCTTATTACCAATTGAAAGAGGTAATTTTATTCTAGCTCAAGAGCTCATTTTCTATTCGTAACATGTGTAGAAAAATAAGGGAAGGAGTCAAGTCATGATCACAATCCCTGAACGACTACAAGATAAGGCATAAAGTCTTATAAACCACCTTGCAGGATAGAGCAAGATGACCTAGCTGCTATACTAGATATAGAGTCATTAACATTCGCCAACAACTGAATCAGAATTCAATTCCTGCATTGGACAAAGACATTTGGACACATTTCCCTCCATGTGATGAATGGAGGGATGCACCCCAGTAGCTAACAGGTATCCAGGAGTTAGTCAACCGTTGTGGGTTGCATCCTGGGAAAGGTCAGTAATTGGCCTAGGAGGGAACACGATAAGCCTAACAGGCTTCCTGTCATTAACAATGGGAAAGGGGAGAAACAGTGCTACACCTCCATTCCTGTTATCAATCTTTCTGGAGGTGTATTTTGGTAGCTTGATGAATTAATCTTACCGAGATTGCTTTCCCCCTACTAAGGCACATCAGTCATTAGAGTCCTGTATGGCCTACTGGGGACCAGAGCTAGAATCTGGCCCCTCTTCACAGAGGCACAGAGAGCAGCAATGTTTTACCATCATCCACACAGTGAAAAAGATTACAAAAAAGTAAGCAAAGAATACAAACAACTGCAAGAGTCAAAAGAAAATGAAACACTGAAACAGCCAAACGACTCTGCCAATGATTCACTCGAGAGTAGCTCAAACTCCCAAATTATTTTGTAAACAAATTTACACACTTGAGAGGAGACAGTTTTAATAATACAGTAGATGCATTTTGAAGGTTAAGTTTAATTCATACATTTGATTTTGATCTATTTTACAGGAACATAACCGCTACACAAATTGCAGGCCACCTGTATGCTATACAATTCAAAGCCAAATGAATACAATAATTATGTACACTTTGACATACCTGTTGGAATGATGTCAGGCAAATGATTGGTGCATACAGAAGACAAACTTGCACTTTGTTTTTCATGGGATAATGAAATCTTCCTCTTCTTTGCCTTACTTGATGTATGATTATTTTGACTGGACGCAATACTTCGCTTTGGTGTCAATTTCTCAGTAAATCTGACAAAAAATTACAAGATGAAAATGAAAAAAACTAATATTTTTCTTAGGAATAATACATCATATACATTAGGTAAATACATGGTGATTAAAGATGACAATTAACAAATTAGTATAACAACAAACAAGAATAAATTGACTGATGTGCTATGATAATGCAAAAGGTATGTGCATATTATAGAATATGTTTCAGGAAGTGGTTAAAAGTCAAATACAAACTATGTAGACCAGTACTGATAAAAGCACAGTAGTAACACAACGATCGTCCGACAACATATCTTGGGTCTGTTTGGAACCGACTATAGTACAATATTGGTTTTCAGTCCATGTTTGGCTTTTTCTGTGTTTGCCAAAACAAGAGGGCTAGCCTGTTGGTTTGACCTACACAGGCACCACACCAATGCCTGCCATGCACTGATAAGAGCTTCATTTGTTCATCCAGCTTTGTTGTTTTGGTAGATCCCATGTCTATTTATACTGTACCATCACACCTAATTATATTTAGTTGAAAAAATTAGACAGAATATCTGGCCACCTTGTAATTTAAAAAACGAAGGTTCTATATTTGGACTACTTGGACCGCTCTACTTGGAGCGGCCTGTGGGCCGTTCCAAGCAACAGCCTGGTGGACCAAACTCTCACAAGTCAAGCCTGGCCTCGGGCCGAGCTTGGGGAGTAGAAGAACACCCAGAACCCCATCAACCGGGTATCAACCAAGTATATTGTGTCAGCCAGGGCTTCTACTAGTTGCAAACCAAAGATACACATTTTTTTTTAACAATTTTGATCAGACAGTAGTCCTTATTAAGAATATTTTAACTGGCATCCCATTTCTCTTGCCCAAGGTAAGACACCTACATAGTATGGTGGCCAGCCAGTGTGCCACAGCATGCTCTCTGCACCTCTTACCCAAGCAAATCTGCTGTTTTCCTGCACTTGTGGCCATTGAAGATCTTTCCTCTCATGCCATATTAATTAGCTGAAAATATGAAACATCCTGCCACTGTGATTTAGAAGGTAAGCTTTTTGCTGGTTTGCTAAGAGTGACTGTTGTAGCAATGCAAAAAAGAAAGGTACAGCACTCAGTAATGCTTCAAGCTGAATATGTTGATGATGCTACTTTGGGAGTGGTAAAAGGGAAAAACATATCAAAACAAAGAAAAGAAAAAAGTATGACTGATCCAAAATAAACTGAGGACTGGAAAGTCATATGAGAAGTGGATACAATGGGGCTCCAACCAGCAGACATCCCAGGAGCTCAAGTGGATAGAGGTAAAGCCTTGGCACAAGTAACCAAAATCAATGTCTTATCTGCCTCATCATAAAAAAAAAATGCTTCAGCTGCCTCCTCAAGCCTGTAGCGTAAAGCACAATCCTGTAAATAGGCCGCTGCCTGGTGAGCTGACGTCCATGATGAAGGGGTCTGCCAAGACAGGTCCCATAATGACAGACGCTGCACATCCAAGTGTGAAAAAGCAGCTTAGCCAAGCAAGCAGTTGTGGAGGCAGTAAGGATGATAGTGACAGTCTACTATCCAGAACGTCCCCTAGATATCAACTGAAATTATCAATTGAAGTGGAATGCTTACTTCAGATGTATATTCTCTCAGAACCCAAGGTGAAACTCCATCTGGTCCAGCTGTTTTATTTCTTCCTAGCTGCTTGAGTAATTTTTACACATTACACGTGTACTCTGTAATTGGCATTGTGTCTGGTTGTGTACAAACCTCATTTTGTACACTATGGAAATGTTAATTTAGTGCTTCACATATTTCCTTTCCATTCTCTGAATCTGTTCCCTATTTTCAATCTCTGAAATTTATCCTTCACATGTAGGTTGATCTCTAATTCCCAAGTGTTCAGTTAGTCTTGGGAGGAGGAGAGAGGGGGACAAGAGAAGATTGTATATAGTCCCTTGTCTCTAGTAAGCATAGTGTCTCTTAGTTACCCAGTATTTTCTAATCTAACTAGTAATGGCCAGTGTAAAAGCTCAGGTTAGCTACTGATGGGGATGCTCATAAAATACTAATTTGCAATAAACTTATCTCTGAGAAAACCAAAAATGAAATTAAAATTACCGGACAACAAAGGCAAATTTCTTTCTGCGGCTTCGTACATCCATACCAAGAGCTTGATGAGCAGTTTTAACAGCTGCCTTTAACAGTGGTATTGTCTGCTGATCCTGTAAAAGTAAATTAGTGATACGAATTATGCAAATCTTTACACCAGCAATAAACTGTAATATATGGTTATTATTACTAATAATACACAAGAGAGTAATCACCACTAATGTGATGTATTAATGATCTGGGGCATGTGCTTGGGAATACCCACCGCATAGGCTCGAATCCTCATCACAGCGTCTATAGATTTTTTCTCATTACTATTATATTGTTATTATTATTATTATTATTATCATCATGCAATTTCTTGCTTGGTGAGGAGGATTTTTGTTTTTCCTTTGTATGAAAACATAGTAACCACTCAATAATTAAAGGTTTCTTCTAAACCCTAATATTTGTACTTCCCATTAACTGTGTTTCCAAACAAACCTGTTAAAATAGTGTTATCAGTTATGATAAGCTACAGTAAATCAGTGGGATTTATGTACAGTATTTAGTTATGAGCAATATGTGTAATGTGTAATTATAAATCTTAGGATATAATGTATAAATGCTGTTATAATTACATATAGGGTGTGAGTATAGTGATATGAATATACAGTACACTGTATATACTGTATATATATAGCACTAACAAAAATAAGAATGATAAAACTAGTGACCATTTGTTACAGAACAGAGGGAAGGGAATGGAATTATTAAGGGAAACCTCTAAGCCATTACGACTATATAACACTTGGAAGGAGTCAGAATATGGATTAGGAATGGGATGGGAGGGGGGGGGGGAAGGAATGGTGCCCAACCACTTGGACGGTTGGGGATTGAACGCCGACCTGCATGAAGAGAGACCGTCGCTCTACCGTCCAGCCCAAGTGTTGTTGCAGAAGAGAGAAATCAATATTGTATACAGCTTACTTTAATTGAAATACATGAGCTTCTAAAATATTGGTGATATCAGACAAATTTATTTTAATCAATCAATCAATCAACGTTAATGTCAAATGATAAATAAATTCGTTATCTTCAACACAAACTTACAGCATTTACAAAGAGGTGAGAACTGACCTTTCGTGTACCAAAATAGAAACGCTTGAATGTATCATTTTCTTCAAATGATTTCATATTCTTAGGGGTAACCCATGATCGAGTCACTGGTTCTCCAAAGAAGGTCACATGGTAGTAACTCTGGAAAATAAATGAACCTATTAATTTTCTACCCTGTTGTTGTTTAATAACATTATAAATATACATTATAACATTATAATTGATATAATTACATTACTGTATATCGTTAAGGTCATTAATTAAATGGTAACCAACATGTAATTATTGCTAAATACTGTACTGTACACGTATTATGCAGTAATATTAACAAATAAGAAATTTTCTGTTAAATAAGTGAATTATAGTCACCCTGTTTCTCACTTTTATGTGGTAGAGAGGCAATAGCTCAGAAAAGCATTATTATTGATACAGTATATATATATACAAGAGTTCTTACATTCTTGTACAGCCACTAGTACATGTAACATTTCGGGCAAGTCCTTAATCCTATGTACTCTGGAATACGACCCCTGCGAAGAATCGTTTTTACAACCAGGTACCCAATTTACTGTTGAGTTAAATGGAATGCTACAGTTAAGGATTTGCGCCCAGTAAATCCTTCCCAGCCAGGATACGAACCCAGGACAAAACGCTCTCGGAACACCAGGTGAGCGTCTTCCCACTACGCCACGGAGACTGTTAAATCAGTCTCATCAGTGATCAGTCTCAAAATCAGACTGCTAAATCACTGTTATTATGAATAACATAGTGAAAATCATACAGATATTAGAAAAGAAAATACTATACATCTTGTCCATTCCTTCTTGAGTCTCGGAAAAATGGGGAGGAGCACCTCAGAAAAGTCATCGGCTTAGTGTTCCTGTCAAGATCACGAGAGATGGTGGCCCTCAGGTAAACCAGTAAACATCATTCATAATAATTTGTATACTATCATATTTACAAAAATTATATAGGGTTTGAGATTATTTATTTATTAATTTATTTATATATATTACAAGAAAGTACATTGGGTTTATGAAAGTACATAGCAATGATGTTTTTGTTTGCCTTGAGTGCATGGGTCATGCATGGCAGGAGTAATTGAGTAAATTTCATCACACTGTACACTGCATGTTCATGGTCCTTAACGGCTTTATTATGCAGCTAGGACTGTCCTGTTTGCTATCCACTGATAGGTAGACACTAATTATCTCCATCAACTCATAAGTGTTGTCTTGTTTCATGTAGTTTTAAGAATTATCCCATTAAGTTTATATATATATATTGTTTAACTTATTTTTATGTTATGCTCAAAACACTCTACGTATTAGTGGCTTTAGGGACTATACTAATGTTACTCATCAATCCTCTACTGTTCATGTATCGTCTTTATGTATGTATTCTTGCCTAAATATAGTGTCATTGTTATTATTATTATTTATTATGGCACTCAACCAGTCGATGTTAGATTAGTGGAACAGTACTAACATTAATCCAAGATTACTCCAACACTGTGTGGTGATGGAAACACTGAAAATGTACAGGATTATTCTAACTACTTTGCAAAAATTAAATGTCTTTAAATCATTTGACATGAATTTATTGACAAATTCAAGGTTGCTTACAGGTGCTGTAGCAGTGTCATTAAGCCATATGTATTTCTTATAGTCTGGATCAATATCCACCATTCCTGGCCACCATTCTGTTCCAGGCACCCGAGCCCACACCACTGAAATGACCAAAGTAGTTTAAGATGATTAAAAAAATACAAATTAGTCAAGCTAAGGTAAAATTCAGACCATTTCCTTGCACAACTTTCGGTTCAAGGGTAAGCTAAAAAAAAAGATCAAGCCAAATTTTGCCAAACTAGAAATAGTGGCCATCAGGTAAATCTCGGTATCATATTGATGTCTTAACAACTTCCCACAAGAATGAAAAATAAAATGAATGTAATGAGATGCCTCTTTCTGGTTGGTCCTTGGTGGCTCTTTGGTGTTTTGTTACTTGGCACGTTTCACCCAATTCGATCCATGCCACGATCTTTTGAATCATGTATAAGCCTACCGATGCCCAGAAGCCAAAACCTGGCCCCCTTCTAGAGGCGCAAGGAGCAGGGGGGTCGTAAATCGGCCTAACCAAGAAAAGGCCACCACAAGAGTGAACGAATTCAAAGACAACAGTAAGGTATACAAAGTGCTTTGTGTACTAGTGGCTTTATTTAATATGCTCCCTTGTACCTACAAATATACCTCTGTAATATGTTCTTATGAATGTCTTATGAATGCAATTATTATTATTATTATTATTATTATTATTATTATTGCACAGAGCGCAATCACATTAACATGATGTATCAATGGGAAAATCCATAGATCCGTTCGAATCCTCATCACGGCTCCTACGGATTTTCTCATTACAGTACTATTATTATTATAAAACAAAGAAATGGGACAGTGAAGCCCCAAGATTCACGAATCATTTGGTAGTGAAGCAATTGTACCACTTATAGTACCACTAAGCAGTTCTTGTGAATGTGATAATGTTGTAACAATTGATCCAAGAATATCATAGCATCACACGCTTGTCAGTTGCCAACAGCACATGACTAAACAAAGTATAAAAATAAAAATAATATAAAATGTTTCTTCCGGTAAAAGAACATACATACAAGATGAGTTACAAACAGAATGTTGGATTTCTAGATAGAACTAGTACATACTATGCCTAGAGTCACTAATACGCACAGTGTTTCGGGCAAGAAGTGAGAAAAACACTTATACAGATGATGAGTCACAATAACGTGGCTCAAATATGTTGACCAGACCACACACTAGAAAATGAAGGGACGACGACGTTTCGATCCGTCCTGGACCATTCTCAAGTCGATTGTCACACAATCGACTTGAGAAGTCCATCCTGGACCTGAGAATGGTCCAGGATGGACCAAAATGTCGTCATCCCTTCATTTTCTAGTGTGTTGTCTGGTCAACAAAAACACTTATAGACTAAAACCTAAAACTAATTGAGATCAAAGCATAAATTGAATTAAAAGGGGAAAAAGAAAACAATGATAATACAGTACTGTAATTACATGATGGATGGAACAGCAGAAATTGAAACAGAACAGCAGAAGTAATTTTAACTAAATAAACAGAAGACTACAATTTTCTTTAAGTTTATACATGACAGATATCAGCAGTTAAACAAGTTGGCCAATAATCAACATTGTTAGAAAATAGCAAGAAATATATTGAGTGCTGCCCGATATACTATGCATAATGCTAGCTCTAGCCACAACACTGCTATTATCAGAATCCTGATCACTACATTGTGAATATGAATCATTTTTCACAAGTTCACTTTCTAAAGGAACATGAAGTCCCATTTCATAATGCATAGATACACCAAACCAGGCATCCACAGCACACAGCTGTGTGCTGTGGATGCCTGCCCCGAGCTGTGAACATCATCACCAGCCTTGGGTAAACTGATATTTAAACCTTGTACATAGTTTTTTCAGGGGTATGTTATGTCACTATCATCAATAAACTGCAGTTATTTATTTCATCATCATCATCATTAAGCGATGCTGTGGGCATGCGCTGCATGTTACTTTTTTTTTCCAGGGATATTCCTGTGCGGGCCCTAAGCCTCTGACTGGCCCACTAAGTGTTGCTTACTTCTGTTTTACTTGGGCGGAGTATGAGTATTTATGACTCATATGGTCCCTTCAGTAAGATTTTGTTCCATATGTTTAACAACTTCTTCTATGTAGCTGCATGGTGGTGCTGGGAGCTGCTGCATGCACTATTCATGGCTGCTGTTTGAGAACTGCAGCCCTCACACCAAGGATGGGTGCCAATAACTTTTTTCCAAGATGCATCACTTTACTAGAGGCCTGAGGAAGCAGATGTAGGCCCCGTGTACTCATGGGAGTTTTAAGTCTTAATTGGTACTTTAAAACATTCCTATATCTTAAAGCTTTACAGAGGGGTCAAAGACCTTTGCACTGCCAAGGGTGAGATATCTTTCAACAGGAAGCTGGCCTCTCAGAGACAACAACCTAAACTCCCCCATAGAATAGCAGTCTCCGTGGTGTAGTGTTAACAACTCTTGTATATATCTTTTTAAAAAAAAAAAAAAAAAAAAAAAAAAAAATGAAACAAAACTCTAACTAGGCAATGGCAATCAATGCCAGTGAACACCTAGAGACAAGAATGCTAGGTACAGCAGTTCAAGGCAAATAGGTAATCAGAGTGCATGTAAGAAGTGAGACATAAATATACACTCATTGTGAAGCAAATACTGAAACATAGAACTAATACATAAGCAAATGGCCTCTGCAGGAAAAAAAAAGTGTCCTGGATGGCCAGCAGTTTTCTGAAAAATTGTCACCCGAAACGCACTGGAGCAGGAAGAGGAGAATAACAGTGAATGTGAGTAACATAAGCGCCAGCCAACATGACTAAGAATTCAAGGTTTATTGATCTAGGAGAACGGTGCAGATGCAGGTGGTACTAATGTGAGAACTGTTTCACCACCAAGTGGTCCACAAATCTTGGGCTTTATTGTCATATTTTCTATACATACTGTACTCTGTTTATCTTCTTGTATATGACTCACAAGGGCCTGGCATGGATTGAGTTGGGTAAAGCTTGCCAACCAGCAAGCTCCAAGGATCCACCATTAGGAGCCCTTCCAGAAAGTAAAAATAGTAGAATAAAAAGAAATAATCTGAATGCTGAATTATCTGTAAAACAGAATTCGATTTTTATCAAGCAATTATAGTTTCATGTGTTGCATAATAGAATTATTATATACAGTTTAGACCAGAAAAGTATCTTCATGTTGATTTGACTTTTTGAGAATCTAATACCAACTAAATCTACTATACTAATAACAAATAATATTATATACTTACCTGAACCCATAACAAACTGATTGTATATATACGCTTCATTAAATTGTCTCCACTCTTCCTCAGGCTCTTGACAGTTGTTTTTTCCCTTTACTGAAAAAATTTAACAATTGTTTTTGTTACTGCCAAATTATAGTTTTACTTATTTGTGATAAAGGCTTACAAACATTCCATATGTATTTATATCTCCAACACCTTGTTTCTTTCTAAGATGATGACCACAACTAAAATTATTCAAGTACCTGTAGCCCTATTTAGGAAACGTCTCCTACTAAATGTTTCACAGCTAATGATACATTATGCCCAAGTTATCATCTAAGAAGAGCAAATTAGCCCCCACAATGTTGTGAGGATGGGGATGAATAATAAGATCAAATATTTAAATTTAAGATTCCCCACTTCCTTACAGTATATGTACATTAATTAAAAATTGAAATATTTACCTGAACTTACCTAAGGGTCACTATCTCTTTAGTGGCCTCGGTGAGGACAGGAAGTCAGTGGGAACAGGGTCAAAGGTCTCCCTACTTACTCTGATGATTTTATTGCGCTGAATTTTAAAATTCCTCGGTGTTTTGGCATTTACGGTTTTGGCGGGTAGGCAGTTCCAAGGGTTTAAAAGTAAATTCTAGCGATACACCTCAAACACGAGAGAGAACACTAAGTGATTGGCACAATTATTTAAAATCCATGGGACTTAAACCAACAAGATGCATGCTTTACATTTATTACAAGACACACGGAATGGGACATAATACAACATGGAAATCATTTTCACTCACCAGATTCACTGAACATTCTCTAATAACAATGAGAACAAGGAGGCAAACACTCGAAGGTGAGGTGGACACCTCACTCACACCTCTTACTAGCTCCAGCTTCCCTCTGTTGTCATGGAGGTGCTGGGATGCTACCGTCATGAAAATACACAGGAAAACTTTACACAGAGACAAACATTCCCTCATAACAACTAAACATACTTACAAACACTAGCAAAAGAAACATTCAAATTAACATAACAAAATAAGGTAAACATATTGTAACTAAAAACAAAACATTTAGATTAATAACTAGACTTTATTAGACAAGAGTTTATAAAACTAGACAAGAGCTAAACTTTACATACTAATCATTACAATGCACAAGACTGGAAGTCTACACATACCTCTCTCCAAGTGGATAAACAAATGCTCAAGGAGGACGTTACAGTTTACAGAACCATATCAACAAAAACGCATTATGCTAAAGGTATTTGTAACAAAATCGCTCTCTAGTGAACTTCTCTATGAGATGTAGCCACTTTATGTATAAGGTGACTGAAATAAAATGCACAAGCACAAGATTTGATCCAGCCTAGACAAACCTGAAATTACTTAATTCTAATAAAAGATATGTAACACGTTAATAGTCTTGCTATGGAGAAATAGGCATAATAAGAGATTAATTGATGTGTAATGCATGCCTTTTAATTATTATCAAAATATGTTATGGGTGCTAGTGTCTTTATAAGAATGTATATTCAACTTAAAATCTATGATCTCTGTTAACCCCCAATGTACCTTCTTGTATATATATAAATAAATAAATTATGATTTTTTTTTAGTTATTTGACACATGTTTGTTCTTGTCATCATAGTAAATATTGACACTATGCCACGTTATATCACAAGAGTAAGGGAAAACACTTACTAGGAATCATTTTACAAGTCCAAATCTTAGGCAGTGTGGATGGATCCAGAATATGATTCAGCTTGCGCCACTTCATGCAGTCATCACACTGAACCCATAAAATCTCATCCACTTTTTCCATCATTTCTACAACTTGCTCCTGATGAAAATGATAGATAAAATGAACAATACACAGTTTTGAACTATACAGTAATGGATTGCACCTCTATTGACAATTCTGGCCTGTATTGAGCTTAACTAAAGTAACCCCCCTAACACCCTTAATGACACTACAGGACATTTGAATGATGCCATGTGGCTCTGGTGCCAAAACTGCCACATTATAATCTCTCCAGATGACATAACTAATTTTATTTAAAGAAAAAATCAAAATTGCAACAATTCAGAAAATGTTTATTCATTGTATTAGTATGTAAGAGAAAAAAGTATTAGTCTATGATTTATTATAAATAACCTACAATTGCTTAGCAATTGTTGCTTTCAGGCCTACAATGATTTGGCTTGACTTGCCCAAAATGTTGAGCATCAAGAGGCTTTGTAAATATATTTCACCTCAACAGACTACTGTACAGTACTGTATTCAGTAGACATGAATTGTAAGTTCCTCCATTGTACAGTGACTTTTTAGCAAATAAAACTTTGAATACTGTATAGGCATTGCATACTCATTTTCATTATTATTATTACATATTTTAAACTAGCAAACCAGTCTTCACTATAGGCTTGCTTCTTCTCACACAACATGCAAACTATACTGCACAACTTCTGCAATAACCATAAAATCCTGAAATATTCTCATCACATTACCCATTCCCTATTTCTGTTAAAAACTTATCCTCATGTAACCTTTACTTAAAACAATTAAACTCTAAACTGCGTGCACACTGTATACATTAATTGCTTTACATTTTTCTCCTTACTCCCTCAACATTCATGAGCTAGATATCCAAACCATACATCAGAATATGAAGAAACGATGGCGTTTCGATCCATTCCGGACCATCATCAAGTTACGTAATGGGAAGAGAGTGGAAGAGATAAAGAATAAGAGGGAAGAGAGATGAAAGGTGGGATGAATGAAAGAGAAAGATGAAGATAAGAATCAGATGAAATAAAAATAGGATGAAAGAGGCTTTGTCGGCTATCCTCTTGCCTCTTTGCCAAAACTCTCACTCTTTATCTTGATACTTTTTCTCCTGAGCTGAGCTCAAGTGAGCTCAATTCAGTCTCTTCCACTCTCTCTCTCTCTCTTTTTCCATTACACAACTTGATAATGGTCCAGGATGGACCAAAACGTCATCATTTTGTCATTTTGTGAAGTGTTGTTTGGATGTCATATCTTCAGCCACATTATTGTGACTCAACGTCTGCATTCACAAGCGACTTCACATGTTGCTATGATTTGTCTGCATTCACAAGCGACATCAAATGTTGCTATGATTTGCCTGCAGTCCCCTCCATCCCCTCATTTAATTTATCCACAAAAGATATACAAATTTAAAACGTTTTCCAAGCTGATAAAATAATAAAACTTCACCTTAATACTTGTTGAATGAGGAGATCTCTCACTTTCTTCATCTTCTTGTGACTCTTCTAATTCGCTATTACTAAACTCAGATGAAGACTCATCATCTGGTCGGTGTTTCCTTCTGTTTGCCTTTCTCTTTGTTGATGAGGATTTCTTTAAAGGCTCTTGTGACTTCTTATGTAGTTCTTTCCTTACAGGTTGACTTTCTGTTGTAATGGTCTTAACTATTTGTGAATTTTTCGGATGTTTCACAATTAGTTTAGCTGAGGATTTTAAAGGCTGAGAGGGTAATATTATTCCTTCCTTCTCCTTCTTCTCCTTCTCCTCCTTCTCCTTCTTCTCCTTCTTCTCCTCCTTCTCCTTCTTCTTTTCCTTCTCCTTCTTCTCCTTCTCCTTCTTCTCCTTCTCCTGTATATTATTATTTACCTGTACTGGCTTATCAATTCTACTGCTGTCATCACCTTCTGTATTGAGAAAAAGGTTGAAACATTAAAAACAATAATATGGTACAGTAATACAGTACAATATTCTTGATCTTGACAAGTTTATTTATTTAATTTATATATATATACAAGAAGGTACAGTACATTGGGTTTATGAGAGTACATAGCATTGATGTTTTTACATTCTTGTAAAGCCACTAACATACACACAGCATTTCAGGTAGATACACAAGTGAAAGTAATTAATCTGAAACACTGAACTCACAAAACAAATTGTTACAAATAGTGCAATGGTGAGCCTCGCCCTGGGAAAATGGCCTTGACGACTTATACTGATTTTTGTAACTAACTCATCAAGATTAGCTAGTTACAAAATTGCTTAGCTAAATGAATTGTGGGGTTCAATCCCTGAGCCCATTATGTGCTTCTGTAACCCTTTCCACTACCGCCCACAGGATGCGTATGGGGTGCATAATAAATGAACTAGAATAAAAAAATTACAAATAGTGAAGGAATGGAAATGGAAATATTATCATGGTTTTGGAATTAGCAGAGGGGGTGGAAGGTAACCAATGGAATAGAGGCAGTATTGGGATAACAGAGAAGCTTAAAGAAAGAAAAGGCCCCCAAGAATACCAAGTACCTGTATAAATGGAATAGCTAACTGCAGATATGTTAAGGTAAAGAGGGTGAGGGAGCCGGTCGGCTGAGCGGACAGCACGCGGGACTTGTGATCCTGTGGTCCCGGGTTCGATTCCGGGCGCCGGCGAGAAACAATGGGCAGAGTTTCTTTCATCCTATGCCCCTGTTACCTAGCAGTAAAATAGGTACCTGGGAGTTAGTCAGCTGTCACGGGCTGCTTCCTGGGGGTGGAGGCCTGGTCGAGGACCGGGCTGCGGGGACACTAAAGCCCCGAAATCATCTCAAGATCTCAAAATGGTGAACATAATGTTACAGGTATGTCACATGACATGGCAGGAGGGTGAGGTGCCAAATGACCAAACTAAGGCCATTAGGGAACCGATATACAGTATAGGGGAAAGGGTAATAGAAAAGAATGCTGCCTACAACGTTCTCTGCAGGTCCCCCTGTCATCATGCAAATTTCAATTGAAGTCTGTTTTATGGTGTACAAATGCATTGCTGGTAAATACCCAAACATACTTTCTGACGTACTAGTATTTAAATTTATATGCTATGTTTCACATGAATTTTGGAATCAGAATATGTGTAAATATGCATTCTATTTTCAATAATAATAATAAGAACCTTAGGCAGGGGGGGGGGAGCAGTGGCTAAAATAAAGTACTGTATTGAACTAAAATGTTAAGATTATTCAATAGTTTGAATTAACCACAAGACCCTACTTACTTTTGATAATTCAGACAACACTGTATTGAATAACTTTTATATGTTAATCCAAACTATAAAGAAATAACAAAAATATACTTGATTTTAATAAATAAGCTTCTTGATATTTCACGTAAACCAAGAATCATTGGCTATTTGAGGAAAGACCATAAGTCAAAACATTATTTATTTTCTTACCTTCACAAAGTTCAGGAAGATGTACCCCACTTGGTTGTGACATAAATGACATGATACATCTATCTTCAGGTGGAATGATTTCAACACCAGACTCACTTCCCGTTACATCTATGAACGAGGAGGAGTCATCACATTGGTCACTTTCCCTAAAACAGTTAAGTAATATTATCCTTAAAAAAAATTTAACAACGGATTAAGAAATATTAAGAAATAATAAATTTTCATATTTAGTAATCAAGTGCTGTTGCAAATGTAAGAATTATTATTCCTCAGCTGTTAACAGGGAACTTTCTCTATTACTGTATATAAGATATCGTTTTGGATTGTTATTTTTCTCCTTTTCCAATATAATTTGTTACGGTAATCTCCTGGTTAGGCAGAAGATCCTGCCTGTTCCCTTTACCGCCTATTCACAAATGTATCTGCATGCTCCAACATAAGGAATCAACATCAACAATAACAATACGTGCTCAGACGCCTTAGTGTCTAGACAAGACACCCCCTCCCTTTCCACCCTCTAGTACCCAAGACACCTGGACACCTGCTGTCTGGGCAGAGACCCAACACCACTCTCTAATTGCTTGTATAATTGCCGCCGATGGTTACCCACAACACAGCGCCATCTATGCTGGCCTGGCCTGCATATATATAAGGAGCTCACTGGCATCCAGTCCTCAGAATACTCTTTGTGTTCCAAGCTGCAACATCTACTCTCGCTCCCCTGGGTGTCGGTAGACTCAGGCAGCTCTTGTATAAAGTATTAATTTGCACCTTTCTTTTGCTTAACGTAATTACTCACGAGTTTATATTTCTTTTATATTTTATATTGTCTTTTCGCCAAGTGGATAAGGGGGCTTTGTTTTGTTTGTTATTAGAGTTATTTTTGTTATATTAAATGTTTTAAGTGTTTATTCAAGTTTTAAGATAAATTTATTTCTTTTATATTTTATATTGTCTTTTCGCCAAGTGGATAAGGGGGCTTTGTTTTGTTTGTTATTAGAGTTATTTTTGTTTATATGTTTTAATATTCTCTTTGCTTTCACAGTGTAGAGGTCACAAGCAGTCTGTTTACTTTATTTTACTTTTGTTGTTGATTAATGTGATTGGCACAACACCAGCCAGAATAGCCACACAAGCAGTCTGTTTACTTTATTTTACTTTTGTTGTTGATTAATGTGATTGGCACAACACCAGCCAGAATAGCCACTGCTCTTTTTTTTTTTAGAGTTTCACGTCACAAATTATAACAGACAGGTCATTTATCTTCCTTCTTTAATAATCTCTATTTTGTTTATGATATAGATTAACATAATAGCCTCTCACTGCAGGTCAGATATAATAAATGAGGGAACAACTGATCAATATCCTACTTTTCTAATCATTAGCATTAGTAAAACATCACTAGTTATGTACAGTATTAAGAAACTTACTAGCAGACTATACATATTGATGGTAATTACAACATAAAATAATAATAGGGTAGAATGATTACCCAGGATTCAGAATTACTTGAGAAAGGAAAAAATAAACAGAATAAAACCAGCATTGAGTGTAATCAATTGCCTCTTTCTGGTAGAGTCCTGGTAGAGTTCTGGTAGAAAGGCTTGTGATTTACTTTCCTGGTGGCTCCCTCAAGCTATTTCATGGAGATGGCTTCACACTACTGAGTCACATCAGTCACAGGAGTGCTGTTTGGCCGTCTGGGGACCAAAGTCAGAACCTGGCTCCATTGTTCATCAAAGCGAAGCACTGAAACACTCAAGCAACTTTATAAATGATCATTTAGACCCCCTTGGCTGATGTGTGGATTTAGAAACTGTATTTGTGGTCGATCTCGAACCCATTGATGATGTGACGATGTGCATTGAATTTTGTAACTAGCTCATCAAGATTGTAACTTGCTTAGCTATATGAATTGTGGGGTTCAGTCCCTGAGCTCATTATGTGCCTCAGTTAACACTTTTCACTACTGCCCACAGGATGGGTATGGGGTGCATAATAAATGAACTAAACTAACTTTGACTGATGTGACTCAGTACTGTAGTTGAAGGCCAGCTCAGCAAGACAGCTTTAGGGAACCACCGAGGGCTCCCCCCAGAAACAGCTGGATATAAGATAGGGAAAATAACTCATGATGATAAAACATAATATGCTATGTTATATAGTAGTCAACATAAGGTGACAGAACAAAATAAATACCGTATAAAAAGATATGCACATTTAATCCTGACAATATATTTCCCAACTACAATCATTTTCACTTCATTACACAGCACATTGCATATAATTTGTTAATAAAATTATCCTTTAATGACTTGTATACATACTTGTTCACATAACCCCTGCTTAACTTTAAGATTCACACAAGAAAGGTCACTCACTTGGTCATAAATGGCCAAATTAACATTTTGTGCTAATACTCACTTTTCTTGGTTATTTATAGAGCAAGAGGTTGTCTGATTAGGTTGAATCTGAAACAATTCAAAGAGTAACTTATAATACATAATTATATAGGCATCATAGGGAGTTTATATGCATAGAAAAAATACAGTAGATCCTTAAATACTCAACATATTGCTAGTTTCTTCAGCCTTATTTAAATTAAATTAAATTATTAAACCACTGTATCATATTCATTTGCATTTTAAATTATTATTATTATAAATAACATACTATTTTTTGTTGCACAGATAAATGTATTAAAAGAAGAAACAAAAATGAAAAGATCTTTTTTTTGCACAAGTCTCATTTATATCTGAGTCTTATAGTAGTGAGGCTCAGACTCATTTATATCCCAAGTCTGAGCCTCACTATGAGGTCCAACTGGGGCTGCTGTCGCTGATAATGCTTTCATCGACTTGTTCCCCACGAGTCATTTTCCAAATAGTCATGAGAAAATTATATTCTACCCTACTTAAAGGGAATATACACATTCCCAGCATGTACAGTATTGTTTTAGATCTCAAGAAAGCACTAACAAGCCATAGTTAAAAACACCCTGCAGACTCCATGCATTCAGTTCTCGACAAAAGTTAATATTGTACTGTACTAATTGGTTTTTCTACTGACATGAAAAATCTGTGATTCTATTGGAAAGATCAACTTCTTACTCAAACTACAATTGAGTATTGTACTAGAAAATAATAGGTTACTACTTTAAATTCATACAGTCGTACCTCAGCAACAGATCATGCTGGCTATGTGAATTAAGATTATTATGTGGGTTACCCAAAGTGTTAAGCGTGCTAGTGGCTGTATAAAAATGTAAGAACTCTTGTATACAAAAATAAGTAAATAAATAAATAAATAAATAAATAAAAGATTATGTTTGGGAAGAGAATTACTGTATATAAATGAGTAATGGCCAGAAAAGTAACAAGATTTAAATTTAAAATTTGGATTGTTAGCCATAAAAGATAAATTAGCAGAGTTTACAAAGCTTCAGTTTTTGTGATAAACTGGGAGGCTAGGTTGTGAACAAGGATGCATATCTGTTTATAAATTGCATATACCCTGTAAATTGTTAAGTAGTCCCCGTGGTGCAGTGTTAAAGTACTTGCCCGGCGCCTCGCGAGCACTCTGGACTGGGTTTGTATCCTGTCCGGGGAGGATTGACTGGGTGCCAATCCTTAACTGTAGCCTCTGTTCACCCAGCAGTGAATGGGTATCTGGTTATTAAACGATTAACGGGTCATATTCTGGGGTAAATTAGGATTAAGGACCTGCCGAAATGCTATGCGTGCTAGTGGCTTTACAAGAATGTAAGAACTCTTGTATATATATTAAAAAAAAATACATGAAATATGTATTCCTTGTTCTTAACCCAGCTTCCATGTTGTGGGGAGGCAGAATTTTCATGTTGAGAAAGAATAGCTAGCTTGGGTCACGTGCTTGTGTAATGATGAAGACACTGCCTGAAATGTTGTGATTAGTGGCTTTATAAAAGATATAAATATATATATGTACCTACAGTACTAGGTCAAAATAATGTAGTCAGAAAAAAAAAATTCGGTAATTATAGGAATGCTCTGCACAAACAGATAAGGTGTCTAAAAAACACTAACTTTTGCTAAAGCCAAAAATAATCCTTCTTGAAGGAATCTTAACACACCTCAGAACCAGTAGAGGAAACATCCTCATCTTCTTTGGCTGCCACTCCAATGACTTTATTGAAGAGATATGCCCAATCTGCTGTAGACATGATACTCGATGGTGCACTTTTGCAGGTTTTAATTGCTTTACATCCTGGTACTTCCTTGGAGCATTTTGCCTTTACTGACGGAAACGTTTCTGAAGAGATGTGCACATTTTCCTTTGTATTATCTGAATTAAAGTTACTCTGCTTTGTTCTAGGTTCACAACTTTTAGCTTTAAAAGCTGGCCTCTTCTTAATGTTAGTGCTGGGAACCCCTATTGTATCAGGTTCTGTGCAACTCTTTGTATTAAGCAATGAAATATTAGTCTGTTCTCTATCACTGCAGTGATCTTGAGCAGAGTTGTTAGTCTGGACGCTACTTTTTGAGTTGCACTGGCTGATACCAATTTCTTCCTTAACTTTTGTGAGACTATTAACTTCATCACCTTCTTGAGGCTTGTGATTTGCTTTCTTCATTACTTTAGGAAGAGGTCTTTTTCCCAGGTCTGTCTTGCTTGTTTTTGCCTTTTGGGGAATATGTTTGGTGTCACTGCTACTACAAGTCTGATAAATAAATAAATTATTAATACATTTAATCTGTATAATCATCAATAGAACCCCATTTCACTCTTCCACAGAATTGGAAGGCATCAGTAAAGAAATAGAATAATCTACCAGTAGAGGAAAAGAAGGTTTTAGGATACTATACCCACCCATTACCTAATTTTTTGGCTTATTAAGTGAAGCAGCCTCACATTATAGGCATATTAAGTGAGGCAGCCTCACACTATAGGCATATTAAGTGAAGCAGGCCTCACACTAGCCAAGTGTAAGGTAGCCATCACTGTCACTGTTGCAAGAATATTAATGTGAATGCAACTATCTCTAATATCCACGATGGGGATAGTAAATCAGTGTCTAGTGGAAGGTTTCTCAATATTTCATAAGGATTGTTTTGGATAATGCTACTGATTTGGGTGATTGGTTTGGATAATATATACAAGCCATTCAACTTTACCATTGTAATCATTGCTATTATCTTATATCATGGTTGTTATATTGAATGCATAGTTTGCTGCATTATACCTTGAAATGATCCTCAAATTATGCTACAATGGATAACCCATAAATTTACTTTAATGTGCCTACTAATCTTGTCAAATTTTTTATACAATGTATTTTTTATACTTTCTTACAATGTACCTGTAATTTTTTTTTCAATTTCGCTAGAAATTACCTTCTTAAAATTATCTGTTAGATTAAGGACCTGCCCACAAACACTATGCGTGCTAGTGGCTTTACACGAATGTAAAACATCAATGCTTTGTACTCTCATAAACCCAATGAACACTACAGTAGTTTATAAACTCTCATAAACCTCATAAACCTACTGAACGAAAAACCAGAATAAATTCAAGTTTTTGTTTTTACTTCTCAACTCAAATAAAAATTTGGGCTACCAAGATTTCTGCAGAATGGGAAACCCAAATAAATTTTAGTTCTAGTTCTTCACCTTTCAAGCCAAATAAAAATTTGGATTATCAAGATTTTTGCAAATGAAACCTGAATAAATTTAATTTTTTTCATTTTTGGATAGTCCTGGTAAAAAATTTGGCTTTACTTTTATTATTTATTTATTCATATACAAGAAGATACAATGGGTTGCTAAGGGGAGCATTGTACATATGCTGGAAGATGAGTAGTACATTCTTAATGTAGTAGTACATTGTGTCGGATACAGTACTATGAAGGTGAAATTAGGTACAGTATTTGATAGATCTACAGTACTTTTGAATAAGGTATAGGTTGGCCAATTTTTAAATCATTAGGGATTCAGTTCCATATATGAGGCCCTTTTATTTCTATGAAAATAAATGTTTTGTTTAAGTTACAGCTTTGGCAGACAGGCATAGCTTTATGACCATCTATGCATTTTCATAGATTTAGTCTGGCTCCAGGAATATCAAAGAGATGCTGTATTTATTTCTGGTATGATGCTTATGGGTTATATAACAGCTATCAAGGAAGAGTTTCAAAATAGGATTAGAATTCAGGAATAGGGTTTTGTAAGTGTAAGTAGCACAAAAGAATGTGTGGAGTGTATGTTTAACATGTTTAGGGCTTTAAACAGACGGAAGACGACGTTTCGGTCCGTCCTGGACCATTCTCAAGACGTTTTGGTCCGTCCTGGACCATTCTCAATCAACTTGAGAATGGTCCAGGATGGACCGAAACGTCTTGAGAATGGTCCAGGACAGACCGAATCGTCATCGTCCCTTCACCTTCTAGTGTGTGGTCTGGTCAACATACTTTAGCCACATTATTGTGACTTATCGCCTGCTTAAACAGAGGGATTGTGTGTTGCCTGAAGATGATGATAATAATTATAATTATAATAATAATAATAATAATTAATTAATTAATAGTACAGATGTAATAGTAATATTTAATAATAATAAATAATGAAAATGATATTTACCTCGTTGCTGTCTGTGCAATGAAACAATCCTGGACTTCTCTGTCTCTTGCCTGGTTTATTTTCTAATTGTGGTCGAGTCCCAGACACACTTTTTTTGCCAAAGTTTGGTTTAACTGGTGTGATTTTCTTTTCAGATCTCGATGTATTACAATATGGCTTTTCACTGGAGGCAGCAGTCATCTCACATTGTGACTCATTGGTACCATGTTGAACTAAAGCAACCGATTCAGATGCATTTGGTGGATTTTTGTTTGAAGAAACACGCTTAAAAAGAGAATTGGATGAATGGTTAAAGTTAGGTCGAGCTATTCCAGAGGAACCAGTTGTTTTTGTGGATGTTTGTACATTGGCTGATGTTAGACTATTACTTGCGTTGCCTGAAACTGCAGGAAACTTAGCTATTTTGGAACGTGGAGCCCCAAAGGTCGGAACTTTTTTTACTACTGGGACGGTTGGAGCAGTATCTTTATTTGTTGGGATATTAACACCAACATTTCTTTCACCGCTGTTGCTACTTCTTCCTTCTGATTTCTCGTCAATTTCAGATACTGACTGTGGGTACTCAGGCTCACTTCCGTGTTGAAAATTATGAGATATTTTATGAGTACTTGGTAGTACATGATCGGGTAAAACATATTTGCTAGCATGTTGGAAGAAAGACAAATGACTGGAATCTCTATCTAATGGGACATCAGTGTCTACTTGTCTATCAAGACTCTTGCTGGTACTAGCTTCTGACTGTTGGGAAATCTGTGGCACTGGTGGCAATAATTCAGGCTTACTCTCTTTAAAAATAGATGAAGATTTCTGAAGGATATCTGGTACAGTGGGTTGAGATGTAACTGGCTTACTAGCCTGTTGGAAGAAGGAATGCGCGCCAGTCGGCTTCTTACTTGCTCTCTGGAAAGGTCCTTCAATTTGTTTAGCTCTTTCCCATGCATTGAGATTGCATTTCTCTTTCTGACTGCTAAATACCTCTGAAGTTTCACATAGGTTGGATGACTTTTGTGGTGACTGTTCATGTTCCATCGTTAAACTTGATACTCTAGATCTCTGCTGATGTTCCTACACACCACTGTCCTGAAATACAGTAATTAATATAGTTACATACATGGAAATTCTCTTTATGCATCTATATTCTCTACTGTTTATGGATATTGTATAACATGAGCTTTAAATCAAATCAAATCAAATGTTTATTCAGGTAAAAGTACATACTGTACATACAAGATTAGTTACAAACATAATGTTTGGATTTTTAAATAGAGCTAGTACATACAATGCCTAAATCATAAATACTATAAGTAGTAAGGAATAAAGGTTACAGCAAAATATACACTAATTCAAATAAGTTTATTGAGGTACTGTATAAATATACACAAAGGGATGAGGTAGCTCAATACACTAATTCAAGTACAGTACTGTACAGCACTTTAGTTAATGAAACCAAACTGGCGGATAAAATTCCACTACACCATTGTATAATACAGTATGTGCTCCATCTCTATATAAAAGTATCTTTAAAAGAGAATGTGTGTTCATCTGTTTGTGTGAGGTTAGAGCCAAATACTTGGGGCTATGGTGAGCTATGGTGAACTATGGTGAACTATGGTGAACTATGGTGAACTATGGTGAACTATGGTGAACTATGGTGAACTATGATGAACTATGGTGAACTATGGTGAACTATGGTGAACTATGGTGAACTATGATGAACTATGGTGAACTATGGTGAACTATGGTGAACTATGGTGAACTATGGTGAACTATGGTGAACTATGATGAACTATGATGAACTATGGTGAACTATGGTGAACTATGGTGAACTATGATGAACTATGGTGAACTATGGTGAACTATGGTGAACTATGGTGAACTATGATGAACTATGGTGAACTATGGTGAATTATGATGAGCTATGGTGAACTATGAACTATGGTGAACTATAGTGAACTATGATGAACTATGGTGAACTATGGTGAACTATGGTGAACTATGATGAACTATGGTGAACTATGGTGAACTATGATGAACTATGGTGAACTATGATGAACTATGGTGAACTATGATGAACTATGGTGAACTATGGTGAACTATGGTGAACTATGATGAGCTATGGTGAACTATGAACTATGGTGAACTATAGTGAACTATGATGAACTATGGTGAACTATGGTGAACTATGATGAACTATGGTGAACTATGGTGAACTATGGTGAGCTATGGTGAACTATGGTGAACTATGATGAGCTATGGTGAACTATGGTGAACTATGAACTATGGTGAACTATGGTGAACTATGGTGAACTATGATGAGCTATGGTGAACTATGGTGAGCTATGGTGAACTATGGTGAGCTATGGTGAACTATGGTGAACTATGGTGAACTATGGTGAACTATGATGAGCTATGGTGAACTACGATGAGCTATGGTGAACTATGGTGAGCTATGGTGAACTATGGTGAACTATGGTGAGCTATGGTGAACTATGGTGAGCTATGGTGAACTATGGTGAGCTATGGTGAACTATGGTGAACTATGGTGAACTATGGTGAACTATGAACTATGGTGAACTATGGTGAACTATGGTGAAGGTCGAGCAGATACACGCCCTACGTTGTACAAAAGCTCTAGAAAAAAAATACAGTATATCATATATTTAAAATAGATTGTAATTCTGAAATCCACATATTATCCCCTGGATAATATGTGGATTTTGACACCATAATTCTAATTATTCCCTGCGCTGCTTCGCCTGTATTACTCGTAGCAAAAGCAAAATACACAATACAATATACAAAATACAAAACACATAATACAAAATACATAATACATAATACAAAACACATAATACAAGATACAAAATACAAAACACATAATACAAAATACATAATACAAAATACATAATACAAGATACATAATACAAAATACATAATACAAAATACATAATACAAGATACATAATACAAAATACATAATACAAAATACATAATACACCAGAGAGACCAAACAAGACTACACGCCGCCAGGAGCAGGTTAGACTTGACTGGAAAATACAAGATAATAAAGTAATCCGAGGAGAAAGTCAGCAATAGTGGCACTCAACTCCCCAAGATGGCGGCGGGGGAGTGCCAAGAGGTCCGGCACTCGCCTCGAGTGGCCCTGGTCTCCGTCTCCTGCTGCTGGCACACACACACCCCCCCGGGGTTTGTAGAGTGCCGCTCCTGTAAATATATACATATATATGTCACCATTATATATATATATATATATATGTGTGTAAATTGGGAGGACTTACAACATGCATATCCGCCTCCTGCGACGCCTCGAGGGACACTGAGGATGTCTTTAGTCAAAAAGCCCGCCAAAAATTATTCAATCTCCATATAATTATATTTTCGTCGCCCCTTAGTCACCAAAACATAACTGTATTCATTGTAAAGTAAATGAGTTACATACTTTCTATAAATACTATCAAATGTAATTTATATCTTTGCCTGATGCAAAAGTCTTCATTGGGTCAATTGACCTGAATTGACCTGAGGACCATTAACACTAGTTTCCGCGACGAGGACAGGAAGCCTGCGGCTTGTCGACGGATCCCCGCATTTGCCTTGATAATCTTTTCCAGCTGTACCTTAAAAGCGAACACAGTTTTGGCATTTGCGGCTTTGGCGGGTAGGCGGTTCCATTGGTTAAAAACTCTGTGGGTGAAAAAGCATCTTGAAAATGCTTTTGAAATGTAAACTTGAAGACTTTTGTATCAGGGATAGATATGAATTACATTTTATAGCATTTATATAAAATATATAACTCAATTACTTTACAATTAATATAATTAAAGGGTATGAATGTCTATAACTTTTGGCGGGCTTTTTAAAACAGTGGATCTAAGGAAGACTTGTGTGGTGGAGCCTCAAACAGAATACGTGCTTGACTATTATGGTCAAGCAGTTAAGGATTGGCATATTGGATTGGTTCGTATTCTGGCTGGGAAGGATTGACTGGGCGCCAATCCTTAACTGTAGCCTCTATTCGCCCAGCAGTGAATGGGTACCTGGGTTGTTCAGCGATTTGGCGGGTCGTATTCCGGGGAAAATTAAGATTAAGGCCCGAAAGGGTGTGTGCTAGTGGCTTTACAAGAATGTAAGAACTCTTGTATATGCAGATAAGACAAAAGATGGTTCTTTGTTAGTGTTTTGGCATAAACAGCTTTGGCGGGTAGGCAGTTCCTACCCGACACGGTATGCGTGCTAGTGGCTGTACAAGAATATAAGAACTCTTGTATATATAAATAAATAAATAAATAAATAAATAAATAAAAATTAGTATATGTTATTATTAATATAATATGCAATTGTATGATATATTGTATTGGCATGTATTCCCTAGGTGTGGAGGGAGAGGCTACGGGCGTACTTGTCTTGGCCGCGTGTTTGTTGTTGTTTTGGTGTTGGTCGGTTGTTGATGCCGCAGGCGAAAACTGATGAAGAAAATGTCAGAAGATTCCAATTCCGCAATTCTTGACTCTATCGTAAGTGTGGGAAGATGGGGCGGGTTGTTTATTGGGTCCCGTAGACAGTAAGGTCGGGGTCCATTTGGAACTGTATCAGGACGAGTCGTCCCATTTTCCTTTTAAAGACACTATTGCCGTTGGGTGAAAAAAAAGGGCCCAAACTACTCAGTTCTGTCTTCACTGCTATTTAAATAAACTTAGCTTAGTCTAGCCTAAGGAATGCATTTTTATGTCATTGCTACTCTTTTAAACAAATGTAACTTAGCCTAGTCTAGCCTAAACTATGCAATTCTATGTCATCACTAGTTTTTTTTAAACTACCCCTAACCTAAAGTGCTGGATGTATGCAAAATATATATAAGATTATTATAAGAATAATATTCTCCAGAACAAGTTGCTTAAAATTAGCCATTCTATAACTGGAGGAAAACATGATGACCTCAAAGATGAAAAAACTGGTGGCTGTTGGTTATTGCATTCGACAGCAGGGAAGAGGATTTTGAAGTAAAGTCAATGTAGAGTCTATGAGGTGCTGGAGTGAGGCGCTGGAGTGAGGTGCTGGAGTGAGGTGCTGGAGTGAGGCGCTGGAGTGAGGCGCTGGAGTGAGGTGCTGGAGTGAGGCACTGGAGTGAGGCGCTGGATCAATCAATGGACGTGGTAAACATGCCGTGAAGCAAATATAAGCATGGCACCACAAATGCTGGAAAGATGTTTTTCCCTCTGTACCTGCAGACTAATATTTGGGTAGCAGCCTGAATCAGGGCTGTGGGAGAAACTTATGCCAGTGGCCTATCATCCTGTACACACAATGTTGTTGGCTATGACCTACTGTCTGTCTGCTGCTCCCTGTTGCAATCAGTTTTCCACCAAAATCTCCTCTTACTCCCACAAATTACTGTACTGTATTGTCAGATTGATCTGGCTAGCTAGTGTCAGAAGCTTATTCAGACCAAGTTCTTCCCTGGCATCTGGTGTCCAACTTTGGATAGACTGACATACAGACAAACAGATATTCTCTCTTATAGTATAGATTTGTGACTACAAATTTTTATTTATCCTGTTTTTAATGATGTATTAATAGGATATAAACCTATCTTTGTTGTGTCCATACTTATGCAATTGTATATTTTTCCCAGTCCAATGTAACGGAAGGATGCCGATTGCCAGTCCTGATGAACAACGGGGAAGACTGGCGTAAGTCAGGATATTCAAGTAGGATTACCACCCTTATGTTTTTGTTTATTTCTGCCTTCGTATATTACTGTATGACACTTTCAGTAGGATTGCCACCCATCTTTTGTTGTTTATTTTTGCCCTCATATATTATGACATATTATTTCCTGCGGCAAGTTGTCCTTTCATATTAAATATTCTTTCAAGTCTTTAGAATAGAGTTTTATAATTACTAGATTTATTAATTTAGTTTGATAAAACTTCATGTGATATAATTTTCTCTTAGTTATAATGCACAGTATTTTACTCTATATTATCCTTAATAAAAATTATATATGAGAAAGATACCATTTTAGTAAAGTACATGTGTAAACAATTAACTTTAGCACAATACCATTTATGTTTTCAGTTTCACAGCAAAATAAATTTAAAAGGTCATTTGAGTTTGACCATGAAATATAAAAAAAAATTCATTACAGTTATTTAGCATTTTATTAATTTAATTTTTCTGAATTTTTTCTTCACAGCTTTGGCAGAGATTATCAGCATTAAAGACACAGAGAGCAAAAAGCTTTTCTATGTTCATTATATTGACTGTAAGTACTCTAAACTTCTTCTAATTTTAGTTTGAAACTGATGTTCGTTGGGTCACATACCCAGTACACAGAAACTCATTTGCTTCGGAAATCAGTAATAGTTAATTGTAGATGAAGAAACTCTTATCAAAACCCTCTTTGTTTCCCTTCGCTCTTCCCTTTGAGCATATTAGCCTCGAGATGATGCTCATCTCAAGATGGTAACAAACTTGTGGTTCACGTAAAGTTTGGCACCCCTGCTGTTGAGAAGGTACAAGAGGCTCATTAGGGCTGTTTTTTTTAGTTGCCTTGCCTGCTAACTTCAGCACATGAGTCTTCATGGTCATTGACGAATCAAGCTTCATTACCAAGATGTCGACTTCCTTACAAAGTACCAGGCTTTTGCTACTCATCTATATGCAGTGCCTCAGTTGCAATATTATGCTGTCTTGATGATGATATCATTGCTTATGGTTTCTCAGCAGTTTTACAAAGAAATGGTAGTGCCTGTCGTTATTATGTGAGTGCTGCATGTGTGAGTGTGAGTAATCAAGAATTAGAAGCGTGTATAATTTTAGAAGCATAGATACAGGAATAAAAATGTTTTTGAAAGATGTAGAATACAAAAGTCAGTTAACTGCAACATTGAGGAGTGTAGCAAGACGATTTGATCATGTAGAAGAAATTGATGAGGATAAGATTGCGATGAAATTATTTGAGTGAATTTGAAGATAAGAGGAGGAATGAAAGGCTCAGAAGAAAGAAATGGTGGATGTATGAGGAAGTGGGGGTTGAGAGTAAATAGTGCATGGGGTGGGGTAATGACCAAAGCTAGGACACAGCAGTTTACGAAGAGGACCTACATGTTCCGTTGTATTTGACAGCTTACAAGGAGCGCACACAGCCTCCCTGGCTTGGTGCCTTCTTTTGATAATTATTTACTAACAAGGAGCACTGCTCTCCTAGTCTTATGAAGCTGTGGAGGTGCTGATGTTGATGATTTGCTGGAGTAGGGTTGTTCAAGTAGCGTATAAGATATACTGATTGGATATGTAATTTTCCTATAGCATTAGCCTCCTTCTATATTGCTTTCCTTTTTTATCTGATAGTATACCGCCACTCTCTCTGGAAGTGAAAAAACAGGATAATAATGATAGCTTTTTTTGTATTTTATTCATCGTATTGCATAATTTTTGTCAGATAACAAACGTCTGGATGAGTGGGTTGAAGAAGATCGATTGGACACAAGAAAAATTCAATATCCCCGTAGAGATTTGGCATCTGCAGCAACTACTGGCCTTAATACACCAAAGAAAACACTAACCGGCACTACCAATTCACGTCCATCTTCTCCGGGATTAGCACCAGTGAGAATAAATGTGTATAATTTGCATGACTGTCTGCCAATTGTTGTTATAATGTTGCTTCTTATGTACATATGATTTCCTTGGTCTTCAAAATGTTAATGTTCCAGTAAAAATGTTGGAGAACTTGAATTACAGTGTTTGTTACCAACTTAGGTGTGGAAATGTGAAAAATGTTCTGTGTATACAACAAAATAAATGCATGCTTGTGTTACACTGAAATTACCAATCTGATACTGCAATGTGTATATACCTTGATGATGTACTAAAGAGGTCAATTCTCTGCCATGGTTCAGGACCCAATCACAGGCCCATCAGTGTTAGCTGCCTTACAGCAAAAACAACAGAAGAATAGAAAGAGGAAGTTGGACCATTCTGAGGTAAGAATCCGGTGTTATTTAGCAGGAACAATTTCTTCACTGTATTTCATAAAAATTTGATATTGAGGACAGTATACCAGTAGTGAAAACTGCTTTCAGATGAAGTCAATTGGCTGCTTCCTCAACCAAGAACCTCCTGGTTCTTGACAGGTTTATGCTTAGTCAAAGCAGGTAGACAATTAATAATAATAATCTATAAAATATACATAAGAACATGTTAACATACAGTTGTTAATTAGTCAATACATAAATTGTATATTGTAAAAAGCCACTAATACTCAAAGTGTTTTGGCCATACTCTTTACTGATGCAGTAAAGATCCTTAAAACTATCCATATACTGCTGCTAGGAAGACAGCAGTGAATATCCTAATCTAGCCCAGAATTACAGTACCTCCAAAAATCAAACTTTTAAAAACTCTAGGCCTTCAAACTATAGAAGGCCTAGAGTTTTTTGTCTTTTAATTCAATCCTTGGTTTTCACTAATTGACAACCCAAGGGCTGAATTTTTTTTAATGGGGGGGGGAGGAGGTGGAGAAGATTTTGTGATTGCTTTCCCTGTCCACTTCACCTGACCATCAACAGACCTTGTGGGTTACCTGTTGATGGTTCCGGGTATCAGTGTCCCCACAGTTCGGTTTCTGACCTGGCTACAGGTGGTTTTGTCAAGAAGGCTGTTAGATGTAGTCTGACATATGAGTCAATCCATTTGATTAGGTATGTTTTGAAGGCATTTATCAAGTTCTCTGGAATGCCATTAGAGGTTGACCAGTTATGTTTAGAGAGAGAGTGTTGAACAGTCTTGGGTCTGTAATGTTGATAGAATTATCTCTTAGCATACCAGTTGTGCCTATGCTTGGAGAAAGGCTCCAACACATCTACGATCCACTCAGCACATTGTGGGCAAAACTAACCTTGAACCCAGCAAGATGAATGCATGAGGCAAGAAGTGTGACTTTTCAGACCAGGGAAAAATACCATATAAAGCCATCGTTTTAGTTGCACCAAGCAGAGTTTAATTGACCATTATTGGTGTGCCAGTTAACAAGTATACACACACACACAAGAAGGATCCACAAATAGCATAAGCCAACTGCACAACATAACAAAAAGTTTCCAAGAATAAACTTCAAGTCATCTGTCTAGTTGAGCAACAGTCAGCCGCTTGCCCGTCAACCAGGTGTAGTGTCCATTCGTGGCAATCGACCATGTGCAAGAATGCTAATTAACAGTCCATGGGTTGCTAGTTAGTGTTTGGGAGAATGTTTTGAGTTTGGTAGAATGTGCTTTCTTGTAATAGTTCTGGGTTGGACTGAGTAGTCTCTAGCATTTCCCTAGCACTCGTATGACGTGGCAGGGACAGTTTGAAGAGACCCCTACTGTATTGGTATAGATTGTTGGCATGCACTGACCAAGCAGAAGTTCTTTTATTAGGGAGAAATTTATTTTATTTTATTAGGGAGTCTTATATTTTAGGGAAAAAATTTAAAAATAAGTACAGTAATTTCTCTTTCGATAAATTATTATTCTCTCAACTTATGTTTTCCACATTAACTTTTTAGAGCAAGTCTCCACCTGCACAGGAGGATGAAGGTCGTAGGGCATCAATTGGAAGTTCTATTGGAGGATCTATTGGAGGATCTATTGGAGGTTTGGGAGACATTGAGATACCGCCACTAGTAACTCCACAACAGACTGCTCCGAGACAGACTGGTTCTCTCGCAACCCATTCAGATGACCATGCAATCACGCGCATCAAGAACATGAAGATGATTGAGCTAGGAAAATATCGGATAAAACCTTGGTATTTCTCGCCTTATCCGCAGGTATATGTCTTTTGGTATTGTCGAAAAGAATATAGTGTTAATTATAGATTTAATTATAATATGGATCTTAAACATACATAATTTGTTTCTCAAGCTGAATTGCAAATATTATTTCCTGCTCATGATGAATGATATTCACTAAACTGCAAATTTTCCTTGGAAAGTCCTTCATGACTTCATGTTTGGGCCTGGCTATCACTTCATCCATGATAATACAAACTTTCTTTTCCTATTTGCTAAATACTTTCCATATTTTTATTGGAGTGTTCTGCCATTCCATAATACTGTAGTAGAGTATTGGGACAGTAATAACAATAATCAAAAAGTTATATGTGCTGGTATGTTTAACAATGAAGCTGGTATTAGGTGTCGAGTCTGATAATTTTGGACGAGTCAGCTATGTTCTGAAGATATAAGTAAAACTTAATTTTCCTGTTTTTAATTTATATGCAGTATTTAATGCCTGTTGCACTTCCCTAAAAATGCTCTTGAAATTCTGTGAACTGTATACATGTGATTTTCTTCTCATTTGAACAGGAAATAACAAATCTGGATTGCATCTACATATGCGAATACTGTTTGAAGTACCGAAAAAGTCGGAAATGCTTAGAAAGACACCTTGTAAGTTAAAATTAAACAATCTTTACTTGCTTGTACAGTATTAAAGTAAATTTGGACTTTTATTGTCAGACATGTCAAAAGAACAGTAACCTTAAGAAAAAAGTCAATGGGAATTAAGTACAGTACTCTCATTTGGAATATCTTGTTATTTTGTAATTTTTAGGTTTTTACTTCGTTTTTCATTCAGTGTCTTGAGAAGACCTCATCATGTGGACTTCAAACTTAAAGAACTAACATATGAGCTGAAATGTATGGTTGCTATTAAAATCAAGCAATGTAACCATATTGTACCTACCTGTATAGTGTTTTGGTTTGTTTTTATTTCATGGGGAGGACCCCTCAGTAGTTCTCCAAGTTTCAGTGCTGACAATGCCAAGCCTAGGAAATCGCATCTGAGACCCATGCTGACCCACCAGCCAAGATGCCTAGACACTGATCCCCAATAGCTGAAGTTGATGAAAAACTGCACTGAGAGTATTGGAGAAAGATCCAGGAGCCAAGTGAAAGCTGAGGGGAAATGTTCAAATATCGTAGATGGTGTAACTGATATATCAGAAGAAGAAAGCTGCTCAGTAGGAATCTCCAACTTTTTCCGGGAAGGAAATGCCTACTTTCTTCCCCCCTTTCCTGTACCATCAAACTAAAGACCCCCCCTAAAAAAAAATTGCTTCTACCCCAAGCTCCTGCATGAGGAAAGGTAAAGCAATATAAGCATCACAGAGAAGCACAAATTAGGGTGTATCATATACTAGGTCCCAGTTTAGCTTCAAACTGCAACTTAAGATGCCTGAACAACAGGATGCGTATGTGTCTTAACTTAAATTGTTACCCGAGACACTAGAATGGACGAGGACAGCCTGTGACCAAAACAAAAATGCACGAAAAATTAAATACAGTAATGAACAACACAGTGAAGCAAGACTGCGGGTAAAAGAGTACAAACCTCATCACATATGTGAGGTGACAGCTGAATGTACCCATAGTATGCATGCTCAATACTACGCCTCCCTCCCTGAAAAAAGTCAGAATGAACCATGTAAATAGTGAAAAAATTCAAGGGAATATCCACTGCCAAGACAAACTAAACCAGCCCAGAGAAAATAAGTGATTCTGGTTGGTTACTAAATACAGACACACACAATGACTATGTATGCTGTACACACACACACCAAACATGTCCTCTTATAGCACAGCCCAGTGCACAATGTAGCAAGCGTTTTCCAGGACAAACAAAAGTTATTTAATTGAATGATGTTAGCCGCCACCGGCCTGAAGTGCATGAGGAAACAGTCAGGAGAAATGTGAAGTGGGCAGAGCCTGGATACCCTATTAACATGTAGTTGCAGACACTTGATGGTACTGAAGGGTTTCAGCAAGCAGCATTACTCCTTCAGGTCTCTAAGGTGACGAATAGTACTTAGAGGGATTTTGAATGCAAATAAGTTAATAATTGTTTAGCCATTTTCTGGCTGTATTTTGAATTCTCCGGTGTTCCTCTAGTACCAATATGACCCATCAAGTACATTCGATAAAATACCAGCTTTGCCAGTGCAAAATGTTAAGCTGCACTGACTGTGCATAGTCCTGTCCATGGGAATAGCAAGACCTTGGCTAAAGGAGCAACCCAGTGGTACAACTCTGAAATTTCAGTATACAGTACTGTAGTTATATTTTTCGTATTAAAAATCACTTTTCCCATGTAATTTTGGTCAAGAAATGCAGAAAGGGCACACGTGCCACAGCAGCAGTAGTCTTTCTAGCAGAAGGCCCAGGAATCAATTAAATCCAGATAATCTAGACATCTGCTTATGATATCTTCTCCATTGTTATTTTTGTGTTGTGAAGAATAAATAGAATAGTGTGCAGCATATAGTATTGTTCTAAAATCGGTGAAATTTACAAGTACAGTACATGTACAGTACTGTAACTTTAAATACTAGAAACTTTACTAATACTGTACTGAAATGTAAATTTAAAAGATATTAATTGAGATGGAAAACTACAGTACTGTATTGCATGTTATAAGGATTTGTTCATTAAGAAAAGTTAATTGAAATAAATTTGAAAAAGGAATTTAAGAGTTTTCAATTAAATTTTGACTTTATGTTGATTTCATCTGCTATTTATATTTCTACAACCATTGCCACGTCTTATGCTGGTGATTCTCAGCACAGCAATACTTTGTGAAATACATATAACATAGTAAATTGTTATACAATGATTTATTTTGAAGTAATTAGTTACCCAACAGTAAATCAGTATATATATAAGGATTTAATTTTTGTGTCATTTCTTTCAGCAAAAATGTCCCTTCAAGCATCCCCCGGGCAACGAGATTTATCGAAAGGGATCCATATCGTTTTTTGAGCTTGATGGGCGTAAAAACAAATTATATGCACAAAATTTGTGTCTTCTAGCAAAACTCTTCTTAGATCACAAGACATTATACTACGATACTGACCCATTTCTCTTCTACGTTATGACCGAATACGACGCTCGGGGATATCATATAGTTGGCTACTTCTCTAAGGTATGGGAAAAGTCACACAAAATTAAATTAAACATTCACAGTATAGTATGTTTGAATGCAGTATAAGCATCATATATTAATCTGTATAGTATATATTTATTTATTTATTTATCTGTACAAAAAAAAATCCTACCTAACATAACCCAAACCTAAAGTAAACCCAACCAGCCTAACCCACTTTTTCTAATTTATGTGCTATTATTCCTTTAGAAATGTGTACAGTAGTGTTATATGTTGTAGGTGAAGAGCCGCAGATGAAGTAAACACTTACCCTGTAACGTTCATCTTGCCTTGTTTGTTTGATCACACTAAACACACGTCCCACCAGGTGCGTTAGCATATACCTTGCGGTTACCTTGTGATGATTTCAGGGCAAAGCGTCCCTGAGGCCCATTCCTCGACCAGGCCTCCTCATTGCTGGACTGGTCAACCAGGCTGTTGGGTGCGACTGCTCGCAGCCTGACGTATGAATCACTGCCTGGTTAATCAGGTATCCTTTGGAGGTGTTTATCCAGTTCTCTCTCTTGAACACTGCAAGGAGTCAGCCAGTTATGCCCCTTATGCGGAGTGGAAACGTGTTCAAGTCTTGGGCCTCTGATGTTGATAGTTCTCTCTTAGAACTCTATTGCACTTCTGCTTTTCAACGGGGAGGAAAATATATTTTCAACATATTCCCGCGCTTCCATTGTATTTACTCTCGGCTCTCACCTACAATGCAAGATGTGTGTTTTATCTTTGTGATATATTTGATGCATTATTAACTTATGCCCCTTTACTATTTTTTTACAGGAAAAAGAATCGTCTGAAGATTACAATGTAGCATGTATATTGACTTTGCCTCCTTACCAACGAAAAGGTTATGGAAAGCTACTTATCGAATTTAGTAAGTTCCTTGATTATTTATTAATTTCTGGGAAAGTCCCAATGTGTTGTTTATGCATATTGAAGGGCCACCTGCATTATTACAAAAATTTGTATATACTGTATGTGGATCCTTTAAATGTATCAGGAAATGCTTTCCCTTGTAGAACCGAGTCAAATATATTTTAATATAAAAAGTTTTAGAGCTTAAATATCACCATCCATTCTAATACACTTTACAAAATCATATAATTTTCAAATTACATTGCTTATTGCTTCCATAAGCTTATGAGTGCATCTTTTATATGTATATCCTTAGTCTTTAGTAATATGATCCAATTAAATGCAGTTTGGCTTAAATATCTTCTTAAATTTGTTTTGGAGGAAGAACTAAAGAGTAATATTTTCTTGTGCAGGTTATGAACTTTCAAAATTTGAAGGAAAGACAGGATCACCGGAGAAGCCACTCAGTGACTTGGGACTGCTGTCATACCGATCCTACTGGAAACAAACCATTCTCGAGATATTAATTGCACTCAAACCTCAGGAAGGCCAAGAAAAGCCACAGTTGACGATCAAGTATGATGTTTAATGTTTATTTTATGATTGCCTTATCTGATGATTGTCGTGAAATTCATTCCGATTCATGAGGCATCCCATGTGCCCTCTTATTTAGATGTTCCAGAGTTCTGAAAGTTCATCGTATACAGATTAACTAGTTGATGGGTTACGTAGCATCTCGACTGCCTCTATCAGTAGCCACGGCAAAATCTGGTCTGATCCCACCACTTTGCTTACATCATAATTTTGTTAAGTGTATCTTTACCTCAGCAGTTACAACCATATCACCCCTTAATGGTGTTTACCTGCTCCATCATCGCTTATAGTAGGTCTCCACTCTGGCTAGATATATGATGTGAGTTAGGGGAAGCTGGTAAAGCAGTGGTAGGGTGGACAGGAGTGTATGACAATTTAGATTACAGGAAAGGCAATCTACTATTTTGGGAATATGGGGGAGGGGAGCCATGCCTGATAGACTTTACCTTTTTATCTACAGTACATACTTCTAATTTGTTGGCCAGTCACTCTCTGGTCAGGCAACCTGTCCTCTTACAAATTACATCTGAATTTAGCCATTTGCTTGTATGGCCAAAAACTGACATACTTTGAAAATTAAAAAAAATGAAACAAATTTGGGATTTGTTTTTTTCCACAACAGCAAGTTAAGGGTCCTCTGGTAGGTTAGGAGGGCAGGAAGTTCTAAAGTTTTAAAACGTCATGAAAAACTTTAATTAACAGTGTCCTCTGCTAACCTAACAGACTAAGCTGGAGAACTCAAACAGAAAATGGGACAGTACATCACTTTCGTGAGCCAATTTCATTTCAAATTACGTCAGTTTTTGGCCATAGCGCACATACGAGCGAAAAGCGACATTATTTTGAGAGGATGGGTTGGGTCAGGAGGCTAGAAACTCAATTTTGTTAATTATATAATACAATTAAACTATAAAACACACATTTATGCCCTTCAGTAAGTTGAATTCTAACATATAGCCTAGAGGCTAATGTCTAGCAGACTGTTGTCATAATGAAATATAGTAGGAAATTGCATCTTTAAAACTATTAGGGTTATGATGAAATTTTGTTACGGTCATTACATGTCATATAGTGTTCAATATTTAATAACAAAAATAAAATCTTTATTTTCAGTGAAATATGTGAGCAGACCAGTATCAAGAAGGAAGATGTTATATCAACACTCACTAATTTAGAATTAATTAATTACTATCGTGGACAGTACATTCTCACGTTAAACAAAGATTTGGTTGATAGCCACAAAAAAATTATGGAAAAGAGAAAAATCAGAATCGACTCTAAGTACCTTCACTGGACACCAAAAGACTGGGCAAAGAGAGGCAAGTGGTAGTTGGTCTGAGAATTATAAGAAATATTGCATTAATACGTAGTATGTTGGTGTGTGCATATGTATTATGTCATGCCTTGTACCCTCAGTCGACAAACACGTTAAATTTCCCTACCAATTTTATTTATCTATTTATTTATTTATTTATCTATTTTTTTATTTTTTATTGGCTGTTTATAGGTTTTATAATTTTTGTAAATTTTAAGATTTATCTTTTTGAGAAGGTTAGTAGATTTAGGTCTAAAACCAGGAACTAGAACTAGTTAGGTTATTCACTGCCATGGATTCCCAAGAATGCGATCTTCCGATCTCTTTACATAAATGTCCCCAATTATTGCTGGGTGCACAGCAATGGTGCTCAGTTATTCTATCTGGGGTCATTCTCTCTTGTGAAGTGAGATGGTGAGGGTGATAACCATTACACCACAGGGTGCTTTAACCCTTCTACTACATGACATGGCTGTGGTTGATCTCGCAAATTATCCATGAACTGCATGACATAGTTGGGGAAGTTTTAAAGTACCACATAAGATTTAAAACTCCCGCAAGTACACAAGAGCTTAGGTCTGCTTTCTCAGGCCTCCAATAAATAGACACAGTCTTGTAAAAAATTTGTGGGTAACCCGGTCGTGGAGCCGGTCGGCCGAGCGGACAGCACGCTGGACTTGTGATCCTGTGGTCCTGGGTTCGATCCCAGGTGCCGGCGAGAAACATTGGGCAAAGTTTCTTTCACCCTATGCCCCTGTTACCTAGTAGTAAAATAGGTACCTGGGTGTTAGTCAGCTGTCACGGGCTGCTTCCTGGGGGTGGAGGCCTGGTCGAGGACCGGGCCACGGGGACACTAAAAAGCCTCGAAATCATCTCAAGATAACCTCAAGATAACCCTCCCTGGGGCCTCGGTACTAAGACAGCAACCATGGGTAGTGCGTGCAGCAGCAGCTCGTGCACACAGCATCACTGAATAATGATGAAATAAATAAGTAACAGTGATTATTTAATGGTAATAGTGCCATAGAAGTTTTATCATACTATGATAAAAACTATATACAGTACCTGATTTAGATATCAGTGCACCCATTGGTGGTTCTGGTGTTCACAGCACGATGCAGGCATCCATAGCACACAGTCGCAGTTTGGCATCATAAAATGGGACCTCGTGTTCCTTTAGAAAATAAACTTGTGGAAAATTATTCATATCAATATTTTAGTGACCAGAATTCTGATAACAAAAGCAATGTGTGACAATGTTGACCAGACCACACAGTAGAAGGTGAAGGGCTGACGACATTTCGGTCCGTCCTGGACCATTCTCAAGTCGATTGTGTGACAATGGTTGACAATGTGCATAGTATATTGGGAGGCATTTTGCTGTGTCAGGTTTCATCAGTAACTAACTAGTGTGTGGTGCTATGCTGTGCTTGGATTACAAAATTACCACACCTACCAGAACTGCTTAGTGGTTTATTATGGTGCATAAAAATATAGATACAGTACAGGTAGTTAAATATAAAGTGTAAATACAGTGAAACAATAGCAAATACAGGATGTTTTATTGTTCAAAGAATATATATATTGTGCACATATTGACATGACTATATTTGTGCATACCTATATTTCACACAATCTGTGATACAAATAACATTATTGACCGCCCAGTGTGTCATTGCACTTGAAAAAATCATACCTTGCGGTGGTTCCAGGGTTCAAGGTCCCCGCGGCCCGCTCTCTGACCATGGTAAAAGTCATAATAATATGAAGAAACTATAATGTATTCAGTGAGTGCAGTTATAACTTTGAGTTAAACATGCAGAGCTAATTTCTAATAACTGCTTATGAGATTATTACACCCGCCAGAACTGTTTAGTGCGGTGAAATGGTGCATGAAAATATAGATTGTTATATATAAAGTGTGTATATTGTGATAACAGCAAAAAAGTAGGTTTTATTTTCTCTTTTTTTTTTTTTTTTTACTTTCCCTTATGATCAAAGAATGCCTTTTAACTGTATTAGAAGGAAAAAAATATAGTTTTCTCATGCACCATGGCATTGTCTGCTATAAACAGGCACATTTACTTATGCATCAATATTATATACAATACTATACAGTTACCTTCCCTCATGGTTACTTTGTGTTGGGGTTCGGGATCAATGTCCTTGTGGTCAAGTCTCTTGACCAGGCCTCCTGGTTGGTGCTGTGGTCAATCAAGCTGTTAAACACAGCTGTTCATAGTCTGACATATGAATCAAAGCCCAGTTGGTCAGGTATCCTTTGAAAGTGTTTATCAAGTTCTCATTTGAACACTGTCAGAAGTCAGCTGTTATGCCCCTTAAGTTTGGAGGGAGTGTTGAAAAGTCTTGGGTCCTGGATGTTGTTGAAATTGTCTCTTAGCATATCCTTTACCCTTTGCACTTCTGCATGTCAATGGGGCTATTCTGCACTTCCTGCCATGCCTCTTAGTCTCCTGTGGAGTTATTTCCATGTGCAGATTTGGAAGACTCCCTCTAATATTTTCCAAGTGTAATTAATGATGTATTTCTCTTTAGTTTGTGCTATAGAGTATACGGATTTAAGTATTTTAAGCCGACCCTATGATTTAGATGTTTTATTGAGTACCTTTGGGCAGCAAGAGTTCTTTCCACATTCTCCAGCTTTGAATGGGGCTGTTAGTTTGCAACAATCTTCAACCCTAAAGAGCACTAGTTTCTTACAAAAAATACTATCATTGGTCAGGTGTCTCTTGTTTGAAAGGGTCTTGTCTCCAACCTATCATTTTCCTCCAGTTGTGACATTACTTTATTGTGTTTTTAAAAGTAAGTTCTTCTGACATAATGACTCTCAAATATTGTTTCTTTGTACTATAGTGGGATTTGGCTACATTTTGTATGTAGTTTCCATTTTTATTCTTATGTTTTTTCCATGGTGCAGGAGGTGGCATCTACCCTCATTAAACATCATCTTTTATTATGACCCATTGAAAGACCTGATTATCATCAGTTTGGAGGTTTGCTGTATCCTTTGTATTGTCTATTCTCCTGAAAATACTATATGTCATCTGCAGAGGACCATACAATACTGTAGTTTGTGACCTTGTCTATGTCCGATAAGAAGATGAGTAAAGGTACAGGAGCAAGCACATTACTCTGGCAGACTCAGCTTTTCATGGTCGATGATCTGGATTTTACTTTGTTGTCTATTATACTCTGACTTCTGTTCATTATAAAGTAAAAGATCCATTTTCCTACATAGCTAGTAATTCCTTTTGAATTCTGACTTGAATGGAGCAGTTGACTCTGAAACCTTATGGTGCATCCAGTCTTTATTTTGTTATTTTCTTGCCACAAACATTCTGCTGATAATAATGAAAACAGTAGAGATGCAATTTGTGTATATTTTTATACCAAATTTATATAGAAAATAAGTAATTATTGTTAAGGTACCCATGGAATCTTATCACTAAGGTACACACACACAATTTTACTGCTAAGGTAGTCAGATTTACTAAGAAATTCATTGAGATGTGTGGCATATATGAAAGGTGGGGAAGCAAAATTTCTTATCATTCTCAAATTCAGGACCTTAACTAGAAGACGAATTACTGTTACGAGAACAATGCAATTAAAACAGTGAGAGGCAAGCTTTTGTACCATTAAGTGCCCATGTGATGGCCTTGTGTGGCTTATATGTGCCAAGCCATTTATCGTGTCCTGTTATTGTATGGTTTTAAGAGTAAGGCTGTGGGGGATAGGTCACAGTTGCTGGCAAGTAATTTGTCATAGGTGGTAGCCAACCATCTATCTTTCCAATGTGTGTGGATATTATGAATGAGAGGGGTCAAAATCCTTGTACTGGGTGGGCGTCTAGGAGATGGTACATGTACGAATGGCTTCCAAAGCAGTGGCATGCATCTCCTTGGTCATTGGAGGTAAGGGAGCCGGTCGACCGAGTGGACAGCACGCTGGACTTGTGATCCTGTGGTCCTGCGTTCGATCCCAGGCGCCGGCGAGAAACAATGGGCAGTTTCTTTTCACCCTATGCCCCTGTTACCTAGCAGTAAAAATAGGTACCTGGGTGTTAGTCAGCTGTCACGGGCTGCTTCCTGGGGGTGGAGGCCTGGTCGAGGACCGGGCCGCGGGGACACTAAAAAACCCCGAAATCATCTCAAGATAACCTCAAGATATAACATCAATATGATGGGGAGGACCCAGTGAAACTTAATTGTCTTCTACCTGTGAAAGATAAGGGCACACTAGTATACATTTTCAACACTTTTGCATTTCAATAATGCTAGGTTGTATCATCCGTACTCCAAAGTAAATGTTTTGACGACACTAAAATGTGTCGTCCAATTGCTGCTTATAAACATTCGTATAGTCGTCGTCGTGTAAAATCCATTAAAAATGCACTTTTGTTTTTGCTTCTGTTCTCTAGAGAATTTGTTTGCAAACATTGTGGCATCAAATTTATACTAATAAACCAACAAATAACAAGAAAAATTAAAAGCGATTGTAAACATTTCAGGACCTGCCAAGCCCGCTATGTTTACGTTCAGGAACTTGCGGAGAAGAGCACAATCTTTATAATAAATCTATTTTGGCATTTTGCATCTTTTCTCTAGACAGTTCATTTGCAAACATTTGAACACCAAATTTATAGTCATAACTCAAAAATAATTTTGAAAATGTAAAATGATTGTGAAAATTTTTTGCCACATTGAGTGGCCTGGGGAACATTTATGGTCGGAAATGTGCGGAAAGGTTGGACCCCCAGTGTTAATAAAAAAAAAATTGTTTTGTTTAAACAATATTTTTACAATTTAAACAATACAGTACTGCAAAATTGTAATTTTATACAAAAACTAGCTTAGCAACCTAACTCCAAAATTGGCATAATCTTTTGTATGGTAATCCTGCCTAATATAGGTAGTTATGTCTGTATTAGATAAAATTACATAACATTAGTAAATTATGCTAATTTTGTGACATGCAGGAAGATTTTAACCAGGTTTTAGCATAAATTTGAAATTCCATATAGAGCTTATTTGGCAAAAACTACCATTGTCTATGGGGTTTAGTTGGTTTATGTTGACTGAAACGTCAGACATTTATCAGAAATTGGTCAAAACCAGCTGATGTCCAGATACCAAGATTCCAGACTTGATAACCCTGCAGAATACTTAAGTGTTCACTGTATTTCCTAAAATATAACCTGCTTAGTATAATAAAGAAAAATTGGCTGTCATTTCATATTAAAATACTAAAATCATATTAACTGCATTAATATCAATCAATCAAAATGCTGTACTGTATGCAGACGAGGAGTCACAATAATGTGGCTGTATTGTACTTGTAAGACTTAATTGTGAAGCATACTTGGGTGTATTAAAGACATTGAGTGTACAGTATAATATTTTCAAAAGATTCTAGAGCTGGTTTATACTTTTTGACAAGACATGTAAATGAACAATTACAGTGCCACCGGGGCCTGGCAACAATGCAGGTAAAGTGTCGGTACAGCTTGGACCCAGCCGGCGGTTGAGATCGAGAATTCAGATATCCAGGAACCTATCTTTGAAGGCTGAATAAATGGGAGTTTCACTCTACAGGTATACACAAAATTATAAGCATACTGTATATAATAAGTATTCATGCATCTACTGTACTGTATATATATACCCCATATATATATATATATTTTTTTACAAATGAAAATAAATATTTATTGTACTGTATATAAATTATTTTATTCGCCTATTAGACGAGTTATATTATTTTTATTCACCTGTTGGCCGAGCTATATAATATATATGGCTCACTGCAGCCTTATTGGTTTGTGATCTATTATAAAATGAATCATGTGTTAAAATCTTTAGCATTATGAGTAGGCATCCTGCAGTCTCGACTCAACATAAAATGTTTTGATAATACAACCAGTCTAAATCAAGTCCTTTAAATCTTAAAATCATCTGGCAACAAATGACATAAAAACCAACAAAATTCAAAGTGTTATTGGCCTGTAAACCAATTGAATGTTTAGAAAACTAAGTCTGAGGGTTAGGAAATATGTCTAGGCATTTAAGGATGTTATGTCTGGTGTGTGTGTGTATGCTAGAATTCTGTCAAGAGCATTGAAAAATTGCATCAATAAGACTGCCTGTAGATTATTTTAATTCCAAAAAATGCTTGATTTAGAGAACATTTTTGATGAATGGTGAAAATTCACATTTGCTAAGTACTGTACTAGTAATGAAAAATTACCCAATCAATTAGTGTGGATTGAGGTGTGCTGAGGTAAGGAATGTTTGTTGCTTTTGTTCCTTGAGTGTCCCGGCCAATTAATAAGGTAACTTGACTTAAATGAAGCTTAAATGTATATCACATTACCACCAAACACGTGTCCTCCCAGCTTATCCATCACAAGGTGGGGTTACCTATGCTTTTAAACAGGTCTACAAATGACAGAGTATGATTACAGGTAAGGTAACTGCACCATGTGAAGATGATGACAAGATGCCAAATCAGGATACAGGAGCCAACGGAAAACTGCACAATTTAAAAAGAAATCGTCCATTAAAGATGCAATTTACAACTGGGCCAATGAACACATTAAAGAACAATTAGTTCTACAACCTGGTAGAGATATTGGGTTGCAATTCTGAGGACTTCAGTCATGCAATTTATGAGGCATTAAGAGAGGCTGATAACTCCTTTGCAAGTAGCTAGATAATGATAGCAACACAGATTATGAGACTGTTGAGGTAGAGAGTGGCATGTCACCCATTTCATTTGCTTCATCATTGCAAAAAGTATATAACCTGTACGATACACTTATTGACACTTAACATGTAAGGTTGGCAGATCAGTATGCTTAGAGTATACTTGGAGTCTGTTCTAAAGTTCTTTTACTCCCTAAATCCAGCCTGGGACCAGGTTTGTATCATCATAATCAACCAGCACAAGACGGGAATGGAAGTGGTTTTAATGAAGCTCACACCGAGGAGACAACTAACCCTTGTGCAATTTGTTGGCTGACAGAACAGGTGCATCAGCCATGGCCCCAGCCCTCTGAAAGTGTCAATTGAGCTGAACTGTACTACTGTATCAAAATACAATGTTGTAGTTTGTTTTTACATTTCCTAACATTACGTGCATTGTTTACTTTCATACTGAAGTTATTTTTTCCTAAGTATATTTCTCCCACATCCTATTTGACACTCCTGATAAGATAAGTAACAACTTGAGTTCATTACACATTTTTACTTTACTTTTAAAATTTTAATTTTTTTTTACTGTATTGAATATATATATTTATATGTAATTCATGTAACACTGCAAATAAAAACCTGTATATAGAGTACAGCATATATTGTACTTAAAACAGGAAAAAAACACAATTGTCCCTTTTATTTCCTACACTTTAATTTTTTCCAATACTGTAGTAGTGTACTGTACATACATTGCCACCTTTCAAACTGTAAGCTAAATGTTATTTTTATGCCAAAAAAATAAAGTTTGATTTAGACACCAACACCTGTTTCGGTAAGCCACTGTTGTAATGATTTGTGTAACTTGTTATGAACAGTTTCCTGTTCTGAACTTGACAACTATGATTTTTTTACATCACTGATAAATGCAACTTCTAATCCTTGAGTACACACTATATAACTTGAGTTGTTCCACGTTATACTATTGTGAAGACTTTTGTTTATGTAAATAATTTACTGCAAATTTGTGTAAACTAATCCACCAATAAATGTATACATATTTATGAGTAAAACAGTTGAATTTGAATCATAACGAGTTCCCAGTAATGTAGTACTCGCCTAATTGTGCTTGTGGGGGTTGAGCTTTGGCTCTTTGGTCTAACATTAATTTGGTACTAGCATTAATGGTTAAGCATTAATTCATTATCACCCTATTTTAAATTCTATTATCATCTTAATTTAATTATAGCATTTATTAACCATCCCAAACTTTTAATGTTCGTTTTTTGGCAACTCGTACAATACTGTCCTTCATGCCTTCTTTGCATTCTAACAAGATTAATTTACATTTGTTGGGATTAACTAAGCCATTTGTCTGCAGTAAAAATCATAAATGATTAGGCCTTAACCATTATTTTGGTTTTCATGCAAGACCTATTAAGACATCCACATATTTTCTGTAACATCAGAGGCCTCAGGGACTGAGCCCTGCAAGATCCACTTGCTGCTCCCATTAATTAACATTTCCCATCTCGGTATTTGCCATTTATCGTTTGTCATGTGCATTAGAGTACAGTATTTCCATTTCCCTCTTCCCTATCTTTTGAACAGATCTCTTATTAAAGGTGTTATCAATGTTTTTAGCAATATTGTACAAGATGACGTTCACCAGTTCTTCTTTCTCATCCCCATAACTACTGCAGCACTGTCAAGTTTGAGTCATAACTTGCTCACACACACACACGACAAAGTGCTGGGAAGATGGGACACCATGAGCGTAGCTCTCATCCTGTAACTACACTTGGGTAATTACACACATACTCGTTTACAGAGTTTACCATCTCCAAATGTTATACAGTACTATTTTTTCTGATACTTTAAAAGGGAATGTAATTCAGGACCAGTCTGTTTCAATATCATAACATGTGTGCAGTCTTCTCAAAATTCTGCGAGGTCCTCCATATTCCCCCACACTCCTTTACTTCCTTCTGAGAGCTCCCCATTATGAGGTGATCACAGCACAAGGTTCTCCAAGAGCCTCGTTATCAACCTGTAGCATCTGCTGACATGGGATAAATTGTTACCAACATCACAATTCACTGATGTTTACTTTACCTCCCTAACCCACTTCTGTCTCTCCAAAAAAATAATGCCTCCCCTACTCTTTACATTGAGCATTATTACAATATTAGGCATCGAGAGATTTCAGTGCCGTTCATAAATCTTTCACAATGCTTCTCAATCAATCTAACATGCTTCATCCAAATCCGTAAGGATAGCATACAACTTTTTCCATTGCTAAAACCTTTCTAACTTTTTGAATAGTAAAAAATCTGATGTGTCGCTCCTCATATCCTACCTTATCTCGTACGTTTTCAATTGCACTATTACAATTACTATAGCAATTGCACAAGTACTATTAATACTTCCTATTACCCTCTCTCCTATACATAGATACTACAATAATCTTTGTCAAACTGGCAGGCACCTTCAACATTAATCTCCATCTCAACAAATGCAGTTATCCCATCTAAGCTACAAGTCTTATTTTTAACCTATTCATAGCTTCTCTTAATTTCTCCCTTACCCATCCTCTTCTGTTCAACTGGTTTTCTTTCAGCAACTCTACACAATGTTAGCGAACATGTGCAGCAGCAATCAACCTGAAGGCAATTGGACCCCAAGTTATGGTATAACAATTGAAGATGGGATTATTCAGGGAATTAATGGTGATGTGGAGGAAGTTACTGAACAAATGGAAAAATAACAATTGTTTCCAACAGTGAAAATACACAGTTTTTAGAAATATTTTTGTACTTTAGGTGGGGCAAAGAACTGATCATCAGAGGCCAATGAAAAATAAGACTGGTCAAAATAGATATTTATTTGGCAAGATCTTAAAAAGCCAAAGGCATTCAACCACTTACGTTTCAGCAGATGGTAGTTGAAACAATTTGCCACGCATTTGTAGTCATTTATAGTCAAGTTACTGTTAATGTACAGAATAAGAGTCCTTCAGTGATCAAGATAACTCCAAGATCAAGTTGAAATTTATCAGTGTAATTTTAATTCTATGAAGATGTAGACTTAAATTAATGTAAAAATAATTTTATGGGAAAATTCTTAATAAATCAGATCAGTGATTTGGATCAGGGTCCACTATGATACAAATTAGCAGACAGTTTCTGGGATTATCAACGGCAGTACAGTATCACCTGGCTCTCGGGGGGGCAAATTGGGATCGGACTATCATTTTACCAGTCCAGTTTTGCAATTGCAAAATATTTTGATTTCTAACCCCAACAAAACATGACCTTGTGCATATAGTATAAATTATAAAACAATATAAATCATGCTTTTTAAAAGTTTCTTGGAAATTCACTTTAGTTGGTAGTCATTATGATTTAAGTGTTTATTTTTTGTAGTGCATATTACCTCTTCATTTCATTTATTCCACATGCCTGTGTGCAAAGGAAAATAATTAAAAAAAAATTATTTGGTATACTGTACTGTCTTTATAGTTTGAATCGATAGCCCGTTGTTCTTGAGGCCACTTGGCTTAGTATTCCGACAAATGTTCTTCGCATTTCAAATCAATAAAAAAGTACTAAAGATATCACCATTTAAATAATTGTTTTGAGTCAATAAGTTGAGTCATTAAGATAATAAATTCCTAATGGGAAAAAAAAGTTGTTTTTTTAACATTTGGCAATAAGGGGATACATAATCAATTTTAGAAGAGGATAAAATACATACCTATCAAGTTTGACAATGTAACACGTTCACTCCGCAGTTTGACATGCCTCCCTTGCTCAACACAATACAAGAGCCAGCCCTCACATTGTACTCCATGTCACAAAAAATACAGTACTGTACTGTAAAGTTTAGTTCTCCACTGTTTTCTATCCACTCAATTTCCAAACCTGAAGCAAAGATTTGTTCCAAAAAATTTTTCTTTATAGCAGCTCTATTAAACTCCCTTTTTGACCCCACACGGCATACTTGCTCTCATACTCCCCCCATTATCTCTATGACTAAAAAAAAATTTGGTCATTAACTTAATTTTATAAAGTTGACAATGTATTACAAGACATTTTTAATTCAGTGGTATGAAGTATAAGAAAAATAAAAAGAGTAAAACTGTAGTTTATTTATACAAGCACAAAATGACTCAAATGAAGGGATTCATATATACCCATCTATACATATATATATACACTCCATCCACACACAGGTCATTTGAAATCAAACTGTGCAGTATGGTTCATATAAATTCTCTATCAACATTGTACATTAATTTCACTTGAAAAAATAGCAATATACTGTATTAACTAATGACTTAAGTCAACATTTGAAGAATTTCCAGCAGTTAAAAAGCTCTCGTCATTGGTCAAATCTTTTCTTCAATTGTCAACATTTAATAATGTTGGCCAATACATAATCTGGAACTTTTTAACGTGATCTAAATACTGTAACACCAGTTTTCTTAATGCTTGCTGATCAACAAAAAGCAAAAACTTCAAAAAAAAAAAAAATTATTTTATTTTTGCTCCCTAATATTTGTATCTTTCGTTATCAGTACCTTTCTCATTTTAATTAGGGAAAATAAACACTCAAAACTGTGTGAATAAGCTCTTCAGTAAAACTGAAATTAGTTTTAAACTTACGTAGGTATACATAAATACAATGCCAATTTTCCTAAATTTTGCATAAATTATTTTTTTAATTTATGCCTAATCCAATTTGCCATGTTCCCACTCTTTTAACTTCCTCCCGATAACTAATCACACAGAACTAGTTCTTTTAGTGCAAAACTGACCAGCATGAGAAAATACTAAATAACCTGGTCGGAATACATCATGACAGTAATGAAAACAAATCCTTGCATCACTATTACAGGTACCATAAAAATCCCAGGAAAACATGAGATGAAAATAGTCATCACCATAATGATGGTGCAATAACAAAATAAAGAAATGCAATTCAGTGTACTGCAGCTACTGGCTCATCGTGGAAACACCAACTGTGATGCAGTCATCGCCTCGGGGAACAGGGAATGGTAACTCATAACAGGAACATATGCTGCAGTTATCATTTTACCTAAAGGAAAAAAAAGACAGACATTAAGGTTACAAATTAATTTTTGCATGATGTTAATATAAACTGCATAATTAAGATTACTTTGTAAATCCAAAACACTACTGTATAGCTAAAAATAAATAAAACTGCAACTTTACGTGCACACTTACCGGCAAACCATCGTCCGTGCAGGGCGTTAACAGAGGCCGCAGCGGTTGCTATGGTGGGACATTTGACGTAGACATTACCCTGAGCAGACTGTCTATCCACAAATATATGCAGAACGCCACCATGTTTGTTACATTCTTCTAAAACATCATCTCTAATTTCATCTGCCCAATTAGGATTAGATTCCCTGAAATAAGATGTGGTTACAATGTCAGTGATTATTTACAAGCAATTACATTAGACATGTCACAAAAGATTAAAACTCATTGATACGGTATCACTCAGGATGTCAATACATGGGCAGAAATACAGGTGATCCATGCTGAATAAACCTGTCGCAAAGGATGCCACACTCCTATTGACAAAGGAGCAAGTGGTCCTGGAATTAAAGGAAGTTCTGAAGGAATAGCTGCAAATTGTCCACTATATCAAAAGAATGTAAGCAACCCAAAATAAAATATTACCAGGTAATATCACACTTTCAACATGCAGGTGGATGGTTGAACCAAAAGATTTTTCAGGTATAATTACAATTGTTCATATGCAATAGATAGTGTCTGCCTGTTTGTGTGGGTAGGTGTACTGCCATAATTGGAGGCCAAACTCTTGTGAGGGTCAAGCCCCATGCCCCGCTTGAAGAAGGTTCATAGTGGCCGATATTCCCTTGAAGAGATGTCGGCCCTATGATCCCATACTTCAAGAAGTCAGTGATGTGAAATATGATGCTCTGTGACTGTAGACTTTAGCATTTTAAATATTTGTTTCAAATACTGACAGGTAAAACATACTCAGATGACTGATTTGAATTTTGGGTGCAACTTTGCAGTGATGGAAACAGGAATGGGACCCCCTCCCCCCAACACAAGATGAGGACAAGATGATGGGGGTGGTGTGAGAGGAGAGAAATGACAGGATGTGGGGGATAGGACAAGATGGGGGAGGGAGTGTGTGTAGGGATATGATTGGGAGGGGTGTGAGGGGGAGATGATGGGGTGGGTGTGTGTGTGTGTGTGTGTGCAGTGGACATGGGGGAGAGGCATGCATGCACAAATAGTGGACATGGGGTGGGTGTGTTTAGGGGAGATATAGAAATGGTGTAAAGGGTGTGTGGGGGACATTGTAGTTGTGATATCATTATACTTCTAGCTTTTATAACTTTATAAATATACCAACAACAAACAAATGGTGCATTAAATGTTTTTAAAATCCATATGCATCAGTTGGCTCGAAAGGAGTAAAATGTCAAAACTGAACTTAACCACACAGCCAAACCATGCTGTATACAACAATGAAGCTGGAATATTTGAGATTGTTGCACAATTTTTCTAGCACATGCAGAGCTAAAATAATAAGTTTTGTACACCAGCTGATGGCAACAAAATCGTTAAATCCTTCACGAAGATACTTGTAAGCCAACGTACGCTTTATGTCAAACAGTTATGCATCACAAAACAAGTGGGTGCTACTAACGTTGAAGGATCAAACATATTGGAGAGAAGGAAACACTGAGTAGCAATGGGCGGTGCTGGCTGTTGCTGTGGTTGCGCAGGCATGTGTAAAGCATTGGCAGCTGCTGCAGGAAGCTGAAGACCAGTTCCCTCTGCTAACTTGGCCATCAACTGAAGGCGCCCTGTTGCACCTGTCGAGTAAAGTTTGATTTACTAGATTTTATAAAAATATTCAATATATATATATATATACATAGCTTGTCCCAGGCAATATTGTGTTAAGCATATTTATTATATGCAACCAGATAAATAAAAAACTTCATGAAAGAGGTATAGATCTTAAACACTAATGCAAAGTTATTGTATGGGATTTTTTTTTATTATAAGGATCTTATTATATACAGGATCTTTACTTACCTAAATCAATGCCTGCTCTCTCCATTTCATCTGAATCAAGAAGTGATGTTCCCTGCTGTGTTTCAGAGCGTTCTGTGACATGGTTTACTTTCATAGGCCTCCCAGCTAGTTCAAAGCCATTCAACTGCTCCAAGGCCTTTTTCGCATCATCGGAATTGTGGAACTGAAAATAAAGTGTATGTTCATCAAACTTGCCAAAAATATAAATACAATACTGTAATTTTAAAATCACGTAATTATGTCTCCAAAATAACAGGACGATTTATTTATTAAACAATGAATTACTGACCCATTTTAAATTCTACCCATCCAAAACTCTTCTTTTTGCACCCACCGTCTAAGTTGATCCCCCCCCCCCCCCCCAAAAAAAAATTCTTCTTGATTATCTTTCTGGCATTCACCTCATCCTACCCTCAATTTCCCAAGCACACTTAACCACCCAACCATTATTCATTCATTCCTAATGTCCAAACTATCTCGATACACTCTCCTCAATCTTACAGTTATGCATTCCATCTCTCTGCGATACCTCCATACTGCACATGCTTCTCTGATTCTCAAACAACATTGCACCAATTTGGCTGCATCAAATTCTATCTTCAAGCTATAAAAGTAATAAGAGAATGAGCAAAGTCCAATTTGGTTAATATAAAAAGAAAAAATGTAGGATCAAGTGCCATTATTTTAGTTAAAAAGAGACTAACAATGGAGAAGTAAGTAAGTAGCTGAACATTTAAATCAAGAAGACTAACATAACTATACCCAAAATATTTAATGCAACTTATAGGAAACGATTCTTTGAGCACGAAGCTTCCCAACATTTAAGCCACCAAGTAGACAGATACAAATTATTAATAAGTGGAGGAAAGAGGCAGAATATGATACAGTAAATACACACACACACACACATCAGGCAGACTCCATATACACTTTCAAATGTAGATATGATAGAGACCAGTAGGATCAGAAATCTGTACACCAGTTGATAAACAGCTGAGAGGTGGGACCAAAGAGCCAGAGCTAGAGCTCAACCCCTGCAAGCACAACTAGGTGAGTACACCCACCCACACACAAAAGCAAACTGTACATATTGAAGTGTACATGCATTTACAATATTTCACTTGATATGTATAGCGTTTTCAGCATACTAGTACCAGTATATATGAGTAAAGATATATGTACACTAAACTAACCCTAACTCCTTGCATACAAAAACTTTAAAGTTTTTTGTTTAAAAAAATTTGGCCATAGTTTCAGTTTTAGCAAGATAACTCACCATGAAATGAACTAATAATAAGATCTAAATCTGTCAATTTCATACATAGATCAATAGTTATTAGCACGTGATAATTAGATTTTGTGGAATTGTTTAAACATCGATGTTGCGCATATGATTCTAAAATACCTTGGTGGAAGCAATAGCAGCAGCATGGAGATTCAATTAAAATGCTACCATCATCACGCAGCGACTTACTAGTCAATTGCTGTATTCGTCCAGACAATGATTTGATGTTTTGCACCGATGATGCCCATGGTGCCAATAGGTCTCCATAGATGTCATGGTGCTGCCCAGGCCCTATGCGAGCCAATTAGCCATCTCAGTAAGCATTAAGTCACCATGGCAGATCGTACCTCATTGTCGTACTAATCGTACCTCAACTTCCACAGGTGGTCCTAGCCAGAAATGAGACATTGAGCACTTGCAAAAATACATCAACTGGTGTTAACGGAGGATAGCAGCAGAAATGGTAAGGAAAATGTCCGAATCAAGTTGTACACAGTGCAATGGATGAATTAAATGACTACAAAAACAAGCGGTGGTAGTTGTTGAGAGGGGTTTGAAGCTACACAGCCCTCCATGAGAACACTGCCCCATATAGTCAGCCCAATCTAATTAGATGGAAAAAATTATTTCAAGTTGAGTTAGAAAAGCAGGCTAGGGTAACTGGAAAGACAATGGACTGAACTAAGGAACATCTGGAATGGAGCGTGGTTGTGAGAGGTCAGGATGGAGAATGAACACCAGGCTTGGTAATTGGAACACTACAATTCCTGGTTAATGTAAATGACTTCACAAGAGGAAATATAATCATATGTCAATGTTTGAAGAAGATACTAAACTGAAGAGGACAGCATAATGCTACCAGTCAACCTGAACAGACTGCAGAAAAGACAACAAACAGACTGATGCACTACTTTCAACTGACAAACCAAAATTCCATTTCATTCCTTTGACAAAACACTACCTGATCAACCGGGCTGTGATCCATACATCAGGCTGTGATGTATGGACCACATGGGTAAGTGGATGCAGCTGCATCCAACAGCCCATTTGCCCAAGCCAGGACTAACCACGAGGTCTGGTCAGACGGGGCCGAGGGGACGTTGATCCTCGGAACCAACAAGGTAACCAAGTAGATATAGATGTGTTTACATGAGGTGAGAAATGGCTCTAGAGCCTGCCTGGCCTTTATTGTACATACCTGTGAATAGTGCCTGCTTCTACCACTAGAAAAAGCTCATTCCACATCTTACTATTCACAATGCATAAAAATAACTACGTTCCTCTGGATGTTTCCCCATTTTCACTGTGCCCCCTCATTATGTGGTCCATAACTTGGACTAGACACTACCCATGACAGTTCCCACCAATATATTTTCTTAAGATCATACCACTAATTGTCTTATCAGTGTTAGTTTTAGTTCACTTTGTCTTCATTCATCTAGAGTACTTGACTTGAGGCAAATCTTTGGCCCTTTTCAATTTTTTTTTTTTGTATTTTACCAGATGTGGGTGCCATGCTGGATATATTATTTTGAAGGACTCCTTGGTCAGGACTTTGATGTCATCCTTATATTTGAGTCATGGATATACAGCTGATATTTGGTTTGTGTGTGCCTATAGCATCTTCATAACTATACTGCCCTAACCTCCTCAGCCAAACCTTACTACATATACTGGCCTTTGGATTAATGCTCAGCAATAACCTCCAGCCTCATGCTTAGTATGAACTATATACTTCACACTCCAGCAGCTTGTTCAGGTCATACTGTACCATTATGCAATCAACACACCGACAGGTACGATCGGACCTCATCTGGCAGGTCATTTAAATCAATCCAAAAAAGAAGTGGTCCAAGTACCAAGCTTTGTGGTAAACTTCTCTGCATTTTGTCTGTAATGCCAACAGTCTTGAAAGATGCCTTTCACGTTTACACGTGTAATTGGAGTATATTTGAAGTTCGTGGCATTTTGTGGTCTTGATATACAACAGAACCTCCATTTCTGGTTATCCAGATAGATATTTGCAGCCCTCCAAACCTAATAACCACAGAACCCCCATTATCCATGAAATCTTTGCTTCCCTGCTGAATCTCTCAGACATTTATTCCAACATAAAAATCTCACTGGTATCCTACATATTAGCACATTCCAATTAAAATCCCAATGCAGGTACATTTAGTATCTTACAAAAATTATCTTGTTATCTTTCATTCAATTGTTAAAATTTTAACTTCGTTATTCAGACATCGGATGTACCAAATGATCAAAATAACAAGAGATCACGGTATCCAATGATGTGCTGAAACTTGGTAAAAAAAAAATAGTGAACATTTTACACTTTTGCATTCCGAGGATAGGATCCGTTTTCTTAGTGAACCACTCCTCCCAGCCGTGGACTCTGCAATGCATGAAATTTATCCTCATTTTCTGTTTGCAATCCTATGTATAAAGGGTTAGGTTTTTTACTAAAATGTTCATAAATATGATCAAGAATATAATAAAAGTGTATACTCAATATTGTGTGCAATTTGCGAAGAAGAAAATAGATAACCCATGTTGTGTGTACAAGGAAATAAAGATTTTGTATAGGTTTTATAAACCTTTCTATACTGGGCAAATAATTTATGGTTAGATACATATTTAGTATGTAAAGATCAAGTACCTTAACAAGGTACTTGAACTTTGTTTGTGTATCATCATTAGATGCCCGAATACCTATGTTTACTTTTTCATAGACTTTTCATAGGCTTAAAACATTAATATTTGTAAACAAATTATTTGGAAATTTAAGGTCTAGAAGCTCGTGTAGTATAACAAAATTAATCAATGCAGAGTGTGGAGGATGCTGCAGAATTTACAAAACTAAATATATTTCTACATTACTTGCCTATTTATGAACAAACAATTTAAAAGATGTCCCAGTGTGTAAATGACTAATCTATACCACCAAGGAAGGCAATGATCATGTAATTATTTAATATTGAAAGCAAAGCACTAAGTGTGGAACCTTTAATATGGTAATGGTAATTACCATATTATTTACGAAGCACTAAACTGTAAAGCAGAGATTTAAGGGTTCTGAAAGCTCTGCCTCCCTTGTGAGGCTTTGTACTGTCTATACCAATATGATGTAGAAATAATGTGTAGTGAACAAAAGAGTTTAATCGTTGATACGTCACATTATATGATTTCTTTGTGTATCTGAAGAGAAGCATTGGGGAGGGGGGGGGGGGGACTCCTATACCACAGCCAGTGTATGCAGGTAATGCATGAAACCCTGAGAACCCCCCAGAGGATTTAGTTCAATACCAAGTTGCATTACTTTTTGCATATCGTGGCTTAGTGGTTAAGGGTGTATGCTTGGGAGTACCCAATGTGCACGTTCAAACCCTCCTCATGGCTCCTACTGATTTTCTCATGTTCAGCAAAATTATTTGAGGATAATTTTTATTTGAACGTGAAACTTAATGAACAAACCCACAAGGGCCGTGATGAGGGTTCGAACCTATGTCCAGGATGACCCAGACATCCCTTAGTCGACTGTGCCACGACATGGTAAAAGAATTGGAAGCTGAAGTTCAACTTGCCCTCACGAGGCTCACGCAGTTTCTCCGTTCACTTGATATATATCACACTATTGTGATTTCTGTGTGTAATGAAGCTAAATCTTGATGACATACCACTGAATAACTAGAATGCATTTGATACTACACTAAAGTACCTATACTCAATGTTTCTGTTGTAGAGGTACAATACATGTATCATGGTATTATGATATAATACATATCAAAGTAGAGGTGGCAGTCATTCTTGCTGTCACTGCTTTAACAGCACAAATTGCAAGACTCGCCCTCCAGAATTCACCACCCTGGCAACATCTAACTCCTCACCAGTCTAACGCAAACTCGATATTTATATCTTTATAAATATGGAGTAGGAATTTCCCACCAAAAAATCTTTAACTACATTTTTTGCATAAAAATTTTTTTTTAGAGAAGATCGTCTGTTTTAGTTTTAACTATGCAATAAGTTTATAACTAATGTTCTACTTACTGTAATGAATCCATAACCTTTTGATCTTCCAGTCTCAGAGTCCATTATGAGTTGAATGTGGTCAATTTTTCCAAAAGGTTCAAATATGCCCCTTAGCATGTCCTCAGTAATGTTGAAATGCAAAGACCCCACATAAAGTCTCATTGGACCTGTAGCAGCTTTCTGGTCTTGTACCGCTGCTGTTGAGGCAGCGCGATTTTTCTCGGCTTGCGTTGGCTGGCATACAATCGGCACACCGAGTATCTTCTGACCTGACAGTCCCAAAGCCTGTGCATTAAACAAAATATTAACACTTATTTAAAATGACTTCAAACACAAAAAGGTTAACCAAACAAATCAACACCTATTTCATTCATTCTTCAAGCAGTCATTGAAGAATGAAATTCTCTCCCCACACACTTCACAAAATGCCTAACTTTACAATTTAAACAAATTATTCTGTATATATCTACAATCTCACCACAAGTAAATAAATTATCAAAAGAAGGTGCCAGGCAATCACACGACAAGTGATGCAGGCATTCACCATTTACATCAAATTTATTGAAATAAACGTTCTCTAAAAGATAAACTTCTATATAAAAATACAGTGCCACAAGCAAACCTCTTGTAAATTTATGAAACCTCATTCATATCTAGTAGTTAGAAACTGAGCAGCACCATTGCCAGTATGCATCTTAAAGATAAATATAAATGTAACAGTTTTGGAAAGGTTAGGGATCCAAGGGATTACCTAAGGCAAGGCTGTCCAATTTCTTATCAGCTGGGGCCAAAATTTCTAGACATTTTTTTGGCAGCCCACATCTAGCTTTTTTGAGTGGATGAAAAATATACACCGCTTTGATCAGGACCATAATCACCGAAATAAACAGGATTCAATTACATCCTTCTGCGTATAAAACGTGCAGTACTCCCTTATTTGAGATTCCTGCGTATGAAGACAATGCACGCATTAGCGGCAGCAAACAATATTCTTGTACTAGTAACTGGTAAATAAATGAATGTCAATACATTACAATGCAACTTAAGGACCAAGAGTGTATACACACACTAAGTGTCATGATAAAATCTGAGTAAAAATTACATAATCTATTTTTTTCATGTATTTCAGGCATTAAAATTTGTCCAAGGTCAACCATTCACAGGCAGGTATTTGGACAGCCCTGATCTAAGGGGAAAAAAGCCACCCCCCCCCCACCCCAGTCCTTATCCTTCCAGAATTGACTGCAAAAATGTTAAAATGTTTTCCACAGCAATCTGACCTTAATACAGAATAATGCAAACCTATTATAGTAATTGGTATATAAATTACCTTACATGACCCAAAATATTAAACTGCACTTGATAACAATAAGCACAAAAATATAGTTGTGTAAAACAGGCATGTCAAACTGAGGGTTCCCTGAGGGCCATATGGCCACATTTGTGTTAATGTTGAGAGGCCCCACACACAACAACCAATTGAAGTCATTTAATAAAAAATTTATTAATTTTAACGGCAATTTTGGCCATTAAATGACCAAATTACAGTATTCTTTGTGCGGACTGCAGGCGTGCTTGCAAAGGGCCACATGTTTGATGTGCCTGGTGTAAAGAATATTAAACTAAAAAGCCTATACCAATCATAGCAATTTTTAATTGGTTTTTCTTTTTATAAATGCCCAGCACAGTAATTTATACAGCAAGTACAATAATATACTTGAAGCCTCTAAAATAAGCACCGATAGTAAAAAAATTCAACTGTACACAAGCGGTTTACTGTAGTGTATGTTATCTAATAGATTTGAATGCAAACTTCCCCAATGCAGCTAGAATTGTTAGACCTAAAGTTTCTAGTTATTTTATTTTTATACCAAGCTTTATTTTTATTTTTTATACCATGCTTTCGATTAGGAAAATAGAAACTGTCATCCATCGTGATAAAATCCCTTATTATTTTCCCGTTGCATCTGAACAAAAAATAATTCTACTGAAACCAGTTCCTCCCATTGCTTTTGGCTTCCTGATACAGTCTGATCAGAGTGGAGTCCACTGTAGGAGTAAATACCACACACACACACATTAGAATGGAATTCATTCCTCCAAAATTCCAGTTGAACTGAAAGTTTTTGTTCCATTGCAAACTGTGCAACATCCAATGCACTGAACATTCATTAATTTTTTAGACAAACCAACCGGTTATTTTTTTGTGTTCAAAGCATTTTGAGATTAGCGTCGATGACATACACTAATACAGTTTACTAAAAATACTGCTTATACTCCTATGTTTAAACATTAAAAATGTATAAATAATTTAACATTTGTTTACAATACTGTGTGCGATATACAGTTTTTTTTTCACATGAATGTTATATTTAGGTGGCCAACTGCACTTCCTGTTCATCTTTTTTCAGTCAAGGGTATTATTGATTAGGCAAGATGTCTAGCATCAATTAGTGAAGCTGTTGGAGAAAGTAAGGAATTGATACTAACTATTCACCAAAAAGTGGAATTTGTATTGAAAATGGAGTAACCGTACTGTCATCAGCTCGGCATATAAATATGGGAAACCTTACCTTACCTTGATAGGGATATGTATCAACACTTTGATACTAACAGGAATTCAAGCTAAAGCTAGGACTGGAAAATATGTCAACTTGCATAAGATTAAGAGATTTACTGAGCTGCACACACTGCTGGTATGCCAGTGGGAAGCAAGCAAAACAGAGTACCAGTAGACAAGTATGGCCATTACAGGGCTTTATCAAGGATTGCCATTCATGCCAGTGAGGGGTCTTGGGTGAAGCCCTGAGTGTGAACTGGGACTGTAGAGCCATTTAAGTCTGAATAATTTTATTGCGGAAACCAAAACGACTTTCAAGTACACAATGTAGATGGAACTGGTTTATACTGAAAAGGTTTGCCAAGCACAATAGCTAGAGCAAAGTTTGCTCGGGAGGAAAGTGTCTAAATAAAGAATATTGGCTTTGGTATGGGTATATGCGAGTAGCAGCCACAGAGTGAAGTGTGCAGTGGTGGGCAACCTGCCAGAGTATTAACCCATCCACTGTGCAAGTCATACAGGGATGATAGAGTATTGCAAGGCTTGAAAATTGTATTATTTAAAAATCCTGTCGATACATGGGGCTCTCATCAGCTTTCTCAGGCCTCCAGTAAACAGAAGCCATTTTGGAGATAAACAAAAATGTGGACACTGTTCTTGGGTGTGACGGCCTCAGTACTAAGTGCGCAACCAAGGGTGGCAAATGCAGCATGAGCTAACAGCATCGCTATTCAGCTTGTGTCCACAGCATCACTTAAAAGTGACAAAATATGCAAGTAGACCATTAATTTTGCATTAATAGTGACACAGATGATCATGACTGTGATAACGACTATGAACAATGTTAAGATATCCACGAACACAATGCTGTTTATGATATTTACAGCATGATGCACACCACTGCTGTTTGGTGGATCTACACATCATGAAACAACCTCATGTGCCAATAGAAAATAAACTTGTGCAAAATGCTTCATTCATAATTTAGTAATAAGGATGCTGATAATACCAACATTGTGCCTAGTTTGCAATAGGCATGTTATATTCAAGGCATTATGTTGAGTCAGATGGCATCATTAGCCGACTAGCATGTTGACGTTGTGCTGTGTTTGGCCCAACCAGACCAATACAGTGCACAAATGTGTAGACAGTTGTGTATCTAGTGTATATGCACTGCAACAACAGCAAAAGCACTGTTTTCTTGTTCTATCAATCATGTCACTAATATGCGCACACCATATTTTTGAGTATAGCAATGTTCCACACATAAATTAATAAAATTACACACTGTTGAATAATATTACTGAAAACAAAATCAGACATATTGAAATAAATCGGTAAAAATATCTTCGTGGCAACTCCCGCCCCCCCCCAGCGAGACTGGAGCAGACGGCAGCTGGGGGGCGACTGCTCAGTCAATACCCATAAATTGCCAGTTCCCCCACTTCATCACGGACAAACTATGCCAGTTTTTTTCCTGTAATCAGGGAATGCATTTTATCAATATAAAGAGGAATAATTAGATCCACAAAAACAAAACATCCAAGATAATGAATGGAAACTTGCCAGAAGAATCTCTCCAAAGTCCTTCAAGCCAGATTTAATTAAATACTATACTCTACGATTCAATCCAAAAGCACCCTGGGAATCTACAAAATTTCAGAATTTCCTACAGTTCAAGTATGGCGCCTGTGGCTCAAAAAACCTCCAATACATATTATATTCATTTGCACTAAACAAACTTGACGTATACTTACCAATGGTACGGATTCTACTTCACAAAACTCAACATAGGCAATTCCTTTTGATCTGCGTGTCTTTGTGTCTGTGATAATACGAACATCATTTACTTTCCCTACAACTGAGAAAAAGTCCTCCAGATCACGTGACCGGATACGAGAAGATAGCTGCATGCAGAACACTGTCCGAGCATCTCTCTCTTCTACTGTCAATTCTCTGAAAGAAACAATTTTTATGTTAGCTTATTATACACTAAAATTCAAATGAAAAGATGGGTTTAATGAGGGGATTAGAGATACATACGAGACTGAAGTTTTATAAAGTCTGCAGGTGTGAGAAAATGAAAGTCAAATTATTCTACATTGAAGTCAAATGTGTATGCAATTTATATGCTAGTTATAGTATGCAGTACAAGAGAAAATGACTACACTACAGTAAAACAACAATGTACAGGAGTTTAAGTCTGGGTGATAAAACGAGGAGAGGCTAAAGAACTTGAATGTTTAATATGAATACTGTGCAACTATGTAACTAAATGCTTCAACTGTTCCAATAGAAGGTAAATATGAATATTCTTAAAAAATAAAATGCCCTGGCTCCAATCTTTCATACCATTTTTTGCTTCAACTGCTTTATTTTTGCTTGCATTTCAAGTTTCAAATCAAAACCGAGGCATTTGCAAGAAACAGATGCTTGACAAAAATTTTTGCCAATTTTTTTTTTAATACAACTGTGCTCTTCAGCCAAGGCAGGCCATGTTGAGGGGAAACTCTGAAGGAAAGGGTGAAAAAAAATCTAACAATCCTAAAAGAAAAACTCACGTTTTAGGCGTTTTACTCCTTGATCTGGAACGTCTGTGCTCCCTGCTACGACTCCGTCTTCGATCCCGATCCCGACTACGGCTTCTCCTCCTGTGATCACGGCTACGACTCTTACTGCGTCTACGATCCCTGGATCGTGATTTACGACGCCTGTCACGAGATCGAGAACGCGACTTTTTCCTGCGATCCTTGTCCCTGGAACGTGAGCGAGACTTTCTCCTCTTTTCCCTGTCACGAGACTTGCTCTTTGTTTTCCTTCTGCGGTCTTTATCGCGTGACTTGCTGCGTGATCTTCTTCGTCTATCCCTGTCTTTGTCCCTGTCTCTGTCCTTGTCTTTATCCCTATCTCCTCTGTCCTTGTCCCTATCTCTATCTTTGTCCCTATCTCTGTCCTTATCTTTGTCTTTAACTCTGTCCCGATCTCTATCCCTATCTCTGTCTTTCTTATCTCTATCTTTTTCCCTATCCCTATGACTATCTTTGTCCCGATCCTTGTCTTTTCTGGAAAGAGAAACATTGTCAATGAACATAAACATTTAATTATGGAGTACAGAATTGTAATTACATTGTACAATTACACTAACTAAAACAATGCACCACTCATGCAGTATGTTTTATACTAAGCAGATCCCTTGACCATCTTACTTGTCTTTTGAGGATGTGTGTCCATTTTCCTTGGGCTTGGCGTCTACTGATGAGGATCCTCTGTCCTACGGGAGCACAAGAGACGGTGTAACGGCAGCACCAGCCACAGGTGGGTGGTGGGAGAAGGGCAAGGGTGGGGAGAAGAAAACAACAGCCACGCATTAGTTCTCTACATAGTTAACAAGCCTATCATTACATTCTCCCACCAAGTATCAAAACCTGGTTATATAGACTTGACTTCAGACACGGGTTAAAAAGCTACACGTAATACCTTGTAGGAAACTCCTGTAATGGTATGTAATGAACATTTACAGAAGCAAGTCCAAGAGTTTCTCAGCAAAGTCTGCACTATAAAATCTTTCACAAAATCACAATCATACAACACTTCCATCTGTTTGGGATGACAGCCAGAAATGACTCGCTAATAGACCACACAGACACTCGGATAATCATCACGCATACTTCCGATGCCAACAACACTAAACATGTTGGGGTCACTGTCAAAACCACAAGGATACACTACATGAAGTGCACCCATAAAAAAATTTCACACCAGTGCACCTTCTAGCTCTGTGCACCAACATAGTAAACATAATGCAGTATCCTCCAGCCCGCTAGTACCTGATGTCTCTCTAGCCGTAGGGTCCAACCAAGGCACGGCCGCCTGCAAAACGCAAACTTTAGACTGGAGCCTTGACGCCACGTGAAGTTATATTGCATCAATATACAACACATGCACCAGTCACAGCACAAGAGGAAAATTAATAATAAAAAAAAAGTGGAATATAAGATCAGACTGACCACAGCATAACTTAACATTTTCTTCAAGGTTATACCTGTTTTACTGACTGTCCTCATGACACATAAACAACAAATATTGTGGTCAATTTAAGGTGGTGGGTGTTGAGTGGAGTGAGTAACGAGCGAGATCCCTCGGTGTTGTGAGCTTGCCAGCGCCAGCATCTGAGTGGAGATACCAAGTTGTCAGTACCAGGCCACCACGACACACTGAAGCTTCACCAATAACCACTTTTTTTTTTCTTCACTTTGGGTACCTTTCTGTTAGCACAGCAGTGTTCACTACTATTTCTTCATTTGCTTGCAAACTTCAGCAATTCACAAGTTATTTCTTAACTTTTTTATTTAGGAAATTAAACTTTTAAACAATTTCAAAAAATTCCTCCAAAATATTAAGCACGAAAAAAAAAAACAATAAAAAAAGCCAATAACAAAGATAACACAGCAAGCCTATGAAAGTGTCCTTTAAATCCTTGACAGGGTTTTCTCATTCAAGAAAACATTTTTTCAAAGATATCATGACCATCTTACAACTTGATATCTGCATATCTAAGAAAAGACAGGAACAAGATATCCTGGTAACTTCATAAGACTTGCTACATTGTCTTCCTGTACTTAACTATTATGCCCTATACTTGAAAATTACTGACATACAACAAAAAAAATTGAAATCCAGGATAATCATTTTGCTCCATATATATATTATATATTTAGTTCAGGAACTGCTGATAACTCTACCACTATAGCTGATCTAGGTTTGAAACACTCAATATCTTACTAATAACTGAGACACATGTATTAAATTTATTTTGATTGAAAACAATATTTGCTACAAACTACTACTCTGAGCAAGACCATAGGTAAGGTGAAACTTTTAATGAGAATACTAGCAATGACTTACAGAGGTATAACCGCCCATAACCAGGCAAAACAAAAATCGAGACAATATAAGCTAACACTTCACGTCTTCACTTGGTTCCTCGCAGCAAAACAGTTTGCCGCAAAAAACAAAGTTAGATCATACAAGCTTTGGCATTTATATGTTCTCGATGCATTTTGCCCAATTAGGGAACAGTTTACATGACACGTCATTGTGTCTTTTCATCAACAAGAGGTATAACTTATGACTACCAGTACCTGGCGGTGGTGGGAGCACAGTATTCGAGCTCACGACCGTTTTATCATGGAGGGTGGGAGACAGTGACTGAATAGGTTATCTAAAACAACAGAGAACGGGGAGAGAAGATCAGCGAGGCACACGGCAGATTCACTCTCACCAACTTACAGCCTTGATGAAAGCATCTATTCAATTTATTTACTGGAATATCAATCATTTTACCACAGTTAATGATGCTTAGAAATAAATTCAAACAATGCCTGAACTTAATGTTACTAAATACGCTACTATAACATTTTACAAAACAGAACTTAAAATTCTTCAACAAGGCTGCAAGATTATATATATACCAACACACACACAACCATCCTGATGCTTCCATTTAACTAATTTGCATACTGCATTCACCCACATATTCATTATGATCATGTTCTATATATTAAGAATACACCTGTACAGTATCACATAAAATTACACAATATGGAGAATGGCTTCAAACACTTTCTGCAAAAAACAAGCACTGTGTATAAATCTTAGTTGTCAGTAAATCACACACAATTTATGATGAACCATATTCTACTTTTAACACATTTTAAAATGTAAATACAATTGAACATTAAGAAACTTGTATAAGCATAGCATATCATACATAAATTCAATTTCAATCACTCTATCCACAGTAACATTACCTGAAAAGAGAGAACACTCATTCATTCTCATCACTTACCTCCTTTTTGAATGGAGCCTCTAACATGGCATCAACATCAAGGTCATCTGTCATTTCAGACTCTGGAAAAATACACAAAATAATATTAATAGAGCAGTGTGTAACATGCATGAATACTCCTCCCACATCTCCACATACTGTACTCTATTTTAACTAAATATATAATAGTGGATCAAGGTAGAATGAATCACATCAAATGAGTTTCCAGATGGATCGACAGATTCTGTATAATAATTTTCTTGGTTAAAAAAAAATTTCAATTTTTGTTTATAGGATGTTAACGAGGTACACAGGGATCGTATCCCTCAGAACTCCAGTAAACAGACTATCTTGAAAAAAATCATCTACACTTCTGGCTTTCAGAACCTCAGTACAGTACTGCCAAAGCAACCAAGGCTAGAGCATGCAGCAAAAAATATGCATCACATACCTTACATAAATCATTTCTGTACATATATTACGGTCCTTAGCTACTAAAACCACCTAGCCTGTTGGTATAAATATCTATGCCAAACTTACAACTATCAAACTCTTAACACTTTCGCACTCTCGTGGTGCTTGAGCTCATTACCAATTTTTCTCTCGAGTCCAAGCATTTGACTCGCTCATGAGTCCAACAATAAAATATTTCTATAAAATTCATTTTTTATCCGATCGACTTGGAGATACTTTCAAAATGTGCGCCATGAAATTCCTGTTCTCCCCAATAGGCCAGATGGCACCCGGGCACCTAACGAGTCTGAACTTGACAAACCTGAAAAAGTAGAAACATTTCATCGCTGTTTGGCGTTCACGGCTAGCGGTTCGACGTTTTTTTTATTTGGTGCCAGTCTAACGCATGCTTGAGTGACATTTTATACATACGTTCCTCTAGAAAATTTTATTGCGAACACATTGATACCAAAATGAAACACGTACATCCAAAATTAAAATCAGAACACTGAAAAAAGTGCTCACTCTTTTACGGTCAGATTTCATTCTTTAAGGTCAGAACACTCAAAAGTGTGTTCACACAGAACACTCAACACTTTTCTGTGTTGCCGCTCACTCGCCAAAAACGCCAGGAGCTCAAGGGCATTGTTTTACCCCTAACTGCCGGGAACGCAATGTTAAGATTGATTATTACCAGGCACACACTAAAATCCTCAATGAGATGTTATTTCCATTATTTATAGTTGCAAAATTTTCCAAGGTTTAAATACTGCAGACAATTACAAGACACTTGTTCAAGATTGTGCCATTTGATTTGGTAATATTTTTATCTTCATAGCTACTGTTGCAGTCACACTTGCCAAGAAAAATTCATATGCCAAAATCAGTGCCTATACATTATTGTAATATTGCCCTCTGTTGTAGGGATTAAAAAAATAAAGATATCCAATATGTCCAATCTCAGTATCCCAGCATCATTATTTGCACCTACTTGAGTTAACTCTAGTAGTCACTTATTGAACCATTCCCTCAAGTTTGTCCAGGCAATCCTGCAAGTTTTCCATTTAATTAATCATTTACCAGTACTTCTGATGTATCAGAAACAAGTACTAGCTAGTATCTAGTACCGACCCTCATGGAGCTAAACTTTTAACATTTCCCCTCTGAAAGATGATATTTTGGACTGCTGCTGCCAGATGGCAGCACATACGATGTTCTTGAGGTTATCTTGAGATGACCGGGGCTTTTTTTTTTTTTAGTGTCCCCGCGGCCCGGTCCTCGACAAGGCCTCCACCCCCAGGAAGCAGCTCGTGACAGCTGACTAACACCCAGGTACCTATTTTACTGCTAGGCAACAGGGGCATAGAGTGAAAGAAACTGCCCATTGTTTCTCCCCGGTGCCCGAGATCGAACCCGGGACCACAGGATCACAAGTCCAGCGTGCTGTCTGCTCGGCTCCCTGGGTCATTTAGGTCATTTAATTTAAATTGTCATGGTTGAAACAACTGTCTTCTGTTGCAGCAGACAATAACACAGAACAGTTTTGTAGTGCAGCAGTCACCCTTTGTCTTAGTTTCCTAAGATTGCCTTGGTTCATCTAGCAGTAAATACATATCTAGGAGTTAGGCAATTGTTGCATCTTGGAGACGGTCAATAGAGCACTTGCTCTAGGGGGCATCTCGGCAAATTTAAAACAGGCTTCCTGTCCCAGGCATTTTCCTTTACCTTCAGTAGACATGTTACTTTTTGAATACAAGGGAAAATTGTGCTAGGCAGCAAATATTGAGCTTTGCAGCCAATGGATTAAATATACACAATGTTTGCCTTTGAGGTACGATCTCTCGAGTGCAGTATTTTTGGGACTACAGTATTGTACATAAAAAGTTTAACAACTTTATGGAAGATTAAAATGTAGAATGAATGCAAAATTTTAAAATAGACTAGTAGATATGGAGTTTTTTATGCTTTATGCTAAACACCTCAATTATCAAAGCCCTTTGTGTATAAAAATAAAAATATGCAATATTGAAGCATGGGATGTATTAATTTATTGTATACCTATTACAGTATATCATCAAAATTAGAAAGCTCTTCTAGCAAAACCTAGTACTGTACAGCATTCTTTTAGTTTTTTAAAAGATACTAACTACACTGGTCTACAGCCAAAATGCTTCCAAAACAAAACTGATCTTGACTAATTATGTTAAGAGTATTGTAGTTTACTTTGGCTGTGGTGAGTGAATATGACCAATTCACAATCACTAGTCACTATTTGGGTCTATAATTCTTCAATATGAATAATTTTTCACATTCATTTTCAAATGTAATATGTGGTCCCATTCCAGGATGGGCAGGGGCAAAAACTGCAGCTAAGTGTCGTTTGTCTTGGTTTGGGATCACCACCAGGTCCGGGGGTTTACTTATATCTGAACCTTGATTAGTAAGGCCTCTGTACTTTTCATACATTTACCAATGTATTATATTAATTGAAAAGCAGTTTAACTTCATTTCAACATTCAAGAATAAAAATTTTCAGAGCATTTTATGTCTTGCTTAGCACCGAGTACAACCTATTCAGGTACAGTATTGTAATAAATCTAGAACAATTGTATATTTAGTAATGGCAAGTTAATTTAATTTTACAGAAAGAACTCTTCTAATATCTACATCAAACTGTCAGTATCTTATTCCTCCAGACTGATGCCTGCATAACCCGCAAATATGAAACCAACCAACTGAATAGACAACCAGATCCAGCACTAACCAACAACAATCCCACCCAATAAAATTCCTTTACCCATTATCAAATACCACCACCATGAGAGCAGACCATGCATTTTATGGTGTAATACCTCCAGTTTTGTGAAATAGTTAATTTATTAACTACAGCCTTTTTAAACCCCCCTGATAAACACTGCCATTTAAGAATATGAGAGCTACAACAATGATTATGAGTAAGAAAACCATTGAAGAAATTGACAATTCCTTTTATTGTTGAAGTGTGACTATACCTGTAACGTATAGACTAATTATGTACAATAGTAAGATAAAGTACACAAAATTATTTACAGTATACAGGCCATCACTTGAATATTAGGATCGTCCTAAATAACCAATATAGCCTACTGTACTGAACATTTTCTTTTCACTGGTAAACCAGCAGTTGAATAAAGCCATTTAATTTTATATCAAATAGCCACTCATCTGATACATAGGGTGCTTCCTCACGAAAGTCATATCACTCTGGAAAAAACAAAAATCCTTTCAATAATATAATTTAAGTAAATGTGAAAGTGTGTGTTAAATATGCATTTGGACACTAAAAAGGCTAGGCCTATTCCCGCTCCTGTGCCAGGCGAGTCCACTACGGGCTCGCCATAACACGTACTATTTTGAACTTTTTGTTTTGAAGAGCTGAATCTACAACAACAACAGCTAGGCCTATAGATGGATGCACCATATCCCCACACCCATACACCTATGAAATTACACCAGACACCTCTTGGTAACAGTCATGTAACAAATAGCATCACCATTTATATATTTATTAGTGTACAATATAAACAGTACACTGTATATACTGTAGTTATGAATATTTTAACACTTTCGCATGGACATGACGCAGTATTGGGTAAAAAACTTAGTACTGTAGATGAATGTGCGGGAATGACGCATCGGTGCGTAAAAAAATAATATATTTGCTAAAATTCAGGTTTTTATCCTATTTTGGGGAGACTGGCTTTAAACTTAGCGCCAATGTCTTCCCATTTTCCGTGATGGGGCATGTGGCACCCACGCAGTAGGCCCAATGTTTTCGTACCACCCTAATGACCGGTCCTGCTTCCCCTCGCGTCCCAAACGTAAACATTCTGGCTATTTTCCTTGGCTATATTTCTTAGTGCAGCTTTAAAAACTATCTGCATTTACTCCAAAATGGATAGTGATCACGAACAGAACCATTCCAGGAAGAAATCAGCAAAAGAAACACTTCAGAGAGAGAAGCTAAGTAGTGTTCACCAAAAGTACAGTACGGTGTGACTCTCACCCTCAAAATGTCAAGCAGTATTTGATTTATCTCTCATAGAAACGGCTGATAGTGACCGTGATTTAGATACTGAATTCATCAAAATGGAAATATGATGATGAATTTGAAAGTGAGGAGGAGTGAGGATTCTGATGTTCAGATTGCCACACATGCACGGCGAGGTATTGGAATTCGTACCACACGTACCCAACCACAACAAGTTCTGATGAAGCCTGGTCTACTGACAATACTTCACCCTTTGTAGTTAGTTTTACAGGAATACCAGGCTTGACGTGTCCTGTACCTAGCACTCCTATTTTATTTATAAAATTTATATTTATAATTTATTATAAATATAATTTATTATTATTATCAATTTATATAATTGTTTATAATTTATCATATTGTATTAGTAATGGTGTTCTTCAATATGCCCTTATATGCATATCCCTTTAAAGCATTCTATTAGGATCAATTTGTTATACACTTCAAATTTGAAGTGTATAACAAGCCATTGATAACTGACAAATTAAGAATACAATGAATAGGAAAGTAATTATCAAAATAATGTATACCTGGAGAGAGGAAAGGGAACTCGGGGGAAAGTGTCATTACGACTACATAGCACTCGGAAGGGATTAGGATAAGGATTTGGTATAAGACAAGAGGGGAAGAATGGTGCCCAACTAATTAGAAGGTCGGGAATTGAACGCAGACCCGCATAAAGCGAGACCGTCGCTCTACTGTCCAGCCCAAGTGGATGGGCCTGAGAGAGGGAGTTCCCCGAAGCCCGGTCTAGGCTCAAGCAGGGAGGGGGGGAGGGGAGGAAACTGTGTAGTAAATACAATGAATTAAACACTAGTGCCAAGGACCATGGGGGCCATACGAATATATGGGAATACGCCAGTTTAATATGGGGTTAATAGGGGTGGTCCGCCTGCAGACTACCATATATTACCCCATTGCATTTCCACTTCACTTAAGACCCATTTCGCCTCCAAATAAACAAATTCAAATATAAAACACTTTCGCTATTTACAACCCACACCACGTGCTTTTATATAATCTCCGACGAAGAATTTCATACAAAATACTTAAGTCTCGTATATGTACTCCACTCAATGTATTGCATTATGGGAGGAACTTCACTTCCAAAATGGCTACCACAATAGCCATACAAATACACGTAGAAACAAAACCTAAACGATTATATAAAAAATCCACGTACATATACACTATTTCCAACAAGAAAGTCACTAAAATAGGGTCAGTAGGAGGCCATAGATGACAAAAATGGCTCCCCCATGGCCCAACGCTCCCCACAACTCATCAAAATCGATGGCTTCCTCATCCGTTTCTCACTTGGCTTAAACCTAAAACTCTATTAGTCAAACGTACATTTGCAACTCTAGATTACCCCTCTAGAGCAATAGAGCAGCCAGGACAAGCAGAGGGCGAGCTAGACACCACAGTCTGGAGGACCCAGAGACCAAAACAAGTCTTATAAGAGGCGTCGTGGAGGCGCCATTACTATCTCACACACACACACACGCCGCCCATCATCTCTACGCCTTCACCGCCGCCCACGCCCTCCACACACGCCCACAAGCACCCCAAGACCTCGGTTGTAACTTACTCATTTGCGAAGATATGGTGGTAGTGTTGTGAGAGGGGTTAGGAGGAGTGTGAGGGGGTGCCGGAGCGGGTCAGTACGGGGCTCACACACCGCCGCGCCACGGGACTCACAAGACACGTGAGCACCGCCGCCCGCCATCAACCTCTCCTAAACTTACCAATATTCACTTTTTATTGCTAATTAACCCACTATTCCCAAGAGATATTACTTTTTCGATGTTTATATTTACTTCAGAGCTGTTTATGTAGCTGCCATCACGCAGTATAAAAAATGAGGACATATATTGAGCTGAAAATATGTGTAATTAAACTTACCAATATTCACGTTTTCTTGCTAATTAATCCACTATTTCCAAGAGATATTACTTTCTTCACATTTATATTTACTTCAGAGCTGTTTATGTAGCTGCCATCACGCAGTATAACAAAAATGAGGACATATATTGAGCTGAAAATATATATACAGTATATGCAATTGACGATCACAAAACACTGATCATTTTATGCGGAAAATCCACAGAGAAATATGAAATGAGGTGAACGTTTCGGCTTTGTTAAAGCCTTTGTCAACACCAGACTGACTAAGGAGAAGGGAGAAGGGGGGAAGATATATAGGCCGACACCTGACCAACCCATCCCAAGGGTTGGTCAGGTGTAATTAACCAAAAACAGGTAACAGGTATTGAGCTATATATACAGTATATATATATATATGTAATTAAACTTACCAATATTCACGTTTTATTGCTAATTAACCCACTATTCTCAAAAGAGATTACTTTCTCAATGTTAATATTTACTTCAGAGATATTTATGTAGTTGCCATCGCTCAGTATAACAAAAATGAGGATATATATTGAGCTAAATATATATACAATATATATATATATATTTTTTTTTAAAACCTAGAAGATATATATATATATATATATATATATATATATATATATATATATATATATATATATATATATATATATATATATATGTATGTATTTATAGGTTAATTCCTCTAACAAGGAAAAAAAAATTATTATTATTAACAAGCTTAGGAATACACATCAACGGCCTGCTAAGGAAGATGAAGTAATTATTCCCTACACGCTCCATCAACCAACCATATATACTGAAAATTACAGTATATATGGAGAGCTAACACAAAATTAATTTTGTGTTAGCTCTCTAAGTTTATAAGAAACTTGCATGAAACTCCAGAATACTTTTTTGTTTTATTATTATTAACAAGCTTAGGAATACACAGCAATTGTCCTGCCACCCAATTCTATATAATAATTTATACTACTAATAATAATATAGAGAAAATCCGTAGAAGCCGTGATGAGGGTTCGATCCCATGCGATGGATGTTCCCACGCACACGCTCCAGACAGCTAAACCACGACATGATATAAGGATATCAACCTGAAGTTTTACTGAACATACGAGGGTTTCAGTAGAGATGAGGTTCGAACCTTCATCACGGCTCTTACGGATTTTCTCGTTGATGCAGTCACTTTAATGCAATTACTCTCTGTGTAACGTTATGATTAATTACTAGGAGCGGCAACACACACACACACACTCTCTAGGAGGGGTAACTGGCGGTGCCCGGGATAGTCTCTCTATCCCCCACCCCCAATTTCATCCCTCTTATTCATTCCTCATCATCCCCCTCCCCTACAGTTAAAGTTCTTGTCAGTTCCTTTACGACTTTGGGTTGAATTCCGCCCTTTGAATATTTTAGTTTGTTAATGCTGTTCCTAATTATTCCGCACGTTATGGGAATGTCACTTAATTCATTTTCATCCTTAGCTTCAAACATTTATGTATTAGGATGTCTTCTAATTTTTCTGGTGTGAACACTGATGTAAAGCATTCATTCAAAATCCAGTATAGGCTCTTGACCCATGGGACTAGTTGATTAAAGGTTGAGAGGCGGGATGCAAGAGCTGAAGCTCAATCCCCCTACGAATGCAACTAGATGAGTACTATGTAAGTACTTTATATCGAAAAATGTTGAAAAATGCAAGACCCTGCATGTGGGGCATACAAATGCTCAACACGACTACGAAATTAGCTTGCAGCAGATTGAAAAAATTATCTAGGCGTCAGAATCTACCAATAACTGAAAGTAACTTTCATTGTTGAAAGTTGATCAACTCCCACTCCCACTTAGTGGGAGCTGTAGTTAGAAAAGTTAGTTTAGGTCATTTATTATGCACCTCATACCCATCCTGTGGGCGGTAGTGGAAGAGAGAGAGAGAGAGTTAGAAAAGCAAACCAAATCCTAGGAATAATCAAACGAAATATTTATTTCCAGGAAAAGAACGTAGTTATACAACTGTATAAATCTCTAGTACAACCCCATTCGAATTATTGTATCCATGCATGGAGGCCTCATCTTCAGAAAGACATATCTGCTTTGGAGAAATGATAACCAAACCACACATCAAAAAAATTAAGAAACGACGACGTTTTGGATCGTCTTAGACCATCAGCCTCGCCGTTTTTCCTTTTTGTATATGTAGTTTGAATATAAGAACATAAGAACATAAGAACAAAGGTAACTGCAGAAGGCCTATTGGCCCATACGAGGCAGCTCCTATTCTATAACCACCCAATCCCACTCATATACTTGTCCAACCCGTGCTTGAAACAATCGAGGGACCCCACCTCCACAATGTTACGCGGCAATTGGTTCCACAAATCAACAACCCTGTTACTGAACCAGTATTTACCCAAGTCTTTCCTAAATCTAAACTTATCCAATTTATATCCATTGTTTCGTGTTCTGTCCTGTGTTGATACTTTTAATACCCTATTAATATCCCCCCGGTTATGTCCATTCATCCACTTGTAAACCTCTATCATGTCACCCCTAACTCTTCGCCTTTCCAGTGAATGCAACTTAAGCTTTGTTAATCTTTCTTCATATGAAAGATTTCTAATTTGGGGAATTAACTTAGTCATCCTACGCTGGACACGTTCAAGTGAATTTATATCCATTCTATAATATGGCGACCAAAACTGAACTGCATAATCTAAATGGGGCCTAACTAGAGCAAGATATAGCTTGAGAACCACACCAGGTGTCTTGTTACTAACGCTGCGATTAATAAATCCATAATATCCTATCTTCAGCCATAATATCCTATCTTCAGCCACAGCTACACTTCAGCCTTCAGCCGACAGGACCGGTCTCATTGAAATTTTTAAAATACTGAACAATTTGGAGGATATTTATCCAGACCATTTCTTTAAAATGTCAGAAGTAATACGAATAAGGATCTACGGTTTCAAGCTCATCAAGCCACTATGTAGAACGGAAAACAGGAGATGCTTTTTCACTCACAGGGTTATAAACCCTGTGAGTAAGGAACCGCCTACCCGCCGAAGCCGTACATGCTAAAGCGCTGCTGAATTTCAAAATCCAACTCGACAAAATCATCAGGACAAATGGAGGGACCTTTAACAAGCCGCCGGCTTCCTGTCCTTGTCGAGGCGAATAGTGAAATATAAATTCAGGTAAATATGAAGGAACATGTACTCGCATGCGTATGCATGTTACCGTTAGTAGTACTGCGAGAATATAATTGTACACGTCAAAAGTATTCCAGAATCCATTGTATAAATTTTATGAATATTTAAATAAGTAAATAAGTAGGCAAGTTGTACCAAATAATGTACTGTACTGTGCTTTAATTCTTTGCTTTGCGCATCGCAAAATGCTGTTGTTTTGTGTTGACTGATGAAACATATTGTTTTCATAGGATAGATGTCGCCATCTGGTGTTATTCGTAGTGCTAATCTTGATTTATGGCATTAATACATGATGTTTTGCAATAAATTTGGTGTGCATATTTAATACATATATATTAGTACAAACAATTGTTGCTTAATTTATATTTACTCTAAAATATATATAAATATAACATTTTTAAATGTAAACCGGGCTGCGTGAGCTGCAAGGAAAAGCAATTATATAAAATTATTTGGAGTTTAAATACACATGCAACTATATTTTATCTATAATGTTGTGACGCTTGATCATAATGCCTAAAGGGCGATGAAATTTAAAATATGTCATATAATTACACATGTATGTTACTTAAGGATAATCATATAATATATATATATATCATTTGTTTTATTTATATATACAAGAGTTCTTACAGTCTTGTACAGCCACTAGCACGCATAGCGTTTAGGGCAGGTCCTTAATTCAAATTTTTCCCTGAATATTACCCGCCAATTCACTGCTGGGTGAACAGAGGCTACAGATAAGGATTAGTGCCCAGTCAATCCTCGCCTTACATCCTTATACCAATATATGGTTTAAGATATCAAAGGCACGACATGTATGACTAACCATCCTGTGAGATGGGAATATTAGAGGAATTTATAGCTATATATAGTTGTATATCTACAACTAGTTGTTTAAATAGTGTTTTTACCTGAATAAACATTTTTAAACACTGTGTAATCTTTCATATAGAATAGGGAAGCAGCACATTGCTGTGTATCCCTAAGCTTGTTAAAAGTTTGTTAATAAGACAAAAAATTTTTAATTTCATCTATTGTACAAGGGAATTAAGTGACCGAGACAAATTTTTTGCTCTTATTAACAAGCCTAGATATACACAGTGCTGCTGCCCTATTCTATATGAAAGATTACACAGTATAGATATATAAAACTGTCTAGAAGTTCATCTAATATCCCCATTTCAGAGAATTTTTAGTCATATGTGGAATCAGGAGAGCGGACGAAGTGGTGTTCGTCCTGGGAGGAGTAGCGGCGGCGGCGGTGGTGGTGGAGGCCAGGGTGGTGGGGGCAGCAGACGGCAGTAATGGTGTGGGTGTCAGTGGTCGAAGTATGAGTCGTGTCTCTTGCCTCTCTCTGGCACTACTTAATGCCACCAGACACTCGAGACATGGTACGTAACCTATGTGTGAGGCACACTGGGTGCTCACCGGCTCGAGGTACCGCACCAGAGGGAGATATTTGTAAAGAAGGAGTTGTGCAACTGTGCAATGATAATAACAAATGTTACGGTGGGATGTGATGCAACTGGCTGCATGACTTGTGGGGTTGTGAGGGGTGGGTTGTGACCTATAGAGGTCACCCGACCTCTATAGGTCAGCCAGGTCATGCATGGCCTCCTGTGGTGGCGTGACCCAGGGGTCAGACACCTGACCCATACATTCTATTTTACAGAATCTTTTAAAACCAAAACAAAAAACTGTTTTAATTGAAAATCTTAATCTTAAAATATTGAAAGACGTTCTATATGTTCTATATTATATGTTTGCTGTGGTTAGTCATAGGTATTTTATAACTGTGACGAACAAATGCAATATATTAGCTTCACTGTTATTTGCAAAGGTAAAAATGTAGTTTATGTAGACCTATATCAGTGTTTAAACCCCCATTAGGTAATGGGTAATTTTTGTGTAAATTTGAATATATAATGTAGGCCGTACATTCTGGATTTTGTTTGGTGATAAGTTTTACAGTGGTGTACAGGAGTCCCCAGAGGCAAGCCAGTGACCTCAGTGTCCATCACGAACCTTAACATACAGTATATAACAAGAGCGTGTTAGTTTTGTTAGGCTAGGATAAGTTTGTTAGAGAGTAGTGATAATACGGAATGACATAATTTTTGGGCCGTTTTGATCCCTACTTGAATTTTAACCCAGTTGTCATTCACTTCTGAAATCACTTATGTTGCCAGTAGCTATCATTGCAAAAAAACAATATTAGTGTGATACAGGCCTATGAGATACTGCTCTATATGGATACAAGATAATGTAACATTAACACATTATAATGTATTCTATAGATTCAACCCAAAAATGGAACAGGAGAAACACTTGAATATTGCCTGAAAACAAGCAAACAAAATGAGCATGTTTCAGGGTACCAGAGCCACAATTCTGTACATAAAACAGTACTAGAAATGTTGAGCCTTGGCTATACTTGCCTAGTCTACTTTCCTACCTTAAGATAAACTCCTCAATGCATTTTTAATGTTTTTGTTTTAGAAATTCATTGACTAAATAACGTGCATTTATAAAGTCTATAATACAAATTTCTGATTTTGACTTGATATGTAAAAACTACTAAACAGGTTTTTTAACATTTGTAGGGTAGTTTATAATGTGTGAAAATATTAATTTTATAAAACAGAAGCTGCATTGATTTATGAAAATTAATTTTTTGTTTATAAATTTCCTGTATTAATGCAGCGCCATTGGCAATCATGAATACTGGACTTGGTTTACACTTTCATTCTGATATTTATTGTTGGTTTTCCTTCTCTCTGCAGGGTTTGGCAAGGGGTCACAGGCTGGTAGTTTAGTGCTGCAGAGGCCATGGCATAGCAGCATAGTGTCAGGGCGAGCATCCCGAGAGGTTACCGCGGCATGTGCCATCACCCACGGCAGTCTTGCCAGTGGCTGGGTTACTCGAGGGCCAGGCCAGCACCATGGCCACGCTCAGGCCTCATCGTCCACAATGTTTATATCGCCAGCACTTCACGTGTCTTACACGACTGTGTATGTGCCATACTATCGTGGTTTCCATACATCTTCCAAAACCTTTGATAAGGAATCTCAGAAGCCCTCCTCACAAGTTGAAGTGACTGTAAAGGACCTTAAAGAAAAGGCAAAAGCTGCTGGATCGCCAGTAGCAGCAGATAAAAAGTTAGAAATTGTGAAAAGAAAGTCTCTAGGTCTTAGAATAAAAGATGAAATTTTGCATTATTATCATGGCTTCAGATTGTTATTCATTGATACCAAAATATGCCTGAAGTATGTATGGAGGATTGTTAATGGTGAAAATTTATCCAGAAGAGAACATCGACAGGTAATGTACTGACCTCAGTTTGTTTTGTAGTTTTAAGTTCTGTAATGTGCAAGGAAACATAGAATATTTGTAAACAACAAATTCTCCAGTAAAACAATACTATATATATATATATATATACAGTATATATAAAGTGACACAAACTCGTATGATTAAAATATTCACTGTTGGATATAAAGTCCACATTTCATACTAAAAATTTTGAAAATTAAGGTGCATAAAAAGAGGCAAGCATTACTAAGGCCTACTTGAATGTACCATATACAGTACAGTACTTCCTAATCTAACAAATCCTAGACCTAATAGTGTTTATAATAGAGGGACCTTGGACAAGCCACCGGCTTCCTGTCCTTGTGGCTGGGTTACTCGAGGGCCAGGCCAGCACCATGGCCACGCTCAGGCCTCATCGTCCACAATGTTTATATCGCCAGCACTTCACGTGTCTTACACGACTGTGTATGTGCCATACTATCGTGGTTTCCATACATCTTCCTGTCCTTGTCAAGGCCACTGGTGTTAGTGGCCCTCAGGTAAATTCAGGTAAATAATTAGGCCTATATTAAACAATATTAGGCCTGGGACAGGGTGCCATGTTTAGGTCTGACAATTAGTTTTCTTACAAAATTTCAATGGTACAAAATATGGACTTATCTATGTGCAACTGTAGATATATTTTGAAGTTATGCCTGTCATCAATGTGTGTTGTGTTGTCTCACTGTAAGATGGGGGTGTGGTATGGATGATAATTATTTTGAGAGTATTCAAGTAACTCAGAGGGTGGGTTAGGGACAGGAAGGCCAAGAGAATGATAGTCAGTCAAGGACAGAAAGGCCAAGAGAATGATTGTTAGTCACTGGTTGTCAACCACCTGCAGAAAAAAGGCAGCATAGTAGCAATAAATTTGCAATCATTTTCAGGTGTTAATTATTCATACAGATAAGTAGCCTACGGAAAAATGTTGTACAGTATTACTGTATATGATTTATCTTCTGAAACGATTTTTTTTTATCTTTGCGTTTGTTTTAAGGAAAATTTGTCGAAGCCCGGGCTGTCTAAACTGGTGGGAGTGGTTAGCGTGTGATTTAGTGCTTAGGGATTTGTAGCTTTTAATACACATTTAACCAAATACGTAAGAGAAAAAACGGTTTTCAATAGGTAGGCAGTGCTTGGCAGCTTGCTTAAGTTTAGAATTTTTTCATGGACAATTTATCAGAAACTTTGTATGTTGTACTTATTTAATTATAATTATTTGCGCAAGATAACAGAAGGAAAGGTCTAGTACTGTACTGTAAACTGGATAAAGTATTGTTAAAGCTCCTTGCTGTAATAATGAGGTTTCATGTTTGTCTGGGTATATATAAAATAAAGATTAAATTAAAGGATTTGGATTATTACGTTATTATAGTATATTTTTGTCTATTAAATTCTAAACTTGAGATATAATTATGTAACTAATATAATATTAGTAACTCCCACCTAGTAATGGAGGGAAGGTGGAGGGGGGGGGGATGGAATGCCTGTAGTGACGTCACATGTTTGGCACGGTCGAGATGGGACACGTCATATCCGCTGCTTCAGGTGGTGTGGCCACCCATAAGGTGCTTCTTACAATATGTTGCCAACTGGCAATATGTACTTCTATGTAATAATTAGAGATATCCAGTGTGTGTATAATGTGTCGCCTCGTAGTTTTATTGTCATTATTCCTGTAAATTATATAATGTTTATATAAAGTCTGCCGGGATGGTGATGTAGGCTATTTATATCATTTGAGTACACAAGGAAAGATGATGATAGAATCTAATCATTGGTGAGATATTAACTGTTCATGTCTTTATATCTGCATTATCACTTACAATATTACTTTGTATTTTTTTTATTAATAATCCAAACTAGGTATTTGTTGTTAAAACAAATCGCTTAACTATTTGTTAAAATTTGCTCTTTATGGTGTAATACTGTCTACCCTACTTTGTGTTGCTATGACTGGTACATGCCAAAAATATAGCAGTTATAGTATTAGAGTTGTGAATTGGTTGGTTAGATTACAACACGCATAATTAGATCGAGGTGCAGTAATTAGGAACCGTATATAACCACAATCTCTTGGTAGATTGTCGAGTAAAAAACGTAAGGAAATGTAATTTTTCTTTGCAGATGCTTATCAATAATTTTGAGGTACTAATGGTTAGTGTTAAAATATGGCCTAACGACGGATGTGAAGGTGACTAACCGATAACTTGGCTGTTATCTAGATAAAGCCAGTAACTCCGCCTTGATTGGTCACGTGTGTTCTCGTGTAGTGTCTGATGGACCCTCAACCTCCAAGTTTAGCGTCCTGAGAACACTAAAACTAGACAGATGCAGATACGGTAATCTGCACACACACAGTTATGACTGTATGGCAAATCATACATAAGTTGGGTGAAGTATATTTATCGGCAATTAGAAAGTTAATGAGGCATTTATTATTAGAACAGGCCAGATTTACCGTAAACTAAGCCTTTTCTAACTTGACAAGATACCCACCTGTTGTTGGTTCCGGGGCTGTGGGTCTTTGACTTGGCCTGGTTGGTGGTCTGGTCAACTAGGTCAACAAGCTCGAACGAATTTATCGAACGAATTTAACTTTGCACGAGTAATTTCCAAAGCTTGAGTTTGTCGTCAAGGTGTGTGTGTATTTTTATACGTCTCTTCAAAGGTACATTGCACCACCCTTTCTGTTGATAATTGCTACTAGAGATTTTCTTTAAGATAAAGCTAACACTCTTTAAAAGTAGATTATTTGATATACTGTATAAAGGATATAGACTTTTTAAATTAAGGGAATACAACATAACATTGTACTTTTGGACTTCCAGTATTTTCGGTAACACTATCTTTTATTGGCATCCCATGAGTAAGCTAGCAATCAACCTTTAAAATAACTAGGTTATGAAGAGTTGACCACAATAGCCTTGCAGAGTATGAAGAATCAACCGCTAAGTTTCATATAGGGGGATGATTGTCGATGAATCATAGCCTATATGTGGTAACTAATTGGTCAGGTTTTGGCTTAATTTAGGGACTTTTTTTTCGTTTGCCTAATTTGGTTTAATAAAATGTAAATTTTAAGTCTCCCAATAGGGTTTAGAAGAAGGGTATGTGAGGCAAAGATACCTATCTGCAGCTAATAGATAATTGTAAAGTTCTTTTTTTTTGTAAATAATAATAATAATAATAATATATAAGATATTAATGTAATATAGCGGGAAGAGGGGATGAGGAGTGAGAGAGCTTTGTTGTGAGCCAGGTGAACGTGGTCCAAAGTGCCTCGCCAGACGAGCCGGCGCCCAGCTGGGATTTTTTTTCCTGACGGGCCGCGATGCTGTCTCTTTGTGTTGTACCCTACTGCATCTAGCTGGACACTACTGCCATACACGTACCTAATATTGACGTTGAAGACATGCTGTTATATTATTCATAAAGATTGTCACCATAAATTTAATAATTTTGCATATAAAATATTTATAGTAACATTATCGGGGTAGTTGCTGCCGGCTCCTACTGTATTCATTTTCAGTGATTAGTTTATTTAATATAAGCCCTATACTCATATTGTGGATGAGTGGTAGAAAGGTTTCAGTGTAACATAACAGGTTCAGAATCCCTGTGTTAATGAGTTAGATCACAGTATTATCACGTGGCGGTCGTGTGCTCGAGTCGAATTCGGGCGGTTGCCAGTGCATGGCATCAGCGTGCTTGCTTCATGCAATTTAACCAATGCCAGCCTGCTTAAAAACTGTGTTCAAACTGCATTTTTTTTGTGGGGGAATGTATATTATTGGGTCTCGGTAGTACAGTTGGGCTTGTTCTCGACTGTCACTCCGAAAGCCCGGGAGGGATAAATGATTGAGCACATTATATATTTTTGTCCTAGACAAAATACATTATTTCAGTTGCAGTAAAGGATGTGAAGCATCGGTTCACGTAGTGCAATTAAAGTTTGTGGAATTAATTTTATTATGAACCCATCCACATCCTATGACAAGAGCTAATCATAATTGGTTCTAAATTTTGACTAATGTTTTTAAGCTTACATTGTATTGGATTTATATAAACCTTTGATTTATATTCGTGCACCATGCACCCTATACACCGTAGGGCGACAAGAAAGGACCCCCCCCATTAGACGTTTATACTATCACTCGCTAGATGGGTAATTAGGTGCTTGTTGCCTCTAGGTAGAAAGACCTTGTCAGATCATGAGAATAAGCAGTTCAGGTCCTCATTAACTATTTTTTCTTTAAAATTTATTGTACTAAATTGTTAACGGCAACAAATTAAATCAAAGGTTAAAAGTTCTCAGAACAGCGTTAAAAAAAATCTAAAAACATTGCGCGCGAAGGAACCAAGCCTTGGAGGATGAGTCGGCAAAACCATTCCACCTTCTGATACACTTTACACTTTCCAGCCAGAGCTAGGATTTTAGCACACCTGAATCTCTGTAGCACTTAACGCTGTAACAGTTTGATTGTGTTTTACAAAGAATTAACTAGTGTATTGTTAGAATATTAATATTGTTATTGATGGGTGAAGGAGAAAGCTAGCAACGTTTGGCAATAGGCTGAGAGATTGATTACGTCACATCACGCGATGGACAAGACTACCTGACGTCATGACTTAAGAAAATAGTTTCGGCTTTAAAATTGTTGTTTAAGAAGGACTTTTAGCGTTCAATAAAAACTTTGATATTACACCCAGAAGCACAGTAGGCTTTTGAAGCGTAGTTAAAGAAAAAAATGAATTTGGGGCTGAAATCAGACTGTGGCCAGCGGTGTAGGGAAAGTTCCAGCTGTATCGACCTGCGCAGTGGATGTTGGTAGCAACTGGGTGTTGAACTAAAGCAGAGGTGCTGAAAGTAGTTGGGTGCATTGCTTTTCGCAATGATTAGACTAAGGAGACAAAAGAAGATCGCTGTCTTAGAATAATTTAGTCTCGTGTTTTATTTTGATTACATTTTTTTTCCAGCCTGGTAGTCTGTTGCATCTAAAGCGTTTTCTATAGTTTTGAATGATAACAATGTGTCATTTGTCTTCTAAGGAAGGAGACATATTTCCGGGATATTTGTTGGTAATATTGATGTTGTATTAGCCAAGAATTCCTCATGAAATTTACTTTTTTTTCCTTTATATACCAAGGATATTTTTGCCTGAACATTTCGTGCTCTCTTGATCTGGAAAGAAACATTTATCCACTTTCTACTTACAAGCATCTTTGTGTACGAAACATCTTGATAGGACAAGCGCTAAAAATAAATACTAATTTAAATGGAAAAAATACTAAGACTATTATGATTTTATAATTACTGTTTTTTCGGGGTATTGTTGCTCTGCGTTACTATAGTTTATTCACAAAATCTAGGAATTTAGGCCAGGGCATGGTACTGGGAACCAGAAAGCGCGCTTACACCGGTGTGTGTATGCACTTATAAATGTTGCGAGGTGGTTGAGCTTCGACTCTTTGGCCCCGCCTTTCATCTTTCATGTTATACAGGTTCATGAGGGTTGAACGTAACTACATTTGAAACGGCATGCAGTCTGCCTCCACCGCCTCACAACTTTGTGCGGGGACGTTAAACATGCTCCAAAAAATGATGCTGTATAACTATTTCAAGCCCAAAAAATGATGGAAACGTTTTGGTAATTGATAAAGTTATATAACTTTGCTATTTATTTTGCCAGAAAAACGTGGAAATATTACCATCTGTGCTGAAAGAAAAAAAATCCAACAGCATAATGTACAAATAAAGGTAGTAACCTTTTTCCTTAAGACAGGTGGACTGTTGTGCAATAGATAGTAGGAAAGTTCCGCGGACTGGCTGCTTGTAATGATTGGGAAAATGTGCCCGCCTACGTATTCAAGCCATGGTAACTTGTTTTGCACATGTGGCAGCCGTAACAACATCGCTTTGCATACTACATTTAAGTTTTGAGAATTTCACCACCAGATTCTACATCAATCAATAAGGAGTCCCGGTAGCGAAGGGGTAACACACTTGACACGCGTTTCGAGAGCGCTTTGGCCTGGGGTTCGTATCCTGGCCGGGGAGGATTGATTGGGCACCAATCCTTGACTGTACACCTCTGTTCACCCGGCAGTGAATGGGTACCTGGTTGTTAAACGATTTGGCGGGTCGTATTCGTTGGGAAATTAGGATTAAGGATCTGCCCGAAACGCTATGCGTGCTAGTGGCTGTACAAGAATGTAAAAACTCTTGTATATAAAAAAAGGGTGTTATGAACCTGTAACCCCGTTTGTGTAGAGCAGCACGTGTTGCTATGCCTTTCTTCAGCCGACTTCATCGCATATGTTGTTATTGTTATAGTCAGCTACACGGATTAAAAAGTTGCAAGTAACACGGGCTATGGTGAGCCCGTAGTGGACTTACCTGGCACAGGAGCGGGGCTGTGACTGTTCAAAGCATATCTCGGCCGACCCTTACAAGTCAGTGATCCCTTCCTTGCCTAGTCATTCTTCCGCCTCTCCCCACCGCAAGTAGTGTTAGTTTAGTTCATTTATTATGTATCTCATACCCATCTTGTGGGCGGTAGTGGAAATAGTTACAGAGGCACATAATGGGCTCAGGGACTGAACCCCACAATTCATTTAGCTAAGCAAGTTACAATCTTGATGAGCTAGTTATAAAATTCAGTGCACATCGTCACATCAACAATGGGCTCGAGACCGACCACAAGTACAGTTTCTAAATTGAGCAACTGACATGTGGAGAGCTAGTGTGTCAATTGGTATGTGTGTCCTGTTATTTGTATTATTTGTTGTTAAATTTCTTCCTCGCTTTTTTCACCTTCATATTCTTGCCATTTCTTCTTTTTTTCGCTTCCGCTATCACCGCTATCTCATTGTTATCCCAACAGCCTGGTGTATAATTTTCTCTACTGTACTGCAAAAGTCCGCGTAAATTGCCCATTGTCTATCGTTCATTCTCCTTGCATTAATACTTTAAAACAGGACGGTATAATACCTATTGGGCAGTTGATTTTTGTCATAACGTTGTTACGTTCCTTGAGGTAATGTATATTTAATATTTAAATAATAAAATTTTCTGGTAGATAACTATTTCTGGTAGGTCTGAGATAACTATTGTATGCTTTACACGATAGAATCACAATAACGTGATGTATATGAGAAAATCTTTGGAGCCGGACCCGCTGGTGTGTAATCTCAACCACTGTACTTTGATATAATCTCAATTTCTAAAGATATATCTTCATAAATAATCCATCTTGAGTTTGCTAACTTTACTAGCAAAGGTCTAGTATTTTCCACAATTCCATTTATGAGAAATCATCTTGCTAGATGTTAGCGTAACACGCCCAACATTTGACCTAAAGCTTTGCAAGAATCAGGCAGTGATGGGGCACCTTAACAAACAAATTATTTCATTTAAGATGTTCTTTAAGAATAATAGTTACGGCGTTGTGCTTGAAGTTCACTGTTGGGGGGGGGGAGGGGGCAAACGAAAAGCTTTCTAAATATGGGGAGCTTGTAAGAGATTTTCTGAATGGTCCATGTTCACAATACGTGACTTAATGCAAGCAGGTACATGCGCTTTCTCACGTATGTCTGCACATGCGTTTTCCCACGTATGCCTTGCACATGCACAATTATTGTGCACAGACAAACGCATGCGTACCTCTCACTCTGTACCTCTCCACCTCCGTACATCGCTCCCCCCCTCCCCTACACCCCCATATCTCGTTCCGCTCTCCTTTCCACCTATTTATCCACCTCACTCCATCCCCTTCCCGAGGTCAAGCCTAGCCTCGGGCCGGGCTTGGGGAAGTAGAACTCCCAGAACCCCATCAAGCAGGTATCTGCCTTTCTCTCCCTGAGCGCCTTTCTTTCCCTGGACGCCTTTCTCTCCCTGAACGCCTCTCTCTCCCTGAACGCCTTTCTCTCCCTGAACGCCTCTCTCTCCCTGAACGCCCCTCTCTCCCTGAACGCCCCTCTCTCCCTGAACGCCCCTCTCTCCCTGAACGCCCCTCTCTCCCTGAACGCCCCTCTCTCCCTGAACGCCCCTCTCTCCCTGAACGCCCCTCTCTCCCTGAACGCCCCTCTCTCCCTGAACGCCCCTCTCTCCCTGAACGCCCCTCTCTCCCTGAACGCCCCTCTCTCCCTGAACGCCCCTCTCTCCCTGAACGCCCCTCTCTCCCTGAACGCCCCTCTCCCCCTGAACGCCCCTCTCTCCCTGAACGCCCCTCTCTCCCTGAACGCCCCTCTCTCCCTGAACGCCCCTCTCTCCCTGGACCCCTGTATGCTCCCCGGACCCCTTACACTCCCAGGACCCCTTACGCTCCCCCGGGCCCCTTACGCTCCCCAAGACCCCTTACGCTCCCTGAACTCTTTATGCTTCCTGAACCCCTTACACTCTGTGAATCCTTTATACCCCAAAAACTCCTTAATTACCAATAAAGAGTAAGGACACCTTGCAACCATGTCCTGTAATATCAGATCTTAAGGCTTCATGGTTCCTGAGAAATGAACTACTGTAATATTAAAAAAAATATACAAGTTTTAGGTCTTTAGGATGACCCAAATTATAACTCAGAAATTAGAAGAAAATGAGTTGCCATTGGGGTAAATTGTTAGATTTTAATAATAGCCATACTGTATTATTTTACTAAAAAGTGTGTTTTGAGTTAAGTTTATGATAGACTTCTTGCCGTTTTTTAAAGTAAATTTGTCACAAAATTTAAGAAATTGAGGAGCAAGAAAGAAAAAATATGTAAGTACTGTACTGTTCATTAAAAATACATTATAAGTGATATACACATATTTAAATACAGTTCTCGTGTATCATTCAGAATGTTCCCTCGAGTTAGACAACAATATCTAAACATTTTGGTTAATTAAGATATATATATATATATACTGTATATAGTTTAAATTCATTTATCTGCACTGTTAACCCTTCATATGTGCTTTATGCTATAGCTGTGTTTTACTGCAAAGGCACTGTTGCTGCAGTATGCTTATTGACGAATAACCATAACATAGGCATTGTGTATAGCCGAGAGGTTATGGAGTGTTACCTTTATCATTATTAGTTTTCTCTGAAACTAATATTACCAACTGTAAAATAAATGTTCTTTGATACAAAAATAACAGCAATGGATAACTACCAGAATGTAAACCAATGGTTATAATTTTTTTTTTAAATAATGCAAAAATATTAGTGATTAATAATAACACTTAAAGAATATACAATATTTATTTTACAATGTCCATACAGTGCAATAATGTCTGTTTAGTTATAAGTGTAAATAGTGTCGGTATACAGTACATGCAATCACTCACTTGGCTGCTTGCAAGTGTTGATGACAGGTGGTGGGTATGGGGTGCATAATGAATGAATGAATGAATGAATTAATTAATGTTGATATACTAGTATTTGTAATGTGCTGAACCTAACACCATAATGAGGAGTTTTTGTCTGCACTATTTTCCCTCCCTGACCTTTTCATATAACTTTTTAACCCTTCTAATAGAGAAAATATTTTTCACAATGTTTTTTATTGTGTATTTTAATCAGTGTACATAGTTATGAGTAACAGCATCCCTTCTATTGCAGCTGGTGCGGACGACAGGTGATCTCTTCCGTCTGTTGCCGTTCTCAGTGTTCATCATTATCCCATTCATGGAACTCTTGTTACCTGTAGCAATCAAGCTTTTCCCCGGAATGCTGCCATCCACGTTTGAGACTGCCAATGAAAAGGTGTGTAATTCTTATTTGGGGTTTATACCACAAACTGTGATAACTTGGATTATACACAGGACTAGGCTTAATGCTAAAGCGTATGCTGTACTGTATATTATATTTCTACGTTAGCATAATGAAATCCCCAATACAAATGCTGAAAATTTGCAAATCATTGTGTAATGGGACAAAGAAATTTTGTGCTTGTTTCAATTATTACCACAGTATAGACATGATTTAGATCAGGGGAGACATGATCATCACATGTAAAATTCTCGGGAATTGGCAGGGTAGATAAGAACAGATTATTTAACACGGGTGGTACTCACACAAAGGAACATACGTAAAAACTGAGTACCCAAATGAGTCAGAGACATTAGAGAGAACTTTTTTTTGGTGTCAGAGAAGTTAAAAAGTGGAATGCATTAGGAAATGATGTGGTAGAGGCTGACTCCATGCAGTTTCTGATGTATATATGACAGAGCCCAATAAGCTCGGGAACCTGTACACCAGTTCATTGGCAGTTGAGACGTAGGACCAAAGAGCTTGAGGCTTAACCCCCACAAACACAACTAGGTGAGTACAGTGTGATGTATATTTATATTGGGATTCTTGCGAGTAAATTTGATTTAGATTAATTATGCTGTAATAGTTTAATACAAGTAAAGAGATTTATCTGCAAACTACAGTACAGTATTTTAATGGTTCCTAGCTGACTGCTTGATAGCCCCCTGTTTAAGTTCATAATCAGTCAGGTTGTTGGTGCTTGCAGCTTGCTGTATGATGTTGACACCATTGTCTAGCTAACCAAAGGTTGTTTCAGGAGTACAGTATATTTATCCCAAAGGAAGGATTTGCATAAAGTATACAACAAGTACTGTACTGTATTTACATTGCTGAAAAGCTAATACTGTATAATCTTAATTTTGCCCACAGGAAGCCAAGATGAAAAAGAGACTCAAAGTTAAACTAGAAATGGCAAAATTCTTACAACAAACTTTAGACAGCATGTCTGTGCAGGCAAAAGGCCACCGCTCGGAGAGTGCCAAGGAATTTGTTATGTTTTTTGAGAAGGTTAGTCCCAAATTTATCTGTCTGTCTTCATCTAAAATGTTGCTCAATAATCTACCTAAAGTTTGTCTTAATTGAACCATAGTTCCAACTTTATTGAAGGCACTGCTCATTTCTTTTATATGAAGTTGTATTCTATTATTTTACTTAGCATCAATGCGTCTTGCTTAAGGAGATGCTTATCGTATTTACTCAAAGCTTAATTTTTAGGCGTTTTGTATGTTGCTTACATTTGTCATATTTTCCTTCATATATTTGAAAAATTCTGTTTCGTGCAGGTAACCAGGTGCCAGAAATACCATCTTCAAAGAGTTAAATCGAAGCTGTTCACTAGTTATAGGAAACTATCCTTCACCAAATACATTTTAATTTAAAATTTGGTTTGAGCTCATTGTAAATTTGTATCAGCATACAGTATGTTGTGTTTTCATTTGAAATTGGTCTGCATTAAAGTTCATAAAGAGTAGTGAATTTTTGCAATTTAAAAAATACCCAAACATTGTCGCTTATTACTCATAAGAATTTGAAAATCATTAAGTGACAAACATAAATATGGATTAATTACAATAGTAGACAAATGCATAACCAATTTTTATATTTTTTTTTAATAGATTGCAAAAACTGGCGAAAGTATTAGCAATGAAGAAATTCTGAAGTTCAGCAAGTTATTTGAGGATGAAATTACACTTGATTCACTCTCCCGACCACAACTGGTGGCTTTGTGCCGACTCTTGGAGATGCAACCTTTTGGTACAAATAATTTTCTGAGATTCCAACTAAGAATGAAGTTAAGAGCGTTAGTAGCAGATGACAAGGTGAGTTGACTTGTGGGGTGCAATACTTTGCTTTGTAGTTACATGTATTGTACAGTATTACTATGCAAAGTGTGACGTGTAGAGGTATAGTAGCTAATATTTTAAGAGAAAGTGTATACGGTGTGCGACAGTGTTTGATATCAACCCCTGTTCATTACTGTATATAAAATTTTGGGACAAATCAGTAAGAATCATGTACAAGATGTTTAGAAAATATTTTTCTGGAGCACAAAACATGATAATTTGTTAATTATTTTTCTTTTATCAAAACATGAAATAAGATTAACATGATAAAAGATTATTAGAGCAAATTAATTTTGTTTTGTAGTCTGTTGGATTATTTGATGTTAACATTTTAACGTTTCAACTCGGTACATACCAGACTGTAAACATTCTGGGCACCTCAATTTTGGATTTATATTGTTTAATTTTTGTACTGTAATTATTTTTATTTACAGCAAACAAAATTCATGTTGGCATATTATGTACTGTTATAAGTCTCATTGCATTAGCTGACTCTTCATAGAAATATATAAAACTAAAAGTTAACATAGTTTCTCTTGGTGGAGTAGAAATTAGTTTGTAATGCCCCTGGGATTGGTGTGACGATAATCTCCTTCAAGAGATTGAGCCTGCTCTTCCCTCCAAAATTACGTCTTCACAATTATATAAAAAGACTATGGAAGAAATGTCCAACAACGACAACAACACCAGCACCAGCAAGGCTTGCCAGGGTGAGCAGAAACGTATGCAACCAGCCACCTGTTCGAACTCCAACCACCAAACTACCCGTTGATCGCTACGGCTCCGCTGATTGGTCGCCGGTCTGGCTGCACCTGTACTCGCCCCCAATACTACCTGATGTCTGGGGTCGCCCCAACATCAGTCCTCAGAATGTTCCGTGCTTTCGTAGCCAGCACTCCTCCCAGCTAGACGTTAGCGTGTACTGAGAGAGGTGGTGGCTTTAAGCCAATATTCCAGCACCTCCCACTTAACTGTTGTATTGCACTTCTTGTTATTTTGCCTTAACGTAACTTTTCATTGTGTCATCTAATTATTCTTATTATTTTGATTGATTTTATTATAAGAATTTGTTTGTGCATTATTTTCATGTTTTGATTTATTTAACGTAATTAAAATTTCATTGTTAAAGTTTTACTTGTGTTTTGTGTGTCTTCTCCTTACCTTACCACAGACGAAGTTCCAGTTTTTCTATTTTTTTTTATAACTATGTGACGAGGCCATACCCCTAGCCTTAAACAGCCGAACACCAACGCGTTACCGTCACAAGTTATATGGGGGCCTGTCCTAGGAGCCTCACTCAGGTACTGGTGCCAAGTGGTAATTTATGGTAAGCGTATTTAACTCTGTTAACGTAGCTTTACTATTTTTCATTCAATTTCATTTTTTATAAGGTGCGGTGTATTGTGCATTACGAGAGTAACATATAGTGAAGGTGAGACAACTTTGGATTACGTGGTGACTGTAGGCCTCAGTCATACTCTTAATTGGTCATCTCTCCCTCCATGTTATTACTCGTATTTACCATCTATGTCCCTTGAATATTTCTCATTCTGACAGATCATCATATTGGTACCCTGGTACTGTGGTCTGCCCCGGGTCAAGAGTACCCAATCTTCTGCAATCTGACTGTAGGAGGACAAAGAGGGCCATAGTTCCTCTAGCTCGAACTTTAGTTGCTGAATTGGGACCTCAGCAGCAGTTCTCGTCACCAGTTGACACCTCGCACCCCTACACGTCAGTCAGAGATGATGATACATACAACGGTAGGGAATTAGCTTATTTTTTCAGAGCACAAAAGTTCGCTAATTCTGTAAGTATCATATTAAATTCAGTGGGAAAAACTTGCTTTATGTCCTATAGAGACTTGGCAAGGTATGCCTACATCCTTGGACTACCAATTTTACTTTTGAAGCATTTAACTGTTTCATTTGTTTTCGAAACTTTGTTTCATTTGTTAGTAGGATTTTCTTGCCCTTATTCTCTTACATGAGTACCGGGTACAAGATTTCCTGCGCCCTTGATTTAATTTAATCATTTAATATCTTTCACTTAACGTTAATTGTTAAAGATCACACAGGATAGGTACCAGTTGCCACGTTGTCCTGTTTCTGACATTTCATTATTGAACATTCGTGTACCTTTATTTGCTAATTTCACCATGTTTCGTCTCCAAACTTTCCGTGCAAATCCAGCAGGTGAAATAGGGACTTTAAGTCGTGCCAAGAGGACTGAACTACAAACTCTTGCACATGAGTATCAACTAGAAGTTCCCTACCAAGCCAACAAAAATGACCTACACAACCTGTTGCTGGATTACTATTTAGAGCAAGGTAAGATAGACTCTGACACTCATGAAACTTACTATATTGCAGATAAAACTGATTTGGCAACGCTGAAACTCAAACTAGAGCTGGCCAAGATTGAACGTGAGCAGCAAAGGGAAGCCCTCGAACAACAAGAACGAGCTGCTGCCATACGAAGAGAAGAACAAGAACGCGAGGCTGCCTTGAGGAGAGAAGAACACGAACGTGGACTCGCCCTCCACGAACGTGAGGTCGCCTTGCTCCATGAACGTGAGAGAGTACAGCTTGAAACAAAACAACGCGAGTTGGAAATACAACGCGAACATGACAAGCAACAAGCAACTCTAGCTCTAGAGTGTCGTCAACGTGAAATCGCCTTGGAAACTTCCCACTTCACTCAACGCCAGCAAGCTACTGCCAATCTTCCCGTCAGTTTTAATATATCACATGCAAGTAAGTTAATGCCATCCTTTGTAGAAGCAGAAGTTGATGTTTTTTTCACCACCTTTGAAACCCTTGCTAATCAACTCAGTTGGCCTGTCGACCAATGGGCCACACTTCTCAGAGTCCATCTTACAGGTAGAGCTGCAGTCACACTCAGTACTTTGGCGTCTGAGAATGACTACTACACTCTGAAACAAGCAGTGTTGGACGCCTACCTCCTCTCTACTGAAAGTTATAGAAGGAAATTCCGTGACCACCTGAAGGCAAGTACCACTACCTTCCTCGAGTTTGCTAACACGAAACGGAGGTATTTCATGAAATGGCTGGAAGCAGCACATGTCTCTACTTTTACAGAACTCGTCAACCTGATGCTTGTTGAAGAATTCTTGAGACGTGTGCCGCCTCCTGTCCGCCTCTACTTAGCAGATAAAGAAGAAACCGACTACCTGAAGTGTGCTAAGTCGGCTGACACTTACAGCCTCATCCACCGGCTGACACCTGAACCATCCTCCAGTAAGAAGTCGTGGTACAGTTACGAGAAGGTGAGCCCCGATCAAGCTGGTTCACAACTGTACTGCAAATATTGTAGACTCTATGGACATACCATAGACAAGTGTGGTAAGTCTCAATACAAGGGAACCACTGACCAACAACGACCCAAACCAACTCCTCCTAAGTCCGGTAAGCCTGTGATGAATGTTGGTGTTGATGTTAATGATCTTTCTCTTTTCAGTAACCACCTGTATACTGGAACTGTCTCTGCCAACGGTTCAAATCCGGAGGGACGTTTCAAATTGAAGATCTTGAGGGACACAGCGGCTCTACAATCGATCATCTTGAAGTCGGCTGTGCCCAACATAGTCTACACCGGGGAAACAGTCTTCATCACTGACCTCACTGCTACCACTCCATACCCTCTCGCCAGAGTCCACCTGGATTGTCCCTACGTGAACGGGGAAGTCCAAGTCGCCGTCAGGGAAAAGCCTTTTCCCATGCCTGGAGTGCAACTTCTCCTAGGCAACGACTTGGCAGAAGACCTGCAACCAACCAACCTGATCGTCATGGACAAACCCCAGGTGTGTAACTCTGTGCCAAGTAACCCTATTCTTGAGTATGTTCCAGCAGAGGTTCAAGAGAGTGATGATGTTTCTCCTCCGGTTCTCGTGACCACCCGTGCACAAGCCGCACGTCCACAGCCAGCTGACTCTACTGCTACCGCTGTCCCTCAAGACCCTCAGAAACTACCCCCGCATCTGACCAAGTTGGAGTTCCGTAAGTTGCAGAGGGAAGATCTTACTTTAACACCATTGTTTTTCCAGGCTGAGACTCAACCCGACAGTATTCCTGGGTTCTTCCTAGAGAACGACTTGCTCTACCGCAGATATAGACCCAGTAAACTGAAGGAGGAGGACGATTGGGCCAACACCGAACAACTTGTGATTCCCACCAGCCTGCGGCCCACTATTCTACACCTGGCCCACGGAGCATTCTCCCACTACGGCTTCAACAAGACTTACCATGGGATTCGTCAAGACTACTACTGGCCAGGTATGGTAAACAACGTCAAACAGTACGTAAAACAGTGTCATACATGTCAGATGGCAGGCAAACCGAACGTCTCCATTCCCAGAGCACCACTGATTCCCATACAGGTGCCTGCGGAACCTTTCCACAGACTCATAATAGACTGTGTTGGTCCTTTACCTCGGACCAGTTCAGGTAACGCCTACATCCTAACCATCCTGTGTCCTACCACCAGATTTCCCATAGCAGTTCCAGTGAAGAACATCACGGCTGCTACGGTTATCAAACATCTATTGAAGATCTTCACTCAATACGGATTTCCCAGGGAGATTCAAAGTGACTGTGGCACCAACTTCACCAGTGATCTCTTCAAAAGGACACTGGAGGAGTTCAACATCAAACAGGTATTGTCCAGCCCCTATCATCCTGCTTCACAGGGTTCTCTTGAACGTAGTCATCAGACCATCAAAGCACTCTTGAAAAAGTTTTGTAGTGAAACCTCAAAGGATTGGGATAAGCAGATTGACCTAATAATGTGTATTTTCAGAAGTCTCCCCAATGAGTCCCTAGGAGTATCTCCTTATGAGATGCTCTACGGCCGTAAGTGCCGTACTCCCCTTAAGGCTTTCAAAGACTCTCTCAGAGATGCCACCTTCAGTGAGCATCAGAATGTGCCCCAGTTTCTTCAAAACCTTCAACACATTCTAGAGAGAGTCCACCGCTTTGCCCATGATAATCTATTGAAAGCCCAGGTGAGAATGAAGACTCATTACGACCAGACCAGCAAAGTAAGAAAATTCAAGCCGGGAGACTTCGTCCTTGCCTATTTCCCTATCCCAGGTTCACCTTTACAAAACAGATTTTCAGGACCCTACTGCGTCAAAGAGTGCAGAAACAACAACGCATACGTGATAGAGACTCCAGATAGGCGGCGGAAGACCCAGCTGTGCCACGTCAACCTCCTGAAGCAATATAATGGTACTCCTCCCACTGTCTTGATTAATTGTTCTACCTTCACAGAACCCTACATCCACAGTGAGACCATCCCGGCTTCTTCTCCCGAAAGCACTGACAAGGAGTCGGCGCTTTCTAATTCCAAAATCCTTAATGATCTTCCCAAATGCTTTCAGGATAATAATCGTGCTCCTATGCCCTCTTCTAATTCCACTCTCACCTCGTCAGATAAGCCCTACATCCTCCATGTCGACGCCAATGGTACCGACGATGGTGGTGTCGTGATGCAGCAACGAGGCGAGAAGAATACACCTGTCAGCGACTACTGCTACAAGGAACGACGGAACAATTGGCAAGGAGCTACTCTTCCTCATCCTGAAGCTTCAGCACTTCACTCCACACCTGAAAAGTGCTCGGTCCACCATCAATACGGACCACACCACCCTACACCTCCTGCAGCACGCCCACTTCTCATCTCAACGTCTTCTACTATGGGCTTGCTACCTGCAGAAATTCAACCTGGAGACACGCTATACCAAGAGTCTGACAACATCTTAGCCCATGATCTCTCCAGAGTTTATGAAGTAGAAGCGACTCCATCCATTACTCCACCACATAACGACGTACTTCTTCCAGAACCGCAGGCTTCGGGGGAGAGTTGTGACGATAATCTCCTTCAAGAGATTGAGCCTGCTCTTCCCTCCAAAATTACGTCTTCACAATTATATAAAAAGACTATGGAAGAAATGTCCAACAACGACAACAACACCAGCACCAGCAAGGCTTGCCAGGGTGAGCAGAAACGTATGCAACCAGCCACCTGTTCGAACTCCAACCACCAAACTACCCGTTGATCGCTACGGCTCCGCTGATTGGTCGCCGGTCTGGCTGCACCTGTACTCGCCCCCAATACTACCTGATGTCTGGGGTCGCCCCAACATCAGTCCTCAGAATGTTCCGTGCTTTCGTAGCCAGCACTCCTCCCAGCTAGACGTTAGCGTGTACTGAGAGAGGTGGTGGCTTTAAGCCAATATTCCAGCACCTCCCACTTAACTGTTGTATTGCACTTCTTGTTATTTTGCCTTAACGTAACTTTTCATTGTGTCATCTAATTATTCTTATTATTTTGATTGATTTTATTATAAGAATTTGTTTGTGCATTATTTTCATGTTTTGATTTATTTAACGTCATTAAAATTTCATTGTTAAAGTTTTACTTGTGTTTTGTGTGTCTTCTCCTTACCTTACCACAGACGAAGTTCCAGTTTTTCTATTTTTTTTTATAACTATGTGACGAGGCCATACCCCTAGCCTTAAACAGCCGAACACCAACGCGTTACCGTCACAATGCAGTTATCTTTATGCTATTAAGTTATGTCAAGTGTTGCTTAATGTTTAATCCTAAGGTGAGAGAGCTGGATGACGCATCACTCCCTCACAGGTTTACAGTGGCAAGTGGGTTGGGACTTGATTTTTAATGTTTAATCCTAAGGTGAGAGAGCTGGATGACGCATCACTCCCTCACAGGTTTACAGTGGCAAGTGGGTTGGGACTTGATTTGTGGCAGGGCTTCTCCACCTTGGCTGCCTGCTTGATTTATTTAACAACTAATTTTCCTTTTAATGTAGGTCTGATTTAATACTTAGGTTTCATTTATATAACCTTTTAATTGGTAATTTGTAACAGTACTCTACTGACAATTTACTCGTATTGACATAATTTCAGATAAACTGTACAGTATTTGAATAATAATAGGTTAGCCTAGTATTTTTCTGTACATATCATTTCAGTTCAGAATGTGAAACAATGTTGAGTTTTATTAACATTCCACATACTGTATATACATTGTAGTTCTGAGGTCAACCTACTGATGTTTTCCGTAGTTCAATATCCACAAAATATTGAGATAATGAATAAACACAGTGATCATTATAAACCTGTTACATTCATCGTGAGGTATTATTTGAAATGGGCGACTGCACTAAAGACATTAAAGTCTAAAGCCACGATAGACCGTTACGTTGCGCATTTGTCTATAACAGTGGATATTTTCCACATTTCTAGGCATCTTGTTTGCTAGAAATTAGCTGCTAAATATTTGTTAAACACAAATTTTCAAAGAAACTCCTTGAGACAGTGTGTGTCTCAGTGTATCATGTGCTAATGAAAAAGCACTTTGATAGCTCAAGGGGTTGGATCTGGTTCACTTGGTTCATTACAAGTAAGCTGAGGGGTAAAAAAAATCACTGTTAACAGGGAAATTCATACTTTCTAATAATCAATACTTGTTTGTTATAATATTTAAATAATTTGTTATATTAATGAATTTTTATTGATTTGCCTATATTATTTGTCAACATTAGCTGGCATGTTGAAAAGTAACTCTGCCATTAATCTACATACAGTAATCTGGATTCTGTCCGGGGTTGAAAAGCTATCCTGTATAACTATGATTTTGGCCTATTTACCCAGAGGTTTGGGGTAGCAAGATTCACATAATAGATCATTTTGTTACATTGCAGTTATCATTACCATAAAAAGCCACATGTAGTAAATAGAGTGTATGGTACTATACAGATTATTGAGCACGAAGGTCTGGACTCTCTTGCGGTATGGGAGCTACAGCAGGCATGTCGTGCTAGAGGGATGAGGGCATATGGCTTGTCTGAAGAAAGACTCCGACTGCAGTTGACTCAGTGGCTTGAACTAAGCTTGAAGGAAAAGGTTCCTCCGTCTCTTCTCCTCCTATCACGGACACTCTACCTTCCAGAGAATATTCAGACCTCGGACACTCTGGCTGCTACGATTTCAACTCTTCCAGAAGAGGTAATAGTGTACATGTATGCACGTATGTACATGTATGCACGTAATTACCTAAGTGTAATTACCTAAGTGTAGTTACAGGATGAGAGCTACGCTCGTGGTGTCCCGTCTTCCCAGCACTCTTTGTCATATAACGCTTTGAAACTACTGACGGTCTTGGCCTCCACCACCTTCTCACTTAACTTGTTCCAACCGTCTACCACTCTATTTGCGAAGGTGAATTTTCTTATATTTCTTCGGCATCTGTGTTTAGCTAGTTTAAATCTATGGCCTCTTGTTCTTGAAGTTCCAGGTCTCAGGAAGTCTTCCCTGTCGATTTTATCAATTCCTGTTACTATTTTGTACGTAGTGATCATATCACCTCTTTTTCTTCTGTCTTCTAGTTTTGGCATATTTAATGCTTCTAACCTCTCCTCGTAGCTCTTGCCCTTCAGTTCTGGGAGCCACTTAGTAGCATGTCTTTGCACCTTTTCCAGTTTGTTGATGTGCTTCTTAAGATATGGGCACCACACAACAGCTGCATATTCTAGCTTTGGCCTAACAAAAGTCATGAACAATTTCTTTAGTATATCGCCATCCATGTATTTAAATGCAATTCTGAAGTTAGAAAGCATTGCATAGGCTCCTTGCACAATATTCTTAATGTGGTCCTCAGGTGATAGTTTTCTATCTAGAACCACTCCTAGATCTCTTTCTTTATCAGAATTCTTTAAAGATTTCTCACATAATATATAGGTTGTGTGGGGTCTATGTTCTCCTATTCCACATTCCATAACATGACATTTATTAACATTAAATTCCATTTGCCAAGTGGTGCTCCATATACTTATTTTGTCCAGGTCTTCTTGAAGGGCATGACAATCATCTAAATTTCTTATCCTTCCTATTATCTTAGCATCATCAGCAAACATGTTCATATAATTCTGTATACCAACTGGTAGATCATTTATGTACACAATAAACATCACTGGTGCAAGAACTGAACCCTGTGGTACTCCACTTGTGACATTTCTCCATTCCGATACATTGCCTCTGATTACTGCCCTCATTTTTCTATCAGTCAGAAAATTTTTCATCCATGATAGAAGCTTACCTGTCACCCCTCCAATATTTTCCAGTTTCCAGAACAACCTCTTATGTGGAACTCTGTCGAAAGCCTTTTTTAGGTCCAGATAGATGCAGTCAACCCAGCCATCTCTTTCCTGTAATATCTCTGTGGCCCGATCATAGAAACTGAGTAAATTCGATACACAGGATCTTCCTGATCGAAAACCATACTGTCTGTCTGATATTATATCATTTCTCTCCAGATGTTCTACCCATTTAGTTTTGATTAGCTTTTCCAATACTTTCACTATTACACTTGTCAATGATACAGGTCTATAATTGAGGGGGTCTTCCCTGCTGCCACTTTTGTAGATTGGAACTATGTTAGCCTGTTTCCACACGTCTGCTACGATTCCTGTACACAGGGATGCCTGAAAGATCAGGTGAAGTGGAATGCTGAGCTCAGATGCACATTCTCTCAGAACCCATGGTGAAACGCCATCTGGGCCAGCTGCTTTGTTCTTCCCGAGCTCCTTTAGCATATTTTCCACTTCATCTCTAGACACCTCTATCCGCTCTATGTTGTTCTCTGGAATTCTTATTGTGTCTGGTTCTCTGAAGATTTCATTTTGTACAAACACACTTTGGAACTTTTCATTTAATGTTTCACACATTTCCTTTTCATTTTCCGTGAATCTGTTTCCCATTTCCAACCTCTGGATATTATCCTTTACCTGCAATTTGTTGTTTATGAATTTGTAGAATAGGCCCGGTTCTGTTTTACATTTATCTGCTATCCCTTTTTCAAAATTTCTTTCTGCCTCTCTCCTTACTGCTGTATAATTGTTTCTCGCATCTTTGTATCGCTGGTATGTTTGGGGGTTTGGCCTCTTCCTATACTGATTCCATTTTTGTGTCTTTTGGTCTCTTGCCCTCTCACAATTTCTGTCGAACCAATCCTGTTTTCTGGTCCTGCATCTCTGTTTTGGTATGAATGTTTGTGTGCCTTCCTCGTATAGTTTTAAAAATTTGGCATACATTTCATTTACTTCCCTGCCTAGCAACAATTCTGTCCAATTACACTCATTAAAAAAATTTCGAAGTTCCCCATAGTTGCCTCTCTTTAAATCGAGTTTATCAACTGTTTCAATGTCCCCATTTTCTTCTAGATGATATCTTAAAGCATATTTAATGTCTAACAGGACGTGATCACTCTTTCCCAAGGGAGGAAGGTACTGGATGTCAAAAATCTCTTCTTCTTTCCTGGTGAATACTAGATCCAGTACTGACGGTATATCTCCTTCCCTCATTCTTGTGGCTTGCTTTATGTGTTGATACAAGAATGTCTCCAGAATGAGGTTCACAAATCTGCATGTCCAAAAGTCCTCCGTTCTTGCTTCATAGGCCTCCCAGTCTATTGCTCTAAAGTTGAAGTCCCCCAGTATCAACATTCGTGATTTATCTTTATCTGCTTGTACAATAATATCTCTCATGACCATTATGAGGCCCTCTCGTTTGTCATCCAGTTCTTCCTTTGTCCACGTGTTGCTTGCTGGTGGGCTGTAGGCATTTACAATTATCAGGTTATCATCCTGATTCCAGACCTGCAATGCCATTATGTCAATATCTCGAGGGTTTTCAAATATTAACTCTTTTACCTTCAGGTGTTTTTTCACCAGTACAGCCACTCCTCCTCCCTTCCTAGTTTTCCTGTCACGTCTCCAAACTGAGTAGCCTCTTGGGAATATGACTTCATTTATTATATTTCCTTCAAGTTTCGTTTCTGATAATGCAACAATATCTGGGACCCTAAGCTGGATTATATCTTGCAACTCCAAAGTTTTTGACCTCACTCCATCTATGTTGGTATATACAATTTTCAGGAACATGTTCCCTTTTCCTTTGCTCTTTACTCCCCCTTCCACTACTGATCTTGTTGCTTTGTTTTTATGTACCATTTCACAAGCTTTCCAGTCCCTGTCACTTTGTAAAAAAAAGAATTTCTGTCTTCTTCATTTCTATCCCCATTTAGACGTTTTGCCTCAATTAAGTTCATTTTCAGCTTTTCTCTGTCTTCCTTGGAGAGGTCTTGTCTTATTGACCAAGATTTGCCAACCTCATCACTCTGCAGTTTCCTGGCATTTCTTAGCACTTCCATCATGTTTTTCACTCCATTAAAGGTCACCCTTAAGGGGCGGTTCTTTTCTTTCTCATATTTTCCTATTCTTCTAAAATCACAGACATTTTCCTTTGAGCCTTCTCCTAAACCTACTATTTTCTCTATGATTTTCATCTCTTCTGCCGCTCGGTCCACCCTAGATGAAATTTCCTTCTCTAAACATCCAAAAATGATTATGGACTTAGTTCTATCTGCAGTGTTTTGTACCAGTTTACTGTTGGTAACCAGTTCTTTCCTAATTGCTTGCCTAATTTCTGCTTCTTGTTGGTCATTTCTGGTTTTGACTTCCGAACACACTTCTTTGATAGTCTCTTTCTCTTTTACAACTTGAGCATATGTCGCTTTTATTTCTTCTTTATACTTTTCTAGTTCTTTATTCACCTCCTCTATGTGAGTTGTCAGTGAAGTTTCCAGTTGGAGATCCTTACCTAACTCTATGTTAGCCCTTAGGCTTGCTTGGAGTTGTTCACCATATGAGTCTATCTTCTTGTTTATTTCTTCAAAGTCACCACACTTCACTTTCCATGCCTCATTTTCTTTCACTAGTTCCTTGATTTGCTCCTCCTGATTTGTTACCTTGTCTGTTAATGCAGTAATAATCTTACCTTGTTGAAGCATACTCCCTTTTAGAGTGCAAAGCTCACTCCAAAGAGCTCCATTGTCCTCTTCTAATTTAAGCACTTTTTCTTCATACTTCATATGTATGTATGTATGTGTATGTGTGTGCGTGTGCGCGCACAAACGCGCGCACTCTTCTGTAACTACACTTAAGTAATTACACACAAATATGACTGGCTGTGACCAGCCTATGTCCATTTCATACCCCAGGCTGTTCATCCTGCAGAGTAATTGTCTATTGTCTATGTATGTATGATGATCCACTGGTCCACATAGTTTCAAAATGTACTATTATAAACAGTTGGGTTATATGAAATAAAAATGCATAAAATAGTATTTGTGTTTGTCATACATTTTGAAGATAGTACAGTATATCTATATTTCATTTGTTTCCTATCATTCTGCATAAACTTCATTTTCCATCATTAGGTTGCCACACACACTAAAGCAGCCATCGGGAAGCGTGAGGGTAAGATTGACAACCTGACACGATTAGAGGTGATCCGAGCTGAGGAGAGGATGATTGCTGAGGACAAGAAAGAGTTGGAGAGAATTCAAGAGGAGGTGAAATTGAAAGATCTTGCTAAGAAGAAAGTAGAGGAGGTTAGAAATAGCTTGTTTTTTTATGTAATATTTTGTGCATTTTTTAGATTAGGACGACTCAAAATTTCCGGTAAATTTCCCGTCGTTATGATTATCTATGGCTGTATTTCGATAATTTATTTTGTTTGCTCATTATATTTAATACTAGAAGAGCTGAAGTAACAAACTATAATTATCTTCAGATTAATGTTGAAGATTTGAAAACTATTTATTAATCAAATCAACATATTAATCAAAGAGAACATTTGCTGCTCAGTTGTCATTTTAGTTATATATTTTATAGTATTGTGCTATATATACATGCAGCCATATTTGTTTGTATTTGTTCTAAATATATATATATAGTACTGTACTGTATATATATATATATTTATATATATATATATATATATATATATATATATATATATATATATATATATATATATATATATATATATATATATATATATATATATATATATATATTGGTGAAATTGGATGTGCTGGTTTAGACCTGTTTAGGAACAACAAAACAGGAATAGATGCGGCCAGATGTGTGGAGGAGTGCTGATATTCTCCCTCATATGTGGTATGGTCTCAACATCATACAGTAAACTGAGAGTTAGAGCAATAGGAACGGACAAACCTGAGATGCATGCATAGTGTTAGGAGAATAGAGTAAACGAAAAAGAAAATGATAAATATTATAAATTTGGAGTGCAAAAGTCATTGACTGCCATTTTGAAGTGTGTGTACTGAAATAGCCTGGGAATGTTGAATGACTAGATGTTAATAAACTGGTGATTAGTGAACTGTATGCTGAAGTAAATTCAAGGGTAGGAAGGTATGTGAAGGCTGGGAAGAAAATTGGTGGAAATGGGGACTGTGTGTTATTAAACAGAACTTGAATGTGATTAATGCACTGGATAAGGTAATTGAAAAGGCTGGGTGGAAGTATTTTGTAAAGAAGGAGTAGATGTATATGCTTGTTTGTCCATGATAATATATAGTGTAGATGATATAACTAAATGGTGAGTGATAAATATCTTTATAAGACATATAATCTATCAGTGTTATTTGCCTTTGTTTTCCCTGACTGATGCCTTCCCACCACATGAAAGTGGGAAACAGGGGTAATGGTAAAGACTTAATGAATCTTTTTACTGTTAGCCTGTAATAGGGCAGTGTAGACCAGAAAAGCCATCTGAACCTGCAATGTATTTATTAATATTAATAAAATGATTTGTCTCTACCAGGAAGCCCATCGACAGGAAATAGCCATGCAGCAAGCTGTTGAGGAGACCCAACGAGAAGTTCTTCAAGCTGGGGTAGACATGGCTCAGTTACCCCCATCAGCCAATAAGATTCTCTCCGAGGGGGTGCAGGTTACTAAGGCTACAGTGTCGGTCTCGGGAGAGATTGAAGTAAGTCTGTACTTGATTATTGGTTCTTTACAAAACATTTTCAACTTCTATAAGATGAGTCTGAACTGAAAAAGATGAGCCAGAGAAAAGTAAGAAAAGACTTGTATGCAAGGAGTGTGGTTAACTAGTAGTTGTGGAAACTTGGGGCTTTGTGACTGGCATTTACCAAGCTTCTCAGGGTCGTTGGGCAGGTTCATTCCTCCGGGTGTACAGTATGGCTCGCAAGTATGCTGCAATGTGACGGACTCTGCAGCAGGTTCATCTTCATCCTGGCTCTGTCTTCAGGCTCCATTCTGGCTGCCATCTAGTGGTTTGTCTGTACAATATTGCAGGGCAGTCACTTTGGCCCTTTCCTCTTTGGTGCTAGATTATGTGAGTAGCTTGTCTCCTGTATTTTCAAGTTTTTATTTTCTGTGCATTCTGTGATGAAAGTGTCCAACATTCTCATGGATGGTCTCTCATTTATGTCCTATTTCAACGGGGTGAACCCTTGAAATTGTGTCGTCCTATTCAGGAGCCACAAGGTGGATCTCTGTGTTGACTTGGCTTCCATCCTACATGGTTCCATTCCCCAATTGTTGGGCTCTCGTGGTGGATGCCTTTTGACTAGACTGGTTGAGGTTGGGTATCCTCTCTCTCTTCAGTCTGGTTCAAGTTTTACTGCAAGTTTTGTCCAGACTGGTAACTTAAATTGGCAGGCTGATTCTTCTGGCTTCCTCAGTCCTGGTTTTGGGCCCTTTTGGCTTGGTATCTGAACCCCGGGTCTTTCCAGTGCTCCACCTCCTTCAGCAGATCAATCGAGAGACCTTCCTCACTGGTTCAATGTTCTTCTCTCATCTGTGCATGTGGAATGTCTAACTCTAGTCTATTGCCATATGTGGGACCATGTTGCTGAGCTCTTGGTCTCCCACCTATGTTTTTTGTGGCAGGAACAGTATGAGGTTTCCCTGGTTTTCTTTGTCTTTTCATTTCTTCATTGTTTGTGGTCTGTTTCAGTTTCAGTGGTCCTCTCCTTTTTGTCCTGGTTATTTGGTCAGCATCTTGTGCTGAATACTGTCACCTCTAGGGTATTGGTTATTATTTTGTCTCCTCAGTTTTTGATCGCTCCTTATGTTTATTATTCTTGTTTATCCTTATCCTTATTGTTTATTATTCTTTCTTCAAGGCTTTGTTTTTGTTCACTTGGCCCTGGCAGGTGATTTCTTCTTCTGCAGCTGCCTTCTTTTCTAGGAAAAAATGAGATGGATGGCTTCTGGGGAGGGAGGAGGTCCTTTTGTTATTAATTCGTGGTTTATTCAGTTGTGGGTATTTATCACTCCCTACACTGCTTCAGGGAATGTGTTGTATATTGATCAGTCTTCTTGGTCCCCTGTTCAAACGCTCCTTTGTCTTGGGTCATCCACAGTGTCTTGCAATCTATCATGTCTGCGGTCTACCCTCAGGTTAATGATATTTGAAAGTTTTAGGTTTTGAGGCATTATTTTATACTAGGTCTTGGGCTGATATCTGGGCTCAAGGGTTTTGGAGATCTTACAGGGTCGTGGCAGCTCATTACCTGGTCCCTGGTAATGAGCCACCCTGGTCCCCATCATACCTGTGTTTCCTTGAGTAAGGCATCCCAGCCTGGTCTCTCCCTTTTAGGAGTTTGTTCTTTGCTCTCCTTCTCTGGCAAGTCTCATTTTCTTTTTGTCTGTGGTTCATTAGCTACAGGGAGTCACCATTCAACCCCCTCCAGGAAACTAGCATTGAATGTAATGAAATGCTTCTTTCTGGAGGGGGAGGGGGCATCAATAGCTCCCTGGACCCCACCCTCCCTATCAAGTGCATCAGCTGGTCTTTCTTAGACTCTAGACTGATAATTGTTGACATGGGGAACTGGACACTCCCTTAATGCTGCCACCAGGTGATTACCAGCTGTAATTAGGGAGGGGGGGGGGAGTATGACCTAACTACTTAATGGATCATTTGTTGCATTTCTTGCTTAATTTCTGTGAACCTTGCAGTTGTCGGTTTTGCTTCTGTTTGTTTCCGGGGTTTGTTTTGTTTCTTTCATGAAGTTGATCATGAATCCCTTCTCCCTGTACCGCTCTGAAGAAGCCAGGTTTTACCTGTTGGTCTCTGATAGGCTCTTAAGGACTCCCAGCTCTGATGTACCTTAAAAGGTGTATTTATCCTGCATATTTTTTTGTTCATTTGAAACATCACACTATTGAGATTTCTGTGCGTCCTATATCATCACGCATCAGCCCACTAACATTGGGCTGACTCCAGTTTGTGTCTTGGAGAGGCTGCGGAATCTGCGTGAATTCAATGGAATTCCCGGTTGCAATTCTTTTGACCATGTCGTAGCCTAGTCGACTAAGGCAGCGTTTGGGATCATCGTGGGCGTGAGTTCGAACCCTCATCACGGCCCTTGTAGATTTATTCATTTGATGCATCACGTTATTGTGATTTCTGTGTGTATAGGGAGCCACTGTTCCCTTCCCTTCCTCTTTTCCAGAAAGAGGCATATCATTACAGTGTGTTCTTTTAATGCATATTGTTTAGTAAATATGAAAATAAGGACATTCTACTGTGGGTGTAACCATAAGGAAAATAATTACATTTTTACAGCTGGGGGATATTTTCCCTGAAGGGTTGGGTGTATAAGGCCAAGATACGTAAGTCTCCAATTGATGATAGTCACTTATTTATGCAGAGATATGCAGGAATTTTTAACAATTATTTTTGTTTAAAACGATCAAAAGACTGTAACTTGTTCATAATTTTTGAAGTTGGAGATTTAGGTTATTGAGGGCTTAATTAGTGAGTGTCCAGTTTAAGCATATTTTAAATGTAGGATCAAGGGTAATTGCCTTTTATACATTTATAGATGTACAATACTCTTCATGTGCAAGTTTTAGAAATAGTGTTTGCTCTGTATTTACTAAAGCAGAAGGCTGACATGGAGGTGCTTGTTGACCGAGCTCCCGTCCTGCAGGACAAAGCCGAGGTGCTTTCTGAAGAGTCACGAAAAGCAGCCCCGATAGTTCCTACTGTAGAAGAACCAGCAGTGGTAAGAGATTCTGGTGCAGTGCACTCCACTACATGCAAGATACTGTATTAAATGGATTAATTTGTATTTTTATACTAGTAAAATATTTAGCTTTAGAGGAAATATAAATATTTTCATTCATTAATTCTATGAATAATACTCAAATTTATCTTGTGAAATTTATCATTTTTTTATTTTTGTAGCTGACAAGCCAGGATTTGCGAGATGTGGAAGAAGCCATCGAGAATCTAGGAGTAGAAAAGCGGAAGTTAATTATAGAAGAAAAGGAATTGTCCGAGTTGAAGAGTGAGCTGGCAGATTATCAGCATGACATTGAAGACTTTGAAAAAGTAAGTGAAGAATTAGTGCTGGGAAATTGAACACAAATGACCTGGTATCTAGAGGTGAATTTTCAGTGTTTAAAATATGCAGTTCGCTCTTCGCTAGTGTGTGTGCTTGTAAACAAATCTGAGGTACTAAAGGTTGCCTTCTGGATGCTTTGCACATATGTGTGGTGATTGTAGTGTTACATGATGCTACTGAATATGGTTGTAATAGTTATGCAGGATGCTCCAGATTGTGATGGTTCTCTTCCCTGTAGTTGTACTGAGTGTTGTTTATGCTAGTTTCCCCACAATACTCCCAGTTGTGATTATACAGTACTGTACTAATTTTCCATAGCATTACTGTGTGTGGTGGACCAGCTGCTAGTGTCCTATGAAGATATAGTTAGCTTGTGATGACAACCAGATAGAAGAGTACACAAAATACACACAATAATAAGTATTTTGTCTGAACGTAAGAAATGTGATAAGAGGCAACAAGATGGCAACTGTAGCCAGAGATTGGATGTCATGGTTCAAGAGGTCAGGATTGGATGTCATGGATCAAGAAGTTAGGATTGGATGTCATGGATCAAGAGGTCAGGATTGGATGTCATGGTTCAAGAGGTTAGAATTGGATGTCATGGTTCAAGAGGTCAGACAACTCTGACCTGGAAGGAATTCCAGTGTTGACTGTTATTAACGTTACAAAGGAGGTTGCTTGGTAAGCTGATGTCCCATGAAAAAAAGTGGAGGCTGAATTGCATTACTGGAGCAGGAGAAATTAAGAAGAGTTTCCTTAGCACTGGTCTAAGATCGAGTGAGTTTAGAGTCTGACTTAGTAGGTGTAGGGCAGTGGGGTGGGGTGCTGGAGAAGCTGCAGTGACAGGCAGATTACAACAGAACTATTGAGTATTGTGATACGTAACTGCATGGTAGTACTGCTTCCCATGAAGCTATTGTATGGTGGTACTAGTTTCCCCATGATGGTACTGTACTCTGCTTAGCCAAATGTACTTATGAGAAGCAAGATCTGACTGGAGGGTGCTCCCTCATAGGTAATCATTGAATCAATCAATAACTTTGTTCACAAATATTAGTTTTGTACATTTACAATTGGGTTAGTTTACACAAATTTACAGTAAATTATTTACTCCCTAAGAGAACGTCATAATAACAACAAAATATGAAATATCTGATTAGAGTATATTAGGGGTACAGTAGTATATCGTTCAGTATGATTATTCCTTCCAGCATTCCAACTTCTCTCGAGAGGCTCATTTCTCATAGTAAAATGACAAAATAAGTGATGGTAGGATAACAACCCCAAATTTGTGCAGAATTTAGCAAATGTAGAAATGTGAAAATTATGCAGAGATGGTGTGGCATTATTTTGCAGCTTGTAAACAGTAGTTAAACAGGCATTAAGTTGTTGACTTAATAATTTAAGCTTTGTTTCATTGTCAGTTGCCTTTTTAAGTTATATATATACATAAAACATAATCAGTCAGGGGCCATAATCAGTCATAATCAGAAAAATAATCAGGGGCCTCATAGCCTGGTGGATAGCGCGCAGGACTCGTAATTCTGTGGCGCGGGTTCGATTCCCGCACGAGGCAGAAACAAATGGGCAAAGTTTCTTTCACCCTGAATGCCCCTGTTACCTAGCAGTAAATAGGTACCTGGGAGTTAGTCAGCTGTCACGGACTGCTTCCTAGGGGTGGAGGCCTGGTCGAGGACCGGGCCGCGGGGACACTAAAGCCCCGAAATCATCTCAAGATAACCTCAAGATGATTTACAAAGTAGGAATTTTGAGGTTATAGTTTTATAATACCATATACAGTATATAAATTCATTGTTGACTTTAATATGCCTTACAAGTTTTGTATTTTCAGGCCCTAGTTCAGGCTGACATTAATAAGAAAGAGCTTCGAGAGAGTAAAGCTGCTAAACGACTTTTCGTCAGCGTAAACAAAATGATCAGTAAAATAGAACCGGTTCTTGAAAATCTGAGGAAGGAGAAGGATTACCGCCAAAAGATTGTGGATGCTGGTGAGGCTAAGGTTCAAGACAAGTAAGTGTTAAATCGAGACAATTGTCTTAATCTGTGACCCTGCTGTTGAGATAAATGTCTTCAAAGATTGTAAGGGTTAAAGAAAGAGCCCAATAGAAATAAAGTTCAATTTAAATCTTAATCTATTTATCATTGGTGTGTTTTTAGTACATTATACAAAAAAGTACTTTCTTAAGCTTTTGTACTACTGTACAAATTTTTTTTTTTTTTTATACATGTGTATACTTTTATTGTTATACTAGAACTCTTTAGTAATAGTTTGTAGCACTGCAGAATGCAAAAAAAAAAGAAAAAAAAAAGCTAATATTTCTCTTTATTTCCTCCTTAAACTCCTATAACCTGACACGTTTCCACTCATCTATACAGTTTCTCTTGTATAATTCTTCAGTCCATTCCGTATATTATAAAAAGCACTTTGATGGCAGAGTTGTTTCTCATAGCACTAAATTCCTTGAAAATCTCAATGGTAAAGGCATAAGAATAAGGGTAACCACAGAAGGTCTATTGGCCCATACAAGGCAGTTGTTTATATCGAACCAAACTCGATCATATATGGTTAATCTGTGGTTAAAGTAATCGAGCGATTCATGTCTGTTGTTACCTGGTAATTTGTTCCATAAATCAACAACCCTATTTCCAAACCAGGTCTTTCTTGAATCTAATCTTTTTTTTTCCATTTCTGTCCAATTCGTTCTTGGTGAGCCAAGAAGAGTCACAATGTTGACTTTTGTAGTGACCTAAAGCTACCTCTACAGATATTTCTTCAGAGGGTTAGATATAGAGAAAAGGAAGATAAAGCATCTTAGTTTGTTGCACTAAATGGCTGTATAATGGGAAAAAGAGATATTAGTGTTCATTCATCAACAGTATTGGAGGAATTTGTTGGCCTAGTGGCATCGTTCGAAAAAGCGTGAATTACCTTTCCATTAATTTTGAAAGTACCAAATGTATTGTATATTACCATACAACTCTACTAAATCAGACTCTATTTTTGTAGATTTCAGTGTGATCTTGAACAATTTTATCCAGTTGAGACACCTTTCCTCTGATAATTCTTGTTTTCTGTTTTCCCAAGTACTGTACTGTGCTTCTCTAACTGACACATGCCTTTTCCAAGTCAGTAGAGGCCATATTCATTTTAAAACCTTTCTAACATGCCTTCTTAATTACAGGGCTGAACTTGTGAGCTTGGAGGAATTAACTAAACATTTGAGTTACATCTACCATGCTCCAGATACCTCAAAAGTGTCTATGATTAGTGACGTTTTGGCCAAGATGGACTTTGACAAAGATGGAGCTGTAGAAGTGGATGATGTTCTGCATGTTTTGAACCTCATGTTGGATGAAGAAGTGGGTGTCACCCCAAAGCTGTTTGAAGAGGTTATTGCAATGATGGCTAAGGAAGATCAACTTGAGTCCGCTAAACTCATTCAGCAGGCTCTTAGAACAACTATAGCCGAGAACATGGCATTAGATTCCTCAACTGAATCGCAGACTCCCAAAGCATCCTCTGTGAGTACTTTAAAAGATTCAACTGTTAATGATACTATCAATGAAATGCCAAAAGAAACCGATGTTAAAATGCAGAGTGATAAAGACAACTCGGGGCAGTCAAGCGAGACTACAGAGACTGAGAAACAAGCAAAGCACAGCCAATGACACACTGAGAAACAGGAGTAATTGTTAACTGCTGGGTAGTATGTGCAGATGTTTATTTTAGGGTAATATGATTCCATTTTTTAAGGGAGATATGATGGAATAACTGTACATATGATCTTTATTATTTATCAGAGATGCTGCAGGAAGTTGTTTTTATGGATTTAGGTTGTAAAGAAGAGTTGAGAAACGCTTAAAAAAGCTTCACGATAGTTGAAGGTAATCCTAAATTATTACATTATTATTATGCATTTGTTGTGTGGACAGCTAGCGACAGTATTGAGCACTCTGAATTTGAGAACATACTGTTTGCCAGATATTTCAGTGTAGATAATTAGCACTTCTCTCATAAATTATAACATTATTTATTTTGTAAAAAATGTTGCTCGCGGTAACATTTTTCCCTGGCATTTGTTGGAATACACTTCTTGAACGGGTATATCACCTAATTGTTTTCTCAAACTAATTTTACCTGCAGATATATATATATAAGCATATTGTATATAGGGAACTATACATAGAATACTACTCTTGCACTTCATTGCATTTTTCATATAATTTCAATTGTATGTACTATGGTATAGGTTTTACTGTACTTTTTCTAAATAAATATTATTTATTTGTGTGTATATGCTGTGATTGTAGAAAGGTTTCATTGTTATAATTACATTTTCAGTAAATTGTCTAAATCTTTTTGACATATAAACCCTCAAGCAAGCATGTATACATACTATATATTCATAGGGAAGCCCACAGACTATATATGCATATGCTAATATTCTAAGTAGTGTTTATGTTAACAGGAAATTCTCATTATAATGAAATCAAAGGGTAGTGATAAAGTTAGTTTATAACAGTATTTACAAATTTAGGAAATATTGTACTGTAGTGCAGAATTATATTTTTACCATCTTATTAATTGATAAACAAGTAATGTAGTATTGTATCCAGTGATATCTTTAGATAGTCCAATATTAACTTCCATAAAGTAACTTGTTGGAAAACAAGTGAGCTGTTAATATAGGTAGTGGAAAGAAAATTATCAGAGTAAATTCCAAAGAAATGGGGTAGGTAATATTCTGTAATGTTTCTCGAGCACTGTCTGTGTTTGACAAGACTTTGATCTTGCATTTTTTGGTCAAGCCATTCAGTGTATTACTTAAGCATGCACTGTCTGTGCCCTGTGTGAGGTCATTTGAAGTTACAGTGCTTGCTAGGGTGGAGTGAGAAATGACAGTTTCCTGGAAATCTAAAAAAGTGGAATTCTTGATTCCTGACAAATGTGGCAAAAGTAAGAAAAATTTTTTTTTGGGCGTTTTTCATCATTTTTGAGTTGGCAATCGCTCCGAATGAGTCCATGGGGGTGGGGGTCAAAATGGTCAGGAAGGTCATAACTTAACTGCTGGTGCTAGATTTATGTCTCAAAATTTGCAGAATCCTCATGTTTCTGTATGTTTTAGGAGGAACTTTTTCTCTACTTGTGCAAGAAAATGTTATTGGAAAAAAAAGCATTTTGGTGGGTATTGGAGGGGGGTCGAAATGATAACATTCCTGTATGTATTTCGACTTTGAATCGTCATTTATTAATATTTTGGTTTATTTATAACAATTTTATATATAATTTTAATTTACCTTTGTCATAAATAAACCAAAATAATAGTAAAGAACTAATTATTCAAGAGTTCAAATATATTAATTTTCCCCCCATGCCCTGTGGACACATTTGGAGTAGTTCCTGGCCCCCCAAAAAAGGTGGCAATCACTCAAAATGTATTTTTTGTTATGTTTGGCATATTTGTCAGGAAATAAGAGCTACACTTTTTTCAATTAAAATTTTCACTCCACACTGCTTGCCTTTCCAAATAGAACTTTCACAGTGAGTGTCAAATGGAAATTGTAGAGAGAATCTTCTTGATTTATACACGAATATAAGTCAAATGATGAGCTTGCTGTAGATGTCATAACATTTAGAGTAATGGTTCTAGTATTGTGTTGGCACATAACCTGGCAGTGCCAAGTGTAATAATGTGTGGTAAAACACAAGGCAGTAAAGCCAAACTGTCTTATTCATGTCCGAGGCAGAACATAGTAACAGATGCAATTTTAAATTATTTGGAGAGATTCAACATATTTGCTTCTCAGTTTAATGCATTTACAATTTCTTCATACCTAAGAAGAAATGTTAATAAAAGTGGTTTGCAAAACTAATTACGTTTATTTCCTTTCTTTTGGCCATTGATGATATTTCAAAACTAAGATTAACGTTCACCCGAGTCATGATAATACATTATCATAATTGTTATATACTTGGAGCTACAGAAAGAAAGAAATTTGTAGTCTCAAAGAATGGTAGTAAAAGCTTTTAAGAATTCAATTTGCAATACAAGTATGACAGGATATTTGCAAGTTTCCCCAGATTTAATGTTTGTTCCTTGCTTATAATTTGGTAAATTCAGTTCTGAAGTATGGAAAAAGGCATTGCAGGTAAATACTGTTAATTTGTAATGGAAATTCTAAGCTGTTTATTTACAGTACTATTCATAAATTATGAATACTGGGTATACAATCTTTAGCGTCGGGTACCTTGGAATTGTAAGTCGGACAATGTCCCATTATTGGTCTGAAGATTACACGGCATGTCACATAGCCTAGTAAAATAGCATTTTGATGTTGTTTATCAATGTTTTGTGCATATGTTAGTTCTTGTCAGTGGTGAAAATGTGCATATAACCTTTGAACCTAGTGTTCATATTATATGAAAGTAAGACTTCACTAACTTGAGTGAACCAGCACGTAATAGTCTTCAGCAATGTTTCATCATCTACGAAATATAGTATATGATAACTAAACATCTGAAAAGGAGCACTGCAATATAACCAAGTTAACAATTTGTTACCAGTATGAAAAAATGTTCCAATTGTTTAACTAAAAATCTTAAAGGGAATCATAATAAATAAAGTTTAAATTTGTATATTTTTATTTTAGGCCAAGAACGAATTGGCATTTGAATAACAAAAAAAATATACAGTAAACCAGATAGGCATAAAAATAAATATTATGAGCAAAGTTTTATTACGACAACAGCACACAGGATCAATGAAGAGTAGATGTCCATATGCAGGATTTTGTTTAGTGAACTTTAACCCAAGTGCATAAATAAATTTAGATTTATGCACTTTTCCTGCACTTGCCAAGTAGCAAGACCAGTTGCCACCTCAATACAGTTATGAAGCATCATGAGCCTCCATGAAGGTGTGTATCGTGGCCCCCACCGGTGCTATACCTCGGCTTCACTAGATCCCACCTACAAGACGTTCTACCATGTCTATTTACTTGGTGTTGCATTGTGTTTAATAAATAACTTTGAAGACTGAAAACAATTGTATTTTTTAGAATATTTTTAATCAAAATAAACTCGAGAAAGTGTTGAGTACAGGAAACAGTAGGATATTAATTTAAATAAATATACTATAAGTGTCTAAAAATTTCCTAACAAAATTATTGTCTAGATGAAAAAAATTTCACAATTTTGGCCTTTTTCAATGGCGGTTGCTGTTCACCAGTACTTTGTTCACAACTGGAGTCGTCATCTATATCATGAGAGGATTTGAAGGTATAAAGGGGCGGCGGTCTGGCAACATACGGATCAAATGTCCACTTTGGAAATACTCGCTTATAAAGATTAAGCAGAACAGTATCTTGAGACTTGAGCTGACCATCAAACTGGCACTTCATGTGGCCATGAGTACCTATTTACAAGAAAAAAAAATATTAATTTCATACAATGACAACAAAAGGGGATTAAAAGTGGGGAGCGAGTGTGAGCACTAAGTGGCAAGTATCGAAAGAAAGCATAGTCAACACTGAACTGTACCCAATATGTTTCCAACCCAGTTCCCGCCTAAAACTGCCCACTAACACAATGTACAAAACGGTAATGCACTTGGCCATTTGGAAGAAAGCTGTCCATCTCTTTGGGTGGGTAACTGGATCTCTGAATGTGTTATGGGTCCTAGGAAGTGTGGATTATCTCCTTTCCCTTTAGCTCCATTGACATGACAGGCAAGTTCTTTCCCGCATTCTAAATTGGTAGTTCTAGCTTGTGCATGGTGATGCATAGAAGGCATGTGTTGAGTTTGAAGCTAGTGAGGGCAATTTAGTGTGGCCTGGGAAGCTCTTCTTCTAGCCAAAGCTTGCTGCTACATTATATCCATGCTCTAACTCAGGGTTTCTCAACCAGAGTTCCAAGAGAGGTCACTAGGGGTTTATTTATTGTGTTTACATATACTGTATATATATTAATCAACAAATTCACCATATTTTTTAGATAATGTATATTTTTTGTTCTTCGGGACAAATTATTTTGAGAGTTCTGCAAAAGCAAAAAGGTTGAGAAATGTTGCTCTAACCTATTTAACCTTCAACATGTGTGTATTGCAGTATGGCCATACCTGCCTATGAGCAAAAAATTAAATTCCAAAAAGTATTTGGATATCAAGAAAGAACAAAAACTGCCTGTCAAGCATGGCTACTTACCAAGAGGCTCTTTAATGTGACCTCTTCTTCCCCACTTGGTCCTCAGCTCCACTGGTTTAAACCACATCACATCTTCACGGTTGAAGAACATGTAGCGTATAACAGCTGACTTCCGATTTACCTGCAAAGATAACAGATTATACCACGAGGTGTCCAAAACTAGCCCAACTGAAGTTGCTGTAGCACGTCTGTCTAACATTACGAGAAACCTGATGGCTAAAAAAAAAAAAAAAAAAATAAGGCATTAACATGAAAACATTCTTTCTGATAAGCATCATCCAGTTGCTCCTTGAAAGTAATATTTGTTTGTGTCCATTGATAGGATTGTGCATGATTGTGCAGGAATGACATGGCCATCTTGCCACAAGGAATTGTCAAATATCTGTGCAGGATTATGCCAGGACTTGGGAATTTACTGGAGAAACTCAGTTTAGTGCAAAATGACTCAGATTTTCAGGAACTTAATGGGGTTTGATGTTGGGAGAAGTGAGTGGTTCTCTTTTGACTGACCAGGCTTTGTTTTTTACCAGGAGCAGAAATTCACAAAATGCCACTTGTGTGCATGGCAAAAAACTTAAAAAGAGCCAGGTCAGCCCAAAGGAAAGTGCTCTGAAGTAATAACTTGTCCTGACATCAAAAGTTGGAATATGTTCATATGGTTTTCACGACTCCAAATGGTTGTAATGAGGTATATCAGATAAACCAATCATCAATTGAATCATAATCATGCGTTACGTGTACGCATGATTATGCATATATGTGTAATGATTATGGCTGACTAATGATTATTAGCCAGCCATCACCTGTGGGTGGCACACTGGTAGCTTCTACTTTTCTTTCAATCTATATTCTCGCCCATATGGTGCCCATTAGGGCATATGCCATTGCCCAACACTATTGTGTGTTATGTTCATATGCTATTCACTACTCTTTTTATAGTTGTAATAAAGAATACCGGATAAACCAATCCTCAAATGTGTTGGAATTATGTGATTTATGAAGTTTTCAACACATACTCTTGCAAATAAAGAAAAATAAGTGATAAACAATCAGTGAAACAGTCGAGAACACAAGTCGTGTCTCACAGTACAGTACAGTACCTGTGTCAGCAAACTTGACATCATGTACTGACAGATGCAAGACCATATAACCACTGCACAATCTTTCAGTGCCTCCACCCAATAAAATATAACTATTCACTTATTTTCATGTTTATGTTACATTTTGCATATAAATTACCAGCTTTATAATGAAAACTTATTCTTTGACATTTTTATACATTTTTGTTTGCACATAGGCAGAAATAATAATTTTTCTATAGCTGTTGTCCAAGGGTTAAATGTGGTTTAACTATATATCCTCATTTTATTCTACATTAATGTCCTTGTTGAGATAAAGCCAATGGAGAAACTTACTACAATACCATAGCATAAATCAAATTTTCAGATGAAATCTTGATAAAGGATGTAGATTTCATCCAGAAATTTGGTTTAATAATACACTTACACATGTATTGGATCATTCCTTCAACTTCATAAAGACAATCTTAAAAAGTTTGTGGGATTTTGCATTAATCATTTTAAGTATACATCATGTCATACGACACGAGTTGGCAGTGTTGTTAGGTTGTACTGGAGTTTTTGTTTCCTAGATGGTACCAATGAATAAAACAACTGCAAAACATAACACTTTAGATCAATATTTTTCAAGTTTCAAGACAGACTGCAGCACAGAATGAGATATGGTGAAGTATCTTTGACATACCTTGAATGGGTGACCACTCAGCACTACTCTCTTCGTCACTATTCTTTTAGGATCAACACTTAGTAACGAACCAGTTCCCACTAAGTCCTGCAAGCAACACCAGAGATAATTATATATCAGCACCAAAATACTGTTACTATAATGCACACATGACAAATCAGGTATGATCAAGTATCCTCCAAAGGATACCTGATCAACCAGGCTGTGACTCATACGTCAGGCTGCGAGCGGCCGCGTCCAACAGCCTGGTTGATCAGTCCAGCAACCAGGAGGCCTGGTCGACGACCGGGCCGCGGGGACGCTAAGCCCCGGAAGCACCTCAAGGTAACCTCAAGGTATGACTCTTTTTTTTACTATAATTATAATTTATACACACTTAAATATTCCCAGGAGTGTTCACAACATGCACAAAAAGTTACCAAAAAGCACCAGTTTCGATACATTCTCTGGATAGCCGAAGATTGACCAACTTCAATTGTTTTTTTTTAGAAAGAAGATTGGCTGACTCGCTTCAGCCTGCAACATGCAGGCTGAAGCGAGAGCACAAGTGCCAACGATAACATAGAGAAATACCAAGACAAGCAGAGTATTTGTTTTTAATATATGTTTGGCCTGCAGGAGCTTTATAATACTAAGATTTGTTAAAACATAAACAAGCATAAGTTATCTACTAATGAAGTCAGTTTTTATCTCAAGTGTTTCTATGCATGCATACAATTGCTATTACTTTTGAACAAGCAACACTTTATTTATTGATTTATAGAAGAACCCAAACTGTGCTTGTACAAATGAACCAGTCATGTTCTGGAAACCATGATGTGACAACCCCCATTATTTGTCATCATTTTCTTTATGCTAAAATAGGGAAATCTGGGATGAACAAAACCAGGCAGAACAGAAGCATGAGCACATTAGCAGGAATATGATCAAGGTACAGATGCACACGACTCATTCCTATGGATTATGAGTCTATATCAATGAATTATTCCTGCTAATCTTGATTTCCTTTGCAGATAAATTCTTAAACAATCAATATATATGTACTAATTTTTGAGCAAAAGTATTGATATACTAAACAAAAATAAGTTTGGCTTCAATGGCAAGCATCCAGTCTAAAAATTGATCTGAACACTCAAGACTTCACTGGGTATCTTTTCTTTTAAAACCTAATTACTTTATAATCCTGCTTTCTGAGCTACTTCACTTGGAGGCTCCCACAAGCAAGATCCATTATGGTTTCATTGGACAGGTTCAGAGGCAGAATGGAATCACTGACGTAAAAGGAATCTTATCAAACATACCTGTTAGGCAATAGCAAGGAGGCACCAAAGTGACCTCTTAAAGTTCACTCAAGCATTCAAACCCTTCCCAAGCACCAGATGCCATCACAGTGACTACCGAGCAGCACTCATTGTTAATTACTTGTTGGTGCACATGGCTGCCACTACCTGCCACCAAGTGGTAGCACCCCCACAATACTCGCTTCCTTGCCTTCCGAGCTTACTTTGAGCTGGGTTCAACTATTCTCTAGTGTCTCCCTACCACCAGAATTTCCTGAAAGGATTGTTTGATAAGATTCCTGTTGCAACAGTATGAAGTGTCACCCTAGTCTGTCTTGATCCTGCCCAATGATACCAGAATAGATCATGCTTTAGAGAACAGTCAAATGTCAGAGCTTTAAAAATTAACTTTGCATTAATTAATTTCACAAGGTGTTGTTTAATCAAGTATGCAGAGATTAGTAACAACACAAACTGCTGTACCTGTGCACCATCTGGCCTCTCTCTGAACACCAAGACGGAGGCTGGGGGAAAGGTGATAGGAGCAAACATTGTTGCTACGACCGTTGACCCAGGGTGGAAATACCGGAAGAACTACAAAAGAAAGAAACAAATGTGCTTAATGATTCTGCAACAAAACATGGTAAGTAAATTATTAACAAAAATAAAATTGATGCTAATATTTTCTTAATTTACTAAGAAATTAAATAAATCAAAAAGTAAAACTTAATTTATGTCCTTTCCACTTGTCAATATATTTGTTTTTTTATTACATCTTTAATTTATCCCTGCATCCAGTTTTATTATTCACAAATAGAAAATTTAGTCCAAATTAAACAAACTACAGTATTCAGAAATAATCAATTTTGCGCTAAAATAAACACAAACAACTAGGCGAGTACATACAATTAAAATATCAAACGTTACAATGAAGTTGATCAAGTAATTGTAAATTTAAATAAACCTACTATTTAAAGCATCCAACTTCTACTTGGTTTAATTTCAATAAAATATTTAATCCTCTCATCAAGGAGAAAGAACTCTTCATGCAAATTGATGCCCGAGTATTCCATCTCGAACTCCAGTGTTCCTTTGTAATTACAGCATTATAAGAGTAGCAAAGCGTCCAAAAAGTGTTAAGGCAGTTTGCCCCTTAATAACCTCTGGGCTGTGGGCCACATTGCAAATTGATGACATTTCACACAGGGGTGGTCAGGAAAAAGTAAAGTTCAGACACTCACTTTTACTCAATAATTTTAAGCTTTTGGAAAAAGGTTAAGAAACCTTTTCAGTCTGATAACTTCTGGTAGATATCTTTTCAACCCACGAATAATGAAATTTCTAAAGAATGAAATTAATCGAGTAATGAGAGGTCATGCCACCCTATCACAGACAGAAAAGCACATTGCCAAGACACATCCTGTTATAGTAGAGTTGCACAGTTTGGTTCACCAAGACATTCTAGAGCTGCAAAAACTACACATGAAAAAAAAAACACTTGTTTTAGTATCAGAGATTATCACAATAGAAAGCTTTTCTTTACCTTATGCTTGTTTCCTGTTGAGTGTTCACTGAAGATGGGTGCATTAGCAAATCTTCTATAACCCATATGGAACACGAGTCTTTCCTTTGACTTAATAGCGCGAAAGTGTCCCAAGGAATGAGACTTGATAACAATGTTAACAATAGACATTTTCTGTTCATGTGGAAGGAGCCCAAAGACAGCAAGTGGAGACCGACTTGCGACGTGGTTGTCGTACAGGTGCCGGGGGACATCCGCTATGTGTACCACCACATACCAACCAAGCTGCAACCAAACACAAGCATTAACCCAAAACAAAAACAAATTTTTTTTTAAGTTTCAACATGACACAATACAACATTTTCTAATAAATGAAGTCAACATAACCACAAGGTATTCAAAGTTAATTAGTTAATACCGAGGAACATGTACGTGTCGTCGAATAACAAAACCCGTTCAGTACTTGTGTTATGATGGCATTACCAGTACAGTACTTATAATCATAAATACTTAAACATTAATTACAGTATCTACAAATGTGTGAGCTTACCTCAGCACCCTGCCTCTCTTCACTAATTACTCTCTTCTTAGTATGCTGGAAATGTTCAAACTGGAAGATTTTTGAATAATCAACTGGAAGATTTTCATTTGGGTCCCAAGCAGAAGTACGGAAGCTCTGCAAACCCCGGAACTTCTGAAAGCGTACTCTGGCTGGTATATCCTGTGGAGTGTCAATCTCATCGGGAAACATGGCATCTTCTCGCGCACCTGAAAAAGATATTGGCTTGTGTATCATGTAATATTACCAATTTTTTAACACATTAAAACAAAATTACAGCCTGGAAAAAATAAAAATAAAATTTCCACACAAGGTTGGTGTACCCCTCGCTGGCCGCCCTCAGTTTTGTCATATGCTTACACAGGACAAACACCATGGATACGCTAAGCTCTTGGTGACAATCTTGACACATCGAAGACATGTACCTTTTCCAACAGTCTTGTCCCTTACAAGTGATATGGGAGATCTTGGGGATCAGATTAAATAACCTAAAGAGATGAACAACTTGAAAAATCAAGAGAAATAAGAAAGCTCAACCTTCCTCCAAGATATATTTGGAAACAACCGATCCCCAAACAACTTGGAATGCTTAAATTTCCCACTAATTTACCAGCCCATTGCCACCAGAGTCTGAAGGCCACTTCATATACTTGTGGATCCACATTCAGATTCTAACCATGACCTCATTGCTTCTTAAAAGCTAAATTGACTAGTAATTTTCTGGACACTTCCATGTAGGGGTTCTATGATGGACACTTCATGGTATGTATGCTAGTTACTGTTCCGCTTCAGGTGGAAGGCACAGTACTCAATTTTTTACCATTTACTTTTACACTAATGTCAAATTCAGAATTAGGTGCAAACCCCACCTAATTACTAGGCGGGGTTACTATTAAACAAGATATCATTAACATTCATATAGATAATTAGCTGAAGGAAAATATTTACTGTACTCTAAGTGGCCAATATACATGATTAAGCAATTAAATCCTATATAAATCCCATCATAGAATCTTAAAGTCTAATACACAGCTACAATCTAAATTTCCTCTAATCTGTTATAAACTAAATTTTGTATTTAACTTGCTAATAAGCCTTACTTCTCAGCTTTTGGAGGGCATCCATCTCGGCACCATAATCAACTTTTTCGTCATAGTTAACACCTTCTGCATCGGTGACTGTCACAGTATCATACTCTTCATTATCTTCATCATCGCCATCTCCATCCTGGCATTCGTATCCATCCTGCGACACATTATCCACTGGGGCAAACCCATCATCCATCTCACTTTCAGTTTCATCCTCATCATCACCCCCTTCTGTAAAATTCACAATCAAGTAAAAACACAATAATATACTGCATACATTATAATAACGTAAACACACAAAACAAATCTATGATAACAACTAACTTGTCTGACAAATATAATAATCACCCTCGTCACTGTCTATGATCCAAGCAGCTTGGTAATCAGAGGTTCCTTTAGGAACCCGTTTTGAACGCGACTTGGAAGTAACACTCCTCTGTTCTGCTTCTTCTAGCTCCTCTTCAGTTGGCCATGTCTGCTCTCCTTCCATCGGGTCAACCTGAGAAAGTAAAATAGTAGTGGTTTTGACTGATAAAGATTGTCACTTGCTTAGCTAAATTATGGATTTTCAGTTCCTGAACCCATTATGTGCCTCTGTAACCCTTTCCACCACCGCCTATACGATGGGTATGGGGTGCATAATAAACTAAATTATTTCTGTGCTTTATAAATCCCATGCAGAGACTTGGCCCCTTTAAAGGCTCTTTGCCAATGATTTCCCTCAAGCACAGAAAATTTGTACTCTAGTGTCCAGTGCATTGGCACCACACAGTATAATAAACCCCACATTACACCGCTTGCATTACACCTACCCGATTTAAGGGTTACTTTTAACTGGAATCATCCCCCATTATAAACCCACATGTGCACTACACAGCTTTCTGGATTCTCGCAACAGATACATTTCCTTCTTCCAAGTTCAGATTGTTAACCAGCCATCGACTCTGTGTCATCGGAACCACAAATATTCAAGTGGAGAAACTTCATACAATACAGTAGTGCTTCAGTGAAGGCGAATGAAAGACCCAATTCATGTTTTATTGTATTAAAAAAAAAAAAAAAACGATGTCACCTACATCCTTTCCCAAGACACCGTTTATAACACTGTAACACTGTATTGTATACAATACAATAATATTGTATACAGTACCTTGAGAAAGGATGTAGGCGACATTCAAAAATTTGGTTTCTAAAACATGAGTTGGGTCATTGATTCATCTTTACGAATACAGTATTCAACTTGACTGTTAGTTAACTGATGTATATTAACACTTTCGCGCTCTCGGCGCTCAAAAAAAAACAATACCCCAGATGCTTTCGGCACTTCGCACGCCTACGCGGTAAGACCGAAAAGTGTACACTCTTTTGACTGTCCTGACAATAATTGAAGGCGCACGTATTTAAATTTGGTATCACTGTGTTCGCAATGAAATTGTCTATAAGAGCATACCTATAAAATGCCGCCCAAGCATAAGGAGTATCAACACCAAATAAAAAACTATGCAGATCACTCGCCGAGAGCGCCAAACAGCAACAAAATGTTTCCACTCTCTTAATGGTTGCGAAGCCTACAGTTGTCCTACATCGCTAATTTTGGTATCATTGGAATCGCAATAAAATTCTCTACACGGACATATGCATATGAATGTTTAATATAGGTAATTGCCCACCCGCAAGAGTGTGTGAATTGGAGAGTAGTTAGCCGCGAGCGCACTGGCGAAAACACAGGGGGGAAATCATGCTTGGAAAGTTTATACGTTTCCTGACCCTACTTTTCTATGTACGTATTTCTTTTTTATACCAATGTGTTCGCAATAAAATTTTCTATAAGATGAACTGTATAACATTTGTACAAAGCATGTGTAAGAGAAGCGCCAAATATAGAACCACGTCGCTCAGTATGCGTTCGCGGCAGAAACGAACGCATTGTTTTCGTTCGTTTGATGTTTGTCACGTTTATACTTGTTGAAACATTTTATAATTTGTATGACAGTGATCGCAGTAAAATTCCCTACACAGACATATACATAACACATACAAATATTTCCCACGTGTTGGATATATCAACGGCTAAAGGGAACCCACTGCCACACGCTCGCCACACCCCCAAACATACTTTGTGTATTTTTTTTTTTACTCATAGAAGTTTATGTGATATAATATTCATTCTGGTACCAAAACATTCGCAAATAAATTCCCTACAAAACAAAAGTACAGTATCCCCATCCATTTCAGTTAAAAATGGAATTTATAGAAATATTTTTTCGATGGACGAGAAAACTCTGCTGTTATGCGGAATCGTAAGAGAAAACGGCGACGAGTTATCTCTAAATCTAAAGCGCGAAAGTGTTAAATGATTCTAATGCAGTAGGCAATACTGATGAAAGTGACCTCAATGGCAAAACTTCAATTGTGGTATAAATAGCAAATGATTTGATGAATAAATTTTACATGTTACTTATTACTTTGAATAATTTAGTAAAAACTTGAAAATAGAACTCACTTCATTTGTAGATGTAAGTTTTTCTTGCAAGTCAGGATTAGCTTCTAATACACGACTCTCCACACACTCCATACTTGCTTCCTTACCCCGACTATGACGTTCTAATGGGTGTGGATCATGTGATACGACAATACGACTCATCTGATAATCACCCCATCCTGGGATATGAACAAGGCCATTGACAGAAAGGACTCTTCCACGGATATAACCATGGACCTTCAGAGTACCCGTTGAACCCTAGGAAAAGAAGAAATTCAAAGTTAATCATGTCCTGTTCTAGAATACTGAATTGTGTGCATTCTTACATCGAGAGCTTCAAGCCGAGAACTATGTTACATACTGTATTAGTTTCTTTATTTTGGTAATATTGGTACTTATAAAAAACAACAGCAAGAAAATCCAAGTACCTGAATACTTACACTGTCACCTTCTCAATATGTTGACCTGTTGCCTTCTGCTTGTACAAAAATGCCACAGTAAAGGTGCAAACAAAATATGTATACCTGTTCTGTATATTTAAATCGAGAATTGCTGACACGTTGTTCAGACAATTGTGTTCCCTCGTTATATTCCCCCATGCTTTAGAACACGTTGTTTTAGATTCAGCTACTTGAAACTTAAAGTTCAAAGTAGCACGGGCCATGGTATGCCCAAAAGTCGACTTACCTGACACAGGAGTGGGTCTGTATGCAGTGTGTGTTTACACACCAACACATTATAGGTATTCAGATTAGCACAATTTTACTGTACTAACAAACATGATATATATAATATACCAACATACCTCTTCATGAAATTCCACATTCTCTGCTATTATGTGAGGGCGATTGTCTCTAAAAAAGAGAGGCCTTTGTTTTTGTGCTCCAATCTGCCGTAAAACCAAAAGTGCATCTTGACGTCTTTCCAGACCGTGCAGCTTTGCTGGTCCAGGAAAACGTAATTCTATTTCCTTGGTCAGGTTCTGCCGAGCATGATGCTTCTTCTGTTCAAGGAAAAAATTTATTTCTTTATAAAATTATGACTTGAAGTAGATAGAATAAACATTTATGTGCACAGCTGTAACTTGATTTTGAGTCAACATTAAACAAAATTAAAATTACGTTACAGAGCACTGATGCAGCTATACTTGTCTAAGCCACAACACAAGAATTCTAAAGAATTTGTCTAGCAAATCAATATGCCTCCATCATACTAATTGATGCCAACTATATTTTAAGGAACTTCACAAAGCAAACAAATATACTGCAACGGAGATAATACTCTCATTATCAAGTATCATTTAAGGTAATTAATAATTAAAACAAAAACATTTGCAAGTGAAAACCTCTACAGTTAATGCAGTCTTGATTGATTATACATTTACGATTCAAAACCTCCGAGTCAAAATTAACATGCTGAGAAACAGAGAACTCTCTCAAAATTTAGTAATACCTTACTGCACAACACAGGAGGAAAACATGAAAGTATCCAGAAGAGATAAATAGGTACAAATAAAAAGAAAATAACACTCTGGGAAAGAAGGCGAGGCGATGAAACCGAGCCAACCTCTACACGTTGCTACTGTGTGAGTGAAGGAAAAGAAATGAACTTAAGAATGAGCTGGTATGGCACCAGTGGACCCATATACTTTCTGTATGACAAATACACACTCAAAATTTATGCAAAATGTTAAATCTGTTGTAAACACAAATCTTACAACCCATATCCAGCGCAACAATACTAACTTTTAAGTGAACACCACAGAGAAACTCTCAACGACCTTTTTTATGTAAAATATATTGCATAAAGAATGATGTTTAATGGGAACACCAATTCGCATTAAATACTGGGTCATGCAAGCTACAAAAACTAACACTCAATCACTTCACATAAAAAACTGACCAATAAAAAAAAATTTAAAAAATTATATTTATAGCAACTTTTTGACACAAGTCAATAACATATCAAAATATGAATTTGGTCTCCAAGATATTGGCTTTCTAATGGAAACAAACAAGCATTATGAATGAATAAAGATAGACAATGGTACAGAAATGCCACAAATATTTATAAACAATAAAACCCTATTGCTATGCAAGACTGCTGCAATTCAACAATGTTTGCCATTAGAATACCCAAGTATTAAAATTATAATAGTAAAGCTTTTCATTTTTTAAATTTAATATATTGTATCAAATGTGTGTATTACAAAGCACCCACAAACCCCCACAACTTGCAAACGGCACAAATGAATTGGACAGTAATGTGTTTTCAGCATCATCAACTACGTCACACTGTTAGTGGCACCACCATGCTCCTAATCAAACAATATAACTACTACAATTACAGTGCTTAAGCTCGCACTAAGTTATCGCACACTCTTCAAACGCTAAAGTTTTTTTTTTTTTAAATCCTCAATGCACAAGTAAGTCACACTTCATTAATATTAAATACATGATGCTTTGTGTGTGTCGATGGTCTCTCTAGAACCTGCAGAGTACTCAGCTCTCTTTCCAGGTCCTCTGTATCCATCATGTCTTGGTCTTGGTCCAGAGGATTTTCCTGAACTGCCTATTACAGATGAACAAATCTCAGAGGTATTCAGAATATTACTGCTCTTATGAGCATTCTATATTTCCTGGATAAAACGTATCCAGTGATATCTTGGGGAAACATTCAATTAATGGTTTTCATATTTTGAGACCATAGGAGAACTTCTTGCCCTCCTAACCTACCAGAGGACCCTTAACTTACTGTTTTGAGAAAACAAAAACAAAACAAAATAAAAAAATTATTTTTAATTTTATCAGTTTTAAATTACTGTACGTCCATTTACGGCCATGCGGGCAAACGGTCAAATTCAGACGTAATTTGTAAGAGGACAGGTTGATTTAACAGCCTGGTTGACCAGACCACTAACCAGGAGGCCAGGTCAGAGACCGGGCCACAGGGACATTGATCCGCAGAACCAACACAAGACAAACAATGTAACTTAAGAATACATCCTCTTTGCAATTTAGAAAATACCTGGACAATAATTCCTGTACAACAAAAGTAAATACTGAAGCAAATATGTAAAAAAAAATCTCTACCACATTCTGTTAATGACGGCAAAATTAGCTCTTGAACACCAATTTCTGAGTACACATGATAGTGGCAATGATAATATTTAAAATATATTTTTTAATGTTTTTAATACCCTGTATACAGTACTGTATTTCCAAGTGAAATTTTTTAAATTAATTGTTGTTTTCTATGCAAGGGTAGACAATGAATAATATAACTGCAGCATAAGTATTAATTAATAAAACTAAACATTTTACTACATATAAATTAGCTTTTAAAAACTGTATAATATCTGAATAATATGCTTGGTTTTAGAATTAATCCTATACTACATGACCTGGTTTGACAATAGGGTCTAAGGGAATACATCCTTTCAAAAAAAATTTCAATTGGAGGCATCAGAGATAATACATGAATATGCTTAAAAGTTAGATAAAAATTTCAGTGATGGATATTCCAAGTACTATACTACAGATGATGTGGAATTCAACAAGTGAAGAATAGGAATTTCGGACTGATAAAATCAGTCTAGTTTCCTATACAGTATTTCGTAAAATACCTTTTTCATGTGCACAGAAAGGACTACCGAAAGAACCAATGAAAGATACCTCAGCATTGTTATGCCTGTATAATGGAATGGGAGACGACTCAAATAACTAAGAAAATCACACCTTCCTTACCTTCTGTGCCATATCCTCAATACCAGCCACTATATGAACAGCAGCGGGCAACCCCTGTGCCAGTATAGAGCTTAACAACAGATCTGCTGCATCTCCCACCTCTTCATCTCCAGGCCAGAGCAGCATCAATGTATCGCTTACCTAACACAAAGGACACAACACAGTGATGAACAAAATTATATATATAATTGAACAATATTAAGCAATAATAAACAATTAATACATGTTAACATGAAAAAATATTTATAGTTACATATGCCATGACTTTACTTTGATTATCAACTGTACAATACTGTACAAGGATTTCATATTGACACTTTAGCATTCTGACGATGCTGGGGGAAGAGAGAGGAACAGGGGGAGGAGGGGGAAGAGGAAGGGGGGGGGAGACAAGGGGGCAGAGAGGAGGGGGGAGAGAGAGACCCAGGTACCCCACTTTGTTATGTCAACAGTACACTGCCTATAGGCTCCCTGCCTATATACATGCATCATCCCTCTATGAACTTTACCGCACACCTTAATCTTGAGGAATATATATACATACCTTTAAACTATCCAATATCGCATATAGATCATTCACTGGAGGTACAACAAAAGAGAATCTTTGTCTAAAGCGTGGAGAGCTGCAAGAAAATATAAAGAAATATGACATTCTATGATACTTTAACAAGCTGAACTATACTGAAATATTCACAAAATTTTATTTCAAGGAATTACCTATAAAAACAGGATAGGCTTATTGAAATGAATAATGCTTGAAGCACCTATGTCCATTACTGAGATCATTCATCAATTCAAATCATACAAGTTAAGAGATACAAATTAAGAGTTCTTTAAAAGTACAGTACAGTACATTGAAAGAGTGAACAAAATTTTGTTTGGACAGTCATATTTCCAAATTTACTAAAAATAGCATTACTGTACATTATTATGGCAGCATCTTCATGAAAATTCATAAAATTTATTCTTGATGGTGAAGTTCAAAATCGTCTGTATTACTCTCAAATGGAAATATTTGATAGTGCTTTACAATATAGAAATACTGTATAGTACCATACACATTCAAATGAAAGTGGCAACATTTTGGTTCATACTGGATCGTTATCAATGCTTGGCATAAGGGAATTATATACTGCATTATGGTGTTAGCTTCCTCCACCTGACTTTTCCCCATAGGGCTAATAATGCTCTGAATGACCTCATCATCAGTTGGGAACACTACAAGCTGCATCATTAGCACCATCAGTTAATTTGCTGCTGCTGTACATATACATCTTCTTGTCTAAACCTGGATTAAGTTTAGTGTCACACAAGAGGGTAGAAACATACCGCTAGCCCATAGGCTTCGGACAGGTCCAGTTATTTAGAAGAGAAATACAGCATTTCTAACAATCAATAAGTATCTTCTACATTATTTAATATATTTTTATTAATTTATATTATTAAAGCAGTGTATCTGTAAACATGAGCTGTGGTATGTCACTCAGTAACCCAGCAACTGAGCTCTATAATTTGGACTGTTGGAATCTAGAGACGGTCAAACTCAGTCGAGTCGATGAGGTCTGAATTGGCAAGTGATCACTTTGCATGTTATTTAAAATACCGTACCTATTGAAAATAAAAAGTAACACTGTACCTTATATGCATGATTCCCTGAGGACTAGTGGTGGTTACAGCAGCTTCGTCACATGCTGCTAGAATACCGAGTATTTTTCTTGGGTTAATGTTGGGACTAAGAGGCACAACTGTCACCAGGAAGGGAGGATTGCTAGCAGTGCCCAGCCCTTGTTTGCGCAAAGCAACAGTCTCTTGCTTCAGAGCACGTATCTGCTTCGATTTATTTTTTCTTTGTTCACGACTGAGCTCCTTGACAATCTTTTTGCTTAAAATTTTTTGAGTAATTCGGCCTAAAAATATGAAAAAAAATTGTCATACTAGTCGTAAAATGCTAATAAATAGCACTATGAAATAAGAATAGAGTACAAATGCAAGCAATAAATAACTTAGTAAGCTTCATTCATTTAATTATTCATTTTTAAACACAGAATCAAACCTAAAAATTTTGTCTTATCAAATCAAACTTTATCATCTTGCCATTAACATACAGCATTTAGTTTATACTCCACACCCCTCTTGGTGATGAGTTAAAGAGATGAAGCCAGTCATAACATGGTACACATTATCACAACACATAAATTAATATACTAATTTCTCTTCTTAAGCACAACGTTAACCATTGCTATTATAAATCCAAAAATTTCTGTCAGTGCCATTCTCATGGATTTGGTAAATTCTTCACACCAATTTCATTCCCTTTTCTCCACTGACTTTCATTATTTATGTATTGTATGTTATTCACTCACATGCAAGTTTTCCATGTCCAGCATGTACAGTACGTTACATGAAAACTATCACCCTCAGCAAAAAATATAACTATGGTATATTCATACTAGATTTAATAAAAGGCAATAAGTACTGAATATTTTGTAGTATATTCTGCTTACGTTGAAAATGGCTCACCTTTGCTCGATTTTGTAATTGATCCCTTACTACGATGTCCGAGTGTCCTGTGTTTCTTGTTCTGCTGCTTGAGAGCCGATGGCCGATGTGGCTGCGATAAAGCCATCTCGCTGGAAAAGACCTCATTGTTAACTTTAATTACAGTATTTGTAAAACTATATGCTGGAGATCTGTAAACACTGATGTCACATTAGGGGAGGGGGGGGGGGGGGTGCAGTTTCTCAGTACACCTCCAAAAGTAATAATTATGCCATTATTTTCTCAAACACTCTTCAAATTACAATTTAATACTGTACTTGTCACTTTCCAGCCACAAATGGAACATGAAGTGCAGAACAGAAGGAATGTGCCAAAACTCATGAATGTAATTACGTAAGTATGCATAACATAACTATGAACCCACCAACTCATATTACAGGTACAGTATAGTATTTGGATGCCACATATCAAAACTTCTATTGTTATGCTAATCTTATGTGCCAACTAGCTCATAACCGAACATACCCAATAACAGAACATACCTAAACACATAATTTGGCTCTAAAAAGCAAAATTAAGTATACCCAAATTGATGTACAGTACTCTGACCCTTTGTAGAGCAAGGGATTACTGATCATTCACAAGTAATTTCATGGAATACAGTAGTTATATTTATTGAATTTTTTAACGTGATCTGATGCCATATAAAAACATGGATCATAGACTACTAAAAAACCACAGCTTTTTTATAGGACTAATTCGAGAATCATCTGATTTATGAACCATATATAACCTAAGGAGTATGGAACAAGCCTACAGAGAGCTGCACATTATGAACACAGGCTCTTAAGCCTGTATTAAGCATATCCAGAATCCTTAGGTCATGTAAGGTTCATGAATCAGACAATTGTCAAGTTTGTCTTAAAACTAATACCCTAATAGTCTTGAACTGCTTTTGTGAATGGTGCATACAATCCCTAAGTAGACTATACTAAGAAAAAACGCATGTGGTTTCAGAGGATAAATTCTGGCTTCCTGTTCCCCGACACAATGAATTATTATTATTATTATTATAATATTGTCTCTCTTGGCCAGTGACTGACCATTCACCAGCAAAACACCCACAACAGTTAACTCATCCACCAAATGCCTATTTACTACCTTGTGAACAGAAGCAATAGCAGTTAGGATATGTTTCCAAACAACCTGTTGGATCCAAAACCTGTGCCGGCACTAAAATTATGACGTGCACAATTTATGAAACAATTTGATTTCTTGTTTGGCTCCATTACGTTAGATCAGGTTAGGTTTGTTAAAGAGTAGCGGTGACACAGATAGTTCAAACTTTTCTCCAGTTTTACACTGTACGCCTAACCAACTGTCCTTGTCTGGGGATGAACTTCATTTCAAACATTAACAATTTTATTTCAAACTTTTGTGCTGATGAAAAGGTAGTCAGTCATTAAACCCTTGGTGTATAATCATCTGCTACAAGAAAACTGATTTTGTTCTTTTACCTTATAAATACAAGCTGTTGTATTTAACACTTTACCGTGTTTACTCATCACCGAATCTCAATTCAAACCTTCAGCACTACTTAACTGTACATAACCATCCCTAGGGCAGCCCCACCATAACCTAACTCCTACTGGAAGTGGCTGGCTGATATGGGGGTAAAAACCTTCCATGTGCCATTTGTTGATGGAGTCCATCACCCCAGAGGAAAGTGGTCAAGTGTGTCAGTGGCATTTAAGGAACCTTAGTCCAATACATTATAAATCATATTGTAAATAATCATAAACAAGCCTACAGAACCTAGGAATTGTAAATATACTAAACACAGGCCTGTAGGGTACTGTGCCATTTTGACACATGGCTAAGGGTAGATGTATAACCAAAATAATTTCATATTTCTTTAAGCATAATTGAAACCTAAAATGTGCATTGAGCTAAAAAGATTTATCTAGGGCAAACCATTGTCAATATGATAGTTTCAAGGCAATACATGTAGGCTTACAGCACTGCCAACTGCCACGTTAGGTGTACCACCAAAAAGATAGCTACTGTACCTAGATTTATAATAATTAACCAACGTGTACTAATTCAATACTGTACATCAACTCAGGAATTTTTTTTCCAGCTGCTACGTTCACTTCAAGACATTCGTACTCTGTTCCCCCTAATACTCATATCTTTTATTTTCCAACACTATGATATGAATTTTGTAGTTATTTATTTTCCTCCAGTGAAGAAAGGCCAAATAACAGTAATTACAGATCATCAAAATCAGTGGCTTTAGGTATTGTATGTACTAGCTCTATCTATAAATCCAACATTATGTTTGTAAAACAACTATATATGTACTTTCCGGAATAAAATGTACTTTACTTTACTAGTAAAAGAATGCACGAGGCCCCAGAGTCCTTACACAAGGGTGATGTCAGGCGGCCCTGAAGGGTGTAGGTGGCAGTACACTTGTCTCCTGGGGCTCACAAGTGGCAGGTGAGTGCCATCCCTCAGTGGCACTAGTGGCAGTGGTCCTCACTAACAGGAGAGAGAGTGAGAGAGAGGAGTGTGCCAGCCTCGAGGCCCTCCAGCTGCTGCTGCTGCTCACCACAACACAGGCACGTGGAGAATAACAGTGACGCTCGCTAAGCGCACCGCTCCTTTATTTCGAAATAATTAACAATAATAATAATAATTTATTTAGGAAAAGTACATACATAGTTGCAGAGTTACAGTACAAACATTCTGTTTGATTTAAAGATAGAGGTAGTACATACCTCTATATACATACAGTACCTAAAGCCACTAGTACGCATAGCGTTTCGGACAAATCTCGAACCTATTTATTTATTTATTTATTTATTTATATATATATATACAAGAAGTTACATTGGGTTTATGAGAGAACATAGCATGATGTGTTTATATTATTGTAAAGCCACTAGTACGCACAGCGCTGTGCCCATTGATAATGTGTATTGAATTTTGTAACTAGTTCATCATGATTGTAACTTGCTTAGCTAAATGAATTGTGGGATTCAGTCCCTGAATCCATTATGTGTTTGCCATATATATATATGGCAAACGCAAATTATAGTCATCACAGCCCGACTGATCCGAGATGCTAGCAAAATGATAAGCCAAAAACCTTGGATTGTGTGCTCTGTAAGACGAAACTTCTTGAAGTATAAGCATATATAATATCAGATACCTTCTGTGTTTGTCGTTTTAGAAGATGAGTTTGAGATGTTGAGAAGAAGGCAGCTACTGTGCCTGGGAGCTGCTCACGTCTGGGGCAGTGGTGCCAGATTGGGCTACAAATAGCCAATTGGGCTACTTTTGAGAGCCCCGCGCTCCCAAATTTTTAATTTCGCTACTTGCTACTTTTTGGGCTAATTTAAAAGCAAGGTGTGCTAATTTGGGCTATTAATGTTAAGAGTGTACGATTGTGAGTTACATGAAAGTAACTAAGCTATAAATAATTGTAATTAATAATAATTGGAAATATTAATTAATACTAAATAATATTATACAATAAATTAGTCCCAATTCAATGCAGAGTTTTCTTCCAAGCACAGAAACTTGTAAATATAAATACAAGAAAATAGATAGATCGATAAATATATAGACAACTTTCAAATATTGCACCAAGTAATGGCGAGAGGAAAGAAACTAGACAGTATACATTACATTTGAAATTAATAATGGATGAATGGTAATAAATTGGTGTATGTTTGTATGTATACCAGACTAATAACCTCCACAAACTACCAGACAAAGTCCATTTAATGGCAGAATTTAGTCATTTTGTGTAAAAACTTTTATATATCATATTATTAATTATAACAGTAATAAAAAAAAGTCATTGTTTGTATATACAAGAGATGAAACAGTCATGAGCTAGAGCGATGTGCTGGGTCCATAAGGAGGCCGAGCTTCCAGAATTACCTTCCTGTGATTGGCTGTTGCGGGGAATACCAACACTCTTTTATGAATAAAATTTTAACTAAGAAATAGGTCCTTGTGCACAACAACAAGGTTGTTGTGAAAAAGAACAACAATTTCTGTTTTGCACCTGACAGAAATCTCCATCTAACTGAATAATTTACTCGAATAAGAGGGCATAGTAGTGTATCATTATTTGTGTGAGGCAACCCCCCACTGATGACGTCACAAGTTAGGTAGCCAGCCCATGTTTCTGTAACACCCGTTACATCCTGCAGTATTTAATTATCACTATATTAATACTTTTAAATACTTAACATTTCACTTTTTAGGTAGATTAAAGTTGAAGCAGAATGTCATAAGCAAGGATGGTGTGCCGAATAAAGATGATTTATTCAGTGGATGGAGCCTTTAGCTGATCCCTTCCTGTGATTGGCTGTTGTGTGAATGTCAACAAAGTTTGTTGACATTCTTTCTACCAATGGTATGCCATTTATTATGCACCCCATACCATCTGTGGGCGGAGCTTGGAACCTCCTACCCGAGCACAGCAACCCGCCTTATGGGTTGCTGTTTGGCTATTTATAGTGCGTTGGAAAAAAACTAGATGGCGTTAGTGGTATTTTGCAGGGTAATTTGTTATAAGTGTAATTTGATGTCAACAGATGGCGTAAGCTGTATCTTATGGCCACTGTTGACCAGCCAGTTGATAGTGTTCTCTTCTGCCGACAGATGGCATCAGCTGTATTATTATTACATCCGAATTCCCTTTAAACACTGATCTACATATCCCTTGGCTTATGATAAGGCTTTATACCATTTATGATAATTATTAGATAACTGGAGTTCCGCAATTACTTTTATTTATCAACTGTTCAGGATATCATCATATAACGTCTGGTTAGGCAACCCGTTCTCGCAAATTTAATAAGTCAATATTGACTTATTAAATATGTGCATAGGTGACATACTTAACATAATAGATACCCTTAAAAAGATTCATAGAAAACACCGACCTTACCTAACCTACTTAGTATGTTAAGATAAGCATCTTATTGCTTCGTAATTACAATTATTACCTAACCTATAACAGGTATAGGTTAAGTAATAATTGTAATTACGAAGCAATAAGATGCTTATCTTAAGATACTAACAAGGTTAGGTAAGGTCGGTGTTTTCTATGAATCTTTTTAAGGGTATCTATTATGTTTAGTATATCACCTATGCACGTAGTTAATAAGTCAATATTGACTTTACGAATTTGCGAGAACGGGTTGGGTTAGGACGTACTGCTCTCGATTGATGAAGATTAAGCCACCCAAGAGGTGGCACGGGCATGAATAGCCCGTAAATACTGCTCTTGTAATATTATTCAGGGGGGTGGGGGAATTATCAAGTGAAAGCGCCAAGCCATTACGACTATATAGCACTCAGGATACGAATTTGGGATGAAACGGTGGAAAGGAATGGTACCCAACCTCTTGGGCGGTCGGGGATTGAACGCGGACCTGTAGGAAAGGAGACCGTTGCTCTACCGTCCAGCCCAAGTGGTTAAGCGTAATATTATTAAAACAACAATTTATGCATATAATAACAGCATTTCACACTAAAAATACTTGGATATATCGAAATTTGGTAGTGAATTCCAATCTAGGAATCTCTTATGACTAAACTGTACTTTTTAATCATTTTTATGTACTTACTACTTATTAAATTATTAAGTACTTACTATAATAATTAAATAAATTATTTTATTTAATATTTAAATTAAATTATAAAATAATAGGTAATAATAAATCATTGTGTAGGGGGACAGGCAGCCAGTGTATATATACATATTAGGCTTATACCAAGGTGCCACAAAGGTGCCACAAAGGTGCCAAATTAAAGACTGGGAGCTGCCGGGGCGGGCCCAAGGGCTGCTGGCGGCCCTGATGGCCAGGCTGAACTTCCGCGCCCTTATAATCACCATTGTTTAATAATCTTCACAGGGAGAAACAACTGTAAATATAGGAATAGTTTATTACAACATACACGGTAAAGAAAACAGCTCTGAAACTAAGGAAATAAAGCTGCCGAAAAAACATTAAAGTTCACTTCAAGTTCAAGTATGTTTATTGAAACAATAAAAAAATACATCTCAAAGGGATAGAGTAGCTTAGGCTATTTCTACCCCCCCCCCCTCTTCTTCAAGTCCCTCAAGGGGCGCACAAATTCAGTGAGTACAAATACACAAATCACAATACAAGAATCCCATTTAACATAGCAGGTTAAAATAGGAAGCACAGCATATAAGTGTTACATTAAGTGAGTTACAAGTTACAAGGGAACAAGTGAGAAGGCGGTGGAGGCCAAAACCGGAATTGTACACTGATTTTAATGCAGATATGTCGTGATTATCATAATATAAAGATGTTAAGGCACGAAAACTTTTTTATTCGTTAAATTGTATAAGGCAATTAAAAGAACCTAACTCACAGCCCCTCTGTTCAAGTCCCTCAACATGCTAAACATATACTCACTCTACACATTCTCGTGTGCTATCTACATATACAAAACCCTTGTGCATATATATATATATATATATATATATATATATATATATATATATATATATATATATATATATATATATATATATACATATATAATGTGTGTGTGTAGAAATAATATTAATAAAACAATTAACATCGTATAGTGTACTTTATATATCAAAATATATTACTTTGAAACCCATATCATTCACTAAAAAAATTGGGCTACTCTTATTACAAGTTCGCTACTTTTAGACCGTCAGCTCGCTACTTTCAGCAATTTAGATCTGGCAACCCTGGTCTGGGGCCCCAAGGAGGACCAAGCCTAGCAGTGGAGCGCAGCTGGTGAGAGGACCCTTGCTCCTTTGTATGGCACTTTGGGCCTCTCTTGACCACTAGTTAAGGTCTGGCTTCCTCAGCTGCACACTGACTGACGCGGGGAGTCGTAGTCCACGAACCCGGGTTTGATTCCCGACTGAGACAGAGTTTATCTAGCAGTAAATAGGTACCAGGAGTTAATTAATAAGCTATTGCTGGCTGCATCCTGAAGATGTGTGTGTGTGTGTATTTACTATTTATGTCTGCAGAATCGAGCTATTAGCTTTTGGTCTCCGCCTTGCTAACCAATCTATTTTTCCTCTATTACATCTACTATATATATTTATCTCTAATAAACGAACACACACATCACCAGGAAGCAGCTTGTAGGAGCTGTCTAACTCCCAGGTACCTATTTACTGCTAGGTATAAAGGGGCATCAAGGTGAAAGAAACTCTGCCCATGTACTCTGCCACACACTGTGTGTGTGTGTGTAATTACCTAAGTGTAGTTACAGGATGAGAGCTACGCTCATGGTGTCCCGTCTTCCCAGCACTCTTTGTGATATAACGCTTTGAAACTACTGACGGTCTTGGCCTCCACCACCTTCTCACCTAACTTGTTCCAACCGTCTGCTACTCTGTTTGCGAAAGTGAATTTTCTTATATTTCCTCGGCATCTGTGTTTAGCTAGTTTAAATCTATGACCGCTTGTTCTTGAAGTTCCAGGTCTCAGGAAATCTTCCCTATCGATTTTATCAATTCCTGTTACTATTTTGTACGTAGTGATCATATCACCTCTTTTTCTTCTGTCTTCTAGTTTTGGCATATTTAATGCCTCTGACATCTCCTCGTAGCTCTTGCCCTTTAGTTCTGGGAGCCATTTAGTAGTATGTCTTTGCACCTTTTCCAGTTTGTTGATGTGCTTCTTAAGATATGGGCACCACACAACCGCTGCATATTCTAGCTTCCTCAGCTGCACACTGACTGACGCGGGGAGTCGTAGTCCACAAACCCGGGTTTGATTCCCGACTGAGACAGAGTTTATCTAGCAGTAAATAGGTACCAGGAGTTAATTAATAAGCTATTGCTGGCTGCATCCTGAAGATGTGTGTGTGTGTGTGTATTTACTATTTATGTCTGCAGAATCGAGCTATTAGCTTTTGGTCTCCGCCTTGCTAACCAATCTATTTTTCCTCTATTACATCTACTATATATATTTATCTCTAATAAACGAACACACACATCACCAGGAAGTAGCTTGTAGGAGCTGTCTAACTCCCAGGTACCTATTTACTGCTAGGTATAAAGGGGCATCAAGGTGAAAGAAACTCTGCCCATGTACTCTGCCACACACTGTGTGTGTGTGTAATTACCTAAGTGTAGTTACAGGATGAGAGCTACGCTCATGGTGTCCCGTCTTCCCAGCACTCTTTGTGATATAACGCTTTGAAACTACTGACGGTCTTGGCCTCCACCACCTTCTCACCTAACTTGTTCCAACCGTCTGCTACTCTGTTTGCGAAAGTGAATTTTCTTATATTTCCTCGGCATCTGTGTTTAGCTAGTTTAAATCTATGACCGCTTGTTCTTGAAGTTCCAGGTCTCAGGAAATCTTCCCTATCGATTTTATCAATTCCTGTTACTATTTTGTACGTAGTGATCATATCACCTCTTTTTCTTCTGTCTTCTAGTTTTGGCATATTTAATGCCTCTAACATCTCCTCGTAGCTCTTGCCCTTTAGTTCTGGGAGCCATTTAGTAGTATGTCTTTGCACCTTTTCCAGTTTGTTGATGTGCTTCTTAAGATATGGGCACCACACAACCGCTGCATATTCTAGCTTTGGCCTAACAAAAGTCATGAACAATTTCTTTAGTATTTCGCCATACATGTATTTAAAAGCAATTTTAAAGTTAGAAAGCGTGGCATAGGCTCCTCGCACAACGTTCTTTATGTGGTCCTCAGGTGATAGTTTTCTATCTAGAACCACCCCTAGATCTCTTTCTTTATCAGAATTCTTTAAAGATTTCTTAAATAATATATAGGTAGTGTGGGGTCTATGTTCTCCTATTCCACATTCCATAACATGGCATTTATTAACATTAAATTCCATTTGCCAAGTGGTGCTCCATATACTTAATATGTCCAGGTCAACTTGAAGGGCATGGCAATCATCTAAGTTCCTTATCCTTCCTATTATCTTAACATCATCAGCAAACATGTTCATATAATTCTGTATACCAATTGGTAGATCATTTATGTAGACAATAAACATCACTGGTGCAAGAACTGAACCCTGTGGTACTCCATTTGTGACATTTCTCCAGTCCGATACATTGCCTCTGATTACTGCCCTCATTTTTCTATCAGTCAGAAAATGTTTCATCCATGTTAGAAGCTTACCTGTCACCCCTCCTATATTTCCTAGTTTCCAGAACAACCTCTTATGTGGAACTCTGTCGAAAGCCTTTTTTAGGTCCAGATAGATGCAGTCAACCCAACCATCTCTTTCCTGTAAAATCTCTGTGGCTCGATCATAGAAACTGAGTAAATTCTGTTTATTATATATAATATTTATAAATTATATTTAATTATAATTTTAATTTATAATTAAAATGTATTAAGTGTTAATTATTTATTAATTTATTAAATTAATAATTTATTAAAATTATTTTATTATATTATTTTTATTTATTTATTTATTAATTTATTAAATTAATAATTTATTAACATTATTTTATTATGACTTATTTTTTTTTTATTATTTTAAATTAAATTATTTATTATTTATTAAATTTTAATTTATTTTAAAATTAAATTAAATTTATTGATAATTAAATTTATATTATTTATAGTTTATAAATTATTTATTATTTAATTTTAAATAAGCTGTGTGTGTGTGTGTGTGTGTGTGTATAATTATCTAAGTGTAGTTACAGGATGAATATAACACTGAAATTATGACCAAAGAGCCAAAGCTCAACCCCCGCAAGCACAAATAGGTGAGTACTGAATTCATTTCCATTATTTTCTTGTCAAACACTCTATGGACTCAGCCATCCACCTTTCACTGATCACATGGGTTAGGGTCACTATTGGTTTCACCCCTGTTCTTCTTAATAGGACCGAACCAGACCAGACTATGACTGTCCTTCCCTACCCTGCAAATCTGAGTGAGGCTAACCGTAAGTGTCTGGCCTCCAACCTAATATAGACAGACGCAAATAGACATTCTCTCATGTATATACTGTAGATATACATGACAGCTTCTATTAATGTTAACAAATCTATTAAAAAGGGATCAAAAGTGTACAAACTACTACTAATACTATATTTGGTTTACATGTTTTAGTAATTTGCATTAAAGCAAATTAAATATATTTCAATTTAAAATGACCTTACAGTTGGTGATTGGAGAAGAACCCTCACAATCAGTCTTCTTGAGGTTATCTTGAGATGATTTCGGGGCTTTTAGTGTCCCTGCGGCCCGGTCCTCGACCAGGCCTCCACCCCCAGGAAGCAGCCCGTGACAGCTGACTAACACCCAGGTACCTATTTTACTGCTAGGTAACAGGGGCATAGGGTGAAAGAAACTCTGCCCATTGTTTCTCGCCGGTGCCGGGGATCGAACCCAGGACCACAGGATCACAAGTCCCGCGTGCTGTCCGCTCGGCCGACCGACTCCCTCATGGTCTGGTGAGTCTGGTGAGAATTTTCAGACAAGTGAATAAATAGTGAAAGACATTTGCCCAAAATGTTGCACCATGATGACCGAGCCTGGTAATTAATTCTAGCCTCGGCCAGCCACCTTCCATCTTCTATTTTGTAAGGGGAAAGGTAACAATGGGACCCCCCCCCCCTCCTTTTACAGGATGAATGGGGCCAGCCTCGACTCTGATGTTGGTCACATACCCGTCATCAATTACCACACAAAGCCTCCACCATGAAGGGAAGGGAACTACAAGGAGAAAGCGCCAAGCCATTACAATTAAATACCACCGCGAAGGGGCCAGGATAAGGATTTGGAATGGGACGGGGGAGAGGAATGGTGCCCAACCACTTCCGAGGATTGAACGCCGACCTGCAGGAAGCGAGACCGTCGCTCTGCCGTCCAGCCCAAGTAATTGAACACCTTCACGACGAGTTCTTTCTGATTTCCAATAGATGCCGCTGTTCCAGCGGTGTCTTGCAGCGTTCCATAGATACATGTTAGTTATTGTACGGGGAACTTTCCTGGCGTTCTTGGAGGGTCTGTGATACAATACACAAGTGTTTCATCCATGTATGCTTCATTCACGAGACGTTTTTAGGTAAATGCACCCTCTCACAACATTTTTCTCTTATCTAGAAGCTAATTATAGGATTTCCGATACGTTTAAAAAACAAACATATGATAAGATAAGCTCTTACTAAGACAAGGAAGTAAAAAAAACAATAAGACTGAAACAACATTCGTGAATATGACTGATGGTTGTCGAGAGATCATGAACCTTTCAACCTGCAGTGTTGCACTAGGCATCGGGGGAAGGTGACGCGCAGGCTCGGTGGCCACAGATAACGGTAATATACCATCACATTCTGCAGTAAACAAGGAGTCCATGAAACTGCGAGTTAGCTTATATATTAGACTGTAAGTCTGATAGGCTTTGGACAAAAATTTAAACACAACTCTTAGATTTCGCGGATCATTTTTATCCTGATAAACCAAACTGGATTTTCTGTATCCATTTCTTCTTAGGATTTGGTTTCCATGGCTCATAAGAGGTTTTCCCCTACCTGTTAACCTTTTGTTTTCATAAGATCTAACTCTCAAAAATTGCATAAATCATTCCGAGTACCTAATTGCTAGAAGAACAGTGGCATCAGGTGAAAGGAGACGTGCCCAACTATTTGTCCTGCCTTGGGATCGAACCCAGGGTTCCCCATTGTGACTTGAGGACGTAAACTTTTGTAGTGCATTGGAAGCTCTCTTCGATGTTTTTTTATGGGTCCCGTAGTACAGTGGTCTACGTCCTCGGCTCTGTTGAGAGGAACCGGGTTCCATCCTCGGGGAGGAGATAAATGGTTGGACGTGTTTTCTCGCGCCTGATGCCTATGTTCACCTAGTCAATTATAGGTACCCGGGACGAGTTGGGCAATTGGGTTGCATCCCGACAACAGAACTGTGAACATTAACGGCATATATAATGGCCAAATGATAATAGGCATCCTGTTGAAACTATATACTATGTCTATTTACCCGAGAGCCACTAACCCATTTGTGACCTCTACGAAGACAGGAAGCCGGCAGCTTGTCAAAGGTCCCCCCCCCCATTTGTCCTAATTATATTTTCAACCTGAATTTTGCAATTAAACGTTTTGGCACTTAGGGCTAATTTAGATGTACCCCGAAGGGGGAGGACCTCGCTACAAGCCTATGATGCAACCTCACATCAGTTGCCTAACTCCCGGGTGTCTATTTCCTTCTAGGTGAACTGGTATTGGGTCAAAGGGAACGTGCCCAACCATTTGTCTCGCCCGGGGATCGAACCCGGCATCCTAAATTGTGAGCGAAGAATGTAGCCATTGTACTACCGAGCTAGTGTGTTTTGCGAGACAGTAGCAAGTTTAGCTTAGTGTTCCATGCATCTTTAGACGTTCTAGTTGAATGGAGAGTCTTCTGAATAAATGATCCAAACCATGTCTTAAGATTGTCACTGTGATACAGGTCTATGGGAAGCTGGACTATTTGGATATATCTGTATAATGCAGGGTTATTTAACTGGAATTTGTAGTGCATTCTTTTATTTTCTTGTAACCAAGTAACTAGTTCTGTAAATCTCTGAACTGCATCAGACAATTTTCGACCAAATGCAAGTGATAACTGATCTGTGCAAGCAATTTACTCATTATTTTCTAAATGGCCAAATTCATCAATTTTATCTTGCTGTCCCAGAAAAATAGTAATTTTCTCAAATATAAAATATTTCATATTACCATATTGTAATATTAAGGCACCGGTAACGAACCTAATTTTAGGTTCTGTTGGCGATTATTTGTATTTGTAGTACGCAGGTGAAGCATTTACACCAACCCGTCCTCAAGAGTCCATTACATCCAGCGGTTGACCCCACAGACGCATTCATAAATTTTAACATGCTGTTCATTCAAAACACATTTTCTCATTTATAAATTAATATTATAATAGCATATTGTGCATATATAGGCATAGGTTAGGTTAGGTGTTTAGGTTTTGTTGGCGATTATTTGTAGTACGTGGGTGAAGCATTTATAGCGTTGTGGTTCGAACAAAATTCGTCAGTGAAACACTTACTCCGGATGTGTTCGAACGTCACCAGTTGAATCGTGCGTAACCCGATTTTCATTCATAAAGAGGGTTTGGCGGGTGCATGGAATGGACTTTGGATCTGTTTGGAGGACGAGCTGCGTACACGGTTCACTTTGCCATGTTCGAAACAGACTCGGATCGTGCTTAGTTTACCCTTTTTAGCCTGTAAACACTCCCTAAATCAGTGTAACCATAACACCTTAACCAACCTTACCTAGGCCTAACTGCATAAACCAACAATGTACAATATTAATTGATATTTCAGAAAACGAATGTTATACTGCATAGAATATTCGTCCTGTATGTTACCTATAAGTCAAATATTTACTTAATTTTAAGTCAGTATTTGACTTGTAGCTTGGGCTGGAGAATGGGTTGCATTATGATGTATAAAAATTAAACTACAGGAGGTATATCTTGAGATGATTTCGGGGCTTTTAGTGTCCCCGCGGCCCGGTCCTCGACCAGGCCTCCACCCCCAGGAAGCAGCCCGTGACAGCTGACTAACTACATATACATATTACATATATTTATACAAGTACATATATTTCAAAGGATTTATAATTTAATGTTAAATTTAAAATAATTTAACTATTAAATATTAACATATTTTTTTAATTTTAATTTCAAAGGATTTATAATTGTTTAGAGCTAGGTTATACAATTTCATTATCCTTTCATTGATTTTTGTTGAATGGTGAAAATGATAGTTAACTACTTGCGGCTAAGGACTGCTACATTTCGTCTGGGTTAGGGTTTTCAATCATATACAAGGAATGCTCTTAACGCAATGATTAAGCTAGAATACAATGTACGTAGATTCCTCATTTTTGAGCTGATGCTTCGAAAATAGTTGGTCATTATCTTAAAAGATGAAAACAGTTTTTAATTTCCATCTTTGCAAACCGGTCAAAAAATATTCATAAATTAATACGTTTTCAGAAGATGATTACTGTGTGCGAGGCAGAGAGGCGAGAGGAGAGACCTTCCACTGGGTACGTTAGTATTGGACAGCCGGTGTACGACGACGAAGACCGCTCTAACAAAGGTAACCGCTCCCTTTTAAGGGGGTTGACATTGCCTAAGCTACTCTATCCCTTTGAGATGTATTTTCTTGTCTCAATAAACGTACTTGAACCGCTCCCTTGTACGGCGGAGTCTGTACAAACTCTTTGAAGAGTTTTCTTCATGCGTTGCTAATGCGGCAATGTGACGGCTGTCAGCAGTGAAATAGTACTGGAAAAAATAAGATTGTTAATATTTATCACAATTATTAGGCGTGTACAAATTAATCTTGGCTAATGACGATCTAAACGCGAATGAGGAAACTCGACACTAAAGTTACTTTGAAAACTTATCATGCACTCACCCATTATTTAATCCTTTGAGTAGGATGTATTGAATACTGTTGATTTTAACGGCCTCTGATTAAAACTACTAACACATGCTGCTAAAGAAATAATTTCGTAAATGTACCGGTTATCTGAATAATTCAAGGGTTATAAATGAAACTATGAAATTGTATTTGTCTATAACCACTTTCAATAAAGCAATAAAGGTACATCTATAAAAGTCTTAAACTGGTGAGGTCTAAGAACATTTAATTAGCGTTTCATGCCACTTGATTTAGAAAATAGTTTAAACCAAAAATTGGTTGTGGAAAAGGGGAGAGTGGTGCTATTCAAACCCTAAACAGTGTCTGTGAATGTGTCCCCTTCGTGCCTGCAGGAGTATATTGGGGCGTACGTCACACACTGGCCGCCCTAGGGGCGCTGAGCGTCACTCTCCTCTACACGATGAGGCTCTCCACCTCTAGTGCCATATTATCCATGGTCCGACACCAGAACACCACCACCACGGAAAACCCCACCAGCCTAGCCAACTTCAGCAGCCTGACCAACCACACCCCTCTAGCTAACTTCACCAATATGGCCAACCATACCAGCTTTGTCAAACACGCGAGAATAATCAGCCATCACATCATTGCTAACCTCAGCAGCCTTGCAAATGACGGTAACTTGGTCAACCCCGCCACCGAGGCCATCCTGGAGGGCCGGGTGGAGGAGGGTGAGTGCCCCACACCCCGTCCCCACCACCGCCGCCATCACACAGTGAGCACCTTGATAAAACTGGGTTAGAAGGTCGCATCATCTTTGCACAAATTATAAATGTCTGGGAACTAGTCTGGGAGATTTGACTAAGTATTTACTATAATGTTAGATTAGTGGTATAGTAGTCTTTATTTGAATGTTATTTCTTAAACTAATTTTTAATATTTATCTAAAAGAGCGTTCAGTATTGTTAAAGGACAGACAGCCACATGTCAAAGCAGCATTATTCTCTAAAAGTCGCAAATTTTTCAACCAGGAGAAATAATTAGTTTCTTTGGTTGCTAATACAAGATAAAAGTATTGAAAGCTGTCACAGATCAACTAGGGCACATGCCTCTTCAAACGGGAAAGATAAATGGAACTCTTTATACAATTGCGACTCGAACTCCTATAATCGCTTAGATTCTAAACACATTTGACTTTTAAATAGTGGGCAGCTTTACCCTTACTGAAACCCAAATCCATCGTTTAACGTAGAAGCATTAGTAGTTAAAAATGCTAGGTAGACCACCATTTACTGGCATTACTTTACTCCCGTGTGACGAAGTACTAGTCATAAATTTTCAGGGCGGAGAGTTTGACTGGGACGACCAGACGCAGGAGCTTGTGTTGGGGTCGTTCTTCTGGGGCTACGCAGCCAGTACCTTCCTGGGAGGGGTGGCAGCTGAACACTTCGGAGGTCACCTTGTCTTCGGCCTGGGTGTCCTACTCTCCTCCCTTGTCTCCCTGATGGGTCCTGTCTGTGCCAGAACCTCCCTCCCTCTCTTCATCGCCTCAAGAGTTCTGATGGGACTCATGCAGGTGAGTCGATACTGCAGGAGATGGGTCAGTGTACGAAGATGAGTAATCTAGCTTTATTTTTTTATAGGCACTTTCCGACGCGAGTTCTAAGCCTCTGGTTGGCCAGCTGTGTTAGTCACTTCAGTATTACTTCGGAGGTTGCCGTGTTTTGGCAGCGTGTTTAGCAGCTAGACAATAATTTCAAACTGTAGTTTGACATTAAAAGGCAACTGGAGTTTCAGCGCGCGTAAATATAGTACTTGTATACTGAAACTGAAAACTTACACATGCCTGGGGACCACTCAGGCTTGTTCGCATTTGTATACTGAAGTTGAGTAGTGCGCGTGTCTGGAGTGGGACGCTAGTTCTATCCTTCTGTAGTGCTTCAATATTTTCTCAATAATCACTGGTTAATTTACCTTGTACCTAAATATTAAAAGTTAGCTGACCAATTGTTGGCCGACGGAGCCGGTTGGCCGAGCGGACAGCACGCTGGATTTGTGATCCTGTGGTCCCGGGTTCGATCCCGGGCGCCGGAGAGAAACAATGGGCAGAGTTTTTCACCCTATGCCCCTGTTACCTAGCAGTAAAATAGGTACCTGGGTGTTAGTCAGCTGTCACGGGCTGCTTCCTGGGGGTGGAGGCCTGGTCGAGGACCGGGCCGCGGGGACACTAAAGCCCCGAAATCATCTCAACATATCCTCAAGAAGATAACCAATTGCAGAAAAAAGTTGTTTAAGTAGTAAGTTTGTCTGTTCTTTTGATTCTGTTGTGTATTTCTCTAGTTTTTTATATATGGTCAGAGACTGTTGCTCTTAGCACAGTTGACTGTATTGTACACAAATGAAGCTAAACATTATTACCCGAAGTCACTGTTTCAGGGCGTGACCTTGCCAGCGATCACCTCACTGCTGGCCACCTGGGTGACCCCTGCAGAGAAGAGCAAGTTCTCCGCACTAGTCTTTAGCGGTAAGAAGCAGCAGCCAACTATGTAACTGACGAAGGGTAGGTGCTGGAAGTGGGATAGAGGGACGGTGGGAATAGGAAGTAGAGAGAGAGAGATAGAACAGAGCCCTGTATATGAAACGCCGCGCGACAGTAAAGCTGGTTACACATTATGTATTGCTTGAGACTGACGTTATCAGACCTGAACCAGTGCGGTATCTGGTAGGGTTGGGACCACCACGCGCCCTCTTGGTGTGTCAGGGGTACACATTAGTCACTCAGTAGGTAAATATTTGTCATAGTCTCGGTCTTCATGCGTTTTGTCTTATGTTAAATTTAAGCATATTGACATTACATGCGTATGTGTAACCAGGTTGAACTAGCGTAACTATAAATGACGCTGAAATGAGCCACGTCAGTTCCAAATAGTTTTATACACAGTACGCTGTATTTAAAGACTTGATACACCTACAGGTTTACAGTTGGGTCCCGTGATAGCCCTGTCGACGAGTGACTGGCTCTGTGGCTCTGGGTTCCTGGATGGCTGGCCCTCGGTCTTCTATATCTTCGGGGCTGTGGGCGTGGTGGTGGGCGGGGCATGGCTCCTGGTGGTGCTCGACCGTCCAGAACATCACCCAAGGATCTCCAGGGTGGAGCTGAAGTACATACAGGCACAGCGTGGCTCCCTCAAGAGTGCCAACGTAGGCTATTGATACTGTTTTCTGGGTGCCTTGAATTCAAATGCTACACAGTTCTTGCAACATTTCTAATACTGCCATCACATACGGAATAATTTCTTGTAAATGTTTAACTTTCCAGGGGTAGTTGGGGTGTATAGTAAAGTTGTATATTACTGGTAAGCAATAAAGCCTGTAAGGTGCCATTCATTTAAATATAATGCATCTCGTGTGGATAACATGTATCTGGTGTTTTTATTACGAATTGGAATAAATTCAGTTTTCCTACTGAATTGCGTGTTCTTGGTAATTTATATATTTGCTTAATTTGACAAACGTTTACCTGGCTAGTTACTAGACAACTCGTCTTAAAAGTTCTTAAATTAAAACTGCATATTAACTTCCTATTACTGACAACTGATAAAAACAATTTTTTTGTTTCTAACTATTAGTCCATTAATTTTTGGAGCTCTTTAATCCCATTAGACGATCATATAACTATATAAAACTCTTATACTAACTTCAAGTAGTATAAGTATTATACTTCAAGTACTAAGTTCAAGTAAGTTCGAGATGATAAATATACATTGCAAAAAGATAAGAGTGGCTCAGGCAATTTCTACCTTTCCGCTGGTTTAATTAACTGCAGTTGGTGCCCCTACCGTGGAGAGCTGTGTGGACCTCCCTGCCTTTCTGGGCGCTGCTGATGGCTAGTATGGGCGACGAGTTTTGCTTCTCTATCCTCATCTCTGAAATGCCTATCTACCTGAGGCGCATCCAACACTTCGATATAGACAGAGTGAGTGTCAGATGCCGCCTCTGGCGTTGGTAGTGAAACGTGCTAGAGTGTGGGTCGTATAAGAGTTCAACGGTACCTCTTTCCCGAGGACAGATTGACAATGGTAAATTCACTTTTGACTTGGCCATAAAATAGCATAAAAATGTGAGTAAAAACTATTTCCACCCTTCCAGCACCAACCTACTTATAGGCGGGGTCTCCTGCAGGTGTTGCCCAGTTAGTACACAGTTAATTATGGGAGGTTAGCTTCCCAATTCGCTAGCACTTCCTCTCTCACGGCTAGGCTATCATTAAATAAAACCTGGATGAGGTGCGTCTCGTTTTGTTAGGTGTAGTGTGGTTGACAGGAGTGAATGTAATACAGCTTTTACTTATCACGGCTAAAGTCCTGACGTGTATTCTTGGTGGTGGTGAGGCGGGAGTGTTGGTGGTGGCGCCGTACCTGGTGATGCTGGTGGCGGGGCTGCTATGGGCGGCCCTTGTGGACAGACTCACGGCAGCCAACACCCTCTCCATCGACACCGTCAGGAGGCTCTCCATGGGCGTTGGTGAGTCAAGTGACCACGTATTGTCAGCATTATGCTCCTGTAATTATAGGTATACATGTTTAATATAAGAAATCGGTGACATCTAAAATGTTCTGAAAATGTGAATAAACTACATCCGACTGAAACAATAAAGGGGTACAGCAATTACAACAACTTATAGTTTGATAAGCAAGCTTGAAATATACACACCCAAGCCTATTCTAGAATAATGCGTTGTCACCCCTAGTAAGATTTATGTAGGTTTTAAATTTATGTAGGTCTTCACTGTCCAGACATGAAGGTTTAAATCTAGGCAAATGGCGTGAATGTAGCATCAGCATTCATTAGTCATTTTATTGAAAATTCATAAACGTGCAATTTCAGTTTCCATAATACTTGAGTAATGACATTCAGTTCACGCCATGTTTACGTGGTTAGTAAATTATTGTTTCAAATAAGTCTAGAGGCTAGGCAAGCAGTTTTCCAATGTAACTAAAACGTACAGAGGAGTCTTGAACTGTTACCATTAGGCTTTGATGTTTGATTTGACTTTCCAATCACACAGGGTCAAGGCCACCATCATCAAACCTTACCGATTAACCATCCAGTATAATTTAAAGTCTTAAATACAGTCAAAACTAATTAAATCCTCAAATGTTCTCGAGTGGAATTGTTTCAGCACCCTGAATACTAGCAGTCATCCTATCCATAATATTCTAATAATGCTTTCTTAATCTAAGAAATAATTTACTTATTGAAACATAGCAGTCCTCATAAGTACTTAATGACAGGTGCTCCATTAAATAAATTCCTTAATAAGATAGTTATATTTTCTAATATATTTTCGCATACGTTAACTTATCATAAGTAGACTTGTGTGGCCTCAGCCTTGCACTGCCCGGCGATGGTGTTTTTGGGGATGTGCTTCGTGGACTGCTGGCCCGAGCTGTCCGTGGCAATGCTGTGCCTGTCGATGGGACTGAATGGTACCAAGAGTAGCGGGCACCTGTGCTCCCACCAGGAACTGGCACCAAACCTGGCCGGCACTCTGCTGGGCATCACCAACACGGGCGCCTCCATCATGAGCATCGCGGCCCCAGCGCTCGTCGGGTTCATCACATACCGGGATGTAAGAATATATGCATCTTATTTGATTCCAAGGCAACGCTTCAACAAATTGGCTAACAGTAACGCATCAAATCAGTCTTTGTATTCATCTAAGGAATTTGTTATTTAGAAACCATGCAGTAAAGACTGAATTTCAGTTGAATACTATTTTCTTTTAACAAATTTTAAATAAAGCTCTGCCTGGAATAAAATTTTGAACATGACTGATTCTGTTCTTCAAAGACTTCCAGCATGTTTGCCCCTAGAGTCGTCAGCTTCCCACTCAAGACTTGTCAATAAGAATTTAATTAAAAACATAAACTAACTGAAGGCTTACTGGCGCATGCAAGGCAGCTCCTTATTTTTACCCGGCTGGACGGTCTCGCCTCATGTAGGTCAGCGTTTAGTCCCCGACCTTGGCCACCATTCCTCCCCGTCCCATCCCAAATCCTTATCCCGAACCCTTCAAAGTGTTGTATATTCGTAATGGCTTGACTGAATTGAAAGAGTAATAACTCCTGATTGCTCCCTTCCCTTCCTATTTTTACCGAACCAAACTCCATGTCTAAACTGTGCTTGGGGACAAACAAAAAAACATCCAGCGATTCTCTCTTATTTTAACCTTGTAATAATATCCTCAAGTCTACAACCCCGTTAGCACCGCAGTATTTACCATTGCTACCAGTCTCTGCATCTTGTATACAGCCTGTGTTTATCTCTCACTCTCTCCCCGTTTAGTTGTTTCATGCCTTACTCTTATGTCTTCTTATATTTCCTTATGTTAAGGCGTCTGTTTCTTTCCTACCATCTTCAGCGTCAAATATCACTTCCCCCAGCAAACGGCGTGGGCGTGGAAGACTGTGTTCCTCATGTGCGCCGTTGTGTGCTTCTTCTGCAACGCCTTCTACACGGTGTTCATCACAACGGAGGTGCAACCCTGGAACGAACTCGGCTACGGGAGAGGCAAGTGGGACATCGCTGGCGGGGTCAAGTTTCTAGGGAAGGGGGTTCTCGGGGGATGTAGAAAAGCACTGAAAAGTAAAAATTAAAGGTGGTAATATAAACTATTTTAAAATAAAAAATTACCAAATTGAATTAAATATGTCACTCAGTTAGCAGGTCCATGGAGACCTTGTAACTACCACTGGTATTAACTGCTGCGGCTGGCAATATACTGGTCGCGGATTAGTCATCTCAGAGCTCCAGCAGTTGATTTTTCTAGATAATACCAGTCTAATCTAGGTGCATTATCCACAATTTTTTTTCTCTCCAGTATCCTCCGAGGAAGGGCATATAGAAGACGAAGATTAGAAAAGCCTATGGTGGCAATTAGGCTTCACCTCCACTCCCAGCTTCTTCAGCAAATTGATATTGATTTCGTGGAAAAACAAGAGATTTGAGCCAACGCTACAGTGAGGGTTTCTTGAAAGGAAAAAAACTATCTACAAAAATATTATGCTGTATATAGATTTTAGGTTTCACTCTTGTGCTTCACTTGTAGATTCCTTGTAGAGAGAACGGGAAGGAGGGGGGGATTTATATTATAAAAATTTTTAATGTTAAGATAAAACTATTATGGTGCTAATAAATGTATATATCTATAACGTTGACTTATTACTTTTAATTCTATTAATTATTTTGGATAGTTTTATTTGAGTTGTGGAATCTTGAGATTTGCATTTATATTAGGAATTGACACGTAAATATATTAAAATTCTACTGTTTACACATTGTAGTAAGTTCAGTCATGTTTAAAAGCCACTTTGGGACTTGACTTCATGGAGAGGAATGAATGTAAAAGTATTTCATTTCATGTTAAGGTATATTTTGCGGAACTTTGACTCTTCTCGCACAATCTCCATACTTATTGCAATAATTTAGCAAACATGAATAATAATCAGATATTTAAAGATACAAATCTACCAATCCCCAAGAAACGAGTGGAAGTCCAACATACTGTGCTGTGCCTAGGTAAACATAAAATTATGAATTTTTTAGAAAGCCTTCTGAGACGGCTCTTAACTTATAGAATTCTAGAATAACAAACTGTTCCAAATATATTTAGTTTTAATACTTTACCAAAAACACTCCAATTATTAGTCTTCATTCCAGAATAAAACTTAGTGAAGTTTTGTTTGTTAATGGTGTGTAGCGTTTTCCCTCTGAAATTTGCTTATTTAAATCCTAAGAAATTTAAATGGCAAGACAGTAGTATCACCAGGACATCGTAAGGACTGCAGTTCCCAGTGTAGCGGCGTTGGCTGTCCAAAGGAAAATAAGGTAAGCTAATTATCAGGAGAAAGCACTAAGCAATTAAGACTACATAGCACGTGGAAGGGATATGAGAACAAGGATCTGGGTCAAGACCGAGAAGAAATGGTGTCAAGGCAACTGGATGGTCAGGGTTAGAACGCTGACCTTCAAGAAAGTCGCTCTACCGTCCACTCCAAATAGTTAATATTTGTACACTCGATGGAACAGTATTTTACAACCGTCCTGTAGTAGTTTTCAACGTATGTGTGACAAACAATTGGATATGGGTTCGAATCTTGGCCATTATGAGAGTATTAGCGTCTCCCTGTGCACCCGGCAAAGATTGATTAATAAAGATTAAGCCATCACAAGAGGTGGCATGTAGCAGTAGTAGCCCGTAGGTGGTAGATGTTTTGGAGTGAATGTGATCTTTGGTAGTGTAACATCGTGAAGTGTATCTGGGCGGGGCGACCCGGCAAATATAGGGAGGCCTGCACAAATATGAAGAGCGCCTGGCTAACCCTGTACGGGAAAAACCTGCTGCCAGGGAATAACCTGTTTCGGTACTTGCCAAAGGCCTAAATCCTAACCTAAAAAAAAAACACCTACGAGGTTTTGACAATAGAATGCTAAAGAAACCTTCGAACCACGATAAGTATTTTCGAAGACTGCATCAAACCTATCTATGGCACAAAAGATGGACAACAGGAAAAACTTAAGCCGAAGGAAGCTGGTTGTACAGTTACCCGTTAATGTTGTTGGGCCAAGCTAACACTAGTGACAACACGTGCGACACACTCCCAAATATATAATACTTGGTGTTGAGTAATGTAACCTGTTTGAGTATCTGGCACAAAGACCACAATTCTTACAGAATTGTGTGAAGTGCGTCGTTCATTGTATGCAAAGTTTTTCGCATATAATTACTATAAACAAATAACATTCAAAACCATTTCCAGAGCTATAGACTGGTGTGGTTATCACCCCTCATACCACGTAATAGGGCCGCGTAATAATTAAGAAATGTTGCCTCCTTTTCAGGAACAAAAATAAAAATATTCCGTTGTTTTAAGACCCTTGCTTAAGCAATAATAATAATAATTATAATTTAATATGTCTATCGAGTAGCCGGATATACACCAGCTGAAAGAGATTAGTGTAGTTTGGGCTACAGATTTAATGTTCATTCGATAAGAGATAGCGATAATTATCTGAACTGGTAGATATTTCAGACATGCCCTCGCCTTGTGTAAATATTTTGAATGTTATAGCAGGTGTTAGACCAGAGTGCACAACCTCGCCCCTTGTACCAGGAGTAAAGTTATCCAGCACAGAGCCTTAGGCCTAGACAAAAACATTGGCTTGTTCCCTGGTCGCAGACAAATACTGTCTTAATTTGTTATTGGTGATTCATAAAAAAACAAACTCACCCTGGGTGTGTAAGATAGTTAAACAAAAATCTTTACAGTATGCTCGCCTTCATAAAAAAAAATTACAAGGTTGATGAATTTAGGTTACTGTATTAGTAAATGAAAAGTGTGGCAAATTTGTAAGTGAGACACAGATGAGTTGGTTGGCAATGATAAGATATATTAACATTTAATTTATTGTTGCGGTGAGAGGTTATCACTGATTCATTGTTGACAATGAACTGCACTCAAAAGTAGGCCAGTTGAGCTAGTGCATAAACATGTCCTGTAGCCTACCAGCTGTAGCAAGAGTCAGTCAGTTGTGGGAGAGAGGAGAGTGAGGTTGTGAGAGCTGGTGGTGGCGGGGTGTGCTGATGTCAACTCGCTGATCAGTCTTTGCCTGTTCTTTCAATTGGAAGTAGTACATTGCCGTCTCTTAGAACAGAAAAATTCAATGTAATAAAACTGGACAAATGTGGAGGCAGGCCTCTTTGCTGAGTTCGTTGATCATTGACACTAACAGGCTGATTTTGTTATAGTTGGTATAAAACACTTTAAATCTAAATTAAAATGTGCAATCGTTGGCAATATTGGTGATACAAAGCTATGGTATATTGGAAAAATATTACCAAAGTTTTAACTTGTTAATGTACCTTAATTTAAGGCTTAAGTAATTCGATAGGCACTGGCCAATCGGCAAAGAGGAAACTCCATCCCTGTTAGATTAATATTCTTAGAAGGGAGTGAAGTGAGGTCCAAGTATTAAGCCAGATCCAACTAGGGCAGCAATACGTCACCATGACCTGGACAGAAGAGACCGATGAATGGACATCTCTTCTGAGACACCCCCGTAGTAAAGGTTTGCTTGTGTATTTACCTGTGTTGAGCTTCAGCTCTTTGGGCCTGCCTCTATTTTAAAACTAATGTCGATCAGGAAGTCGACTGATGACGAACTGCACCAGTCGACTTCAACCTCTTAGGATCGGAGCTTATTTCAATTCAATTTCACCTCTTAGGGTCTATTTTTGTTTACATTCGAATACCGCTACATAGTCTTTCCGGCTTGGCACCTTCTTTTGATTACTTAATATAGAGTCCTAGGCTCATTTAGGTACTTTATAGTCTATATGTGTGCTCCTGTTTTCATATACAAACCTTGGTAAATAATATCTTATCCTGTCGTGTTTATCCCCCTTGGTATTTTCCGTGTGGTGATCATGTTTCCCCAGTTTCTTGTGTCTCCCAGTGACTTTTGTGTCACGCGGCCTCACCTAACCCCCGTGATTGTGTTCGTCTGCAGGTGTTGGGTCAAATAAACTGCTGAATGTCTGCGTGTATGTAAAGGTGAGTGTAGGATTGGATTGTCAACAATTGACGAATGTGATGTACACAATTGACAGTGCTTGTCAACTCGCAGAATCACGATGGGGACCCCGCTACACTGTGGCCGTGATGGGCTGCCTGGGCCTTGTAGTCGAGTATTGCCAGCGTGTCAACCTCTCCGTTGCCATAGTGGCTATGGCAGGTACCCTTGGCTCCAACTACACCGAGGTGATCGAGGAATGTCCCAACAACGACAACACCACCACCACCACCGTCTCGCCTGTCTATGTACGTCCAAATAATTTGCTTGTTCGGAGAACTTGTGTTTGTTTTCTGTTAAAGCATTTAGGCGACCTAAATACACACGTTTCGTGCAAATCAAGACTTGGCGTAAGTGTGTTTATACAGTATTACGCAAACACGATTTTTTGCATGCATATTGCCGTGTAAAAACATAATATTTTAAGAATCTTGTTAGCATTCCCACTTGTTAAGGCTCGGGTTTTATTATGCTGTCATTAATTCAAAAAGGATCCACCAGTATAATCTGTGGAAGAGTAGAAATTAAACAAAATGTTGGTCATGACCCACAAAATGTTGGTCATGACCCACAAAATGTTGGTCATGACCCACAAAATGTTGGTCATGACCCACAAAATGTTGGTCATGACCTACAAAATGTTGGTCAAGACCCACAAAATGTTGGTCATGACCTACAAAATGTTTGGGTCAAGATCCACAAAATGTTTGGGTCAAGACCCACAAAATGTTGGTCATGACCCACAAAATGTTGGTCAAGACCCACAAAATGTTGCTCAAGACCCACAAAATGTTTAGGTCATGACCCACAAAATATAGATCAAGACATAGTCAAGTCTCCTAAATCAATGGGCCTTAAAAGATGCGGATTATAATAATAATAATATTACACCAACAGTGATTGAACTTTAATCAAGTTACTTGAACTCAGCCACACACACACTCAAGATCTTAACATAACTATGTACTCAGACAGAACTTGTTACACAACCCAAGCACTAAACAAACGCAAGTACTTATCTAGGCAGATAATATAACCGCCCCGTTCCAGTCTCCACGTGTTACTGAGAAACGTAAACAAAGAACCTCCCTCACATGTTAGCCAACCCAACATATTTCTACAACAATATTTACCATCTTCCCGCACTCTGGCCAACACTGCCATTAATTATAATAAGGAAATAAAAAATTAATGTAAGGATGTGGGACCAAAACCAACTAACATTAATAATGCTAAAGAATAATATTGATATATTACAAAACTTGCTACCGTTGGTCTGCCTGGGCAGCTGCATCCCTGACCATCACCTGATAGTATAAATGGAATACAATGGCTGTTTTACATATTTACAACATGTATAAATGTGTATGTATTCAACATGTATAAATGTGTATGTATACATCATGCATAAATGTGTGACAGTGTTAGACCACGGAGGAAAATTTTTCAGTTTTCCTCCGTGGTCTGACACTCACATTTTTAATCGTGTTTATTTTCGTGATATACACACATAAATGTGTATGTATACAACATGTATAAATGTGTGTGTGTACAACATGCACCTACACAACCATAATGACATACTATAAATTACACTGCAACTGTATCTTCACTACTTCATATATATAATAATAATAATAACAATAATAATATATTAGCATTATTAGTATTATTATAATACTAATAATATATAATATTTCATTCGCTTATAGTTTTCATTCGCATATAGTCCTGGGGACCATTCAGGCTTGTTCGCAATATATAATATATAAAAGCATATAATGCTTATATAATAATAATAATAATAATAATAATAATGTCTGTAAAATGAAGTTGACAAGATATCACTGAGGGCAAGAATTATTTTAATGACTGAGTTAGGATCCAGTTTCATTACAAGCCTCACGTTATAACCATATACGCTGTCCCTCTTAGAATTCTCGAAAACCAGCCAATTAAGAACGAACACTCTAAAAATAAAATGTTTGTCGATTTTTTTTGTGTGTGCGAATGGTAAAACAAACACACGCTGAAACTCCAAGCAATAATTTCAATTAACACGCACCAGAAATACTCCTTTAACCAAACATTCCATTAACTTTTTGCCTGTGTTTTTTTCCCCTCTCCCCCGTGCTTGTTTGTTCAGCGGGGCGAGTTCAACTGGGACAAGGAGATCCAAGGGGTGGTACTGGGCGCATTTTTCTGGGGCTACGCCACCACCAACATCATTGGAGGGCGCGCTAGTGAGTACCTTGGAGGGAAGATGGTTTTCGGAATGGGAATTATCACCTCGTCCTTCCTGTCTCTCATCTCTCCCTTCTGCGCCCGGGCCTCCGTCGGGGTCTTCGTCGCCTGCAGGGTCTTGCTGGGAGCCGCGCAGGTGAGATGATATTTAGGTTTGTATGTTTACGTGGCTCAGATAGCCGCGTAAACACATGGTAACTCTATGGGGTAGTTTTACCTTTTTATTGGCGCCTCTGACATACCTGTACGCCATACCTTATTGACATACTTCTAAATCGTATTCTCTCATTTGTCAATTATACGTGATGAGCGCGTACTCTGTACCGCTGTGACGCACCTGTAACTTGTACAACTATGACATATCTACACCTTGTACCGCTGTAACACACCTGTAACTTGTACAACTATGACATATCTGCACCTTGTACCATTGTGACGCACCTGTACCTTGTACCGCTGTGATGCACGTACACCATGTATACCACTATGACACGTGTATGGTATACAAGCATCTTTCTAACATACCGAGCGGCATGGTACTCTGCAGACTTCAGACGTCATAATATTGATATAGCTACACCCACATGGAGTGTACCCGCGCTCATATGCACATTTACTGATATATGTAGCAGCTGGTATATATGTAGCAGCTGGCTTACCACACGTATACTAACTCTTCGCTTGTTACAGGGTGTGACGTTTCCCGCCATCAACACCATGCTGGCTACCTGGGTCGTGCCTGTAGAGAGGAGCAAGTTCAGCACTATTGTTTACTCGGGTCAGTCCTGTAGCCTAGTGACTCTTACATGTACACATCTCTCTCCACTTGGACTTTTTTTATTATTATTTTCTACCACAGACGTGGTCACACATTTACAATGCTAACTAGCATATATACATTTTCTTCTGTCCTCCATGGACAGGGTGAGAGATTTGTCAAACATACAGTTCAGAGATTTATTGAACAACCACAGAAGGTGATCGATTCACGTAAATAAAATACATAGCGTAATATATATAAAGAAATATTATTCTAGTAATCAGCATATTACCACATTAACCCATCTTGCAAAACACTGCAAACCTTTCCTGCAAAATGACGCGTTTTCTCCCAGGATTCCAGCTGGGCTCTGTGGTGGGCATGACGGCCAGCGGCTGGTTGGCAGCCTCCGACTTCCTGGGAGGATGGCCTTCTGCTTTTTATGTGTTCGGGGTGGCAGGTTTGGTGTGGGGCGTGGCGTGGTGCGCCTGCGTGTACGACCGCCCCGAGGACCACCCCAGGATCCCATACAGGGACCTTCGGATGCTTCGCCAGCACCAGGATTCCGTGAAGAGTGCCGAGGTCAGGAGGATATCTGTCTTGTTTGGGAAGTAAGAATGTGAGATAACATTTACATGTCAAATGATACGGTATTTATGCGCCACTTGGCATCTCCCGTTCCATTTTCTTTATGTTAAGTGCTTATTGACTCGCATCAGGTCGTGGCAATTCCATGGAGAGCCATCGTAACGTCGCTACCGTTCTGGGCGGTAATGGCGGTAACCGCAGGGAACGACTACTGCTTCTACACCTTGCTGACCGGGATGCCCACCTACCTGGGTGACGTTCAGCACATTGACCTCGCCAACGTAAGGTTAACGGGTAGAGGGTGGAGGACCTAGGAACTGGAGGGTCAAGGAGATAGGGAAGGTGACCTAGTACCTTCCCTGCTGACAATAACAGTTACCTTGATGGATCAGAGGGGAAAGTGTATCATCATCTATAAACATCTGAGATGTTTATGGGTCAGAAGCATTGGCACAATTATGTTATTTGTAGGCATCCTGCAGTCTCGGGAGACTAAGGAGTTGGGCTCTGGTTGTCGGTCTGGAGTTTCCTCTCCAGGGCGCAAAGCCAGGGTAGGTCAATATGAAGAAGCTGTTACCCATGCAGCAGGTTTCCCCCCGTTTCCAAGTTCTTAAAATAGTCCAATAGAAAATCAAACGCCAATACGCTTCTAATCCATAAACATCCCAGATCACAATTGCCCTAGATCATTGGCACAATTACCACTGTCATTATCATTATTTTATTGCCGTATCTAAAGATTAGAGGATAAACCTGAGGCAATTTACTTAGATTTCCATAAATAATCCGTCTGCTTTGTTCCGTTGGTGCCAGAACGGGTTGTTGTCTGCGCTGCCTTACCTGCTGATGTGGGCGTGGGGCGTAGGCTGGGCTGTGCTGATGGACGGGCTCGCCAAGGGCGGCCATATCTCCATCGTCACCGTCAGGAGGCTCTCCATGGCCGTAGGTCAGGGCCCTCAATTATGTCAATTATTACCCAAACGACTTTGCTTCAATGAAATATTAAATTGCAATGTTACTTGCATTGAAAGCAGTGGTTCAGAACATTGTTTCGATATAATTTGTAAATAAAAAAAAATCCATACTTGATTATTTGATAGTAATAGTCAAATTTGTAATACCAATCAAGGTTAAAAAAAATCTTGGGTCTGAAATAAATAAATAAAAAATATATATATATATATATATATATATATATATATATATATATATATATATATATATATATATATAATATAAAATGGCCATTCCACAGCGCTATATGGTCCAATGTGTGGCTTGGTGGGCATGGTGTTCGTGCGGTGCAACCCGGTCCTGGCGGTGACATTGTTGTGTGTCTCTGTGATGTTGAGCGGGGCGGTGAACAGCGGCCACATGTGTTCCCACCAGGACCTGGCTCCCAACCTGGCCGGCACGCTCCTGGGCACCACCAACACGCTTGGCGCAGTCGCCGGCATCGCCAGCTCCACCATCACCGGCATCATCCTCCAGGAAAACGTGAGAGAGAAACTTACCATCACAATGGTTTTCTCTTCCACCTTGTAGCCTCTTGTTTCCGTCTCCGTTTAAGCAAATATGCGTTTTACATGGGCTTACCTTCTTGAATCTTTTCCTAAACTGCTTTTTTGCAGAATAGCCCAACCACTTTGACTAGACGGTCTCGGTTCTTGCAGGTCGGCGTTCAATCCCCGACCGTCCAAGTAGTTGGGCACCATTCCTTCTATACGTCCTATCTCAAATCCTTACCTTCATATCCCTTTCGAGTGATATACTGTATAATCATACTGGTTTTAATGGGTTCTCTGATTTATTGATCAGAGTTTATTTATAGGTTTTTATTGATTGCTTTATTGATCCTTTCCACCTTACCCTTCTGCAAGATAAGTAAACCCATTTTTCATATATACACCAATTAAATTGCAAAAGGTAATCACATTTGGATTGCGGTCTGCAGCCTTCTTATAACCATCCAGGAAATTAGTATTATTATTATTAACATCTTTATTGACAAAATTAATTACAATTTTGCCTAATCTGAGGATTTTGATAAAGTCTTATTAAAGTGAAGATAATGCTGGTATTCACTGCAGGATATTAGTAAGAACAATATTCTCCTGACGATTTATTTTGTGCTGTAGGCGGCGGTCTGGGGCTGGAGACAGGTGTTCCTCATTAGTATAGCCTTCTACCTGATCTCCTGTACGCTCTACGTCGTCTTCATCTCTGCAGACGTCCAACCCTGGAATGATGTCAACTTTGCAGGTCAGTGGCACTTGGTAGAAAACCTAGGTAAGCACACCGCAGGCTTCCTGTCACCGTCTAGGGCAAATCAAACCAGGCTATGTTATATTTCTTGGTAAATCAGTTTCATGTGGTTTTAATTTATGCCAAACAGCAGATCAAAGTAGTTAAATGAAGGATAAATCAATAAAACGACCGCAAAAGGTTGAGTCAAAAAGATTATCTTTGATATATACAGTTGATAAAGCAACATATTGATATAATATGCGAATTTTGCAGGTCGGGATGAAGATGAGGACAGTGAGGGACCCATAGAAACCCACTACCTGCCAGATGAAGGGGAAGAAGACTGAGACCCACTACACAACCTTTCCACCATGGGACCACATTGTTGACCCACGTGTTATTTTCACGCATGTCAACTCGTCAATGTGTAAACAAACGCCAATGGAATTATTGACAAGAGATTTTGTTAGTTTAGGCTTCTCTAATTTATTTCGTCGCCAATAAAATTATTTAACAAGAGATTTTGTTAGTTTAGGCTTCTATAATTTATTTCTTCGCATTATTTACTGTATTTTATTTATAAGATGAAATTTTCATGAATAAATTGTTACACCTTTTTTTACAGTAAAATAAAAATATATATTTTGGTTTGACTTTTTCTTTTAACTTGAAATCCTCCTGCATTATTAGAACTTACACTAAGTGTTTGGTGGTGGAAAGTACCAATATGTAGTGATGTAGTTATATGTAACTACATATGTACTTATACCAGTAAACCACTTTTCGTACTATTAATGCACTTAAAGAAATCGCATTAACGTAATGTATCAACGAGAAAATCAGTAGGAGCCCTTAGGTGGATTCGAATTTATGCACTGGGTACTCCCAGGCACACTAGACACGTCGACATTGGTCATAAGCATTGCAACCTGGGATTCAACTGAATCATCTAGGGTTTCTAAGGCTTCCACTGAAGCCTAATCAAGGTTTTCCGTACCTCCATGCGCTAAGCCCAACCCGTCCTCTTTAAAATAACGTCGCTTTTCGCTCAATGGCCAAAAATGGACCTAATTTGAAATGAAATCAGCTCACAAAAGTGATGTACTGTCCCGTTTTCTGTTTGAGTTGTCTAGTTTACTTGGTAAGGTTTGGAAAGAACATAAGAATAAAGATAACTGCAGAAGGCCTATTGACCCATACAAGACAGCTTCTATTTTGTGGTGGTTGTTTTGTGGAACCAATTACCACGTAACGTGGTGATGGTGGGGTCACTTGATTGTTTCAAGCGTGGGTTGGACATGTATATGAGTGGGATTGGGGGGTTATAAATAGGAGCTGCCTCGTATGGGCCAATAGGCCTTCTGCAGTTACCTTTATTCTTATGTTCTTAGGTGTACAAGTGGATGAATGGGCATAACAAATCCTATATTAATAGGGGTATTAAAAGTATCAACACAAGGCAGAACACGAAACACGGTATAAATTGGATAAGTTTAGATTTAGGGAAGACCGGGGTAAATACTGGTTCGGTAAACAGGGTTGTTGATTTATGGAACCAATTACCACGTAACGTGGTGAAGGTGGGGTCCATCGATTGTTTCAAGCGTGGGTTGGACATGTATATGAGTGGGATTGGGTGGTTATAGATAGGAGCTGCCTCGTATGGGCCAATAGGCCTTCTGCAGTTATCTTTGTTCTTATGTCCTTATGTCTGTACCTGGGTAAATACTGTTTCGATAATAGGGTTGTTGATTTGTAGAACTAATTACCGCGTAAAATAATAGAAGTAGGATCTTCTACGCTTGATTGTTTCAAGCGTAGGTTAGATATATATATGAATGAGTCTGGGTGGATATAAATTGGAGCTTCCTCGTATGGTTTTTACCCTCATAAAGACTGTGAAGCAGTATCCTCCCCCGCGATAACAGCTTGATGGTTAAATACAACCTCAGAATACCGAGAAAAAAATAATTGTACCACTTACGGGCTATTCATGCCCGTGCCACCTCTTGGGTGGCTTAATCTTCATCAATCAATCTATGGGCCAACAGGCCTTCTACAGTTTCCTTGATTATTAAGTTCTTAATGTGTTCAAATCAAATTCAATTATGCACGTGACTCATTCTCAAGAGAGGTGAATGTTCTTCAATAAATTTCACAGACAATTGACAGCTTGCGAGACAAGCGGATGTCTTCGTGACAGGATATTACATTTAACAGATCTTCAAGAATATTGGAAAGAATTGTGAGCGTCCTCGCGCGGGTACGAAGCCTCGGCCTACCAAAAGGCGCGTTTTCTGCTCTTTAGGCGCCCTGAAAATGAACAAATTATTTTTCATCATTCCGCTAGTGATAGTTTTCATAGTAGTTCTTGTGGTAGCTGGATGGTATATCTTCAAGAGATGGCGACAGGTTAGTATTTTTATTATAACAGAGATAGACAACAATGGGGCCGAAAATTCAAAATTATTACAAAATAATACTTTATCATTATACACAAAAATCACATTGGCGTGATGCATCATTACACACATAATCTCAATAGCGTGATGCATCAAATGAACAAATCCACAAGGGCCGTGACAAGGATTCGAACTTACGTACGAGAGCATCCCAGACGCTGCCTTAATCGACTGTACTAAGACATGGTAGTTCACTTGATGCATCACGCTATTGTGATTTCTGTGTGTAATGAAGTAAGGGCGAAGAGGTAGAACGGCCTATTGACATAGCTCCAGTGAATGGGGGGAATTGTGTAAAATCCTAGTTTGTGTCTCGGAGAGGCTGCAGGATCCAAGTAAGTTGAGTAAAACTTCTGGTTGCAATTCTTTTTACCATGTCGTAGCTCGATCGTTTCAGGCAGAGTCTGGGATGCTCTAGGACATAGGTTCGAATCCTCGTCATGGCCCTTGTGGATTTGTTCATACCTTATCATTGCATTGACAGGCACAATTACACTGCTTTAATTTATATTTATTTTAACTATATTTTTCCAACAGCGGAGAATCCGAGAGATTATAGACAGCTTATACAAGTTCCAGGACATCGATCCCCAGCTCTTTTGCGTACCTGACATCAAGCCTACTAAAGAACAGCTCAGACTGGAGGCACTGAATGAAGAAGCTATCGCCTCTTGGCTTTGAGCAGAGATTCTTACCATCTAACACCCACTGGAAGGTATTGGATTCTTACCGTCCAATACCAACTGGAAAACTATTGGAGTCTTACCATCCAATACAAATTTACACAAAATTTGTATATTTTACAAATTATATACCCACTGGAAGGCTACCATCCAGGAACCACTGGAAGGTTGTACTTGGCTCTACCAAGTACCATCCAAGGCTACTTAAGTGGTTGTTAGTCACTCGTTTGATAATTTATTTCTCAAAGATGCTTGTGAATTGGTTTTCAATGCACTTGTAGAGCGTAGCTAACTAATGCTGAACCAAAAAAATTTGTCTAGCATTTAATTTTGATTAACTAATAATATTAGATAAAATTAAATTAAAGAATAATGTTACCAAAACCAAATTAATTTATGATTTGTTTTATTGTACATTATTTTCTATTTAATTAATCCGTTGCTATAAGGTATAGCATTAGGTATGATTAGGTATACCTTAGGTATAATTAATTACCCTATTATATTATATAATAGGTTAATTAGGTATAATTAATCTGTTGCTAATTATACCTAATTAATTAATTAGGTATATTTAATAAAGGTATATACATATATATTTATATTTCATATTTGTATATTCAACATTGTAAATGTTATGAAATTTTTCGTAAATTTTGTGTAAATTTGTATTGAATAATAAATTTATCACATTGCAGTTGTAAGTATTTTTCATAACAAAATGTAGGACCTTAAAAAAAACAGCGATATCGAAATATCTTAAATTGCAGTGCTTCAAACTGCCCGAAATCCACATGGATTGTGATGGCAGTCGTTGAAAGACAGAGCTGAATACTAACATTTATTTACGTGAGTGTCTTTGGGAATTGATGATATTCCTTCATCAAAGTCAATGAGGACCACTCAATGTCAGCAACTTCTGTGTGAATGGCTGATTAGTCCAATTAGAGTCATTCTCGGTTGAAACTAAGGTTTCCCAAACGTCATGAAACTCGTACTAAAGTAACCGTATCTTAACCTTTCCAGAGGACCCACAACAGAAAACGGGTCAGTATGTCACTTTTGTGAGCCTCTTTCATTTTTAGTACGACGAATTTTGGGCCTTAAGCAAAGTATACGTCAAAATGCGACTTGCTATTAGCAGGAAGAGTTGGGTATCGGCTTCCGACAAGGGTAGTCTTACGAGCCTTGGACTTACGAAACATATACATCTTTAAATAATTATGGCCGATTTGTTTACCTTTATTAAACAATTTACGAGCTTCGAAACTACACAATTCTTGATTATTGAACTGTGTAGTTTTCAATAATCGAACATAGTCAAGATTCCTATTGCATTTACTGTGATAGTTATACTTGTATATATTAATAAGTATTAAAAGTAAAAGCCTAACATGTAATATTAATTAATATAAACAAAGTCAGAAGCCACACGCCTGTCTGTACATGTCTTTTGTGTTTAAGTATTTTGGGCGCTCATGTACTTGTGCGCTAGCGAGCGTTCACAGCTGGTCTCGCCTTCATGGACTTCATTGAGTCAATCAAATAATAATGTTTATTTATTTAGGGAAATAAATTTCTAGCACGACGAATTTTGGCCTTAGGTAGAGTATACATCAAAATGCTACGTGCTATTAGGAGAAAGAGTGGCTTGAATTCTTCTTGAGTTAGGAGAAAGAGTTGGTTGAATTCTCCTTGTGTTAGGAGAAAGAGTTGGTTAGGGAAATAAATTTCCCTGGGCTTACTGATGGGCCTCAGAAATAGTCGAAGCATAATAATAATTCATTTTTTGTTGTATTAAAAACATAAAACCTATGGCTATTCCGTCTATCTGCGTATACATGTCTCCCCAAAGGGCTGTGAATGAATCTTGGTGCTGGAAGATTACGGAGGGCAGACTCTGGAATGTCTTGGAGTAATATTGTCACGGTAGATTCTGTCTAACATTTTATCTCATATATTTAACTATTATAGTAATTTGAAAAATTACTATTTTTATTCCTATTCCAATTACAAAAAATGAAACATAGCAAGCCATGAGCTACATCGGTGTACTGACGCGCCTGATAACTTCAAAGAGGAGGCGGAGCTTCGGCAAATACCTTCCTGTGATTGGCTGTTGCAGGGAATGTCAACACTCTTCAATGAATGAAATGCAAACTAAGAAATACGTCTTTTTGTACAACAACTTCTTTGTTTTGTTCCTAATAGAAATTTCCATCTAACTGAATAATATAGCCCAATATGAGGGCGGAGCTTTATATCATCGATTTTATTTGTGTCTAGGTAACCCCCACTGATGACGTCATAAGTTAGGTAGCCAGGCCATTTTCCTATAACACCTGTTATATCCTGCAATATTTAATTAACACTTTATTAAGACATTTAAATAATTAAAACTTAACTTTTTGGGTAGAATAAAGTTGAAGCAGAAAGTCATCAGCAGGGCTATTGTGCTGAACAAAAATTATTTATTAAGTTGGTAGAACCTTTACCTGATGCCTTCCTGTGATTTTTTAAGTAATTTAATAGTAATTCAAAAATTCATATTTTTTATATACAAGAGATGAAGTCCGATGTTCAAAGGGTTTGGAGAAGGTGGTGGGAAGGAAGAATGGTGAGGAAGCGAAACCGTCACTCTACCGTCCAGCCCAAGTGGTTGGGCTAATTAGTATTGATTGATGATTAAGCCACTCAAAAGGTGGCACGGGCATGAATAGCCTGTAAGTGGTGGGCCTTTTGAGCCATTACCAGTATCAAAAGATGATACTGGAGATCTGTGGAGGTGCGACTGCACCCTGCGTGACGGGAGATGTCTCCCACACAATTGATGAAGATTAAGCCATCCAAAAGGTGGCACGGGCATGAATAGCCCGTAAGTGGTGGCCCTTTTGAGTCATAACCAGTATCAGTAGATGATACTGTAGATCTGTGGAGGTGCGACTGCACCCTGCGTGACGGGAGATGTCTCCCGTGAGCTAGAGCGATGTGCTGAGTCCATAAGGAGGCCGAGCTTCCAGAAATACCTTCCTGTGATTGGCTGTTGCAGGGAATACCAACACTCTTTTATGAATAAAATTTAAACTAAGAAATAGGTCCTTGTGCACAACAACAAGGTTGTTGTGAAAAAGAACAACGATTTCTGTTTTGCACCTGACAGAAATATCCATCTAACTGAATAATTTACTCGAATAAGAGGGCAGAGCAGCGTATCATTATTTGTGTCAAGGCAACCCCCAATAATAACGTCCCAAGTTAGGTAGCCAGCCCATGTTTCTGTAACACCCGTTACATCCTGTAGTATTTAATTATCACTATATTAATATTTTTAAATACTTAAATTTCACTTTTTAGGTAGATTAAAGTTGAAGCAGAATGTCATAAGCAAGGATGGTGTGCTGAATAAAGATGATTTATTGAGTGGATGGAGCCTTTAGCTGATCCCTTCCTGTGATTGGCTGTTGTGTGAATGTCAACAAAGTTTGTTGACATTCTTTCTACCAATGGTATGCCATTTATTATGCACCCCATACCATCTGTGGGCGGAGCTTGGAACTTCCTACCCGAGCACAACAACCCGCCTTATGGGTTGCTGTTTGGCTATTTATAGTGCGTTGGAAAAAAACTAGATGGCGTTAGTGGTATTTCGTGGGGTAATTTGTTATAAGTGTAATTTGATGTCAACAGATGGCGTAAGCTGTATCTTATGGCCACTGTTGACCAGCCAGTTGATAGTGTTCTCTTCTGCCGACAGATGGCATCAGCTGTATTATTACTCCCAAATTCCCTTTAAACACTGATTCTGCAAATCCCGTAGCTTATGATAAGGTACTGGTGGTATTTAAATTGAAATAAGTTTATTGAGGTATAAATACACAAAGGGATGAGGTAGCTCAAAGCTATTGTCACCTCGTAACTTCTGATATTAGGTTACTGGAGTTCTGCAATTACTTTTGTTTATCTATAGTTCATGATATCGTCATATAATGTTTCCAATTCTTGCCAGTGTAGACCGTTGATCTTATATGCTAATATCATTAGGTAGCTCTTGTCTCAGACTGTGTAATCCTTTATATATTCTTAATATTAATTAAAAAATTTAAAATATAAAACTTAAATTTTTTTTACTTAAAGTATCATATACTTCTCCACCCACACCATGTGAGGCTAGAGACTTAGAACATTCCATGTTATGAAATTTGGAATAGAAGAAAATAGACCAAACACAGACAAATTATGTAAATAAACTTTACAAATTTCTGATAAAGATAGAGATCTAAGGGTGATTCTAGATAGAAAACTATTACCTGAGGACCACATAAAGAACATTGTGTGAGGAGCCTATGCTATACTTTCCAATTTCAAAATTGTTTTTAAATACATGGAAGGTGAAATACTAAAGCTCATGACCTTTGTTAGAGCAAAATTGGAAAATGCGGCGGTTGTATGGTGCCCATATCTCAAGAAGCATATCAATAAATTGGAAAAGGTGCACATGTATGCAACTAAATGGCTTATGGAATTAAAGAGCAAGAGCTATAAGGAGATGTTAAATATGTCAACACTAGAAGATGTAAGAAAAATAGGTAATGTGATTAATCCGTGCAAAATAGTAACAGGAATCGACAAAATTGATAAAGAACTTTTGAAAACTGCAACTTCAAGAACAAGAGGATATAGGTTCACACTATGGAAACAAAGCTGCCATAAAAACATCAGAAAGTTCACTCTCTTTATTAAATAATATACAATATAAAGAACATAAATACATCAATTTACAGAGGAAAATAATACATTACATATAGTTTATATAATACTCAGTAAACCAATTTTTCATATCATCACATACCATGAACCTTATACCCCAAACGTTATACCTGATCCTGCCATGCAAGAACTTCAATTTTTGTCTACTGAGGAGAAACAAAATTTGATGAAAACATGGACCCCCCCCCCCAGAGAAAAAAGTTCACTCCTGCAAACATTGGTAGACGGTTGGAACAAGTTAAGTAAGAAGGTGGTGGAGGCCAAAACCGCCAGTAATTTCAAAGCATTATATGGTATTCTGGCTCCAGGCTGCTCGTAATTTGGTTGATGGGAAACTCCTTGGCTCCTGGTGGATGTTATTAGTAGTTCGTGAAACGCCTGAAAAAGATCGGTTCTAATGGTAATTGGGGTTGCTGCAGATTATCATTTGTAGTACGTTTTCTTGGAAACATATATTGATGTAATTAGTGCATGTGGGATTATTGGGAACCTTTGTTGGCAATAGAATTTCTTGGAATGTGGTGTGGCTGCGACATTATTGCTAATATGGTTGCTACATACGCTGTCTAGTTTTTTCTTCTTAAAATTAAGACTAGGGGTTCATTATAAGGAATGGTGGATGATGTCTAACGAAACTGCAAGCTAAGACATCGTTATCCTACACCAGTTCACCTGAAGCTTGACCCTAAATACTCGTTTATTTAACGAGTTTATTGTTAAATTTAATTAGGAATCAACTTTATTGAATACAAAGTTGTAATAATATTAGCTATTGGATGAAGCTGAAGCCCACTGTGTACCAGAGCCTTCATATGGTCTCTTAACATGTTCTATCATATGGTCGGTTAACATAATAATTATCATATGGTCGGTTAACATAATAATTAGCATATGGTCGGTTAACAGAATTTCACACGCATAATAATTAATTTGTTTTGTTAGGGACAGGAAGCCAGTGAATGTAATTCCCTTCCAAGTGCTATACAGTCGTATTGGCTTGGCGCTTTCTCTTGCTGTTGTTATAGATTCAGCTACTCGGAACAAGTTCCATGTAGACTGTAACTTGCTTAGCTAAATGAATTGTGAGCTAAATGAGCCCATTATGTGCCTCTGTAACTCTTTCCACTACCGCCCACAAGATGGGTATGAGGTGCGTAATAAATGAACTAAACTAACTAACAAATACAGTAGTCCAAACTGTGCGCTAAATTCAAGTCAGCCTCCATTATATGCACACTGATTTTAATGTAAATATGTTGATGATTTTCATAATATAAAGATTTCTTGTGGTGCCTTAACATCTTTATATCATAATATAAAGATATCAAGGCACAAAAACATTTTATTCATTAAATTATACGAGGATAAATTAAAAAAACCTAACACATATTATTTAAAATCATGCGCTAATTATAAGATTATATGCCATCTATTTATTAATATTCTTAACTTATTCTTGATTTATTATCATCTTCTATTGCCTCGATTTTGGTCATTTTATTGTCTTGGAAGATGTGAACAGCAGCGAACACAAGTCAGCGCATATGTATATACAAAATTGTCAGCGAACGAATTGTTTTTTTTGGCCCACACCAACGTCATTTGAAATGGTTATGAACGATTCGACCAGTTCTCTGTGAGGAGCCTGGTGGATTGTAGGCGGTAGTAGCCTGATGAATGGTAGACGGTAGTAGCCTGGTGGATGGTAGACGGTAGCAGCCTGGTGGATGGTTGACGGTTGCAGCCTGATGGATGGCAGACGATAGCAGCCTGGTGGATAATAGACGATAGCAGCCTGGTGGATAATAGACGATAGCAGCCTGGTGGATAATAGACGATAGCAGCCTGGTGGATAATAGACGATAACAGCCTGGTGGATGGGTAGAAGGTGATGAACTATATGGGTGGGTGAAACAGGTAGGCGGGGCTAGTTATGGCTGGCGTGGGCCGGGTGGACGGGCCAGTGGGCAGGTGGCCGCCGCACAGGCCACAACCCGCACCAGCAGACATAACCACTCCCAGGACGCGCCTGTGGAAGTACAGCGGTGCCCGGCGGACATTTTCCCCTCTATAATACACGTACTTCCAACTATAGTTCGTCGCAAAATGGCCATAGCGCAAGTGTTTGAAAAAAATCTGTACATCTTATGTGATTATGGTGTTAAAGGTCAATTAGAATGCGAATGGTGCAATTATCTAGTCAATGCAGTTTAAATATGCCAGTGATGCCCAAGATTGTGAGTACTCGTAGTGACCATAAGTTACAAGTCTTGTGGTATTTCAAGGTGATGGAGCTGAATAAGTTATGCTCATCCCTTCCAAGTTATGTATTGGTGCTAACTCGTGGTGTGTGTGTGAAGAAATAAATCGAAGGAAAAAATTGTAATATTACTTGAAATTGTGTTATACTAGAACGCAAAAGTTGAATTTTGTAATGGGTATATTCACCCTATTTTAACATATATATTATATGTTATATGCAAAATAGGCACGTGTAGGGGAGGAGGAATACAAGATTATTAGAATTATGGCATTAGTGTTTATATTGGTGTTGAGAGATGTTGAGCCATGATGTGTATAGGAGGATGACGACTTGGGAAGCTGTTGCAGATGTTGCAATTGACCTGACACCAATCAACGAAGCCCTACACATAATCATCATGATTACATGACGCTTAAAAAGTCATGAGTTGCAAGGGGGAAGGGAACTGCCACGAGAAGCAAATCGTAATGTATAACGCTTCCATTACGGTAACTTGGTGGCTGTGAGACTATATTGAGCGGCATCATGCAGACGGCGTACGCCAGGATGGTGTACGACCGCCATCAGCAGAGGGCTCTGCGTCGCGACGGGTCCGACGTCCAACGGGCCACCTCCACCTTCAGGCACCTGATCAAGGACCTGTGTCGACGCCTCATTGCCTTCCTATTCACACAGGTGAGAGGCCAAGCTCCAGGGCTCCTGTTGTTGTTGTTTTAGATTCAGCTACCCTGAACAAGTTCCAAGTAGCACGGGCTATGGTGAGCCCGTAGCTTACCTGGCATAGAAGCGGGGCAAGTAGCACGGGCTATGGTGAGCCCGTAGTGGACTTACCTGGCTCAGGAGCGGTGCTGTGTGTGCGTAGAGAGGGGGTCCAGGGCTCCGTTCTCCGTTTAAAGGACTCGCGTAGGTGAAGGCAAGGGTTACGGGCTATTCATGCCCGTGCCACCTCTTGAGTGGCTTAATCTTCATCAATCAATCAATCGAAGGCAAGAGTAGAATAGGAAAATTAATGATAGAATTGGTAAGAGAGCACTTATAGTTTCTTAATAAGTTCAGAGAATAAGGGAAAATTGCCAGGCATCATTATCTGAACCTAAACAGTTAATCTACAGCTCAAAACGAGAATCTTTTTTTGAGCGTACAGCAGTTCATACTTCGTTCTGTTTGTAAGAATTAAGGAAACTGCAGAAGGTCTATTGACCAATGTTAATTGACAGTGTCTCCAAAGGGCCAATAGGCCTCCCCCCTTCTTTTCCATCCCAAATCCTTAGCCTGATCCCTTCCAAGTGCTATTTAGTCGTAATCTTATGATAGTTCCCTTCCTCTTTTTATATCTGTGGATTGGTTGTACGAAGTATGAATTGTTGCACACTAAAAAGGCTTCATGTTACTGGTATACTGAGGACATAATGAGCCTAACCAGTCCTTGCCCTAAACAATCAATCTTTGGTCTAATTTACTCAATCTTAGATCTAATTTACTCAATCTTAGATCTAATTTACTCAATCTTAGATCTAATTTACTCAATCTTAGATCTAATTTACTCAATCTTAGATCTAATTTACTCAATCTTAGATCTAATTTACTCAATCTTAGATCTAATTTACTCAATCTTAGATCTAATTTACTCAATCTTAGATCTAATTTACTCAATCTTAGATCTAATTTACTCAATCTTAGATCTAATTTACTCAATCTTAGATCTAATTTACTCAATCTTAGATCTAATTTAGTACATACATGTACCATACTAGACCTAGGGAAAATTTGCTTTGAGTTTTGCTATAATTTTTTGTTCAGCATTCAATAATTAATTTTGTTTTTTTTCCGTGAGGTGTGCAAAAGTCCACAATTCGTGCATTACATTCACATATTGCTATATAAACTATAACGTTTGTAGGATAAGGATGCTGTAAGCATGGGCTCGTGAAAAATCAGGCCGTCATCTTAATTTGTCACTCTGTTAAAAATCAAACCTTTAAAGCCTAATCATAAACGTACGAGACCACCCTATCACCCTCCCTATTATATTACATAAGAACATAAGAACATAAGAACAAAGGTAACTGCAGAAGGCCTATTGGCCCATACGAGGCAGCTCCTATTCTATAACCACCCAATCCCACTCATATACTTGTCCAACCCGTGCTTGAAACAATCGAGGGACCCCACCTCCACAATGTTACGCGGCAATTGGTTCCACAAATCAACAACCCTGTTACTGAACCAGTATTTACCCAAGTCTTTCCTAAATCTAAACTTATCCAATTTATATCCATTGTTTCGTGTTCTGTCCTGTGTTGATACTTTTAATACCCTATTAATATCCCCCCGGTTATGTCCATTCATCCACTTGTAAACCTCTATCATGTCACCCCTAACTCTTCGCCTTTCCAGTGAATGCAACTTAAGCTTTGTTAATCTTTCTTCATATGAAAGATTTCTAATTTGGGGAATTAACTTAGTCATCCTACGCTGGACACGTTCAAGTGAATTTATATCCATTCTATAATATGGCGACCAAAACTGAACTGCATAATCTAAATGGGGCCTAACTAGAGCAAGATATAGCTTGAGAACCACACCAGGTGTCTTGTTACTAACGCTGCGATTAATAAATCCAAGTGTCCGATTTGCCTTATTACGAACATTTATGCATTGATCCTTTTGTTTTAAATTCTTACTAATCATAACTCCCAGATCCCTTTCGCAATCCGACTTCGCAATCACAACACCATCTAGCTCGTATCTTGTAACTCTATCATCATTACCTAACCTCAGAACTTTACATTTATCAGCATTAAACTGCATCTGCCAATCCTTTGACCATTTCAAAACCCTATCTAGATCAACTTGAAGTGATAGTGAGTCCTCCTCCGAATTAATTTCCCTACCGATTTTCGTATCATCGGCAAATTTGCAAATGTTGCTACTCAAACCTGAATCTAAATCATTTATATATATTATAAACAACAGAGGTCCCAGGACAGAGCCTTGAGGCACTCCACTTACAACATTTTCCCACTCTGACTTGATTCCATTTATACTAACTCTCTGTTTCCTTTGGTATAGCCATGCCCTAATCCAGCTTAATATAGCACCCCCAATACCATGAGACTCTATTTTTTTAATCAGTCTTTCATGTGGCCTACACTAGAAAACACTGTCACCCTCACTATTGTATCACAATAGAGAACACCGTCACCCTCACTATTGTATTACACTAGAAAACACCGTCACCCTCACAATTGTATCACAATAGAAAACAGTCACCCTGTTGTATTACAGTGTAGAGGAAACCATCACCCTTACTGTTGTATTACACCTGTAGAGAACATCGTTGACTTTGTTTAATATCAACCTTTTTGTGTATTATAAAGAGGAAAACTTCTATGTTGCCCATTTTGTATTACACACGTTTCCCACTTTTTTCCCATTTGTTTTATGGATTTCTCATTTATTTTACATGATTCCCACTTGGTTTACACGTGTATCCTGATTGTTTTACACATATTTACTATTTATTTTCCACGTTTTTTCCGTTTGTTTTACACGTATTTCCCACTTGTTGTACACGTGTTTCTCATTTGTTTTACTCGTGTTTTCCACTCGTTTTACATGTGTTTCCCGCTTATTTTACACGTGTTTCTCACTTGTTTTCCACTTGTTTATCATGCGTTTCCCACTTGTTTCTCGCGATTTTGTAACTTGTTTTGTGTGTTCCCACTTGTTTCACACATTTATTTATTTATTTATATATGTACAAGAAAATACATTGGGTTTGTTAGGGTACATAGCATGGTGTTTACATTTTTGTAAAGCCTAGTACGCGCAGCGTTTCGGGCAATCGCTACGCGTACTAGTGACTTCATGCAATCACATATTTCCCTCTTGTGTTACACGTGTTTTCAATCTCTTTAGGTGGGCGTGTGCGGGCTGGTCGTTGCTTACAACATCATGGGAGCCTTCGCCTTCCGCGCCATCGAGGGAAACAATGGAGACACAGGCCCCGAGGAAGAGGCATTTGACCTCCGGGAGTCCATGGTGGCACGTCTCTGGAACGTCACCCTCCGACTCAACATCTTGGAGGAGGCCCAGTGGAGGAGGGAGATGGCAAACGCCCTGCGGGAGTACCAAGGAGACGTGGTATCGCTAGTCAAGATCAAAGGGTATCGAGGTGTCCACCCTCAGGAGGCGTGGTCGTTCAGCGCAGCTCTCATGTACTCTCTGAGTGTGTACACTACCATCGGTAGGTTCCCAGTGTCTTTTTCCTAGATTGATTGATTGATGATTGATGAAGATTAAGCCACCCAAAAGGTGGCACGGGCATGAATAGCCCGTAAGTGTTGGCCCTTTTGAGCCATTACCAGTATCAATAGATGCTACTGGAGATCTGTGGAGGTGCGACTGCACCCTGCGTGACGGGAGATGTCTCCCGTCTCTTTTTCCTCGTCACGAGGCTTCCACTATATTAGAACATAAGAGTACTTGAAACAGTTACGGGCTATTCATGCCCGTGCCACCTCTTGGGTAGCTTAATCTTTATCAATCATCAATCTTGAAAGAGTAGAAGGATTATATTGTCTTATACGAGGCAGCTCCTATTTATACCCACTCAAATTCATTCAGTCTAACCTACGCTTCAAGCCAATAAACAGTATTGTGTTAGCTGTTAGGTTCTATAAATCAACAACCCCTATTTCCAAATGAATATTTTACCCGAATCGTCTCTGAATTTAACATTCTCCAATTTTTTGCTCTATATTTTGGGTTGGTATATGGGGGACTGTAATGCTTTTAATTGTAATGTATAATGATTATGTGTACTGTATGGATTGGTGACTCCCTTGAGTAACCCTTAATAGATGGTAGAAATAGTCTAAACTATCAAGTTCAAATTGTTCGATAACTAGATAGCGATCATTAGGCTTTGTGTCGAGTTGCCACCGGGGAAATGACAAGTTAATTTTCCAGCTAAATTTATTTGTACTGTCCCATGAGTATGGTTCACTGATATAAGGAGACGTGTATTTGACTTAAAGACGTGTTTGACGTGTATTTGACAATCGACTTGAGAATGGTCCAGGACGGACCGAAACGTCGTCGTCCCTTCACTTTCTAGTGTGTGTGGTCTGGTCAACATTAGACTTAACAATTGTGTTCCAAGTAGCTGGATCTAAAACAAGACTTAAAAATATAATGTTGTGTTGTCTTGATTGGATCTCGTAGGCTGCGCTCTGATGTCTTGATTTAATTAATGTTTCCCCAAAAATAGGCTTTTGACTGAGTGAACACATGCATTCTGGATACGTTTAAAGCTGGGAGCGTGAACGCTCTGAGAATTAGTGGCTTTATATAATCTACATTAATTGTACACTTACAGATACTCTGTGCCTTGTTTTAAATGTTCTTTATATAAATACAAATTATTATTATTATATACACAGAGGTATACAACGCTGCTTGCTGTATGTACACTGAGTTAACTTACTCCACTTTCTCCTTATAATTACCTTACATTACTCCAGGACTATAAGAACATAAGAATCAAGATAACTGCAGAAGGCCTATTGACCCATTCGAGGTTATCTTGAGATGATTTCGGGGCTTAGTGTCCCCGCGGCCCGGTCCTCGACCAGACCTCCTTTTTGTTACACCCCCCCCCTTAGGAAGCAGCTCTTAACAGCTGTCTAACTCCCAGGTACCTATTTACTGCTATATAACAGGGGCATCAGGGTGAAAGAAACATTTTGCCCATTTGTCTCCGCCTCCACCGGTGATCGAACCCGGAACCTCAGGACTACGAAACCGAAGCGCTGTCCACCCAGCTATCAGGCGCCTCTAGGTAGCTCCTATTTATATGCATGTTGTTGTTGTTTTAGATTTAGCTATTCAGAACAAAATGTCCATGTAGCACGGGCTATGGTGAGCCCGTAATTGAGTTGGTTATGTGCACCCAAACCCTATTTATATTGTGACGATAATCTCCTTCAAGAGATTGAGCCTGCTCTTCACTCCAAAAATACGTCGTTACAAATATATAAAACTACTATGGAAGAAATGTCCAACAACGACAACAACATCTCCAAGGTTTGCCAGAGAGCAAAACGTATGCAGCCAGGAACACCTGCTCCACCTCAAACCGCCAAACTACCTGTCTTGCCGCTTGCTCATCGCTGATTGGCTGTGGGTCAAGCTGCAACTGCACTCCACCCACCATACTACTTGATGTCTGGGGCCGCCACGACCTCATCTATTGATATTTGTGAGGGCTCAAAAGGGCCACCACTTACGAGCTACTCATGCCCGTGCCACCTTTTGGGTGGCTTCATGTTCATCTTAACACATTCACGTGGGAGACATCTCCCGTCATGCAGGGTTCATTCGCATCTCCACAGATCTCCAGTATCAGCTCTTGATACTGGTAATGGCTTAAAAGGGCCACCACTTACGGGCTATTCATGCCTGTGCCACCTTTTGGGTGGCTTAATCTTTATCAATCAATCAATCACGACCTCAGTCTTCAGAATATTCAGTGCTTTCATAAGGTTAACACGTCTTCTTGGTAGACTGAGCTGTGGCTTACGTGTACTAAGAGAGGTGATAGCTTGAAGCCAATATTCCTGGACCAATATATACGTTATTTGCACTTCTTGTTATTTGCTCACTTGTCTTAACGTAACTTTTCATTGTGTCATTTGATTATTCTTATTATTTTGATTGATTGATTTTATTATACGAATTTGTATGTCCATTTTATTCATGTTTTGTTTTCTTTAACGTAATTAAAATTTCATTGTTAAAATTTACTTGTGTTTTGTGTGTCTTCTCCTTACCCTACCACAGACGAAGTTCCAGATTTTCTAATTTTTTTTATTTCTATGTGACGAGGCCATACCCCTAGCTTTGAACAGCCGAACACCAACGCGTTACCGTCACAATATATATGTCTAATCTACGCTTGAAACAATCCAGGGCTCCTACTTCTATTATGTTACGCGGTAATTGGTTTCTCAAATCAACAACCCTGTTGATGTTCAACCAATGTTCATGACTACAGCATATTTTGTAACAGTAATCTTTTTTTTTTTATCTTTATTTAAGAAAATATAATATAAATCACATATACATAAGTTTCAAGGCAGTTATACATTACAATTCGTAGTGAACAAGTGTTTCATTAGTACAGAACATGATCTTTAAAAAAAACCTGAATGTTATACTTATTTACCTATAAACGATTTACAAAAATTGGAGAATAAATTTACATTAAAATACAGGGGAAAGTATTACATTTATATATATTTTATATAATTCTCAGTAAACAAATTTTCCATATCATCACCGAGCATGAGCCTTAAACCCCAAATGTTATACTTGATCCTGCCTCGCAAGAACTTCAATATTTGTAATCTTACCTAATTTGCTAGGTAACAGTAAACTGTTGCGGTGGTTATAATTAACTCGCTGTTAATGAGGTCTTAGGCTCAATACCAAACTGAAAAGCCTGGTAAACAAACCACCAAAGCAATGTGTAAACAGTCGTACATAAGACCATAATAATTAAGGAAACAAACTATTGGCCCTTTGTTGTTGCTTTAGAGCCAGCTGCGAGGCAGCGCGTATTTACATTCACTCAAACTCACTCATATATATGTCTAACCTACGCTTGAAACAATCAAGGGATCACACGTCCATTATGTTACCCGGTAATTTGTGCCATAGATCAACCACTCTATTTCCAAACTAATATTTTCCCAGGTCTCCTGAATTTATACTTATCCTGTTTAAATCCATGGTTTCGTGTTCTATTTTGTGGTGATATATTTACAAATGAACAAATCTACAAGGGTCTTGAGGTGGGTGGCAAGTGACAAGGCCCACCTCGACCTACTGAAACCCGGGCCCTGGCACGGCCGCCCCACCTTTCTCCCAGGTGCTTCCAGGAAATGCCACATTTCCTGTAAATCTCCAAGGAAAGTATAGGTCCATTAAAAACTGAGACAGGTCAGGTAACGGATAATGACGAAGAGATGAGTAGTATTTATAATAAATATTTTTATCTTTGTATTTACTAAAGAGGAACTTAACAATATGTCTTCAGTCGAACAAGTCTATGTGGGTGGGGACGAGGACAGGTTAACTAGTTTAGCAGTTAGAGATATAGAGATATATAGAACCTTAGAATACTTTCCCACCAGGAGATTCGAACCCTAGCCAGCACAGAAGCCTTACAGCAACTGGCATAACTGGTACGCCTTTATGCCAGTTGCTGTAAAGCTTCTGTGCTGGCTAGGGTTCGAATCTCCTGGTGGGAAAGTGTTCTAAGGTTGTATAACTTCTCTTGCATGTTTAGGCAAGTTGTGCAGAGATAGATAGATATAGAGATAAAGAGAGATATATAGAGATATATAGAGAGAGTAAGATATCATTTCTAAGATTATACCACTGACGGACAGAACGACATAGAACGTCATATCTAATTTATAAACAATGTCACGTAAAGCGATCTTTGCCAAAATTGTAACTAATTTTGTCAATAAAGATGTTAATAATAATAATAATCTTTGCCAAGGAGTTGAAATATTCCCATTTTCGTATATGACTTGTGTTAGCAGACAGGATGTCACAATGATGTTGAAAATTAGCACATCGAGCCCACAAATCTGAAAATAAAAGAATTGAGATTCGATTTCCAGATAGAGCGAAGCGCCTGGGCACAGTTCTTTTCACCCGATCTATCTATATATATAATTACCCAACAATAAATAGATACCCTGGAGTTAGGTAACTGTTGTGAGGGTTGCATTCTGAGGAAGGTTAGTCTAAGGGGAGCTTGTTAAAGTTAATAAGTTTCTTGTCCCCGGCATCGGGGCACCATGACGGGAAATATCCGGTTTACAGATAAAACCACGTTTAGAAAACGTGGTTTTCTCCACGTTTGTCGTTTTGGGCTGTTCTCTTCAAAATTAAAACAATTAAAATTGAGGACGTATATGTGTGAGTAACTATATGAAACAAAGAAATAAAAATATCTAACTATCTGCATGTAATTTTAATTTTAGTAACTAATTAACACGCTGGAATGCGTAACAGTTATTTTAACAGATAAAAACGGAGCTGTCAATCTTAATTTGTTGTTCTTGTAAATAAACGAGAATCCGGACATTTCTCTTGTTTGACATGTATTTGTTTCACTCTCCTCTAAATTTGGGTAAATACTGGTTCAGTAACAGAGGTTGTTGATTT